CGCATCCGTGGCGACTGGGCTCGACAAATCTCCACCTACCGCATGGACATGCGCCGTTTCGCAGTCACTCTACAAGGTGCAGCGAGAGGCTTCCTGGTCCGGTCGAGGCTTCAGGGTGAAGAACAGTTCTGGCATGCCAATGAGGCCCAGGTGTTGAAGGTGCAGAACCTGTTCCGTGGGCGCAAGGCCAGAGCGCAAGTTCAGTATACCAAGTCGAAGATCGAGCGCCATGAACACGGCATACGACAATTCCAAGCGGCCATCCGAGGAGCGCTCGAACGACTACGCGTCTCCGACCGATACGAACAAACCCGCGATACCGAACCCTCCGTTATGCATGTGCAGGCTATGATTCGCGGCGCTCTTCTACGTCAGCAAGTCGACAGGGAATGGGCGGAGCTACAACAGAATGAACCTGAGGTCGCACAACTGCAAGCTGTCTCAAGAGCGATGCTCGTGCGCCAGTCATTGCGTGCTGAACAGGAAGGTCTTCGTCAGCACGAATCTATGATCACAATGTTGCAGTCCACTGCTCGAGGTCTCCTTGCCAGGAAGAAGGACGCCGCGATGCAGAAGAAGCTGGTAAGCACGAATGTTAATTGGTCTGGTCTTCAGTCTCAAGTTCGCGCCAATGTCTTGAGAAATTCTGTCAGGCAGATCCACGAGGCGCTTCAAGCCGAAGTACCTCAGATCACCGATTTACAAGCTGTCGCAAGGGGTGGCACCATGCGTGCAGAGATCACCGAGATCCTTACGCTTCTGCACGAACAAGAAGACAACGTTCTTTCGCTTCAGTCACACATTCGCGGTTTCCTTTCGCGGCAGAAGCACTTTTCTGATCTCAAGGCACTTCAGGCGCAAGAACCCACCATTCTAGACCTCCAATCAGCCTGCCGAGGCTTCATGCAACGTCAACGGACGTACGAGACTCTTTGCGAGCTCAACGCTCAAGAGCCCGAAACCGTCGATCTCCAAGCCGTGGCACGTGGTATGCTGCTCAGGATGCAAATCGGTATGCAGCTTGGCCAAGTGGAAGAGCACGAAGACGCGATTGTCGAGCTACAGACCCTGGCGCGCGGTTTGATGATCCGCCAGAAGTTTGCAGAGAAGCAGCAGTTCTACAAGGAGAACATGGAGAAGGTCATCAAGGTGCAGAGCTTCATCCGTGGTCGTCAACAAGGTGAAGCCTACAAGAGCTTGACCAGTGGCACAAACCCTCCAGTGTCGACTGTCAAGAACTTTGTTCATCTTCTCAACGACAACGACATCGACTTTGATGAGGAGATTGGTAAGTCGCTCATTCAACACTATACTCATAACGTACTAACCGGATGCCAGAGTTTGAACGTCTGCGCAAGACCGTAGTTCAGCATGTGCGTCAGAACGAGCTCGCCGAGCAATACGTCGATCAACTTGACATCAAGATTGCGTTGCTCGTAAAGAACAAGATCACCCTTGACGAAGTTGTCAAGCACCAGAAGCACTTTGGTGGCAACGTCGGGACCCTACTCAGCAGCAAAGACATCTCGTCAAAGGATCCCTTCGATCTCAAAGCACTCAACAAGAATTCGCGCCGGAAGCTGGAGCAGTACCAGGAGCTTTTCTTTGTTCTGCAGACGCAGCCTCAGTACATGGCAAGACTCTTCAGGCGCGTTCGTGAACAAAGTCTTGCGGAGGGTGATACTAAGCGCATTGAGCAGCTGACCATGAGTATGTTTGGGTTGGCTCAGAAGCGCAGAGAAGAGTACTGGCTGTTGAAGCTACTCACAAGGTCGCTGAAAGAGGAGATTGAGGGCTGTGCGAACCTCCATGAGTACCTTCGTGGTAACTTCTTCTGGACCAAATTGTTCGCCAATTACGTCCGATCACCGCGAGACCGAAAATTCCTCAAAGACATTCTCGGATCTGTCATCCGTGAGAATATCATTGAAAACGAGCACCTGGACCTGGAGAGCGACCCGATGCAGATCTACCGTTCAGCCATCAACAACGAAGAGCTCCGTACCGGCCAAAGGAGTCACCGTGACCCGAACGTCTCGCGAGACGTAGCACTCAAGGACCCCGAGACACGTGGTACTTTCATTCACAACCTACAAGACCTTCGCGATGTTGCCGACCAGTACTTTACGATGTTTGAAGAGGTGCTGCACCGCATGCCGTATGGTGTGAGGTACATCGCACAGCAAATGTTCGAAGAGCTGCGCTTGAAGTTCCCCTACGAGGCGCAAGAGCAGCTTCTACAAATCACCGGCCACTGGGTATGGAAGGCTTATATCCAGCCTGCTCTGTTGCAACCTCAGCACTGGGGTGTGGTTGATCGCGGCCTGTCGCCAGTGATGAACAGGAACCTCGGAGCTGTCGCCAAGGTCCTCAGTCAGATCGCCTGCGGGAAGCTGTTTGGTGGAGACGATCTCTACTTACAGCCTCTCAACAGCTACATCACCGAAGCCATCGATCGCCTGCAAGACATATGGTCGAACATGATCAACGTCCGTGCCGCCGAAGCTCAGTTCGAGATTGACGAGTTCAACGATCTGTTCGCAAGAACCAAGCCAACACTCTACATCAAGCTCGCAGACGTGTTCGCCATTCACAACCTTGTCATCGAAGATCTACCGAGCTTATGCCCCTCTCAAGACGACCCACTTCGCGAAATTGTCCGCGAGCTCGGTAGCGCCAAGAACAATGAGAACGAGCTCCTGCACGTCAGCTCCAGCGAAATCACATTGACCCTGAACCCCAAGTACCATGAGCAAGAGGGTAAGTTATTCTTCCACGCGCAGTTCCCACTTTCTGACATTTCTAGACCCCGACTCTGCGATCAAATCCCTCTTCATGGAGACCAAGCGCTATGTGCTGTACATCATCCGCATCCAGACCGGCGCCAACCTCACCGAAATTATGTGCAAGCCGGTCACACCCGATGACGAGAACCGCTGGGACGCCCTCGTCCGTGAAGAGATCATCGCGCAGCGAAAGGATCGTTCGCGAAAACAGAACAACGTGGTCCGATCGTCTGCAGCTTCAACTTACACGCAAGATATGGGCTCCAACTCTGTACTTGATCTCGACTACCCCACACTCAAGCAATACTGTCTGGAGAACATGGTGCAACTCCAACGCGCAGGTCGCATCTCGCACACCAACAACTACCAAGACCTACTCAACGCCATCGCGGTCGACATCCGCACCAAGCACCGAAGACGTATTCAACGCGCCAAGGAACTGGAAGGAGTACGCACTACACTGGCCGCGCTCGACGAAAAGGCGCATTTCCTAGAGTCGCAACTCAAGTCTTACAACGACTACATCGAACAAGCCATGGTAACGCTACAATCCAAGAAGGGCAAGAAGAAGTTCCTCCTCCCCTTCACCCGCCAATACAACCACCAGCGCGAACTCAAGAACAGCGGTCGCGAGTACCGCTTCGGTTCCTTCAAATACTCCGCCCGCAACCTTGCCGAGAAGGGCATCCTCATCTCCTGGTCTGGATACCACGAGCGACAATGGGACCGCATGGACATTACCATCTCCAGCAACCAAACAGGTATCTTCGAGATCCAAGGTTCCCAAGGCTCCATGATGATCCCCGGTGCATTCGCCGAGGTGCCTCTCGACGGCCTCCTCCAAGCGCAATTCGACAACCACCAATTTATGAATCTCTTCGGCGAAGGTGCTCGGGGCGCGTCTGCCGGCGACGGTGTTGCTAGAGTCAACGTTAATCTGTTTTTGCATTTGATCTTCAAGAAGTTCTATCGGGATGAGTAACGGCATGCATGCAACGGCGGTGTTTGATGGTGAAAGATGGGGTACCGTGTTATACCTTTTCCTTTTTGCTCTTGCTGTTTCTGCATTTTATGGATGGTCGGGCATCGGTGTTTCTCTGCTTGTTGGTTACGACCATGATGATATCGTTCGTCGCTTGACGCTTCTTCTTCTGTTTCTTCTCTTCTCCTTCTTCTTTTGGAATGATACATACATATCCTAGCATAAATGCATCTTACATAATTTATACTCAGAGTGTCGTCGTCTGTTGCTTTGCTAGCGGCTTGTGAATATTGATCCGTGAGATTTATGTGACCACTGGTGGTATTACGTCTACGACCATGAAGCATGACAGGGGCAGGCAGACGTGTTATTTGGGTCGCTCTCTCCGTCGCTGTCGCAAAAGCCAGAGTAAAATGCCCTGATCAATCAACTACAGATCCAAGTATCGCAGTCCGGGCAAGTCGTGTCGCTTGTCTCTGTTCTTCGCGGTGTCGCCAAGCAGGTCGCTCCCGCGGCAGTGAAAGCAGGCTGTAGGCACAATGATAGGGGATTATACCCTGATGCCATCACGACGGGTACATTAACCTGAAGTATGCTGCTCAATGACATCGCTGACTAACCGCCTGACGACTACAGCACCGGTCGGCGTTCACGAACGGGGTCATCTGGCGGACAGGTTCCCCCTGGGCAGGAGTTTGTTCCCGTAGGACAAATCCTGTGACTAAGAGAGTTGTGTATTTTCGAGATACTGGTAGAGTTTCTTAACCACATGTACTAATCTCACAAGAACCACTCGTGTGCTGTAGTACTGCATCCCACCAATTATATGCACTCCAACATTGTGAAGTTCCAGCCGACGTCACTGCACGTGTCTGATCGCAGCCTAGAGACCCCTGAACTCACGTTCCACGTTTTGCGGATCGCGCACAAGCCATGTCCCGCCACTTCACCGTCCCAAGTCCAAGCTCAGCCAAACGCAACTTTCCAACAATGCACGAGTATATTATGACATAGAATGTACAACTCTTCGCCTTCGGGCATTTGGTCAATTTGAAACGATACAGAGAAGATTAGCATGGCCCCTGCACTAAGGATGACACGCTCAATCAAAGAGAAGCTACCATTTTTTTGGTAAATTTTGTGAGTTGAAGGCAACCAAAGTTCAGCCTGTTCGAACCACAGCGGTAGCAGAGGGCGACGACGGCAAAAAGGCTGCTCTCTTTTTACTCAAGCAGGGCGCTAGAGGGGAGGTGGCTGGGTCAGCGTACAACAGGTTTCACGGACGGTGCAGGGACCATGTTAATCTTACCGCCTTGTGACCATGAACATCACTTGCCAGAGAGCCGAAATGTGCGGACGCAATCGTGATGGGTATATTATGCCGTTGTGGCCTGATAGAGATTCGCGAAATATCCGGAGCGCAAGTCGAGCTTCGGTGAAGCATGTATCCTCCAGCCTATATTATCATTTCGCCGTCTTCGCCGTCAACGCCCCCGGTGTCCTCTCCGTCGTCCTCATCTAGATCTTCTAGTGGATAGGTGAGGATGGCCGCAACGTTCCCGAGGCCTTCGAGCCGCTTCCCGCTCTCGTGTAATGAGCTGAGCACCCTGACTTCGCCACCCTCCACATCCCGCACTTGGTCGACTAGCTTCACCCATCGTCTCCTCTCTTTCACGTCTTGTGCGCGGAACAGGGCGTTGTTGATCATTAGCACTCCACCACCACGCCCAACTGCGCCTTTGGCGACGGCGCGCTCCACCTCGCGCGGGCCGTACCACGCCCGGCCATCGTCTTGCCGCATGAGCGTGTTGAACTTGTCCATTAATGCTGTCTCGCGCGCGAACTTTGTATCGGACAACTTGTTCGTTATTGCTGGCGATGAGAGCACTTCATTGAGTGAGTGTACATGCGCCGATGAAGAATGTGCGATGATTATCGTGGGTATGAGGGCCATGAGCGGCTTGTTGGTGGTCCGTGTTGCTTCCTCCTTGATATATTGTAGAAAAGCCGACGCTACGAAGCCTGGACTCGCGAGCAGAAGCGGAAGCGTCTTGCCTTGAGGTGTGCTAGAGGCATTCGGTAGATCGATTTGCCGTAGTAGCGTCGAAAGCGTCGTGGAGAAGAACCTGTCCATGCCTTTGCTGTGCCCGTCTACACCACCTCTCCTCTTTCTGGGTACTGAGACCTCGATCTTTTGTCGTAATATCGTCTGATGCTCGGTGATCATGCAGATGTTCGCGGTACCCTCTCCCAGTACAACAGCCCATAGTTCCGCTCGTTTTGACGCGTCGCATGCCTCCTTCAATTGTTCTAAAGCAACACTATCCCAACCGTCTGCTTTTTCGATGGTAAATTTGCGATTTAGCTCCAAATCCAGTGTATGATGTTGCCCTAACTTTACGTGCTCATTCTCTTTTGCTACGCGACCAGACACATGGAGTTGTTCGGAACCAATATCAAAATCGGTCGAGGTTACTGTGATTGTGAGGTCTAGAGCGATTCGCTGCGAGGATGTCGAGCCGGCCTCAGAAGTCTTCGAAACTCGGCGAACTGCCTTGGCGCGTATTCGGTCGTGTTCTTGTATCAGATTATAGGCGTGCCACTGGAGTCGATGTCAGTATGGTGAAGCCTAGAGCGAGTCGCACGCGTATGATCTATCGCGATCTGTTTGTGTCGCGCTTACCATATCCTCTGGCTCCTCAGGCAGCAGGGTGACGAACCCCGCGCCCGTTTTCTGTTCGATTTGACTCTTGAGTAACTTCATTATAGTGAAGCCTGATGTATACGTAGATTTAGAGCTGGTAGTTGTGGTTGCAACGGAGGTATTGTAGCAGTCGCGTGAAGTTACCTGCGCAGCGTGAACTTTTGGAGTAGTGACGCAACCGTGGGATGGAGGGGCACTAGTGGGGCCGACCCACTCACGCGTTCAACGAGCGGAAGCTTGTTTGCAGGCATTCACGCCAATCCTGGCGCGCTGAGCCCAAAGCATCGCATTCCTCCAGGTCAGCTACACCGAGCAAAGAAATCATCCAATTAGTAGACGTTCAGTGCTCAGCATAGCCTAGAGGTAGTCACCCAATCTGACAGCATCAAGAGACGGTGGACGGAGGAATGTAGTCTTCAAGCAATTTTGAACAATGCAACTTTCACATGCGCTCATAGCTTATGTGGTCGCTAGATACATTAAAGGAACTAAGTATATACAAGAATGAAGTTGAATCGATCACGACACTCTACCTGGACTTGATGATCTCAGCAGCCTTCTCACCAATGCCGTACATGGTAGCCTGGAGGTGGCAAGACGGGATGATAGGGATAATGGAAGCGTCAACAATAGACAGATGCTGAGTGCCGTAAACCATCAACTTGTCACTGACACAGCCACCGTCCCTCTCAGGCATCATAGGGCAAGAACCAGATGGATGAGCAAGGGTAGGCGACAACATCGATTGCGCGAGTAGAGCATCGTAAATCTCCTTGTCTGAGGTGTATTGAGCACCAGGGACGGTCTCGGAGATCTTGTGGCTGGCAAGCTCGGGACGGGCCCACACGGTGCGGAAGAATCGCATGCCAACAGCCATGACCATGCGGTCGATGGGGTTGACAAAGGCGTTGTAGACGACGTTAGGAGGACCGTTGGGGTTCTTGGCGTCAATGTAGACAGTACCACGCGACAAAGGCTTCTCAACACCAACCAGACCGTATGAGCCGTCTGCGGGAACGGGAAACTCGGCCACGGCGGCGTCCTTGCGGCCGAAGATGTCAGCAATGACTGCGCGCTGCTTAGCAAAGCCCTTGGCGAGCTTCTTGCTGTTCTTGTAGATGCTGGGGAGGTAGTCGGTGGCGGTCTGGCTGTTCAGGCTGCTGATCAGAGACTTGAAGTCCTTGGTCATGTCGGGCAGGGAGATAAAAGCTAGAGCGTTACCACGGGCATAGGTGTAAGGACCAGTCTTGTGCTCAACGTACTGCTCCCAAGCGGAAGCGTTGAATGTCGCGTTGGTCATCAGCGAGTTCTGGTTGGGGAAGTGGTTGGAAGTGGTGTTGAAGACAACGGTAGCGTAGGGGTGGTCCTGGAAGTTGGAGCCTACAGCATCGAGCTCAACCTTGACCTCGATGCCGGCAGCCTTCAGGACCGACTTGGGGCCAATACCACTGAGCTGGAGGAGCTTAGGTGTCTGGATAGCGCCCGCAGCCAGGACGACCTCTTTCTTAGCGTAAAAGGTGGAAGTCTTTCCGGTCTTGTCGGTAACCTCAACACCAGTAGCCATCAGTGGCTTCTTCTTGCTATCAAAGATGATCTTGTCGGCGGTAGTGCCTGTGAGGATGTGGAGGTTGGCACGAGTCTGGATGGGGTCGTAGTACGCGTAGCGAGCATGTGCGCGGCGTCCGGTGGTCGCATCCATGGTGTTGGCGTACCAAGAAGGACCGTAGGCTTCGCCGGCGTTTCCATCCTCGGGAATGTAGATACCAGTGGCTTTCCACGCCGCCCAATAGTCCTTGATATCTTCATATTGGTTGGATGTGATCGAGACGGTCAACGGTCCGTTACCGTAAGTCGACTCATCCCAGGTGATGTTGAAGTCCTTGACAACATCGGGAGTGGGAGGTTGGAAAGTGGTACCCTTGATGAAGGCCTCTTCCATTCCCTTCCATCCCCACCCCTTGTTCCCGAGAGCCTCCCACGCATCGTAGTCGGCAGCCGAGCCGCGGTCGTAGACCATGCCGTTGATGACAGACCCACCACCGAGGACCTTGGCAACAATGACCTGGTACGATGTGTTACCGATGGCTGGTTCAGGCAGCGAGTTGATGTTCTCCCAGATTAAACCAGCCGCAGAGGTCAAGTCATTGGCTTTGTATGGGATCTTGGTTGCATCGGTATCAACATTATCACCCGCTTCAACGACAAGGACAGTCTCTGTGGCTGGTGTTAGTAAAGTTTTCGACAAAATATGGGGCTGAAGTACATACTGCTCTTGTCCTCAGTGATGCGGTTGGCAACAATTAATCCAGTGACACCGCCTCCGACAATGACATAATCATACTGGGGCTTAGCGGCGGCACCAAGAACTGGCGACAGGATTACAGCAAAGAGCTGAACAGCAACGGCTAACCGAGAGAAAACAGGCATCTTGAAGGTCCAAGATATTAAGTTTAAACGAACGTAAATTTGGATGCGCGCTGGAATGAACCTGTGAGGGTGTGCAGCCACTAGATGCTTTATACGGACCGAACAAAGTACTTACTCGCTGCTCGCATTGGTCGAGAACATGTTCGCCACGTGGGAAAGCCAACATGGCGGTGTTATCTTACCGAATTCATACAGGAATTGATCGACCCACTAATACCGCGAGGGTGAACAATAGTCTGGTAAATTGTTTGTATGCCGTGGCGCGGCGCTGGCGGTTGCCATGTACAGATTCGTTCTAGAATGTGGACGGCAATCCTTCTGGTAGGGGTTCAGTAATCTGAACCTATAAACAGGCCGCATAGGGATCGTGTAATTACAATTCCCTGACTCCCGGTGAACATCAGGGACTTGTGGGCTCCGTTGCGGTCCGGGGCCGGGGTGCTAACGTTCTTCCACCAGAGAGATCAAGCTCATGACCGGCCAGCCGCAGCAGTGAACATGGAAGCGAGGTACGTTCGGTGGTCTGATGTTGATGTGGGCCAATGAAAATCTCTGCGGCTCGTAGAGAGCGCATCGTACAGAAGGACCGAGTCAGCGATTCATGGTGTTCTTGCCGGAGGTAGGCCCCACTTTTGGACGGGAGGCAAAACATGGACAGATGTCCTCGGCCCCAGACCAGCATGTGATTGAGTTTAAGCTACAGCTCTGGCAACGGCAGCGGCGTACACATTGAAAAGCTGGGGTCGGCTCTTTCTAAGAACGCATTATCGCTTCGGAGATTTTGCAAAGGACTGCAGCAAAGGATGCCGCTCCTCTGGAACACGGCAGGTACATTGCTGCGGGATATGCAGTGTAATCAGGCCACCAGGAGACCTCAATCCTTGATTCGCCATCTGAGACCATCTCGGGGAACCAGGTACCATGATTTCGGAGAGTGGACGCGATTCGGGATCGATGGCCACCTCGCTTGTAGGAAACATACCGCTAAGCTTCCGGTCCGCGTATCATTTCCTTCTCTTCTGCCGTATCGATGGCATCGTGTCTTTGTCCATGGTGAGAGATGCCAGCGTGGCGATGTGCACTTCGTCGCAGTCGAAACCCAGACGCAACATGAATATTGGAAAGACGTATTCTCATGGGCGCACTACACTACGGACTCCCTCTGCACGGCTGGAGTTGCGTCAGGATTTTGAGTCAGGCGGACCGCGGAGAAGAAAAGACCCGGCCCCCTTCAGCTCGATATTCTGCGTTCTTCCCTGTAGACTGGGTCTTAGGCCCGATTGCCATTGTGCATCGGCCCACACATGCGCGCCAACGGGAAGAGCCCGACGAAGTACTGTGAAGTATATTCTCTTCGGGCTCAGCCGCACGTTGACGTGACTCTGCAACGTTTGGCGGGTCAACGATAGGAAAGGCGATGTTGCGGCGCACTCGACGCAATGTTCTTTAGTCACTAGGTAGAGCGCTAGAAAGAAAAGAAGATCTTAGACAGCTAGTGCCGTGAAAGGTGGCTTCGGTTCGCTCTACCGGTGAGTTTGAGTATGCGGAGAATTCGCCCTGCATTTAGCTCACACACTAACCGCACTAGCATCTCTAGCGCTGTTTGGCCTGACACTCGCTACCACCTCTTCCACCATTCCCATCCCATGGTGCGATGGACGAAAGATTGCGCAACGTCCATGCGGCAACCCCGAGAACCGTCAGACGATGCAAGATCGCACGTTCGCTCTCTGACCCATTAGATCAATGCACCCATTCAGTGTTCCACCAGCGTTGCGACCATGGTAGGCGGGCCTGTGATCTGCAACAAGATCTACAACATGCGCCGTCCTATGCAAAAGTTCTCATGCACACACATAGCCACAATCGCAACTCTACATGGTGTGACCTGTTCGGTTGTACTTCTAAAGTGTACGCTTGAATCATGGTTTCCCGCCCATCCTGAATGCCGTTCTCATTGGGTGACATTGGGTTAAATATGCAGCATGTGGGGCCTCAATTTATGCGGCATCACTGCCAGATCAGCTCGGCGGCCGTCACCCTAGGATGCACAGCTGGATATCCCCGTGTTGGATTGTTTCGAAAGTTGGTCTCGAGCGAGTGCACCTTCTTTGATCGATCTGGCGGCCTTCTCCCGTCACCCGCGACCGTGCTGTTTAGCTTTCGCTTCGCCCGTCTTGAACCAGAACGGCCGACGCAAGAGATGAGTGGCGCGAAGGAGCAGACTTGAAAACCCCGGGGCACTCCCGATCATTGAGTGGCTGTTTGCTTTTTTCCTCTTGTTCACCGATTGTGACTTTTGCGATCCATGCCATTCCGCACCTCGAACGACCCCGCTGCAGTGCATCATGGACGCAGGTACACAAGAATGGCCGGACCAACGCTTGAAGATCCTCATCCCGGTTTGGACCTTAACGCTGATTAGCACTGCTTTCTTGGTATGGAGAGTCGTGTACGGACTGCGATCACGCAAGTTCATTGCCTGTGATTACTTGTTGATCATAGCCACTGTGAGTCTCCCTCAGCACTAAGATCGTTCCGACTGTGTGGAACTCGGCGCTGACATGAGTCCTTCAGGCTCTCAATATCGCAGCGACATCACTGAACCAGGTCGTCGTCAATAACGGCCTCGGGCGCCACATCATGGACCCGACGGTCTTTCCGAATCTCAGAACATACAGCTATCATCTTTGGATCACACAAATCGTCAGTGAGTTTAGACCTACACGCTGTCGCCTTTTCATTGCTGACGGATGACGTCCAGACATCATTGCCGTTGCCTTTTTAAAATGGTCCATTTGCGCATGGCTGCTCGTTCTGAACTTCTCCAGACTGTATCAAGTTATTGTTTGGCTCTCGATCTTGATGGTCACCGCCTTTAACTTCCTTGCACCAGTCTTGACGCTATTCGGATGCACACCCCTGGAACGAAACTGGAACTTTGGGTTTACCGGGGAGAGCCATTGCTGGGCAAAGGGCACACTTGCACTATCCTATACCCAAGGTATCAGCAACATCATCACCGACGTGGTGTACATGGCTGCGCCTCTGATCTATCTTTCGCGCGTCCAGTTGAATAGTCGAACTCAATTGGGTATTCGGATCGTCTTCCTGCTGAGTATCCCGTAAGTTAAAACTTCACAGTCCATGTAAGTGAGCCGCCACTGACGTCTCTTAGTGCCACGATATGCTCAATCTTCAAAACCATCGAGCTCAAAGCCATCACCAAGACGCAAGACCCAACGTGGGACGGTGTAAACCTCACCATCTGGTCCAGCTCCGAACTCTCCATCGGCATCCTCATCGCGTCACTCCCTCCGCTCCGCAAAGCATTCGATCACCTTTTCAAGAAGTTCCTTCCCTCGACATTGACAGGCTCAGGGAAAACACCGCACTACGGTTATGGGAACTCTAGCGCCGCACAAGGAAATAGCATTCATATGAAGAACTTCCAAGGCAGTAAAGCCTACCACTCCAGGCTACCCGGCGAAAGCATCCTTGACGGCGATGACGAGAGCGATCGTGCCATTCTTGACGACGATCAAAAAGGCTCTGGTATCATGAAGAGCACTGACGTACAAGTCACTGTCACCAATGATGTCGGAGAGGTAGGAAGTAGTTCCAACTCCAAGAGCGGCGGGAGCCCCAAGATGTATAACCCTGAAATTGACTGGGCAAGTCCACACTTAGAGAATGGGGAAGGACCGCGACGGTCTCGGTAATGGGAATATCTTTAACGGCCGAAAATCAGGATTTCGTTTGCATCTTTAGTCTAGGCCAGTGTGGAGGAGGCTGAGCCGCTCGATAGTTGGATACCCAAGTGCTTTTTATTCACATGAAATGACTGTAATATGTGAGCAATTAGCTCATGATGCCGCGAAGAAATGTATCTGTTTTAACACCAAGTGTCTTTACCATATGTTGTCGCTTTTGGTGTGATATAGTCTCACAATGAGATAGTGTCAAAATTAGAGGGTGCTTTGCAAATGGACTTGAGAATCATATGCTATTCGTACCAAGTATCGAAAGGACAACACGGCCATTGTAAAAAGACAGTGCTAGTGCCGTTCGCGTATATCAACAGCTAGCGCCACATTTTTGAGGTTCGGCATGCGCAAGTGATTATATCGCGGAAATCAAGGCCAGTCGTGCTATGCACCGATCGTGAAATTCCCTCTCGCTTCGATTGGTCATGTTCTTGTGGGGGAGTGCCGCATACGCCGCCAACTATGCAAGTACACTGTGTGAGCTGCTAAACCGAGCAAACATGTACCCCAAGCCGAGTTGTACCAACGAACCGGGTCCGTGTTCACTTCACGCGTAGAACGATAACAGAATTAACGACTTGAGTCCACGGGTGTACTTCGGCGAGGATCTCGACACCGATGGATTGGAGGTCTTCGGACAGCTCCAGTATCTGTATTTTCATTAGTAACTACTTCCTAACACGACTGCACTGGAATTTGGTGCGAACATACCGGATACAACACACTTCGCATCCCCTGCGCGCTTCTCGCCACCACCAATGTACCTGGCACTAGCTTCTTCACCATGCTTCTGAGTATGTTGAGCTTCGTGTAGGTATCTGTACCAACAAGCGCAGCAAGGAAGATGACTTGGCACGATTGCCATTCGGCGTTTGATGAATCCTCGGTAATATCTTCACAAGCGAAACTCATGCGCTTGCCATAGCCTAACCGCTTACATAACGATTCGCTAACTTGAAGCGCGGAAGCATCGCGATCCACATTGTGCACTTGAGCGGTGGGGTAGCGGTCCAGGAAACAGAGGGAGGTAAGGGGTAATGGACCGGAGCCGATGAAAGCGATTCTGGTCGGCGGCCTGGGGAGGAAGGCTTCTATGGTCGAACATTCCAAGCGGGAGAGATCGACGTAATTTTGGTGGTAAGGGAAAGATGTTAGAACATCCTCAGGTGTTGAGGTTGTACCTAGAGAAGATTAGACTTGTAGTTGAGTGTGATGCGTGATTGCGCTGCACCTACTGCTGATATCGTTGAGCATGCGGCTTGCCCAGAACTTCTCCAACTCTCCTTCGGCTTCTGAACATAGCGGCCGTAAATTGGAGCAAACGCTCTCTACGGCGGGTATACGGAAAAAGTATGATGTGAATTCGGCGCTGTAAGGTACGACGCAGAGGTTTACGAGTCGTGTGAGGAGAGAGTTGACTTGCTCCGATGGCGCTAATGATGATAGTTCGTTGAGTACCGTGTATATGCTTCTGATCTCGGAAACTAGCTGATGCGCAGCCGTACTGATTGCGTTCGGTGTGATTGGGGGTGTGACTGTGAGGGAATCGACAGGGGTGGTTGATTTGGACAGTTCCGCAATCGGCTTACGCTCTTTGGTCGTCATGTTGGAGCACAAGTATATGTAATTCTCTTTGTTTCCGTTGTCAGGTAGTAATGCTGTATTTGAGTGTGTGGTCAAGATGCAAACTATCAGTTTAGCAAAGTTTTATACGCTACTGTGAGTGTCAGCTGTGACCGGGAGAAGAATCAACACAAGCGTGCATGTGTAGACTAGGAAAACTCTTTTCGCATTTGCCATGTGTCAAACGCATTGAGCGGTAATGGCGTCTGTCTGGTTGGCTGAGTACCCTGATGGTCGTGTGGGATAGTAAGTTGTGCTAGGGATGGCCCGACATACAAGCGGGATCTACGCTCAATGTAGTACAAACGTGTGGGTTTGAATGCATGTTGGGCATAAAGAGTCGAAGGCAAACCTATAGACGTTACTCAAATAGCAGGGACACATTATGACCCGCAGCCTCAAGCCCTGGCATTAGTATGCAGATCAATGGTCCCTCTCTTGCGGGCACCCTGCCACTCGAATTTTCTCGAAAACCTTTGATTGACGGCCGCCCTAGCCGTTCAGTCGAGTGTGCTGCATCAATGGCCTGCCGAGCTGATGTCAGGCGTTGGCCGGTGGAGGGAGATCTCGCCGCTCAACCTCTTTACCGAACAAGATCTTCACGGCCGGGCCGTCAATAGACTCGCTTGCCGCCCACCCACGTCTCTCTCACTGTCACCTTCCTCAATGCTTCTGGGTCCAGCGATTCCAGTTGTTCGTCAAGAACAACCCAGTCAGCATACGCCCCCGCTTCGATGACACCAGCTTTGCCTTCTAAGAAGCCACCATACGCAGCGTTCACCGTAAAACCCTCTAAAGCCTGTTCGAAAGTGAGGCTCTCTTCGGGATACCAGCCAGCCTTGCCACCGCTAGGGTCTAGTCCTGTACGTGGACTTCGTCGCGTGATTGCCGCATACATTCCCTCGAAGATACTCGCTGGTTCGACTGGGAAGTCGCTTCCGAGGACTGGGCGAAGTGGTAAGAGTGACCGCATTCGGTACGCCTCATCTTTTGTTCGTTGCTGGCCCAGCCTACTCTCCGCATAACCCATGTCCGAGGTCGCGTGCGTGGGCTGTATTGACGCAATGATACCAAGTTCTGACATCCGACGCTGGTCATCTGGATGAATAATCTGGGCGTGCTCAATGCGGAAACGACGTTTAGCTTGACAGTCGCGGAGGTTAGCGTGGGGGCACAAGCGTTTCAACGCCGCTTCAAACGCGTCAACCGCAAGCCTGTTAGCAAGATCTCCAATAGCATGAATATTAACTTGGTACCCTGCCTTTACGGCCCAATCATATGTCACACGTGACAGCGTAGTTGCGTTGACAAGTAAAGAGCCAGAGGACTCCGGTTTGTCGCTGTACGGCTCGATCAAAGCTGAGCCCCAGGAGCCCAAAGCTCCATCTGCACATTGTAAGTAACTTGTTGAGAGTGGGCCGTGTGTACAAACCTCCGAAAAGCTTGACGCTCTTCACATGAAATCGGCCATTCGGAGTCGAAACTTTCCTGACCGCCTCGGGACAAAACGTGTTCCGAACATCGCATTCGATCATCGCATTGACCCTTACAGTCCAGTCCTGGTCGTTCGCGAGTTCTTCGTATAGCTCCAAATCTGCTGGCACTACGCCGGCATCGTGCATCCCAACAATACCATGTTTGTTCAACTCTGCCATCGCAGTCTTAATGAACTCGGTTTTACGCGCTTTGGTAGGCTTGGGGTAATATTGCAGGACGATATCCATGGCATTGTCGCAGAAGACACCCTTTGCCGGCACTTCGCCTCCGGGAGGTATACTGAATGACGGAAGAAGATCAAGCACCCTTTCAGATACCCCTAAAGACGGAATCACTGGGTCAGATTAACCTCATACTCGATCCCTGGGGCTGACTCACAGATGCAATGAACATCAACCTGCGCGAAGTCAGTATATATGTCGCCCTCACTTCGTACCGAGAACTAACACGATCAAGCATAATATAAAGATCCTTGAACCTCTCGTCTATCTCCAAATCTGCCTAGAGGAAGTGTCAGTATCAGCATGGTCACTACAGCGCGTCCACGTTCATCAGGTCCAACGTACTGCAGTTGGCCACCTCCCTTCAAAATGAGCTTGGTCCCAACCGACGCCTCGTAGCCACTGCTCACTAGTTCCTTTTTCTGGACGGACGATCTTGTACTCCAATAGTCTGCTCTTGATCTCGTCCATTGACTCAGCGCCAAAGAGGCTCACTGAATCTAGAGATTCTCCAAATTGGATCAAGTGACCGTGTCCATCCCAAAAACCAGGATACGCGTACCCTGTGCGTGATTCCTTCACCGCATCATTGGCTGCATTGTCTACGAAGACACTGGAGAATTTGCCGTCGTGGATAGTAAAGCACTCGGCGTGCGGGAACTCCGACGATAGCGTTCTGACAGACTTGTAGCAGTGTGTGGGTACGAACAGATTTGGAAGCAACGTGGATGGTACGTATTCGCTGATGAAAGCCGGTAGACCGAGCTGATAGATCAGAGCAGCTAGAATCACAGGCAGCGACACCGAAAGAAAAGCGGAAAGGGGAGACATCATGCCCTTTCAATTCACGAGGGCAATGTTGGGGGTTGGTGTCACGAAGATCACTGGCAAAGGAAATTTGGCAATCGATAAGCGAGCGCCGATGACGCGACCGAAGGGAAACGACATCGCGGCCTGGCGCGTTTGGGAACGCAAAGTAAGTCGCGTTACGTCGCGTCGTCTTCGAGATGCGCAGACGCTCACCTGGGTAGGAAGACCGCAGTGTGACTACACTGAAAAGTCTAGAAGTCAGCCGTGGTATGGTCACGTGATTTTGACGGTGTCTTCGGTCGCGCCGGCTCTGCTGCCCGCTCCCGAGATCCTCAACAAAGCGGCAGAGCTACCCGAAGTGCCTCTGCCTGCGACACAGAATCATCTTTACTTTGTTAAAGATAGCCCTCGTGCTCGACTGCTCGATCTGAACTGGCTCGCGTCATGAGTATGTCCAATTGGAAAAGGGCGGTGAGCGAGCCTAAGCAGGCGTGTTGCATATTTTCCTCACAACTCCTTCATACGACCGGTGTACATTTACGCATTAGGCCAATGGCCCCTCTTCTGATCGCGGCTCTGGACCCAGCTCCACCCTAGCTCCACCTTGGCATAGATGAAGATTGGATGGGAAACTCGAATGCTGAATTGAAAGGCTGGGCGTCCTGCAGCGCTAGTGTGGGGGCCGGATCCTAACAATCCTACCCGACATAAGCAGAACCTACTGTAAAGTTCGGTTTCGAGGATAGCTTTTGCATGTCGGGTCGCACGGCTTTGAACACGACAGATGGCAACGACTGAGGTTGACGACCTTCGGAAGCAGCTAGAGTCGCTCCAGCGCTCCCATGAGGCGTTACTGAAAAGCTTATCGGCAACGAACGACACCTTCAAACCATCCGACGCCTCACAACTCCGCCGCACATCTACACGACATGGAGGCGATGCTATCTTCGCTGATACCTCGACGCTATCTGACGACAGCAGCGATGAAGAAGACGACTATTTCGTCCAAAACGAGTTACCCTCTCATTCGTACAATCACGAACATTTACGCGAGCATCTGAGGACACATGACTGGACTGAACATGGCAGAGAGATTCTGGCATCGATCATCTCTGATCCCGCGAAGCTCACCAAACAACCTCATCTCTTTCACATGGGACCCGGGCCAGCAGATGATCGGAGCCATTATTCGCACTTCCAAGTGTATAATGTCGGAACTAACGGTTTGCCTGAGCTGATTGAAGTGACTGGTCCAGAAAACAACATGAGCCGGGCAACCGAAATTTGGCATGCACTGAGAGACGTTGGCAAGCAGCCAGACCAGACGGTGGTTGGACGTATCACCATTGCGCGAGAACCTTCACCAATCTTATTTGGTGCACTTCATCTGACGCTCAATGATGCTTTTGACATGGACGAACTATTCCGGCATCTAGTCGAAACAGAGGCTTCTTCTGCGCATATGTTCCGAGCCTTCAATCAGAACCCTAAACACCAAAGGACCTTTTTCTTCAATTTCGAATACTATACCATCGTCGGAGATGACTGTCAGCCCATGCAATGGCAGCGTGCGGATAAGATGACGAGCCAATCCGATCATCATATACCACTCTCGCGGTGCAGTGCTGTCGTTGCGCTCGTCCTTTATGACGACAAACCACGCCGCATTCGTAACAGAGGAAGACGTGCGAAGACGCAATTTGGATGGGTACATGATGTCTGGTCGCCGTGGCAAGTCCTGCAGTTGGAGAGTTTCCCAGACTGGAAGTCGACACCAGTAAATGGCACTCCATATACCTTCGAAACTGGCCACAAGTACCTTAATGGCGCGGAGGCATTCCTTCATGCTTTGCTGACGGAATATCGGGATGCGAGGAAGCGATTCGACGAAATTTACAAGCGCATCACCGACCTCGTCACACCACCGCTGGGCTTCCTCTTCAGCGAGGAATTACGCCGAGCCCGACTGTTCGAGGACAAAGACTTCACCTGGATCCGCAGATATTTCTACGCGCATCAAACCTTGGGCAATGTCAACAACAGCATCAAATCCATGATCGACGCTTTTGAGGACTGTTTCACCGACGATATCTGGGAAGGCCAAAACAAGACGCTCTGGCCGCTTTTTGAAGAGTCGCCGCGCAACGATCATTGGAAGCGCCGTCTGCGCTCGTTGAGGCTACAATTCGAACGAGAAATGAAAGAGCTCAGGACGATCATCGCGGAAAACAATGAAAGACGCCATGAGATTGAAACGTTGCAGGAGCAGTTGTTCTCTGGTACCAGCATCCAAGAATCAAGAAAGTCCGTGGAGCTGGCAGATGTCACCGTGCATCAGGGGTACAACATCAAAGTCTTGACTATCGTCAATCTCTTCTTCATGGTAAGTGAATACAAGCAATCTCACGACATCACCTCAAACAAACAACTAACCGATCAACAGCCTCTCACGTTCGTGACTTCCATTTTCGGCATGACAAACATGCCCGAAAGCCCTGCAAACTTCACCCCATTCGCCATTGTCCTAGTAACAATCTGCATTCCCATCTTCAGCATCATCGGCTTCCTCTCAACGAAATACGGCTACAGCATCTGGGCCCAGAAGACAAAGGAATTTTGGCGATGGCTACGATCAGGGACGCAGTCAAAGATTCCGAACGACACGGATTTGGAGCCCCCAAAGCACGTGAACAGGACCATGTCGACGGAAGAGGGCATGCGGTTACGGCTGAGAGGCGGAGAGAATATGCCTATGGGGGTTGGGGTGGGCATGGGCAGGAGACGATCGAGTCAGAGACCTGCGCCGTCGCATCCGCATATTCAGCGCATGGTGCAGAGAATGGGAGAGGGGAGGGAAAGTGGACTGACACGGTTGGGGACGGTTGTAGCCGATGATGGGCGCTCAGACCAAGGGCCGGAGAAGAACGGGGGCATGGGAAAAGATGCAGTCATTGATATCAAAGAGCCTTAATACTGTTCCTCATCAGATATATTGACGGCGCGTAAGCACACACTACATATCAAAAGCACTCAACCCATCCAAATCGCTCGGCCCATTCCATTCCTTGGGCAAACTCCATTCATTTCCATCTCCCAGTGGCATGAAATCCAAATTCACTCCATCAACCGCGCCACCGCTGACACCACTGCTACCACCCGTACCAAGATCATCAAATGCGCTCAACTCGGGGAAATGCGCATTAGCAAGTTGCGAAATCGGATCATGAGGATCGAAGTCTGCGCCCATCCAGGCCCCGGAGTTACGGTTCATGTGGGAAGAGGAAAGGGTGGTAGAGGGCGTAGACATGTTGTGAGAGAGCTCAGGAGGTTCCGATATGCTGGGCCAGCCGACACTGCCGAGTTCCGAACGCGGCGTCACCAATACATATCCATCGTTGTTTTGAACTGGGTCGTCGAAGCGAGGTGGCGGGGGAGCTTTGATGCTGAGCCCATGTCTCCCTTGATCAGACGGCATACTCATGGTGGTACTCATACTCATTGTTCGCGTCTTCCTGTTCCCGCCTGTACCTGCTCTAGGTCTTCCGCGGCTAGTCTGCCTTTTCTTGGCCCATTGCTGGTTGTCGTTCATGTCGGCGTCCATGTCTATCGTGCTACCTCTTCGCGCGGGTACCGTGGAGGATGCGGGCTTGTACAGGTTGAACGAAGAGTTGGGGGGTTCGGGGCCGCCGCGTAGCTCCACCATTACCGCACGGAGTACGGTAGACATTCGTTCTGCGGGCTGGTAGGTAGATGCCATGTCCGAGAGAGCGGCGGACAGACATTCGAGGTACTGCATATTGTTGGCTCTGGATGTGGGGTCTTTTATGAACGCCAAGGCCGCTACAAGGGCGGTCGCCGCTGTGCCCTACGGAAGCTTGTCAGTAGGAAAGATGGACGGTTTTAGTTGCTACATACCGCATGTTGCATTCCTGTTACGAAAATTTGCTTCGTATCGAATCGCTGTCGATGTTGCCAGTATATCCTCGCTACGCGAATGGCGTGCTTGGTGCATACCGTCCTACTCAACGCGGAGAAATGGTCGTCAGGTCCACTCTCGTTGCCTGCTTGGTCTTCATACAATGCGAAGGGCCGATGTAGCAGGATTAGACTGGCGTGATACTGCTGGTGCAACAGGAAGAACGAAAATGGAGCCGTCGCAATATTGGCTGGTGTCCAGCGCAATTGCTCGGGCAATCTGGCATACCAGCTACTGAACTCGCGGTCTAGCGCTGCCATGCGCATATATTGATTCCGATCCACGGCGGTGTGAGAGTCGGGTGCAGCGTTCTGCGAGCGGTGCGGATCCATATTTTCTGTGATCTTACCAGCGAGCTCCATGAGATCGAGAAGCGCTTCGTAGATCATAGTCTCCATGCTCTTGCCCAGCCCAGCCGGACGGCAGGTACCAAGGCGTTCAAATTGCTTTGTCAGGTTGTATATTTCAAGGTCAGAAGGTTTCATCGATGTCGGACGGCCTAAGAAAAGTGCCCAGTATTTGTCGTAGATTACGCATGCCCAAAGAGTCATTTGGCGGATCTCGACCTCGCGTTCTGGAAGACCTGAGAGTCGTGTATCGAGATGGAGACTATGTAAGCGTTAGTACACCACCTAACCATCTTCCAGTAGTACATACCCGATATCGAAAGCAAGTCGCACAGCCATTCCGCCGTACATCCAGCCCAGGTTATCTCTACCAACGCCGCACTCGAGGTCGCCTAGCAGGAGTAATGCGACTACGCTGGGTATTCCGCCTGGCCGTTCCAGCTCATGGTCAAGCATGTACTTTGCTTCGCGATGCAACGTGCTCTCCATGCCCGGCAAGCCGATTCTTCTGATGTCGAGTCTTTCTTTATTCGCAAAACGGTAGCCCATAGCCAGAACGCAAACATGCAAGAACCCAGAGTAGAACTGTGTGTGACCCATCTCGCGGTCTTCATTGAAAGCATCCTGATGTAAAACATGGATGACGGGATTGTAACATTGCCAGAACAGATCCATGAGGTAATCGTATGTCTCCAGTGGAAGCGAGCGTATGATCTTGTCGGCGCGTCGAGCTTGCTCATTCATCTCTTGTGTTGTGCCGAAGGGGTTCACCGACTCAGAGTGTACGTGGCAGTTTGTTGTTGGACCAAAGTAACGGAGGCGGCCGTTTAGCTGATCAAAGCTGAGATGACCACGAGTAGAGAGGAGACGATTGACCATGCCATCTTTCTTTGGAGGTGGTAGCATAGATGGCGAGCCGGCGCTTTCTGCATCACCATTTGAGAAGCGAGGGCTGTCCGTGTTCATCTCATGCTGCTCGTAATCAGGATAGTCGTCTTGGGGACTTGGTTGACTGCCTGGACTGGAGTTGTTTTCGTGGTTGTTCGCTTGGTTTTCGCCTGCTTTCCGGTTGGGCGATGTTCCTTCTTCGTCGGGTTGAGGGTTATGACGGGTCTTGGGAGGATGATTCGCTGGGGGTAACTCTTCGCCTCGTTCCTTCAGCATCGTTTCCAGTAGTGCTACACGGTCAGTGAGAGAGCACATGTATGCCCTCGAAATAGGTCTGTAGAGACGTCAGCCTGGTATGAGTTCGTAGAGACGTATTACGAACCGTCGTCGTTCGTCGTCGTTCTTGATGACGCATTCCACACCTGACCGTTTACACTGTGTACACTCTTTTTCACCGGGAGGTACTACACACTGCAAAGTCGTCAGAAGGTATCGTGTAAGCAGCTAGAGCAGACATACCCGTATCCGGCGGTCTCGGCAGGATGCGCAAGCGACTGACGCCCTATGTCGAGGTTTTGATGACTTCCCTTTCGAAGAACCCTTCTCCGATGTACTCTGCTCCTGCTTGTTGCCGGCTTTGGGAGCCGGTTCCGGTGAGCGCTGTTCGCTCATGTTATTATCAGCTGCTGCTGATCTTTCGCTGGCCATCGATGGTGCCGCTTCTGGTATGAACGTAGGATGTGGTCTTGCGGATAGACGTCGGCAGGGAATCACACTAGTATGTCGTAAAGCGTTGTGGATGTTGCGGGGAGAGGAGTCGCACACCGGACAGCGAAGATGACTCTCAAGCCTAAACTCCGAGTCCCACGAGTATGAAGTGACCCAGGCCTAATCTAGCCCTAAACGTCAACCGCTAGATTTTGGAGAGGTTTAGGCCTTCAACTCGTGGATGTGGGGCCCCGCAGTTTCACTGCACTGGGCGCCCTCCAAGCTATGCGACCACGTTGGCAGCTGGCAAGCTTCTTCGTAAACCTAGCAAGCAACTGACATGTACCTAGTAATGCCGTCGGCTCGACATGCTCGGAACGAGCTGCGTATCGGATCCGACGAATCAAGACCCCAGAAGAGCGCGTGCTTGCAGAATCGAGAACACCGTGCTCGAGGCCAAACCTACGGCATGGCTTAATTTCCCTCTCCACACACTCGTTAACCGGCATTGAGCCGATCTTTGCGGAGAAGCCTACAGTTGACGTAGGAGTGCATTGCGGATCGCTTGGTTGGAGGAACAAGTCACTCTGTCGCTTCGAGGCCATCGTCACATGAACCTATGGCGTCAGTAGTTCGCATCTGAGCTGAGTCTGGGGCTGCTCTGCATCCATCCAAAGTCCAATTGCAAGCCATAGCGCAGCGTGGCGTAGTACCTATGCGACGGTAGTCGGGAAATCGCGACTCATTTTAGTGCAGAGTGAGACTTCAATCCGGGGTACATGAGTCGGAAGACGTCGAGATGAGCGGGGTCAAGGCTTGCGATTGGGGTGGCGGAGTCTCGGAGCTTGTAACCATCGTGATGTTTGCTTCTTGGCGGTCTTATTGGGGCTAGGAAGCGAGCATCCGAAGCATGCATCCATGGACGCAATCAGGCTAGCCATAGTCACTATAGTTTGACACGCACACCAGGCTCCTAGCGAACGTCGACAGGAGCCGTGCGCGATTGAGGGGTCTCGACGGCCGTGTGAGTTGCAAACCACCAATATTGACTTTCTTCTAAATCATTCGGGGTTGCCGAAGCGATGGGCACGTATGCTATGCGCAACGCAATTGAACCAAAGAGTAGCAGTTTGTCAAAGAACTAAATTGTGAACCCTGACGGGCCCTAACGGGAAACGCCCAGCACGCTTGGATGCCAATGGAAAGAAAACAACCCGAAATCCGGGCCCAGATGCAGTACCAATAAGCGACGGTACGCCTGATCCATCGACAGACGTCAGCTCAGCCGCCTTTAGTCAACGTCCCATTCGTGGTCCCAGTTACGAATATAGGGGCTCAAGCCATGCAGATCCTTCATTGCCGTCGCCTTCACATCGCCATTGCCTAAGAAAGCAAACCGGTTCTTATATCTGTACACATAGTCGTAGTCCTCCCACCGCGGTGTCTTGATGGTTTTGAGGAAGTGTATCGTCTGCATTGAATGAGTCAGTCACGAAAAGCCTTGTGCGGGGTTGATAGGAGATGCGCGCACAGAGGTCGGGTATGTGCGACACCAACAGCGATTGGGACAGGGATATATAGAAGGAAGCGCAACATAAAAGCTGAAGGGTACTTACGGCACCAGGCCAGAGATAGATCCTATTCTTGATCTGCCCGTTCTTGAACCAACTCCGGCACTCCTCTTGCCATACTGTCGTCTTGTGGAACTCATCAAAATGCGCGTAGATTTCATCGAGGGCGTCCTGCTTTACGCTCATAGCCTTGATGCCTTCGCTCTGCATCTTCTTCATGCACTTGATGCTATACTCTACGGTTGTCTCAATCGACGGTAAGAGCGTACCGTTACTCCACGTCGCGCCGGGTCCAACTATAGTGTAGAAGTTCGGGAATCGAGGAGCGGATACACCCATGTAGAGGTTAGGACCGGTGGTCCAGTCTTCTTTGATGGATACGTTGGAGCCGTTGCGAACCGTGAAGGCGGGCTGGAATGCGACTTGGAAGCCGGTAGCGCAGACAATGGCGTCGAGTTTGTGGATCTTGCCGTCCTTGGTCTTGATACCTTCCGGAACTACTCGTTCGATGCCGTCGAAGACTGGAGTCACGTTATCTTGCACTAAAGCCTCGAGAAAGCCGTCACCAGGCGAGATGCGCCGGCAGCCAACGGACCACTTTGGGATTATGAACTCTTTCAGCTTCTCATGACCAGGTCCCATGCGGCGGTGCATCTCTTTGGTGATAACATCCTTGAACTGGTTCTGGAGTTCTGAGTTCTGCTGGTACATTCCAAACAAGCTGTTGATCTCTGCTTCGATCTTCTTGCGGAACTCCAAGTGATACTCTGGGTCTTCCTTGAATTTCTGGATGTCGGCTTCGGTGAAAGTGTACTGCCGTTGTCCAGGGTCTACGTCTTGTCCCTTCTGCAGGTCGTCGTTCAGTGCGCCGGCGCCGAAAGGAGGCGATATCCATGTCGGACTCCGCATGTATACCTCCAGCCCCTTGACGACTTTCTGAAGTGATGGTACGATTTGGACGCTGGTCGAACCAACACCGATGACGGCAGCATTGATGTTTGTGAAGTCGACGCTGTGATCCCAGCAGGCGGAGTGGAGGACTGGACCCTTGAAGTCGTGAAGACCCTCAATGTCTGGCCATTTCCAGTTGTTGAGAATACCTGTTGTTTGTCAGACCCATGAATGCTACGCCGCTATAGCAACTCACCTGAACCGTTCACCAATACGTGCGCCCAATCTTTCCTCATCGAGCCCGTCTTGGGATTCCTAATGGTAAGACTGTAGCAGCCATCCTCGTCGTTCCAGTTGGCTTGCTCGATCCTGCTGTTCAGCTGCATGTACTTCTTACTTCCATGTCTCTCGGCAAAGTTCTCGAAATACCCCTGAATTTCCTTCCCTGATGCGAAGAAAGTCGACCAGTCGGGTTTCGGGTCCCAGGTGAAGTTGTAGTCATGCGATGGAATGTCGCATGCGACGCCGGGATAGGTATTCTCGTACCAAGTTCCGCCAAACTGAGCGTTCTTCTCGAACAGCGTCAACTCCCATGATCCAGGCTCCAGCATCTTCTCCATCTTGTAGGCTAGACAGAGCCCTGATGCACCCGCTCCAACACATGCCACTCGCAGCTTGGCTGGCTTGGAATGGTACTGATCGAGAATTCTGTAGGGTCCATCAACGTGCGACGGTGGGTAGTCGTAGTTGTGACCATAGCCATTGACGTTCAGTCCGTTTGGCATCTCCGAGCCCCCCATCGTCGCGATTGCTCAGACTGATGGGTAGTACTGAGAAGGAGTTACAGGTGTGTGATCACAGAGAGAAGTCGAAAAGTAAAAAGGACGCAATGTGAAGAGTGTGCTGAGATGCAGCCTTGGAATCAATGAATAGTGGTTTGGAGATGCTTCACCATCAACATAAAGAAGGTAGCCAGGCAGCCTGACCACTATGTCGGGGCGAGCCAACATCTCTGGAGTGTTTAACCGCGCCTCGGATGTCTTCACACATCACGCTGTACACCTCCTCGCACGCCGGTTGGTGCATGGCATACGGCATAGATTAGGCCGTTTTTCGCAGGCGCTGCGATCGGTACGAGAACGCGTCTGGGTTCGCGCACTGTCTTGCTGCATTAGCCAGGCCGAGATGCATGACTACAGTGATACTAGTGCCGGCATGATGGTTGTCAAGGGTGTGCATCTGCTGAGGGGTTGCGGATGTACTTACGCGGGGTCGTCCAGGTGCGATCCAGCATGAACTCAAAGCTGGCAAGGTCACGCTTGCCTACTTTGGGATGAGTGGGGAAGGCGGGGGTAGTCGGCAAGAGCGACATGTCATGAAAGCTGAGTCTAGTGAAGAGCATTGATTCAAGCAAGACCTAGTGCTCACGCGTGATCTCATGACCAGGCGTTGGGTCTTGTCATGTTCACGCACGTCTGGTTTTGATGATCCTATTGCGATTACTGTGAGAGTGATTGTGGGTGAGTGCAGGATGCATCATGTTCGGATAGGAGATGGTCGAGGGTATGCTGTCACTGATATTGCCCGCAAATAAAAACTTTAGTACGGTACTGTCTAGAGCCTAGCCTTGCCCATCTTCTCGGCGTCCCTCTTCGCCCATTCCTTGACGACCTTCCTCATGATCTTCCCAGACTGCAGCTTCGGCACCTCATCCACGAACACAATGCCCCCCACAAGCTGCTTGTGCTTTGCAACCTTGATCTTCATGTGCCTGTGAATGTCCTCTGCGGTTATCTTGCCCTTGTGTTCGTCCTTGAGCGTAACGTATGCACGTGGCCATTCCTGGCCATCAAGCGTAATACCAACGGCAGCCGCATCGGCGATTGGGTCGAATTCGAGGAGCACGGCTTCAAGTTCGGCAGGTGCAACTTGTAAAGCGTTGACTTTTATCAGTTCCTGGGTAGTGTTAGCACTTGCTCCGATGGCGAATATTGATAGGTGAAAGTAACTTGCCTTCTTTCGATCGACTATCCAAAACCACCCATTCTTCACAATAGCAACGTCTCCAGACTTGAGCCATCCATCTGGTGAGATAGACTCCTTGGTCGCGTCTGGATTGCGCCAGTAGCCAAGACATATGTTGGGACCACGAACATGAAGCTCGCCAGGCTGTCCTTCAGGGACTTCGTTGCCGTCATCATCGAGAAGCATGCATTCGCAATTAGGGTCTAGCTGACCTACGCTACCGGAGCTGTGGTTGATTAGCAGCGAACGTTGAGATAGCGAGGGCCGAACTTACTCATCTACAGTACCTCCTGGTACGTGTATGGCTCCACAAGTAACCTCCGTCATACCCCAGCCTTGGACGATCTCGCATTGTAGCTTCTTGCTAATCTCATTCTGGAGTTCCTTCGATAGTGGTGCAGCACCACATAGGATATCAGTGACGCTACCAAGGTCATACTTTGCCGTCTCCGGCCTCTTGCTGAGCATGACCATGATTGGTGGCGCGACTTGCAGATGTGTGACTTTGTGAGTTTGAATCACCCGCAGAAACTCCTCATACTCAAACTTCTTCATGATGTAGCAAGGTATCTGCAGCTTCTGTGCCATGGCTATGGTGTAGAGTTGCCCGTAAGCGTGATATAGGGGAAGGAATCCAATCCATGTTTCCCGAGGCCGGGTACCTGCGTTCCATGGCTTATTGAGATATCTTATGAAGATGGTTTGTTCGAGGTTCGCAATCAGATTGTAGTGGCTCACTTCAACACCCTTGGGTAGGCCCGTGGTACCGGAGGAGTAGTTTACTGTCGCTGTTGTGGTGGTTGCTTCGTGCTCTGAAAGCTTCGGGAAATTGTATGTCTTGCTTTCAGCCGGGGATGGTAACACGTCTCTCCAATCTTTGCAGCCTTCGACCGGTGCGCAAGGCTCGTCTGAGAAAAGAAAGACGCGACCTTCTGGGAGACCTGCGCCTTTTGCTGCTGCTACGGCTGCTTTGATGAGGGTTGGATGCGCGAGAATGAACTTTGCCTCTGTATTCTTGACTTGGTGTATCATCTCTGGAAGCTGTCAGTACCTTCCCTGCCGTGCTTGCATGACACTTACCAGAGACGGTGTATGCTGGGTTTGCACCGCTGAAGATCCGCTTCGACCCCACAATTCCAAGGTAGGCTACGGGAACGAAGATGTGGTTTGGTGTGAAGATCATGACCACCTCGCCTGGTTTACTCCCAATACGATCCAGACCCAAAGCCAGTCGTTTCGACCATTGCAGCAGCGACCGTGGTGTCAGGTGCTGGTCGGTAACTTTAGAGTCGATCCAAATTGGTGTGTCCGAAGGCGCTACTTCCTGGGGAAACAGGTAATCGAGCAGATTACATTTTGGAATGTCAAGTACGGGGAATGGCGAAGAGAAGGGCATTGTGATGGTGGAAGGGGACGAGGATGGCAAGCTCAATCAGGGTAGATGGGAAAAGCGATACGACAACAAACGCTCCGAAGCCACACAGCGAAGAAGTCAGATGAATTCATGATGAGAGAATGGCTTATAGTGAGGATTAATCATGGCGAGGCGTTGATGCTGCAGCCGGCAGACGAGGTATCCGCGGGGGTGCACAGACGCGTCCGCTCCTCCCGAGGATATCGAACTCCACACACCGAGCTCCCAAGGCGCGTATGTACCCCAGACAGTTCATCAACATGGCGCATTGTGGGATTGTTCCTCGCTTGCTATCGTACTGTTTCTTCCTTGACATCAGGGATTGACCACCATGTCTGAACTAAAAGACTTCAACCGCATGTTCAGCCTCGACGGCAAGGTCGCGCTCGTCACTGGAGGTAAGCATCACTACTGCAACCAACATGAACGCGTCTTAATCGATTTTACTAGGCTCGAGAGGTCTCGGCCTTCATACTGCGACCGCTTTTCTCCTCGCCGGCGCAAAGAAGGTCTTCATCTCTGCGCGTAAGAATGAAGGAGAGCAGGGCATCGACCAAGCTGTCGAAAAGCTCAACAAGCTGCCTGTGTCTGGCACCGCAGTCGGCATCGCTGCCAATGTCGCGGACACAGAAGATATCGAGAGACTAGTCAAGAAGGTGCAGGAGACCGACGACAAGCTGGACATCCTCGTGTGCAACGCGGGAGCTACATGGGGAGGGCCGTTTGATCCGACACCAGACTGGTCGAGCAAGAAAGTGCTCGACCTCAATGTTCGCGGTGTCTTCAACCTGGCGCGACTGTAAGTATACCCGCCGGTAACAGCATGTGCGCTGCTCCTAACACCGACAGCTTCGCACCCCTACTCGAACGCGCCGGTACCCGTCAATCGCCCTCTCGCGTCATCATCGTCTCTTCCACAGCTGGTACGACCGTTCCCCACGTTGGTGAGCACGGCACCATCATGTACAGCATCTCCAAGGCGGCAGCCCACCACCTTTCACGGCAACTCGCTGTCGAGCTCGGGCCCAGGAATATCACAACCAACACTGTCGCCCCTGGCTTCTTCCCCTCGAAACTCGCAAACGGACTGATCGAGATGCTGGGTGGGCAGCAAGAATTGGAGGACAACAATCCGCGAAAGCGACTGGGCGAGCCAGAGGACATCGCAGGCGTGATGGTGTTCCTGTGTAGCCCAGCAGGAGCATACATTAATGGGGAAGACATTGCTGTAGATGGCGGTATGAGACTTGCATCAGGACGTCATTCTAAGCTTTAAATGTATAAGGATTGCCTTCGACATATGCCGTGTAGCTACGTACATCTCAAGCTCCGTTTGTGCCGTCTTTCTTCTTGCCTCCTTCAAATCTACTTAACTGCTTCGCCATGCTAGTGTGCGCCATCATCGCCCGCATGTTCTCATCGCAAAACTCCGGTCCCGCATTGAAGTAGAAACTGTCGCCGTTCACCTCCACCGTCAATCCCCAATGCTTATCCGCAGTCTTCTTCACACCTTTTGCATCCATAATGTCGCCTCCGTCTACCAGTTTCACCACAGTATCGACCACCGTCTCTATAGGTGTGAAATACTCCAAAGGGAAAGACTTCCATTCTTCCTGGCTCAAAAGGCCGGTGTTGACGGTTCCTGGACACGTAGTAAATGTGCGTATCCCCTCGTGGTGGTATGCGACGGTGATGGCACGATTGAACTGTATCACCGCGGCTTTGCCCCCACTGTAGATTGGACAGAACTCTGATGGGTAGAGGCCGCCACAAGACGCCGTCATGACCAACACGGGATCCAAGTTTCCATGCTTTGCCATGGCCTTGCGGAAGTAATGCAGAGCAAGGTATGATGTATCGATTACCGCTTTCAAGTTGATGTCTACGCTTAGTTGATTTGGGGGCGGGGGAGGTGGACCATCTAGGTCATGTTTCGCATAGAAGTTGTCGCGCTCCACAATACCGGCGTTCGCGTATACAAAGTCTAGCCTTTGAGATGGCTTGTAGCTGGCTTCAAATGCGGAGACAAGCGAAGAGTAATCAGTGACATTTGTCTGGTGAAACTGGGTATTCTTCAGCTTGCTAGCCGCTTGTTTGCCGGCTTCGGCGTTCATGTCCAGGAGGTGGAGTTCCCAGTCTTCGTGAGTCCGATTCGAGAGAGCTGTTGCAACAGCTAGGCCCATGCCCGATGCTCCGCCGGTGATCAAAGCGACCTTCTTCGACATCTTGGGAGAAGCGTTCGTGATCAAAGCCCACTTTGGAAGTATTGCGTTTATGAGAAGAGAGTCTGAAGTATGGGACAATTAGGATTTTGATAACAGGTTGACAATACAAATGGCAATAGGAGTCCGATATGCTAATTGTATTGTTGTATAATATAGACTATTGGTGTGACACTATCTAGGTGAGTAGCTCAAGCAGCCGCCTTACGAAAACGCAAACACGTCCCGTGTGTGCCTTCTCCGCATTCTCTTGAGGAAAGCATCTTCCGGGCTGGTACTTTGCAGTGATCGATAAATGACAATACCTTGCGATACCCCAAACAAACCTAGGCGGAACGCTTCGTGATGTTATTGTTGACACCCGGTAGCCACTTCCACTCTTGTGTCAAAGCCGGTCGCGACATGGATCACACTCGCACACACCGTCGCAAAGTCTATCTGCTCATATTCTGGCATGACTCTCATTCCGTATTCTTGTGCCGCCGACATGATTCAAAGCAGTCGTACGCAGCTTCGTCATGGCCATCATACACCATGACGCGGTGCGATGCGGGGAAAGTGGAGATGCTGACTCGACGCGTGCACGCGCCGAAGACACGGAAAACAAACCGCGAGCGCCATCGCCATCATCCGGACACACGGTCTTGCGACACCACGTCGTCGCCAAGCTAATTTCTCCTCATGCAGTGCTACCTATGGCAGCAATGCGTTCGCTCAACCGAGAAGAACCGCCACCAGGCTGCATACCTCCGTAGTTGACACTTACTACTTTAGTTAAGAGGTGAGATTACTTAGCCAGCGCTTCATACTCGTGCGCCATCTCTCGAGTACAAGTGTAATATACCCTTCTTCAACCCTATCTTTTGTGCTTTCTTTGCAACAATCCCCCTCACACATCGCCCATCATGACGCTACAATACTCTGCCAAGAATCTACCAAAGCAAATCTTCATCAACAACGAGTATGTCGACTCAAAATCGCCGAAGAAGCTCACTCTACACAACCCTAAGAACGGCGAGCTGCTCGCAGATGACGTGCCCTTAGCAGGCGAACAAGATGTCGATGCTGCGGTTGATGCAGCGGACAAGGCGTTCCCGGCATGGAAGAAGATGAGCGCGAATCAGCGCCGAGGTATCATGAACAAGTTCGCAGATCTCATCGAGCAGAACGCAGAGGGTATCGCACAGTTGTCAAGAATCTCACTCGGTGCGCCAGCAGCCTTTGGTGCTTTCGAGATTGGGCTTTGCGCAGAGGTGCGTACAGCTTGCAAAGAACCAACCAAGATTGCCTACTAACCCTACTCCAGGTCTTCAGATACAATGCTGGCTTTATCGACAAGTTCGGCGGCGAGTCTTGGCCCCAGGAAGACGGCTTCCTTAAGATCGTCCGTAACGAGCCTCTCGGTGTCACCGCAGGCATTGTACCTTGGAACGGTCCCATCGGCACCATTGGCCTTAAGGCAGCCCCAGCCCTCGCCACAGGAAACTGCTTCATCCTGAAGCCCTCAGAGAAGACTCCCTTCTCATCACTAGCTCTCGGTACGCTCGTCAAAGAAGCCGGTTTCCCACCTGGTGTCTTCCAGATCCTCTCTGGAGACGGAAGCACTGGTGCATTGATCGCGAGCCACATGCGCATCCGCAAGGTGAGCTTCACAGGATCCATCGCAACCGGCAAGAAGATCCAAGAGATGGCCGCAAAGTCGAACCTCAAGCGTGTCACCCTTGAACTAGGAGGAAAGTCACCCGCCGTCGTCTTCGACGACTGCAACCTCGACAACGCAGTTACCTGGACCGCCAACGCCATCACTGCCAACACAGGCCAAGTCTGCTTCGCCGCCAGCCGCGTCTACGTACAAGAAGGTATCTACGAGGCCTTCATCGAGAAGTACAAGCAAGCAATGAAGGACAAGACAAAGGAGATTGGCGACCCAGACGAGACATCAACCAACATTGGGCCCCTGGTCGACGAAGCCCAGTTCAAGCGCGTACAAGGCTTCATCGAGCGCGGTCAACAAGGCCAAGGTACCCTCGCAGTCGGCGGCAAGCGCATCGGCACATCAGGCTACTACCTTGAGCCCACCGTCTTCACAGACGTCGATCCCACTTCTGAGATCCACTGCGAAGAGATCTTCGGTCCCGTCTCCGTCGTCAAGTCCTTCAAGACGGAGGAGGAGATCATGCAGTTGGCGAACAACACAAACTTTGGTCTCATGGCTGGTGTATTCACCCAGGATATCAACAAGGCGTTGCGCGTTGCAAGTGACTTTGACTCGGGTATGGTCGGGGTCAACTGTGTAAGTTTGATGTTTACCATGACACCGTTTGGTGGAAGCAAGGAGAGTGGGTTGGGCAGGGAGTGCGGTGTCTATGCGCTGAGGGCGTTTACGGAACCGAAGACGATTATGATAAACATGAACTATTGAATGGGAAGTTACCAGTTCAGTGTTGGCTGCTGGGATAGTGCTACAACAGGTAGTTCAGATCTTTCATTGCTTTCTCTTTAACTGAGAGCTTGACATAGTACGACAGGCTATGGTAATGCATCCAAGAATTCTAGGTGTTTCATGTTATTGTCGGTGATCGCATGTCATGCCCCATCCAATATCTACGGGATGATCTTGGCATTCCTCATCCTGTCAAAGACAGTTCCCCAAGTCTCCTTCGTACCCCTCTCCTCGGTGAAGCCTGTTGAGTACATCTTGGTCATATCAAAGTGACGATCAAAGTCAAACTTGGTCATGAGCATCGATTCGGCAATCTGAAGTCCACGGCCACCGTCTACGTGGCCATGTTGCAGCCCATACTTCTTCTCCATTGCCAGCCATGTCTCCATGTTGTCGTTGATAAACTTGCGCACATCAACGGGAGCGGCTCCGGGCCCAGTGGCTTTGAGGCCAAAGTAGGAACACAAAATTGGCCATTTCTGCTCCCAGTTCGAAGGTGTCTTGGAGTCGGCGACGTTGTAGGCCTCTCCCTTCTTGGTAGTGGGAGAGAGTGTGAGGTGTATGGTCTGGCGCGCAATCATGTCGCTGCTGCTGTCGTTGCTCAGCGCTTTCCAGACTCCCTGGTTGCCGGGGAATGGACACTCGGCACCCTCGCCATGGATTTCTTTGTAGAGGCTCAGATAGATGCCCATGGATGTACCCAGCGAGTAGAAGTTCTGGTTGGGTACGTAGCCAATTATGAGGTCGGGGCGAGTCTCGATCCAGCTCCATTTCTTGTCTTTCGCGTAATTGGCGATCCAGTCGTTCTGTGCGTGGTAGAAGAGCATCTCGGCGTACGGGCTGGGTATACGAGGGTAAGATTCTTTGAGCGGCGGTGGAGGAAGTTTGGGCCCGGTGGTGCCTGGAGGAGCGACTTCGTCGAACCAGGGAAGCGCAGCGAGGAGGTGGCAGCCATCTAATTGCTGTTAGCCCTGCGGTTTCCGACACTTTGACGAGAATGGGTTAGGACTTACAGATCTTCGAGCCGATTTGCAACACGACGTATTCCAACTTCGAGCAGAGCTTATCCATAGCTGTAACGGCTTTGGAAAACATCTCTACAGCCTCGTCCAACTCCTTTTGTACATCCATACCCGCCTTGTACGCAAAGTAGTATACGTGCGTCACCTCCCCGATGTCTGGTATCTTCTCTACCAGCTCCTTGTTGAGACTTTCTTGGCTATGTGCGAGTAGGTCAATGCCAGAGACCAGATTTAGGCGCGGGTCCTCTGGCCATTGCGTTTGGTTCGGGGCGAGGGGTCGGTTGTTGAGACCATGAACCCGCTTCCATATGTTCTTCTCGGGATAGTCGGAGAGGATCTCGTTGACGAAGGACCATCCTGCATGATCATGATCAGTGTGAAGCTCATGTATAATCTTTTGCGGGCTTTACTGACCTGTCACGCCGGAGGCGCCAAACACGACAGCTGACTTTGACATTCTTCAAGACTTGCTACGGGTGAGCTTTGAAAAGGGTGAGGCCTTAAGGATAATGAAGCTTTTAAGCAGGGCGAAGTGATAAGGTGCCGGCACGGCGTTTGTCGAAAACTAGCCCTTGAAGAGACCACATGTTGTCTGTTTGCATGGGCGACCAGTATGGAAGGTGGGGTTGCAACTGCGATTGCGATAGTGGAGACATGAAGTCTAGATGGGTTCTCTCCTACGGGTGTTTTCCCAACCTGCCCATGTGGTGTACTAACGTCAGTAGTACAGACACTTATGCGTAAGCTACCTACCGCGCGCATGACTTCAAACAGCCGCTCTACATTCTACAGATCATCAGCGCTCTTGTGAAGATCCCCCGTCGCATCACGAGGAACTCCAAAGGAGGACAGGCCGTCTCGGCGGGCCACCGGTACCCATGAGTTGTGGGGTTGCCGCAAAGAGCGCCCGAAAATATAGCCGTCTTCGAGTCATCCCAGCCACTTCTGGACGCGTTGCCGATTCATGATGTGCGAAATCCTAGATCGAGGAAACCGTGGAGTATATGCGACATGTGCGCGGCGCGTCGACGTCTGGTGAAAAGCTTATAGGATAACGTCGTGGTGGAGGAAGGAACGATGAGAAGATGCGATGAGATAATTTTGCAGGGTCCATGACGTACGTTGGCGACGCGCCGAGAAGGCAAGCTTCAACCCCTGACGGCATCTTGCGCAGCCAACACCACACGAGCGTATCATTGATACGACCAACAGTATTGAAAAGATGATGTGAAGAGAGCCAGTTTGTCAATTAAGCTAAAGCATTCTAGGTGCTCAATGAAACTCGTTCTTGTCCGCGTACACGTCATTCTCGAGGAAAACCTCCACCTTGTCTGTCATCTTAGGTGTCAAATCCTCGCAATAGAAGATGCAGAGCAATCCTACGATACCAAAACTCAGACTACTAAGTGCCACGATCTTCAGCGCATGCGCGTAGCTCCATTGGAACGCCAAAGAAGCCGCGCCTAGAGCGTCTGGACTTGTACCTGGCACTTCGGCGATGGCGGCTGCGCCTAGGGGCAAAGCGGCAAGTAAAGCTTGCGCGTTCTCCAACGACATGCCCGCCTTCACAGCTGCAGCGGGAACCGTCACAGCAGCGCGAGTGGTCTGGGTGTTGGTGAGGATAGTGGTATAGATGGCCTGAGCCAGCGATCCTCCTGCGTAACGAGCCATACCCGCCAAGCCACCCGAGAAACCAAGATCTTGTTGTGGTACGCCAAGTTGCGTGAACGCGATGGACTCGTACTGCGCCCATCCGAAGAAAGAGGCGTTGATGCAGCAGAATGCGATCATCAAGTTCTGGTTGAACGGGGTGACAAGGCCCATCAAGGCACCGAAGAGCACCATGCCAGTCCAGGTACCGATCAAGGTCCATTTCCAGTGTCCGATCACGTTGCCGAAAGCCATTAGGCATAGCGATCCGAAGACGAGGCCTACGTTCGGCGGCAGTGTGAGCAGCAATTCGGTACTCCGCGACACGTTCGGGCCCAGGTAGAAGACGTTAACCATTGTTGGCCAGATGATATTGACCGAGTAGTAGAACATGGTGACGATGAACGCTACGATAAACGGCGCCGTAAATTCTCGTCCTTTATGACTCCGGAATAGGTGTGGCGGGCAGAGTTTGAAGCGGGTGTTCGAGAGCGTCTCCCACACCCCAAATGCAGCGATCAGGACAAACCCGACTACCATGGGTGCGATGACGGTCACGTCTGAGCTTGACTTGTATGTGGTGTTAATGATACCAACAAGCGCAAGACAGATGCCTGGGACAATGAGTGCAGTGCCCACATAGTCGAGGCCGCGGACTGCCTCGGACCATGGAACGCCCTTGGGGTGCTTCGGTGGCTTGTAGAGCAAGAAAAGAGATATGAAGGATATGGACTGAGCGATCAGACCAGCCCAGTATACCCACTGCCACGCATTGACGTCGATGGCGTACTGTGAACGTATGTCAGCTATTTCGCCCAGCAAGTCGAAGCACTACACTCACTCTTCCTACGATAGGACCGATTATAACAATGAGGAAGACGAAACCATCCGAGAGACAGATACCAATGTGCCGGAATTTGTTCGGTAGAAGTTCTGTAACAGTCAGATTCACTAGCATGTAAAACAAGATACAGCTCACTCACCAGGAATGCTACACATTGCCATCTGTGCAAATCCAGCTCCAAATCCGGTCATAGCCAGTCCGGCTGTGAAGTGGTCTGCTCCTTTCGCTGTCGCTGTCACGATGAAACCGACGCAACAACACGCATTACCAAACAACAAGAACCACCTCCTTCCAAAGAGATCAGAGTTCGCGCCTGCAAGAAGGAAGCCAATCGCGTTGGCTGTTGTGTAAGCGGGTATGTACCACGCGCTCGATGTCGGAGCACCAAATTGAATGGCAAGTCGCGACATCATCGCTGAGGTGGTAGGTACAGGCCAAAAAGAGAGACCAAAAGTCGAAGACAAGATGAAGATGACGAGCCATGTTTTTGGCGTTATGGTGGTTGCATCTGGGGTAACGAAGGTCTGTGGTGGTGTGGCTGCAACGGTTTCGATTTGTTCAATGTCCCTCTTCTCGTCCGATGGCCGGCGCAGGCCGCTCTCGTGGATGGCTGTTACTGCCATGATGGTTTGGTGAAAGGAAAGTCGCCTGATGCAGGTGCGACTTTGTGTAACTGGGGTGAGGGATCGTCGCAGACAGCCCACTTATGGCTTGAATACATCCTTCGCTGGATCTTGTAGACATGCACAAGTCATACCCCATCAAGCCACTGGTCCGATACCTAGACTTTCCTCCAGCCCCGCATCTCGGATACACAGAAGCATAGCTAATTGTGCTGGCTGGTCGTTCTATTGGCTGGTATTCTCCATCATTTTCAGCATCTCCTTGCACATTCTGAAAATCCGGGGTAGTGGATGTGGATGTGGGTATCCGGGATTGACTGCGGAGAAGAAGTGCGCCACATCATGGCGCTTGACTGGAAGTGGTAGTGGGCGATAAAGGGGCGAGGATCGTCTTCACCTGGAACAACGTTTCCGTCGGCACTGAGCTATGCGTGAAAGCTTATTTCCGACACTCGTGCGCTCACCTCAAGATCGCAGCTATGACCATTATTGCACGTGCGAAATACAGGATCTATTGTGGGCTTTGAGTAAGACAAGACTTACATGTGACACCACAATGTTGAAGTCCAGGAATTGGCCAAGGGTTGGGCTGGATTGGTTGTGCTGAATGATCTCCCAGTCTGCAAATCGTACATCTACGTCAAGGAAATGACAGACACAAGGCGGACCAAATTCATTAGACATGGTTCAGTCGCGGAGACATCATATGTGCATAGTCAGATATGGTAGTCTTTTGCTCCAGTCCACTACAGCGCCTAGCACCTCGTACCTCCAGCTATGGCCAGATAGCGCCCATACTACGCACCCTCCCTACGCGTAATTCCGTCCGTAGCATCGCAATCAGGAATCGCTTTTCCAAAGCAGATCATATCATGCCTAGACTCATTTCATCAGCAAATCACTCCACACTAACCATCACCCTCGCCGACATTACCCGCCAAAGAAACGGAGGAAAGATAGACTCACCCAGCCATGACCTGGATGCCCTTCTCCAGATCCATAAACTTCTCCGCATCCGGCATGAGTGCAGCCCGATACTCGTCGCTCCCGGCAAAAGCCTCCCAGTCTTCCCACTTCTTCACCCAGATTTGACTGCAAGCATCGTAGTCTAGTATATCCATGCCCAAGCTCTGCAATTTGCCTTTGAGACCTGGTGATTGGTAGTGCTGGACGTAGCGTTGTATCTTGACGGTGTGGAACTTCTTGCATGCGACAGTGAGGTCGGAGTGAATGTGGTTGTAATGCTTCTTGAAGAACTCGTCGGTAACGTCGGGGTGTTTGCGAAAGAAGAAAGAGAGCTTTATACAGGCTGGAAGAAAGCGTCAGTGGATAACGTTCTGTAGTGGCGAAGACAGACGAACGCTGGTAGTTCTCTTGTACATCCCATTCAAACTCCGGGTTTGAGAACTCATGCTGCTGAAGTGTTAATCATGCATGTCGGAAGGCAAGGGCGAGTACAGTACATCGATAGTTTTGTAGGCCATGTTAGCGCGTAATTGATGATCGTATAGTAAAGATGAAGGTTCTGGGGTTGTTGGCACCTAAGACCTAAAGTATCTGAGTATTCTACAAGTATAGCCACTAACGTTGACCGTGCATAACCGACTGAGGAGAAATGAGCAAGCCAAATTCAGCGTGCGGGGCTTAGTATGATGCGGTACTACCAGTGGTACGATCGAAGAAGACCGCATAGTGTTATGTTGTACAATTGATCGCTGGTCAGTGGCATGTGCGCCTCACAATACGAAGACATTGTGAGGACGAAATTTGTTGTTACACTTTGCGAATTCTATCATTCACACGAAGAATTTGTTCGACACTGAGTTTTCCGGTGTCAGAGTTCATGGTGCACTGAATAAATAACGTGTCTAGAACACAACAACCTGTCTCTTCTCAGCTTTCCCAGCCTCCATGTCAGCGACCATCTGCGGCAGGTCATCAATCTTGCGGAACTCGACTTCTGGTTGTATGCTGCGGAATGTCAGAAACTTTGTCTATATATCAAAGGAAGCAACATGCCTGTGCTTGCCGGTGAAGTCCACGGCCTTCTTCATCCGCTGTGGGATACCCGTGCTGTCGGCCTTGATGCGGTAACGTCCTGTTGTTAAATCGAAAGTGTTGATAAAGTCGAGTCCTTTCGGTGCGATCCCAATGACCATAAGTAGTCCTCCTGTTCGCAAGACATCCGGTGCACCCGCATACGCGGCGTTGGATGCGCTATAGACTGCCGCTGCGTGACATCCTTTGCCTCCAGTGAGCTTCTTGATCTCTTCGAGATAGTCCTTGTTCTTCATGGAATTGAAGACAGCTTCTGCGCCAACCTTCTTCGCCACATCGAGTTGGTTGTCGTTGATATCGAGACCGATAGTCTTGATACCCATCTATAACCGTCAGTTTCCATGCGTAGCGCAGCTTCCTGCTCAAACTTACGGCTTTTGCATATTGTATCGCGTACTGTCCAAGGCCACCACATCCGATAACCGCCAACCAATCCCCTGCTTTCAACTCACAGCTGTCGACCGAATGGAACGCTGTGATACCCGCACAGAACAGCGGTGCAGTCTTACTCATATCCAGGTTCTCGGGAAGCTTCACCGCGTTCTGCCAATCCACAACCGCATACTCGGCGAAGTACCCGTCCGTTACAAAACCTTGCAGTTTCTGGTTACCTGTCTCGCATCGCATGTTGTGAATCATGCACCCCTCGCATTCGAAACATGCGCCGATGAAATAGTTGAAGCCGATAGCATCACCGACTTTGAAACCTTTGTCGCTGGCTTCCGCGCCAATAGACTCAATGTAACCGACTCCTTCGTGGCCTAGAGTGACGGCGTAATCGGGCCTCATGGCCATGAGCAGATCTGAATGACATAATGACGCTGATTGTATCTTGACTAAGAACTGGTTTGGTGCTTCGGTGGGTTTCGGCACGTCATTTACAACGACCTTTTGCTGCTTGCTGGATGTCTTGTCAGTCTCATACACAGTGAGGACTACTATGTACTTACGGATCCCACTGGCCGGCTTTCATAATTAAAACTTTCCTGGTGTCTCTTGCGTGGCTTTTGGTATAGTTTGAGGACTATGTTGGATTCAAAGAAGAGTATAAGTACCTCCTTTGCGCTTCGCATTCACTCTACCTATGTATGCAACAGGCTGTGAGGCGCGACAGAACAGGAAGGACTGCAGGGATTGTGCTGCGAGTCATCCCGACACCTTGAGAACACATCCGCTGACTTGGCCTAGCTAAACCCGTCATACGGAAAAAGGTGGCCGACATGGTGCGCTGGCTGAAAACGTTCGGTTAGAGGTGGAGCTTGGAAGATGCTGGGTGCGTGACGCGCGGGGAAGAAAGAAGCGGGGTCCGGACATCTAGCTTGACTATCTAGGTAACTTCGAACAGCCTAGTCTTGCATTCTACGCCGTACGTCGATGTCATGTCACACTAGATAGGCAAAGAGAAGATGTCACACTGCACATACTGGTTGTGTTTGGACGCGCGGGATGATAACTGGCAAAAAGAGGGCGTAGGCAAAAACATGCAACAGCGGGGACCTCGGGATTCCATAAAGGTCACGTGAGTGCACACCACCCCCGTACCTGCGCTAACATTGAGCGCAGTGTTGTGCATAATGGTATTGAGTGCCAATACAGTTATGAGATGTTGCACGAGTTTTCAAGCACGTTGGAGATCACGTACATAGATCTGAACGGCGACATGTCTATTCGCTACTCCTAATTATAAGCCACTAGCTCTGCATCCGCAATGGTACCGATGGAGGCTGTCCAGCAAAATAACAACTACCTATCTGCCACTGACCGAGTCTATAGTAGGGTCAAGGGTCGTGTACACGAATTCATGACTCGTCCACGTCTGATACACATCCAAACCATAGCTATCAGGCCTCGTAAAGAAAGTGTAGTTGTATGTCGAATTCGTGTTGATAGTCAACTGGTACGTCGCTCCAATGACGTTATCGAGCTTGTACCAGGTGATACCTGTTCTCAAGTATCAGTCACAGGAATCAACTCACTCGTACCACGCAGTATTGCTGCTATACATACCTGTCTTATTGGCAAAGTCGGTGGATGTGTTACCCTCGGAGTTTGCCTTCCAGTTGCATGGCTCGTTATCGAAGGGAGGGCCGTGAGAATCAACGTCGTGGTCGGGCCCATCTGCGGGCTTGGTGACTGTGTTGCCCTTCTCATCGACGTCTCTGGTGAAGAAAGTTTTCCCACTCTCAGTCGTCTTCTCGGTCCATTCCTGGAAGTCACCCTCGGGGGCCTTGAGGTTTTGCTCCTTTTGTTCGGACATGGTGAGAGATTATAAAATCTGGTAAGGCTGGCTGTGGATAGTAGTATCTTGAGGAATATATGGCTGAATGATGTGCGAGAGAAGAAAGAGCGGACAACGTCGAGGCTTTTATGTCAAGTAGCATCTTCTGACTTCGCTGTCGGATGTTGTTGAGTACGGTAAAGGAGCTATTTGCATCCCCAGTGGCTGCAGCCTGCACCGACACAGCTAGCCATGAAGCAAGAAGTCCATAACCATGACAGAAGAATGAGATCTGATGGCCAAGGCTCAGCTACGCCACTATGTTCGTGGCGCAAAATTCCTGGTAGTTTCAGCTGTGATCCCACTGCATTGACGACTCCGCCTCAGCTACATTAGAGCTGTTTGGCTTGAACCCGTACCTATCTGGAGCCTTTTAGTATTGGCGCAAGCTACGCGTGACGTTCCAGACAAAGCCCTTGCTTGACGCTGAAGCTCCTTTGGGATTGCGGAGACTAACCCGGCTTTCGCTCTCAGCTACCATGATCATTTGAAGGGTGGCGAACCTTCCAATATCAGAAATGTGGCTTCCAGGGTCGGGCCGCATGTTACATATGTGCGGGTGTGGGGGCGGGGGCGGTCGGGGCCGTAGAAAACCATCGCGCTACCAGACTTTGGCCAGCCTTCATGACGCGACATCCCGCGTGCGACAGGTTTGTCAGTACCAAAGCACTGGAAATTGCGAGTCTGCATTCAATCACGGTGGTTTCAAGGTTGGGTGTTGATTGAGACCGACCAACACCTGAGCATGCCAGGTGCAGCGGCTTTGCATCGCGCCCACTTGTCGTGACATACGGAAAGCCACAACTACCTATGTACTGTATGCCACAGATTCTTGCGCTATTTAATTCGACCGATAGTGCATTTACGAAAGTTTCGTCTAGTTTCAGTTGATATCACGCACCAGCATACATTTCATGCGCACCTAGTCAAACGGAACCTGGCCCGCCTAAGTGCATGCCTCATGGCTTCAAGCGGCCAGCTGTCGCACTCCACCATCCTATGCTTTTTCGTCCCGTGGAGCTGTTCGTCGCCTGAAATGCATCGACAGTCTAATGAAGTGGCGTACATCTACGGCAGGTCTCAGCTTGCCACCGCGCGCCCTAAATGCTGCATATATGCAGTGACGATCCATTGTGAAGCTAGAAGTTACCAAACAAGACGCTATGGCGGTTGTAGAGGTGTACATCTCGCATCTAGACACAAGGAGAGCCGACTGTTGCGTCTAGCAAGGTCAGGCGACACCCCTACTCATGCAGCTCCTCCTGGGTGCACTTTGCATCTTTCAGCTTCAAGCTGATACGGGGCTCATGTATGGCTAATCTGAGATCGTTCGCGTACGATACAGATCGCTTGTCTAGATCGATCTTGGATTTCGATACGTCTCGTCAGGTAAAACAAGGGAGGACCGCAGTCCCCGACAGTATCGACATTGTTCCTTACCATCGTAAGCTACCTTCGCACTCACCGTTACAATGGCCCATGAATCGCATTCCCGGGACGCACAAGACATGGCGGCGAGCAAAGAATATGGAGTAGACTTCGCGGTCGCGGGTGGGCCGGGGGGTGAGATACACTCTCCACTTCACGAGTCTATCACTTTGGCTGCTCTGGTCAGTACAGGATACAACGTCGCTCCAGGGACTACACTCGAAAGTGCCAGCAACGCTGACTGGGAGTACATTCGGGGAGTGGTGTGGAACGACGATCCCGCTTGTCTACTCTTTGATGACTACGCGGAAGCAAATCATACCTACTCGACAGGAATGATGTGGGGCTACTATTACAAGACAGGGGAATCCGAATGGAAGAAAGACAAATCGGACAAGATGCAGAACCCGACCGGGCGCTCCCACTACGGCGACCTTCAGTTTCTACATTGCATGGCTTCCAAGGCTGAAGAGAAGCCAGGGGAGACCAAAGCAAAACTGATGAAATGGCTCAGCGTCCTGTGGAAACTCGCCAACGGAGAGGAGGGCATTACGCCAGATACAGTCATCAGCAAGACCGATATGGCCGAATTCTGTCCTAACTTCTCGCTGCCTGCCAACTGGGGGACACTGCGCTATCTGCTATCTGGCGAGTCGGCATTCGAAGCCTTGGATATACCACGGCGAGCTCTAGGCAGCATGTTCCATATCATACAAGATTCCTACGCTCTGGGGCACACAAGACGCACGTTGCTGAACCCCGAAGCGAAGATCTCCAACGGTAAGATGCAACGCAAGATCTTTTTCCTCCATCACATGATGACATAATAATTGAAACCGTCTGACAATACCACGTTGCCAGATCCCCTCCAATTTCAGCCCGGTGTCGTCGACAAATGGGGATCAATCGAAAACTTCCACGTCTACAATGGACAAGACGACGCCCATCACGAGCTGTACGATCACGCCAATACACCAATTCCCGATCCAACAAATCTAGCCAATCTAGACCAGTTCAACAGCATGATTGGCTGCCGCGATGCCGTCGAGAAGTGCCGTGGGCTAATCGAGCTCAAGAAGGCGGGCAAGACGTGGGAAACAGGAGTGAAGGCATACTTGGATGAAGTCGTGTTCCCCCTCTCACAGAACGTCACGGATGCAGATACGCGAGTGTGGCCTTAGGCAGAATATGGCGACGCATATTGGATTGAGACTGGACAAGTCTCGTACGTTTCTTCTATGGTGCATTACTATACTGTAGGAGATGTAGAAGAGATCGCTATGAAGTTGAGACTTTGACATCCTGATCGTGAATTTCTGTCTGTGTATATGGTGCGTTGTCTGCGGGAATGATGTACTGTCGAGCTATCTACGACAAAGAGAGATACACCTACCCATCCTCTCATTGGTAGGCTCTGTTATGGTTTGCTACCGGAGTTTGCTCAGTCTTGTTTGCGCTCATGACCGAGCTACCCATAGTCCAATTCATTACCGCAAGAATTCGAGCAAGAAATTTAGCGTAGTCTAACGGCCGAAGTACGGCCATCGAAAAGCAGACGCGAGATTCCCGTATTCAGCACATCTGTACGCCTCTATCAGCGCTGTAAAAAGAAAACCTCACGTGGTCGTACCTCAGGCGCTAGACTAGGCCAACTCTCTTGCTCGGATCCGTACGGTTCCTCTTACATTGCATTTTCGGTGGGATCGCATAACTGCGTCGTAGCTCCACATGTAGCCCTCGCTAGCTTGTGGCGTCGTGCTCGGCTGGCTGAACGGCCGGGAAGGTCCGCTGCCTCGCTCACCTACGGTCTGGAGCGATGATAGCGTCAAGGCTCCAGATTTTCCCACGCCACGGCGTCGCTTGTGGCTGGCTGTGCAGAGCTCCATGCGTAAGATCACCAAGGGTGGGTTTTCCTGCGTGCTCAATGGCTGGCAAAGGTGCAGACAATAATGTACAGGGTCTATCGAATGTCCTGTGCTCTCACATCTATGCTATGCTTTTGGCCCTCATATAAATTCCCTTTGAACATTGTGAACGTACTTCTCCCAAGAGCTAGTTCAACCTAGGACAACATCATGGCGTCCATCACCGTCAATGGCAACACAATCGTACCGACCGGATCAACAGGCGAGGCATGGACCGTCAATGCAAACGATCAAGGAGAAGTGAGATCCGCACCCGATGCAAAGGATTCGAATTTCATTCTTGTGCAAGTCGATCGTGTCCTCACTATTGCTGAGAAGGGTATTTTGGCAGACCACCAGGTTGAAATTCAAGAATACGTCGCGGAAAAGACATTTCTTTGTCGATATGAGCCGGACGATCTGGAGGCTCTGCGACTGTTGCCGTTCGTCGTGACAGCAGACATGTAAGAACCACGTCCGGTGGAGTATATACTAGTAACAACGAAGCTAATGGTTGCAATCCCAGTTATCACCCGGAGCTCAAAACAACCATCTCGTTGAAGGAGATGGTCGAAAACGAACAAGACCAAGAGGACTACGAGGTCGATCTGATTCTCCATGAGAATCCTAACGTAACCTCGGAGCAGTTGGCTCCATATGTTGCAGAAGCAGCTGAAGTGGCCCTCGGGGATCTCGAGATCCTGGAGCGTAAGATCAGAGTCACTGTTCACCAGGATAAGCTCGCTGCACTCGCCGCATTGGACAGCGTCAATAGGATCGAGGAGGTCCGGCAATATGCTACGTTCAACGACCAGGCGCGCGCCGTCCTACTCGACGTGGGCGCTATTCAGAGTGCTTCGATCCCATACCAGGGTACTGGGCAAACTGTCTGCGTGGCCGACTCAGGATTTGACCAGGGTATAGCGGCGGACACAGGTGACATCAAGGTTCATCCTGCCTTTTCGGATCGTGTCATGCAAGTCATCGGTATGGTTCCAGGTACTGCGACTCCCAATGACCCTGTGGGTCACGGTACACATGTCTGCGCTTCGATCTGCGGTAATGGGGTCTACAAGAACGCCGATAGCAGTCAGGTACCCGTGAAAGGCACTGCACCAAATGCGAAGATCATTGTACAGGCCATGTCTCAATGGGATCCCGACCGTCGCGCCTGGTATTTGAAGCCGCCTACCGACACGTCCATCCTCTACGCAGACGCGTATCAACTCGGGGCTCGGATCCACAACAATTCTTGGGGCCTCATATGGAGCCCCACGGCGCGACAGTTTGGATACGCAGACGGTGCGACAGCTATCGACCGGTTCATGGGCGACAACCTGGATTTCTGTATCCTTGTTGCAGCCGGCAACGACGCCCAAGCCAAGAACGCGGGCGTAAGCCAGATAGGGGACAATGGAGCTGCAAAGAACTGCATCACAGTCGGTGCTACAGGAACGACGCGAGATAACGACGGCCACAGATACAAGAGTGGCTTTAAGCACGGCTCGGATGTTACTTCCGTGGCCATCTTCAGCTCACGTGGTCCCACGCTGCCCGCACGCAATGCGAACAATGAAGCCACGGTGGGTAGGATCAAACCTGATGTCGTTGCGCCGGGCGTCGCTATCCTCTCCGCCGCCTCTCGCGCGCTGCCACCAAAAGATCACCGCCGCGTTGCGAACGGAGAATCTGCTGATTCTGATTGGATGTTCCTGTCAGGCACAAGTATGGCCACGCCTCTGGTCTCAGGTTGCGTTGCATTGCTTCGCGAAGCACTGCAGGGCGTTGGAAAAGAAAAAACCAGCGCGGCTTTGATCAAAGCTTTGTTGGTCAATGGCGCAGTACTGCACAGCAGTGGAGACCAGAGTGGGAAAACGTTGCCTTACGACTATGCGCAAGGCTTTGGGCGCGTAAACGTCTCAGCCTCCCTTAGGATGGTGCAACAGCTTTCCTTTGTTGACGGCTGGCAAGGCAACATGAAATACGAAAGCGAACATACTCATGTCCAAGACGCGCCTATGTTACGAGTCACCTCAGAGATGGACAAGACTTGGCAGAGCCCACCGCTGGCCATTCCCTCGACGGGTGCTCGCATGCGCTTGACCGTAACGATGACCTATCCGGACCCGCATGGTGCGCTGTTGCAAAACGACATGAACCTCATTGTGCGTGCTGGCGCGGGAGATGAACGGCATGGAAATATGGCAGACGGCGACCAGGGATTCGACTGTGAAAGTAAGTTAGCATGCCTCATTACACTACGGAAATATGCTTAAATGATCTGGAACGCTGACTTGTCCTTCTCTTCGGCCGCAGATACTGTTGAGAAGATCATCTGGAACGATGTTCCTGGCCCAACGGCTGTGATTGTCGTCAAAGCGCAAGCTTTTGCTAAAGAGTTGAAGGAGCAGACATTTGCTGTTGCTTGGGATCTGCAGAGCATGTAGGTGTATAGTGACTTTGGTGATACCAGACTACAAGGTGCTCTGTCGCAATGGCATGTTCATTATATAGCGGTACCTGATTCTATAGCGCGTTCAATGCTGGTGTTGCTGTATGCTGGGCATCGTAGAAAATATGCTTCTTACTTCGTCTGAATTTAGCTATGGCTACGCCGACAACACATACGTGACGCCCTCAGCCAAGTCATCATAGAACTGCTTCCTCGGCTCGTCGAGTTTAGGCGAAGGCCAAGCGAAGAAGAAGTGTGGATAGCCATCGTAGAAGTCGAATTTGACAGGTACGCTACAGTCAAGTCAGCGTCGATACAGCATGAAGTCATTAAACCTACCCTGCATCATCCAACACGCGCTTCATCAGCGTACCATCATCTCTTAGCGTGTCGTGCCCCGCGACAGCCATATAGACCTTCTTTAAATTCTTGATCCCCGGGTGGAGAAGCGGCGATCCGTATATATCAGTTGGTGGTGCACCGAAGGCAGCCCAAAAGTCTCTCATCGCCCCCGAAGTGTTGATGGTGTGCTGATCGTGCTCCTGCATTGATGTGTAACCAGCCCGGAGTGTCTCAGGAACACCATCTGGATGGACAGTCGCCGGGATAAGTGCGACAACGCCCAGAAGCTCGCCCCAACTCTCGTCCACGCCTTTCAGCGCCGCGGCGAAAGCCAACTGACCACCAGCGGAGAGTCCTGCGGTGAGGTACTTGCCCTCGGCAGTGTTCAGTCGCTTTGAGTTGCCTAATGCCCACCGTGAGGCCTTGTAACATTCGTTTAGCAATCCAGGGTGCTTGTTGTCCGGGGCGAGTCCGTATTCAACAGATACAACTACTATGCCGCCAGCTTTTGAGATTGCTCTGCTGAACGGGTCGTCGCCGTTAACATCACCCATAGCCCAGCCGCCACCATGATAGTACATGCACACTGGCTTGCCACCGGTATAACCATCAGGCGTGTATATGCGCACTTTGGTCCCGTCGTCGGTGACTGTGTCCTCGGTCTTCACGGAAGGGTCAGGCGCAGGAAAGGTATATTTTGAAGCCATGAGGCCACCGTATCGCATAAACTGCTCGGTCATACTCGAAACAGGCGGCTTCAGGAGCATGCGCTCGCCGAGCTCTTCTTCGAACTGAGCAATCCATTAACACAGTCTGATGCACATGCTTCCACTTGACATACCTCAAGCCATGGTTTCGCGAATCCCTCGTTAGCCATGTTGCCCTAGATTGATGTGTAAATAGTGAACAAACTCTCCCATCTCGGAAGCCATGCTGTATAAAGCCCGAAGCCCCTCGTAGAGTTTGGCGTCATGTCATGTTGCTCATCTCGACTCGCGTCGACGCGGAAAGACGTCAGGGGTCAAAGCTTCCCATTCGTCGCGGTGGCTTCTCCACGCTTAAAGACATCCGGCTCTTCCCCGCCAAAACAACATCGCCTCGGCTGGGCTGCATCTCGCGACGCGTCGGCATCGACCGTGCAGCGAGTCATGTCTGCTATATGCGCGCGTAGACATTTGATTCTGGAGTTTGATCATCTTCATTCACCTCCATAGCATTACTCAAGATCCGGCCTGCACCATGGCTTTGAACATCGACATCAATAGCAGTCCAGCGTTCTCGCGCATACCGCCATGGGTGAAAGCAAAACTTCGTCCGATCGCAATTGAGAAGATCCAGCAGGTCTACGATTGGGTCGAGACCGAGTGCATACCGGCCGAGCGCATATACAAAGCCCAATTGAAAGAGAGCAAGACGCGGTGGGAAACACCAGCCATCATCCACGACCTTCGAAAGAAGGCAAAAGCGCAAGGATTATGGAATCTCTTCCTACTGAACCACTTTGTGGAGAGTCCAGGCCTCACCAACCTAGAGTACTCATGCTGCGCTGAGATCATGGGAAGAGTATACTGGGCAGCGCAGGTGAACTTATTCAATCCCAAGACACCTTACATATCCTCTAACACTTCCCCAGACTATGAACTGCCATGCTCCCGAAACCGGCAACATCGAACTCCTCGCCAAATACTGCACACCGGAGCAGAAGAAGAAATGGCTCCACCCCCTCATGAACGGCGACATGTCCTCCGCATACAGCATGACCGAGCCTGACGTCGCCTCGTCGGACGCAACCCAAGTCGGCATAAAGATGGAAATCACCGACAAGGAAGTCATTATAAACGGACGCAAGCTATACGGCAACTGCCAGTACAACTCAGAGATGCAGCTCTTCATCCTGATGGGCTGTTCGGATCCTCAGAACGCAAATGCCTGGAATAGACACACAACGCTGGTGGTACCGGCGAACAGTCCCGGGCTGAAGCAAGTCAGGAATCTGACTATCATGGGCTACGATTGGGCGCCTGAGGGGCATGGCGAATACATCTACGAGAACGTGCGTGTGCCGCGCGAGAACATCATCCTCGGTCCTGGGCGCGCGTTCGAGATAGCGCAAGGGCGATTGGGCCCAGGTCGTATACATCACTGCATGCGCTTGATCGGTCAAGCAGAACGCGCCTTCGAACTCGCGCTCGTTCGCTGCATGGAGCCGCGCAAGAAGCCACGAGGCAAGTTCATCGGCGAGTTCGACAGCAATATCGAACGTATAGCAGATATGCGCATGACCATCGATGCTATGCGACTTGTTGTGCTCAACGCGGCAGATACCATGGATCTCCAAGGCAACAAGGCAGGTAAATATGCCATCGCGCAGAGCAAGATCATGGTGCCGAATGCGCTGCTCAAAGTCATCGATGAGGCTATGCAGATATATGGTGGCCAGGGCTTGACGCAACACACGCCGCTTCCTGAGCTGTGGACGTATGCTCGCTTCGTGAGGGTGGCTGATGGTCCGGATTCGGCTCATAGACATCAAGTCGGCAGAGATCAGATGAAGACTGCGCAAGGCTTTAGGAAGAGAGCGGAGGGGTATACAGAGAGGTATAGGGAGCTGTGTAAGAAATGGGGGTTGGAACCTGAAGAGTTCTGGGGCATTCTGTAGTAGCTAGATGTGCAAGTTTTGTGTCCAAAGGAAAGCAACAATGCCCACGTCGTCACCTGTTTCGGTCTGTGCAACCATGGCCTATAAGACCCAAGTTTCGTGAAAGGTTGGAGGGATACCATTGCGGAGCACATAGGGGTTCATTAGTCGCGTATCTACGTATTCATCTAGCAAAAGTAACCAAAAAGGGTATCATATCCAAGACCCCAACTCCATAGCCAACGTCTCTCATATCTACATAAGCCAATCCTTCAATCATACCGCGATGGGTGGCGATCCAAAACTCATGTTATCGTCGTCATCGAAGAATGAAGCTACTTCCTGCGTCGACATGACAAAGTCTTCAAAAGACGCGCTTGGTCCCGATACCACTGCAGAGGTTTTCGCGGGAGTTATTGGTACGCATTGCCTCTTTACTGGCGGTGCTGGGCTCTTTGACGGAGTCGGCGTAGCTCTCCTCTTTGCATTGGGGCCAGACATCGACCTGGGCAGCTGAGAAGCTCTAAGTTTAGCAATTTCTGCCTCGAGTCCCGATGCAAAGGGACCTGGGTTGACACATCTACCCGCTACTTTCTTGGACGATGATAACGGTCTGCTCGAATTCGCAGTCGCAGAAGGACGTGGTGAGAGCTGATTGGGCGTAGGGGCGCTATCGATTCTCATGTGAGGCATCAACGGATTTGCCAACCGTGGGGGGAGAGGCAAAGACGTAGGCTGCGGTGAGGGTCGAGTAATAATTGAGTGTCCTTGGAGCGGTGCAGAACCTAGGCCGGGTAGATCATGCTGCAAAGTAGGAACAGTTTTGCATTTCACTTCCATTGTTGGCGGCTCTTCATCGAGATCATCTAGAGAAAAGTCGAAGTCTTGGGTCGAAATGGGTGGAAGGGTATCAATAGTCGGAGGCGATACGACCGCTGGGGGTTTGACTGGCTCTGCTACCGTCGGGGCTGCTTCTGAAGCAAGCTCTCGCGAGATCTGCGTGCTGCTTTCGAGAAAGTCATCCCAACAGTCTGTCGGTGGTGGTAGCAGGGACTGGGTTTGCTTCGCGACTGATGTAGATCCACTTGTGACGGGAGAGTTTGACTTTGATGCTGGGAGTCCAGGAAGTTTGAAGCCGGGATTCTTGTTTGTAGGAGGCTTTGTTTTGACAACGGGAAGAGTCGGTTTCCTGAATGGACCGGCGGGTGGCACACGACCAGGTATGGAGGGCAGCTTGAACCCTGTTTGTGATGTGTCTCGTGGAGTGCTAGACGGTGTATAGTCTACGGCTACACGGATGGGAAACTGTGTCCGCTGAAAAGGATGCTGATCCAGATTTTTGTACTTTGCAATGAAGGGAACCCGCGTCAGGAAAGTCTTAGTTCCCTGCAGCTGCCCATCCAGAACCAAGCATTCCAGTCGGTCGTTCTCGCACCTGAGGACTCGCAAGTGCTGGCTCTTGGACAGTTGACTGCTTGTGTTAAGATCCCGGAGCAGCATTACAACGCAGCCAACTTTAATTCGCAGTCGATGTGGAGGTAGGCCCACTGGATTTAGCTTATGCAATAGCCCAAGTGACGGGTCCCAGTCTGGCGTCTTTAGCGAAAGATCTTGTGACAGTATTTCGAGCAGAGGCTCAGGCAATTTGTCCAAGACAGCCTCAATCGCCTTGTTTATGGGGCCGTGAGTGCGAGTGAACTCGCGGTCGTCTTTGACAGCAACTGGTCTTGGAGAAGGACTCGGCGCGGGAGGTGGCAGTACGACGGCTTGTGATTCCTCCACTGGATCTGATATGGTCATATCGTGTGCTTCCAGTAGTGTATCGTCGTCAAGGTCGTCGTCAAGGTCATCGTCAGCCCATTGTTCTCCAAATGACGCATTCGCGTTGGGCAGCTCAAGGCCCATGTCTTCATTGTCATCGTCCCATGGCTCCTTCTCCATGTCTTCGGCAATCTCTTCCATCTTTCTGGTAAGCTCCAAGTCTTTCTTGCGCTTCTCTTCGTCCTTCTTCTTCTTCAGCCCCAGGAACGCCTCCATGCCATTCTTCAACTGTGCCTGTGTATGACTGTATCCCACCAGTTGTGTCGCAAGGCCAACCCCAATCTGCTGCCTCGCCTTGGCCTCTTTGGCCTCTCTTTCCTCGCGCTTCTTTTTTGCTGCTTTGCGGCGTTCTTCGGCTTCGCGCGCGCGGGTGGCGCGCTGTTCTAGTTCAAAGTCGCGTTCGAGCTGCTTCTGCTGACGCTCGTTGAGGCGAGGGCCATGTTTCTTGTGCTGCTTTTTGAGTTCGGTCGAAGTTTGCGCGATTCGATGAGGTGTGGGGGGCATGGCGGATGGCGCATCGCGAGGAGGGGTGCGGGTGGATGCAGGGCTTGAAGCGTGGTGGCGAAGGATGCGGAACCATGGAATCGCGCTAGGACACGCAAACACGTGCCCAGATGACGTTGAACAACACGCCATCCGTGCATCACGAGCTGCGCTGCAAGCTTTCTACCATTGCTCACCACCATTAGCGCTCATTTCTCCCCTTACAACGGCGTTCGTGACGGCTTCTAGCTGTGATGAGCCAGTCTTGGCAGGTATGCTGAGGGGCATTCAGTGACGACCGATCGAGGTTGTCATGCCTTGCCAGCACATATTGTCATGTTACCACATAATGGTTGTACTCTACACGAGCTGCATTCGTAATTCTCGCAGCATGCGACTCATGTCTAGATGCAACGTAGAAGGCGTTCGTATCGTGGAGCAGACATGACTCGGCTGTGTTCGCGTTCACCAGCAGGAAAACCGCAACCGATGCTGACCGTAGCCCCGCCTATGAACCGCCTCCACAGCATCAGCCTTCCATACTTCCCCTGACGGTGCATATGCAAGGCGCAAGGCATCGCTGATAGCTCTTGAATCGTAACACTGGGCTAATAGTAGCAGTGGCGGCAACAGTCTTCACGAGCATTGTTCCGCGGGCCTAACATTCGATAGCTGAATACCCAGAGAGAGTTCGTAATTCACACGCTGCACCAAAGAACATGGCTTTTGCACTGAAGGGAGTGGCATACATTACCGGTGCTGGGTCTGGTATGTTTGATCCGACTGTGTCGCTACCACCAATGAGCTAATGTATCATTAGGCATTGGCCAGTACACTGCATATGCTCTTGCAAGACAAGGTGTACGCTCATTCGCCTTGCTGGATCGCAATCCCGTCACTAAAACCGTGAGCGAACTACATAAAATCTCATCCGACTGTTCTATCAAGACCTTCGAGATCGATGTCACCAACGAGAAAGCTGTCGATGACAGTGTAGAAAAGACGGTCAAGGAGTTCGGACGACTAGACTATGCTGTCAACAATGCCGGCATAGGTGGCATGATCAAGACCTCAGACCAGATCCCGAGAGACGACTTCGAGAAAGTCATGTCCATCAATACCACCGCTGTTTGGCAATGCCAACGTGCGCAGGTTCGGCAGATGCTCAAACAGGAAAAGTTGTCGGACTCGTACCGGTCATATCGAGGTTCCATCGTCAATGTCGCATCCATGTATGGTCTGGTCGCACCGCCGCTCAACGTTCCTGCTACCGCATACGCTACTTCCAAGCACGCTGTCATTGGCCTTACAAAGTCAGATGCACTCGCCTTCGCGCACAAGGGTATCCGCATCAACGCAATTTCACCTGGATATGTAATGACACCTTTGGTACAAGAGCACATGGGTCAAGGCGAAATGATGGAAACGGAGAGAAAAAAGGTCCCTGTTCACCGCTATTCAGAGATGGAGGAAATCGGCGACTGTATTGCGTTCCTACATTCTGACGCGGCGAGTTACATGATTGGATCCACATTAGTCGCGGACGGAGGATACACAATTGTCTAAAGCTTTGTACTAGCCAACGCCTTGATGACTCGACATTGCCTTCACACGCTTGCTACGATACATAATTCTTTTGTCAAACATATGCAACTGTGTTGATTTCATCGGTCGCATCTCGGCAGAGGTTGTCCACCGAGTGCTCCACCCCGATCCCCGCAAATTGGGAGACGCAACCTCCATATCCGAAAAGGGTCCCGACTGCCCCAAGCATTTGTACGATTGGCTAATCGACCCTCTTTCGGTTTCATCACCATTACGCGACCTGAGGGCTCCAGATCTTGCGTCTGTGCAACACTCGGAAATGCTTTGCCAGACGGAAAGTCATGAATAGCCTCTCCAACCTTTCGCCCACATCACGAATCGTCACCGTATCTCGCGACCCCAACCCTGCTCCAACTCATTTAGCGTGACCCCAGGTCTCACCGTTCACTAAATTGACTCGCTATGTGGAGTCATTAGGCTTACACCTGACTCTTGAAGGCTACGCAGTCGCGGCGCAAACATGCCGCAAACAAAGTTTAAGAACGGTGAAGGCCTCGGAGTGGTCGCAGCTTTGCCTTGAGATCCAGCTTCAACTTTGTTTTGCGACCCAACTTTCCCATTATCTATTTACCTTTCACAATGGCCGACGGATTTATTGTCCCATCAACGGCTGCGCCAGAGACTGATGCTCAGCACCGGTTACGTGGGCCCATCCATGCGCAACGCCATGTGCGCATCGTGTGTATTGGTGCAGGTGCTTCGGGACTCCTGATGGCATACAAACTGCAAAAGCATTTCTCCAATTACAGTCTTCAAGTTTACGAGAAAAACTCTGAAGTTTCGGGCACATGGTTCGAGAATAGATATCCGGGGTAAGTGGAGATCAGATTGATTGTTGCGGGGCATAATGCGCCTATCGCCCCATGATCTACCGAAGCGACTGCAGCGAAGCGGCGCAGTCGACCAACCCTTGCTAACATTCGCTTCTAGATGCGCATGCGACGTTCCTTCACACAACTATACGTGGTCATTTGAGCCCAAATTGGACTGGTCCGCTGTATACGCCAGCTCCAAAGAGATCTTTGCCTATTTCAACGACTTCGCCCGCAAGTACGGTCTACGCAAGTACATCAAGACGCAACACCAGGTTGCCGGCGCAATCTGGAATAAGCAGAAAGGCGGATATGACGTGCAAGTCAAGGACTTGGAGAGTGGCCAGACCGTCAACGATCATTGCGACATCTTGATTAATGCGGGCGGCATCTTGAATAATTGGCAGTGGCCTGCTATCCCAGGCCTAGACAAGTACAAGGGCACATTACTACACACTGCGAATTGGGACGACAACGTCGATCTCAGAGGTCGCCATGTCGGCTTGATTGGAAATGGGTGAGTGCATTGAATTTGATTATGAACTCCACAACTGACCACTTCAGCTCCTCCGGCATTCAAGTTCTCCCTACTATTCAACCCCACGTCAAGAAAGTCACAACCTTCATCCGCGAGCCAACATGGGTCTCGCCAGTCCAGGGTCTCGAGCAGCACGTCTTTACCGACAGCGAAAAGCTCGAATTCGCTACCAAGCCCGGCGCCTTGGTTGAATACCGAAAGAACATCGAACGCGGTCTCAACGGTCAATTTGGCATCTTTCTCAAGAACACGAACGTCAACTCCGAAACAGAAGCCTACTTCCGCCAACAAATGGCCGAAAAGCTTAATAACGAGTACCTACAAGAGCGCTTGATTCCGAACTGGCATGTTGGATGTCGGAGACTAACACCGGGCGTTGGCTATCTTGAAGCACTAGGAAAACCCAACGTACAAACCGTCTACGGAGAGATCAACTCCATCACCGAGCGCGGCTGCGTATGTGACGACGGCAACGAATACCCCATCGACGTCCTCATCTGCGCCACCGGATTCAACACATCCTTCAAGCCACGTTTCCCTGTGATAAACTCCTCCGGTGCCAACCTACAAGATGCCTGGGCCAAAGAACCACGCTCTTACTTTGGCCTCGCCGCCGCCGATTTCCCAAACTACCTCATCTTCCTTGGCCCCAACTGCCCTATTGGCAACGGTCCTGTCCTCAGTGCTATCGAAGCGCAGGCAGACTACATGTGCAAGCTCATCGATCGCTTCCAAACACACAACATATCAACGTTTGCCCCGAGAGCTGATGCCATCGACGACTTTGTCGCCTTCAAGGATGAGTACATGAAGCGTACCGTCTGGAACGACGGCTGTCGCTCATGGTACAAATCGCTCGGCGCTGACGGCCCCGTAACGGCGCTCTGGCCGGGTTCTACTCTACACTACATCGAGGCGCTCATGGAGCTTAGACTAGAGGACTGGGATGTCAAATACACTGGCAACAGGTTCTCGTGGCTGGGCAATGGGTACTCGCAAACGGAAATCGATCCTACGGCCGACTGGGCGTTCTATGTCAGGGATAGAGATGATGATGAGCCGATATCGAGGTTGAGGAAGTTGCAGCTGATCAACAAGAGTGGAACAGTTGAGCCGAGTGAAGGGGTGAATTTTACGGGCGCAAAGGCCAAGACAGATGCGGTGGTAGAGTCGAAGCTGTAGTGGTTGATTTTTTACATTGTTTGTGGTGCACAGGATGATTATCCGAGGCGTTTTCAATCAGGATTAGGGATTTTGTATACATTATGGTCGATCAACGGGCGATCAATTCATCTTCAAAGTGTTGACACATAAACCGCGGCGCTGCTCAGTGTTCTCATCCGCTCCATCACGTGCCAGAGCTCGCTGTCCAGCATGCCTCAGTAGAGCCCTGGAGAGGCCGCGCTGCATCGAACGTATACCGACCTTAGAAGCCATGCGAACACATGCGCACTTCGCGCAAGCAATGAAACGCGATAAACGCGAAAATAGCAAACATGGAACTGCCATTCGCACGAACGATGAAGGAACTGGTTCAAAATAGACGAGGCGACAGCGATTCCCACGCGAGCTGACTTAAGATTTGCGCTAGGGCAGCACGGCTCCCCAACCCGCGGCGCCCGTCGATTCTGCGAACCCACCAGCGAAACACTCCGACACTGCTCGCGACCAGCACCCAATTACTGCACGGGGAAACAGTGACCGAGCCTTTGGAGATCCGGAGAGTGGGAGTTCGTGTTCTTATCTGCGTGTAAGCATTGTACATGATCGACAGCGTCAATGAGCGTTGCAGGCGCCTTGCGCATAAAGTTTACAGCTGAGGAACGAACTCGTTTGCGAAAGCGAGCAGCGCGGACCAGACGTCACAGGTAGACAAACAGCACGAACAGTTCTGTTTGACACTACGCGATTCGAAAGATGTTTCTGAAATGTCAGATCAGCTATTTCCAGCTCTCGCTCTACCACCCGTCCCTTCAAACGTGCCAGACACAGAGCATCCACGTCACAGCTCTACGATCCAACCCTGTGGACATCTCTCGGCTAACGAGGATCGTCCTACCTCACCATCCCCAACCCAGCGCACTAACGCACAGACATTACCTATCCCGGCGCTCGGAAACAGAGACGACGCGTTTCGGTAGCTACTATTTCGATATTGGGCGGGCGGATGATCGTCGGCGTAGTACAAGCTATGCGTGGTGCTGTATGGATGTTGGGGTAGAGTGAGGGACGCCATGCCGTGTCAAGGGTGTAAGACATGCATCTTGACTGCGTCTTGACGTTTTGGACAACGGATTAGGGTCATGGAGAGTAGAGTAGGGGTCTCCAGACGCGAGTAAGACCGGTAAGGAATGAGCAAGCGGGAAAGATGTATATATTCTGCTGTCTTTCACCATGGAGATAGATCATCATCCAGCAAGCTCCTACTTCTCTCATCAACTCAACTCAGCCTTATCAGCTACTTCTCTTCACTATTACTGCCGGCCAGTTCCTTTAATCCCCTACCAAATCCTCACAACTACAAAGTCGTCAAGATGCCTACTTCCCAAATCTCCACTCCCCTCAACGGTGTTGACGCCGCCGTCGTCATTGCCGCTCTCCACAACCACGACCTCATGATCAAGACCCTATGCCCAGCACTCGTCAGCTACGCTTTCGAATCCGGTGACAAGGCTACTTGCGCTACCTATACCGTCACCGACAAGAAGCCCATTGGCCAGGTACGACTAGCCCATCCTCCCCCCTTTTCTTTTTCCTTAATATGATACTAACCAAACCAGACAACCTACAAGCTCACCCTCACCAACGTCTCCGAGGGTGTCGATTCCCTCGTCAACGCCAAACCCCCCGTTGGTGTCCTCACCATCAGCGGCAAGTGGCGTGTGACTGGCGGCAAGCTCAGCGAGGAGATTGACATTGACGCCAACTTCATGATGAAGAAGGTCGCTAAGAACAACGTTGAGAAGACGCACCCGGAGCAGCACATGAAGCTCTTGGAAGCTGCTCAGGCTTAAATGATGGCGATGGATGAGAAAGGGATGCATTGGATGGAGCATTTGTTATTCTATTTGTGTCTCGTGTGAGCATTCTACTCGCGACAGGTAGGATGAGGTTGTACGCATAGCTTGGTGTTCGTCATGTCTGCAATGAAGCATTTTATTTTTATCTATACTACAACTACTACAAACGTGATGATTGCAGACTATACACTTAAACGGTCTTTTTGTAGAGCTAGGCTGGATATTCTAGAGCTGAAAATATTATCTACTAGTTTTCTAGAGGCTTTCCAGCTAAGGTTCTCCTGAGGCACAGCCCATCACACAATGCCCATGATCACACTGGTCAGGCCATATGTTGCAACCACCACACAAGTCCCAGACCGAAACACAGAGCTCGTGATTGTGAGGGCGCCCACCGCGACAGTGAAAGGTAGCCACAGAACACCAACTTTGCATGCTCCCTTCCACGTTCGCCCAATTGTATCCAGACATCGCTGTGGCAACAGCTTGGACTTGCACAGTTTGAGTGGCGGTCTGCGTTACGTGTTGTACGACCTGCACCACCTGTGTGGTCTGCACAACCCGCGTAGTCTGCACAACCTGGGTGATAGTTGTTGCCACGTATTGTGGAACCTGAACATACTTTGACACAGTCTGCGTGGTGGTGGTTGCAAAGTATTGAGGAATCTGGACATACGATGATATCGTCTGTACCTGCGTGGTGACCGCGGTCGCGTATTGCGTGGACGTCGTGTACGTAGGAACGACCTGGTATGAGGTGCATGAGCCCTGAGTCGGAGTAGCCAAGTTTCGGTTCGGCGTCTGGGTTGGAGCAGGCGGAAGTGTAGTCGTAACAGTCACCGTGGCTTGAGCACAGTGTGAATCGCCGCCACCGCCGTTATTCGATCCGGGAGCAGCATGGTGGCCGCTACTGTGTCCGCTACCATGACCGCCATGGTGGAATAGAGCGTCGAAGGGGTTTGGAAGGCCATGGAGGGGGTTCGGGATATGGTCGAGGATGCTTTTGGCGGCACCAGTAGCATCCTTGATTAATCTGTTTGCCGTACCTGGAACGATGGAGTCGACGTCTTGCATAGCTGACTCAACCGACTGGGATAAGGTACTCAAAGCAGGGGCAACGCGGTTCGCGCCTTCTTGGATCTGCCCACCTAGAGTTTTGGCAAACTCCATGGTATTCCTGTAATGATTGGCGAACTTAGCCATCATTCCCATTGGATCGGCAGCAGGGTCGAACGGCAACAGCGCAATGCCGTCTACACTCGCGACTGGTAGATTGGCGAGCGTATTGTGACTTAGTTGGACGAGGCTGCTGATTGCTGGCTTGCTCAATAGTTTGGCTCCTACAGCTTCGGCTAGCTCTGCGGTGTTGGTTGCAAGTTCGCGGTTGAGGTATTCGAAAGCTGTGGCCAGACTGCCGGTACTGTCGACCAAGCGAATCGTCTCTTCCAGCTGACTTGCAAACTGTACTGCCCGCGCGGTCTCGACCTTCATGTCTTCTAGTTGGCTCACCAAGACTTCTTTGAGACCGCGATTCAGTGAGTTAGCAACCCGACCCGCAACTCCAGCTTCAGCCTCCTTTATGACGCTTTCAATATCGGGGAGGAATTTGTCGCAGATACTCTTAGCTAGAGCAGTTCCGAGGCTGTTGGTAACGACGCTACCAATAAAAGCGCCAGGAACAATGCCTTGCTCCATCTCTGGAGCCGATGTGCCATTTCCATCGGTGCCGTTACCTGGTGGGTAGAGTGTTTTGCCAGCCTCTTGACCGACAACGGCACCAGCCATGCCCCCTGCTCCACTTATGATAGCGTTGCAAATACCCCCAGTTACGCCGTTATCTGCGATACCGGTCGCAGCAGGAACCAGCAGGGAGCTGATGAATGCAGCGGCGACAAGGCCATTCTCCTTGTCGGTACGATCTTCGCGAGAAGAAAACGTGAGGTTTGAAGATGGCGCGGCCTCGGCAAGAAGACTGTGGGAGGTAATCCAGAACGCGGGTAGGTTACCTAAAGATCCGTCGAGGAGGGCGTTGAAGTCGACTTGGATATCTGGCTCGATGGGTTGTCGTGTCGTTAATCGGAAAGCCGGTGCTATGGGTACACCTGCGGTTAAGCCGGTGAAATAGCATGTTGCCCAGGCGTAGCGGTAAATGCTCTGAATCAGATGCATTTTGAAAAACCGAAGGTTTCTGTCGAACTAGGCTCCGTTGTTGTCTGTCAGTCAGATTCGGTCTTTACTCGAGATGCTAAAAGTGTATCGAAATCTGAATGTAGACACAAGCTTGGAAGAGAAAACATTCGAGGGAATTGCGTATGCTTATATAACAAGTACAGTCCAAGCGCAGTGGAGCTATGCAGTTCGTGTGCCAAATCTCGCAATGCTGTACCGTAGTTACCAAGTCCTGGTCTTCGCTCCCAACCCTAATGAACTGTGGTGCTGAAGCTTTTCCATGTTTCTCATAGTTCGGTGATGATGCGAAGCGCATAAGGAATCGCTATGAGGTTGGAGTGGTCGTAAATGAAGACGGTATTCGTGGGTCTCGACACGAAACCATGGTTGAGGCTAGCGAACGCCAAAGTCGCGAGCCCACCTCCGCTTGCACACCAATGAACATGCTCTTCACACGACCCCGAACTATGGTCACTGAGATGCACGGTTCAGTCTCACTAATCATCTCGTCGTCGTCAACTAGCTCCAGTCCTAGATGTTTCAACGATAAGTTCTGGTAGCCGAGATCATTTACCACAATGGAGATGAAATTCTGGCCAAAGAAACATGCCCAAAGAGTCAAATGTGTGAGCTGAGAGAACGATATAATCTTGCTGAGTCCATAACAAGTATGGATGCCGAGCGGGATGCCGGAGAGTGAAAATTCACAAAGCTTTTTTAGGCGCCCAAAGGGTTCTTTCAGTACCCAAAGGGCGGCGAGTGGTCGGAAGACATCACTATACCTCTCAGAATTGGTTCCAAGATGCAATCTCTATATATCCGTGTACTAGTCAGTGGACCACAGGAAGTCTTTGAAGCTCGGAAACTCCGGTTCTGACGACGGGTCGTCTCCATTGGGGAGCTAGAAGTCCACAGTTCGCACACAGTCGAGGTCTTCCAATAGATAAAAGTCCTCAAGCCTAAGGTGTACGTGTGCTAATGTGTCCGATTGTTGGATTAAAAATGCGGGGCCAAATTCCCAGGTGACTGTAGGGCTGAGAGAAACATAACGCAGCTTGGCGAAGGTCATGTATAACGCTTCGAGGCTATGACGCGTAAATGCCACACAGTGCCAGACTGGCAGTGCGATATTGTGAAAATCGACTCACCGGAAGGATTGCAGGCGGTCCGGAGGAAAGTACGACAGTACTGCTTCTATCGCGCTACTCTGAGCAGACGTCAACTTCTTCCCACGGTTGAAGTGTCGATGCGGTTTGGTCTGGAACTCGGGGGCTTCTGGCGGGGGATGGCTGTCATCAACGTAAAGCTCCTTGTAGCGTCAAGATACGCTTGGGCACCTGCGGCCATGCAATTCTCGAACCGTGCCACCTCCGATGGATCGAGTACGTTAAAGGTGACCTTCCGATACAGTCGAGGCCTGGCTAGGTCGCATAACGCTTTCGAGGCAAGACATAGGGCCTGAAGGTGCGAGGGCAATCGGATCTACCGAACTTAGCGTATCAGCAACTGGGGGTTTTGGGGTCCCCGCGCAAACATAATCCAATATCAGGAGATGTACATCTGCCCGCAGAACTGGGAGGGTCGACATCGTCGCATGCATTTGTTGAGCAAGTGGAGTGGAGGAACGACGCGTCGGCGCGTCCAACGCCGCAGGCGGGGCGGCGGGTAGGCTCTTGGCACCCAGGTGCCCCTTGACAACGGCTTGCAAGCTGCCGGCTTGCTTCCTCCCGATCCACAAAACCCACCTTTTTACATACCGCGCAGTAAACCTGTTACGCCATCACATTTGATGCACTCCCTGGTTTCGTACTAGTCATTGCAGCTTGATTCTTAGGAGCTATCATATGTACAATATTGCTCGGTGCTGAGAGTCAGAAGGATCAGCCACGCATGTGACATGCCCCACGACACTACCTAGATACGGTGTCTTTTCTCCCCATAGCAATTTACTCCTCGGAGAGAACATCCTTCTTCTCCTTCGGAGGCCTGAATCCGCAGTACAAGCAAGTATCAGGGTATCCTGTCCACGGGCTTCCCTTGACCGGTACACCACCATCTGCCGTCCACATGTTTACGGGTTGAGGGTTTTGCTTCGCGCGGGGATTGACGCCGACATCAATCGTAGCATAAAGACCATCTTCAATAGTCTTACCAATAAGCGAGATCTTCAATACCGGGTCGTCACCACCCTGCTTCGCCATGTTGAAGAGCGGATCGACTGCGTTGGTGGTGATGGCTTGCTTGTTCGTGTTGTAAGGAGAAGTCTTCTCAACTTGGCCCAGGAAGTTCTGCTCGACGTAAAACTGACCGACGTGGGAGATAGTGCCGCCCTGAATGGTATTGTTGGGAAGGAGCTTAGCACCATGGTGGATGATGGCTAGGGTTGTCAGTGTCAACACGTTGGTAAAAGACAGGAGTGAAGCGTACTGTGGAGATGGTTCGTGCGGCCGACGTAGTGTCCTGGGATAACGGTAATGAAGGTAGCAGTACCATTGGCGCCGGTGGGTTGTACGCCGCGAAGAGCATTGGTCGCAATAGCGGTAGCAGAACCGTCGCCGTTGCCCTTCGCCTGAACACCTGTGTAGACACCAGTGGCGTTACTTCCCCACATCTCGACGTAAGCATCAGTAACGGGCTTGCAAGATGAAGTGTCGATGATGTTAACATCCAAGTGGGTAATGGCACCCTTTTCTCCAGTCAAAAGGTCCTGGCGAACGAGCTCGCCGGTAACCCCTAATGATATGTAAGTCAACCTGTGCTAAGAGATGCAACCTTCTTCACTTACAGTATGGGCCTTCGGTGGACTCAGGGTCGAGCGTGCATGCTGCCTCGGCACCGTAGGCTTCTTCAACTTCAGCAACGTCGCGACGAACGAACTCATGTTCTTTTGCGAAACCAGCTGCGACACGGAGCTCATGGAGCCTAGCCTCACGCCTCTGGTGCTGCTCCCGGACCCACCCGGTCTCGACGAGATCTCTTTTACATGCCTGGACACTTCGACGGTTTGGGTGATCCAGATGCGCCTGTCTCCTTAAGATCTCCTTGTTGGTGTTGCCACCAGGGTGCGCAACAACACCGGTAGCCAAAAGAACGGCGGTAAGCGTTTGCGTGAGCTGAACCATGACGGATGTGAATGCTTCGTGAACGTGAGGAGTCCCAATGTGATCTCAAGATGCAGTGTAGTCGGCCTTCTTATACTTCTAGTTGCTGCGCCTTGGTGCGGCATTCCTGCAGGTGCTAATGACATCGTTCTGGATCTACGGATCTGTGCCGTCGCTGTTCTCGTCACCACGCAGTGTAAACTGCATTCCCTGTTGTGTGCTACTCTCCACAGATTGTCTAGGATGAGGTCCATAATCAACATGGCTGTGATAGGCAGCGGCAATTGCTCGCTTCGGTACACGCGCCGCAGCTAGATTAGCGTTCATCTAGTGCCCGATCTTGGCGGCGGAGTGCATGCGGCAAGGTAGTCTTGGTACGACTCTCCAGGACGTCGTGTGGCTAATGTCGACCGGTCGTATATTAACCGGAAGTTCTGCGCATGGCGATCGGTAGTTGAATGCGGTGTAATGTGTCCGCGTAATGATGCAGTTCGAGATCTATACATCCAGGAATGCAGAAGCAAGCATCCCTAAACTGACACTGATACATACCTTCTGCTTCGAGGTTGGTCAGACGCTGTTCGATGTGTCTGAAGACGCAGATACAAAATCGTTGAATCTGCTTAGCCAGTCTCGGCTAAGCGAGTGGAGGGCGGTTGGATTTTACTGGGGCTTACACAGGTATACTCGGGCGGCCAAGACACCATCTACATATACTCTTGCATTGATGAAAGCTGGCACGCTCATAAGGTGGAGCAAATGGCAGGACCTATATTGCTCAGCACCAACAACGTCTTCGAACGGATCGGGCTTATGCTGCCGAGTGTGCGTGTCTCATGTGCCTGGATGGATGCAGATCCTGGCAGCTGCCATATGTGACATGGGGCTGAGGATGTCACGTTGCTGAGAGCGGCGTTCTGTACATGGCTCGACCTTTTACCCACGCTTTCGCCGCGGAATGATTTCCATTTGTCGTCAAGCCGGTCACAATCTTCTCATCCGGGTTCCAGCAGTCCGTACCATGAGTGACCGACTCCTTCCTCGGAGCACTCGCTCAGGATGAGCCACTCGGTTCTGAAAGATAGACTGTCCATGCATTAGCCCTCCGACGGTACTCTTTCCTTTCTGAACCTTTTCGCCCATGTTTTAGCGCTCAAGATAACATCTTCATTGTCGAAGCTTCCATAAGATGATTCTGGTGAGAAGATAGCGCATCGACAGCACCTCCATCATAGGCTGTAGATATCTGGAAGCCCAAGCGGCAAGGATGGGACCAGCGGTAGTTTGCCTGAGGCGAGTACACGCGGTCGAGGTAGCAGTATCAGAAGCCTTGGTCAAGCGCAGTGTCGGAAGGTGTGTCGTGTGTGCAGAATAGAGAAGACGAAGGCAGACGCGCCATGGGCATGGCAACATTAGGTGCGGGGTGCGTCAGAGCTGATCAAAAGCACTGCTACTACAGCTGGCACGATATAACCAAATAAAATGATAACGCAACCGTTGTTGGAAGAGATAGTATCAGTACAGGAAGTTCCTTGCTTGGTCCTCTGATCTGTGCCTGAGGCCGCTCCTGCGCGCCGGCCATAGGCGTCAAGACATGGCTAACCCCTACATGGATTTTCGGGCGTCGCTGCAGGGAAGTGGCCTGCAACCTCCGATGGAGAACACGGATGTGCTCCCATTAGAGTCGTGACAGTAGGTATAGTGAAGCGACCTAAGCTTCGCGGTTTTCTGGAGGCTGGAGCTTCGCTCTCTGGAATATTCTCCATGAGCTAAAAAGGTGCACTAGTGCCGAGGTCACTGTGCAAGCGAGTCTGGAGCCGTTCGTTCCGCACTCCTGGCCGAAACACGACCCTCGACAGCTGAAACTTACAACGCCAGGACAGCCCCGACACCAGCGTCTTGACGATGTTTGGTAGTCCTTCTCGCATGCTCACCGTGACGCGATTAGCCCAGCGCCACACCTCCGTTGCGCATTGAACGAATGATGGTGCCCATTAGCTCCGTGCCCCTGGCGGCACTCCCTATAGTATCAGCGTCTGAAGCCTGCGAAGTTAACTACAGTGGCGAAACGGTTTGGCGTCTGAGGGTGATGAAGAAACGACGAAACATTGCAATGCTTTTGCAAAATCAATATAGGCGTTCATGCTCGCTAGCACTTACTTTCTTTACTTGACCGTCGTCATTCCAACTTTCTCACGCAAGCATACAGTAAGATGGCGACTTTTCTCAACTCTCCAAACACACCTAAACCCGCACACACATTCTACCATGATGACAGCGCATCTCGAAGCCACAAGGCAAACCTGTCTGGCGCAACCATGCTGGACCTGTTGAGTGGTCCGGAAGGATCCATCGCCGCAGCCTATGAGTCCTCGAGCGTGCACCAGCGTTCTTCCAGGTCAAGGCGGCCTTCCCAAACGTCTATTACCAAGTCTCAATTGCACCAGACGAACCGCACTCTGATCGAGATCATTCACAATGTCCAGGCCGAGCTAGCGACACAGAGAGAGGCTATGCTTGACATGCAAACACGAATTCTTCAGCTTGAAAGCACCTCACAGATATACAACCAGGACCTTGCCCCGCGTCATACAATCGCCGGACACCGCAAGCGGTCTCAGATCAGGAGTGCAGAGGGTGCTACGCGCGAAACGCAGGGACGATGGGACGCATACCAGAAAGATGTGGACATGCTTGGCCCTCCTCTTATCGCAAACGAGTTTTGGAAGTCACCTAGCCGTTTCTCTGGCTTCAACTTCAACTTCGATCTACTTGAGACGATACCGAAGTCTCTATATCCATCTCCTCCAGACGTAGATGACGTCCCCAGTCTTTCTCCAGATGAGCAGCCAGAAACATACACGCCAGGGCTTCGCCGGATTCCCACTAGAATCACCCGAATCAGGACAGCGGATCCTACTACCATGTATCACGATGCAGTAAGCGACATTAGGGAACACGTTGTCGAGTTTGACAAAATCAAGATACCCACCGCTCCTAAGCTTCAAACGCCACCACGAAGCGCACGCAGCAAGTTGACATCGATGAACAGCCAGGATGACGAGATCACAGCGTTGCCACGGATTCCCTTCCAGTCCACCGCAACAGTACAGAGCTCGCATCGTAGCTTGATGGGTATCAAGAGCTTGCTTCTGTACAGAACTTCCTCGAGGAGTCAAAAATCTGACTACCCTCCATCGGATCATCGACGTTCCGGCTCTTCCTTACGCTGCTGAGTGCCAAGATGGTATCTTTGCGCAAAGTTACGTTGGTATTGGTAGCAAGAGAGCTGGCGAAGAAGGTCAATATGAATTAGGGTCGAAAGGGAATCGTTCGCGACAGACGTGTAAATGTTATGAGGAATATATGTACGGTGTGTCGCCACCGCCGTTGGTCTGGCCCACAGCTTCCAACGCTTTCTTACAAGTTGAATGCACCACTTCGGAAATAGTCCAGATCAATGCAAACGATAGATCACCTAGATACACTCTCTCATCGTGACCGCGAAGTGACACATGCATGACCTCGCTGACGAGCTAATAGCGTGAACATGCCTCGGAGTTAAGGCGGCTTGGCATTTCTCGCGCTTTCCACCACGCAAAACGTCATTACCCGTTCGCATATATCATCGCTCCGCCTGCCACCTTTTTATCGACAAGCACACTGCAAAGGCGCACACACATCATGGCGTCCCTCTTACGGAGACCTTTCGCCATCACGGCAACATTGCGACAAGCATCGCCGAAAGCACCGCAAACTCTCACGATCCGCGCCTTCCACAACACGCCACTCAGGCAGCAGCCGCACTTCTTCCGCCCCGCAAAGCCCACGGTATCGACATCGCACAATGTTTCCAGGTTCCAGCAAGCGTTCCGACGCAGATACCAGCAGGCCGCATACAATCCGATGGCGCAGGGAGACATGCGACAGCGTCTGCTGTACGGAGCTGGTGAGAAACAGCCATGTACGAACTGATGGGAGACATTTACTGACTACGTACGCCAACGTTAAAGGCATTTTTGGAGCGACATTACTCGGAATCAACTTCATCTTCAACCGCGAGACCCGCGAGGACGGCGGCATGCCGCCATTTGAGCGCGAATACCTCAACGACACCTTCATGCACACTGGCCTCGGTATTGGAATGATTGGCATTGCTGCCCGCGCGCTGCACATGAACGGCTGGAGCTTCAGGCTTATGAGCGCGAACCCGTGGCTGGTACTTGGAGTTGGCCTGGTCGGAAGCATTGGCACAATGTATGGCACCATGGCTACCTCGCCGTCTAAGTAAGTGTGGATATCGCCATTGTATTATAGAGTGGATTTGCTAACCTGACGCAGCTACGTCCAAAAGTACGCTCTCTGGACTGCCTTCAACGGCACACAAGCACTCCTCCTGTCGCCCCTCTTCTTCATGCACCCTGCAATCCTCGCTCGCGCCGGTCTCTATACCGCCGGAATGATGGGTTCAATCGCTTTCGTTGGTAAGTTGTGGCCCGTACGAAGTACATGTGAGACATATACTGACTGTGTATCCTCAGGTGCGACTGCAAAGACAGACAAGTACCTCTACCTGGGGGCACCGCTTTTGGGCGGCGTGGCCATTGTGGCGCTCTCTGGTCTCGCTCCACTCGTCATTCCCGCCACCGCTGCCCGCACACTTATGTTCACCGAGAACATCTGGCTATACGGCGGTCTCGCCGTCTTCGGTCAGTGCTTTTTTTGTACAAATTGCCTGTGAGGCATACACTGACATAGATATATAGGTGGCTTCACCCTCTACGACGTGCAGAAGGTGCTGAACCATGCCCGCCAGGCTGAGCGTGGTTTGATCCCCAAGGATCCTGTCAACGAGTCCATCTCGCTCGAGTTGGACTTCATCAACATCTTCGTCCGCATGGTCCAGATTCTGGGCATGAGCCAGAATAGGAGGAAGTAAACATCTTGCGATGATGGTATAGGGAAGCCTGCAGGTTCCTTATGAGACTTGCACCTTCTTTGTGTTCGTTGAATGTGCTATGAGTTTTGGCCATAGCTGTATATAACTCCTCTCTTTGGGCTTTCTGCACTGATACATACCACAAATGAGAAAAAACAGTTGAAATCATTCTCTCATATACGTCTTTTGTATTCCCTAGTCGACTATGGCCCGTCGCGCTGTGTCTGTAACTCTGTTCGATATCTGTCGCCCTGGGCCACGCTGAGGGATCGAAGCCTTCGCCGGCTTCCCTTGTATATCCTGAGACAAAGCTTCAGTCGCATGCGTTTGCCTGCCTTCTCAGCTACACTTGGTCTGATAGCTTGCTGCTACTGCAGCGGTAATCTCATCGCAGAGTGCTTTCAACTTGTTCCGATCTTGTAATTTGGGTAGTGTAGGCGCCCATCTCAGCCATTCACCCACCGCATCTCTGAGGCGTCCTCGGTGGTCTTTTGTAGAGATATGAGCAACGCCAGTTGCAGGATCATCGGAATTCGGAGGAACAAGAGCTGCACCGGCACGAATCATCATCATCGTTATTTCAGCATCCTCCACAGCGCGCTTATCCTTGGTAATGACCATGTAATCTGACCCCATCCATGCTCCCCAACAAGTTCTCATCTCATCCCCAGACAGTGCGATACTGTCGTTCGGATTGCTGCCAGAACGGATTAGAAGATCGATCATACCCGGCGAGCATGGGAAGAAACCCCGAATATAGATCCTTGCAGTTGACAGTGGCTTGATGAACGCGTGATATAAAAGTCTGTGTTTTGAGCTTTCTGAGTGGCTGTTCAGCTTCCGGAGGGCGTTGAAATTTCTCAGGTCGTGCCTTTGGGCGAAAGTTGTCAAGTCGAACTCTATAGCCAGTAGAAAAGCGTTTGTGCCCAGTGATGAATCGAGAATGGGTGAGAGAGATGGGATATTGGCGTTTGCTTCATATTGAAGCGCAAAGGCGAGACGGTCGAGTAGGCGGGACATATTCGAAGGCGAACTCTGTTCCACCTCCCATGCATAAGCCAGGGCTCTCCAGAAAATGCCATCACTCTTGACGGCGCCTCTCATCTGGTTGTAGAGGGTGTAGCACGATATATACGCCAACACTGTGTTGGCGTCGAAATCGTGGTCGACGATTTGCAGGCAATCCAACCCCCAAATGTTCGGAGTACTGAGATACTCGAACACCGTGCGGTGCATGAACTCGACATAAGAATCGTGTTCGTCAGTGGATGTATAGACCTCCAGGAGTCCTCTACACCGACTGCGCAGACGACCCTCGAACCTCGTAGTCAGTGCTTTCTTCTCTTCAAGGGTAGGTGTTGTGAATTCTCCCATTGCGCATGCCCTCATATCCTTTTCATGGGCCCAGGCTAAATTAACGGACGACAGTTCCGGTTGAATCTCCAGTGAGCGACGGATGTAGCAGACTCGCAGGAGTTGCGCAGCCTGTTGAAGGTAGCGGGTGGGAAGACCATTGAGTATGTGACGGAAGAGATTTTCGAGCTCCGCTGGTAACTCATCAACGCGACGTCGTAGTTCCTCCACGCTATCGTAGGCCTCAAACCCCTCGAGGAGCGCGCGGCATGCAAGCACAACCCATAGGAACACACCGTCGGCTTTGCTTCGTATATCATTCACCAGTGTCTCAGTAGTCGCATCATTGTAGTTTGCGGAATAAGTATGTGATCGCAAGGCGTCGCTGACGTATGTGCTGATATCCGATGCCGTGAGGTCCTGCAATCTCAACTTGGGTGCTGATGAGAAGGCTGCGACACACGTGTCAATGGTCCTACTAGACACAACGATCTTGATATGTGAGCTAGTGATGAGACTTTTCACGAATAATATGCCATCTCGGTGATTGCCACTAAACTCATCGAGACCGTCGATGAAAAAGGCGTAAGCACCAGCTGTCTTCTCAGCGCTGAGTCTTCCGAACGCGTTCTTCATTTCGATATGTGATGGAGTACTCAGGTCAAAAGCGCCGCTTCGAGCCTCTTGCCACATATGGGGAAGTACTGTAGGAATCAGGGCTGGGTTCTTCGTTAGAACATGGTACAGTAACCCCCGAGCAAGACCTTCCTGTGAGCTCTGCTCGGAGGATCCGATGTTCCACAGGAAGAACGAGGTCCCGGTCAGTTTCCTGTGTCCCGCCCATGTATGTAATGAAGACATTGTCTTGGGATGGTTGTAGAGAAACTTCTGACGAGTTGAAGACATGATTAGTATGCATTTCAAGTGCATATGGGGAAGAAACATGACTAACCATGAGAGTAGATTTCCCGCTGCCAGGCTTACCGTGTATCCAGTAGATGCCACGTCCACACCGTAACCACTGGTCTAAATTGTCCCACACAGCCCCAGAAGCGGGTGGATTGATGGCCCATTCCAGAGTTTTGGAGTGAGCCTCAACGATGTTGTTTCCTCTTTCGTCGATCAAGCGAAACCAGAGACGGTTTAGAATCAATTGCGTACACCTTCGCTCTATCGTTTCTTTTGTGACACTGACCAGATCGCCGTTGTCGATTACAGAAGCATCCATTACCAAACTCAGCTCTTGAACGCTGTGCATTGCTTGAATCTCCCGCTTCAACACGGTGTGAGTTTGAGTACAGGGTATAACTCGGTCCATATCCATGATAAGATTCGATAGATCTCTAACGAGACCTTCGAATTGTTCCTTGTCTTTGATGACCCACTTGATTTTATCGGAGAAAGAGAACGTGCTCTTACTCTCGCTGCATGGAATGTAACGCGAGAAGCCTGATTCATTAGGCTGAGATACCTGGTCACTGTACCGGTTCCAGAAGTCCAGTGACTGCTCTTGTAGACTTGAGGACAATCGATTGCTGACAGCCGTAGAGGATTCGATTATCTCCTTTGCGCCAGCTGGCCTCAATCCGTAGCGTTTCTGAAGTTTGAAGCCATCTTGGAGAAGCTGACGGATGCAAGTAAGACTGCTGTGCATGAGACGCGCGATGAAGGGATCATTTAGTCGTGTGTCGTATTTGCTATTGTCGTAGAGATTCAAACGGTTTGCCAGTTGTAACAACAAAGTTTTCTGGAAGTCGAGTCTTGTTGCAAGTAGAAGATAGTCTTTGCCCATGGACTCTGCGGTACCTATCTGTGACAAAAGCGTTACACAGTCCTGGAATACTCCGACTAAAGCGAGCGTTCCGATAGCGAGGCCAGCGACTTCCATCTTTGTCGCTCGTCGATTTCAGGAATCGGAGTGGCGATTCGTTGCCAGATGTGCGAGCCCAAGTTTGTGCGCTTCGCCAAAACGGTGGTTTGTGGAGTGTGCTCAGAGAATGGGAGCCAGCGTCGTATCTTATTCACGGTGCCCTGTGGAGGCTGTGCGGTCCCAGGAAGCAATGTTCTGCAGCCTGTATCGAGGGGTAAGCATGCGTAGCCCCCAGACTTGATCTGCCAGCGAAGCGGCCTCAGCTCACTGGCTACATGGTGCAACATCACCAATGCTACTTTGTGCGAAGGCAACGGTGCATTCCTGCGTCCTCAAAAAGGATTTCGGAATGGTCACAAGTGAGCGGCTGCGTTGCGCCAGCCTCTGCGCAATCTTCCTCATGCACCAGAAACCACCTGCAGGCTCAGCTGGAGTGAACGCGACAGCCCGCTCCTCGCGGCCAGGAAGCTTTGGGACGGAGGTGTTTCTATTCAGTGTTTTGAAATTTAGCAGAATCGCGTTTGAACAACCACACTAGCTAGCATCAGCTCGGAAAGTATGAAGCCTTCACCTGCCCATTGACGAGCTCATATGTGGCGGCTAGTGCGGGCGCATCTGATCTAGCGTTATGTCGCACATCATGTGGCTGACGCCAAAATCCATCAGTCACCTCGCGCTGCCTATATAAACATCTACAGAGTATTCCATCAGCATCAGGAAGTATAATCAGATAGCAGACACATTCCGCTGGAAAAAAAACATCTTGACCCCCACCACCGTACCATTTCATCCGAACACTTGCCCGGCTTCGGTATACCCATCTGGGCAGTCAGGCAAACGCCGCGATCGGACCATTGCTACTCCGACATGACTCGGAACCAAACAAGGCCTCCGGCACTGTATCCACCCAATTACAGTAGTCGGATCTGGGCGATCTTGGTACTGACCACGTGCGGAAGGGAAGAGTGCATGAGGCTCTGCTCCGTTATACGGTGGAGCATGCGCAGGGCGTTTGTGGAGAGCATGAAGCACATGACGTGAAATGCGCGCGAGGAATTATGTGTCGTTAGTAAAAGTAATCGAGCGTGGCACACATTATCCACAAAGCACGAGGAAGCGAGGAAATTATTGTTGTTCATGTCCTTATTCATTCATCGTATCTCGTGGTCATATGGACCTGTTTGGTATCATCATTGTGGGAATCAGCCAGCGGCTCAACCGCTTAAACATGCTCTGCACTGCAGACAAGATCTGGTTGAGAAGCATGCTCAAGCCTTCTCGTTGTGGTTGGAGCCGTCGACGACCTCAACTGCCTTGACACCATCCTTCTCGCTGTGCATGCTGCCAGACTCAATATCCTTGACAGGCTCAACGTTGGCACCGATAGGACCAGCCTCCTCGAAGTGACGACCCTTCTTCTCGGGGCCAAGAGCAGTAGTGACAGCAATACCGAGAGCGATGATTGCAGTCGCAACAGCCATGACTGGTCCGTAAGCGGGGGATTGCTCGCCCTTTGCAGTGCTGATCATAGTAGCCTCAGCGACGGCGTTGACGATCTGAGCAGAGGGCGAGGAAATCATGTTTCCGAGTTGGTAGGTGATACCGACGAAAGAGGAACGGAAAGCAGGTGGTGACAGCTCGCTCAAGTGGATGGGAATGACACCCCAGGCACCCTGGACAAAGAATTGAATCATGAAGCCAGATGCGGATAGACCACGCTCAGTTGTGGGGAGGACCCAGGCGGGGATGAGGCAAGCGGAGATCAAGGCAGCGCAAACGATCATGCGGCGACGACCGAACCATTGCGAGGTGTATCCAAGAATGGTACCACCGACACAGGCACCAGTCTTCATGAGGATAGAAGCACGGGTAGCACCTGCTGGGCTGAGATGCTTCTGCTCCTTCATGAAAGTAGTGTAGCTGTCCTGGCTAGTGTGCGAGTAGTAGTTGAACTGGTAGATGTTAGTGGCATTTCATTGAATGAGAAGTGGCTTATCATACCCAAGTCATAAGGATGATGCAGTAAACACACATCTTCCACTCCTTGCGAAGCATCTGCTTTGTCTCGGCCCAGAAGGCACCGGGCGCCTTCTGGTGACCAGCCTTCTTTGCCTCTAGGAACTGCTTTGACTCAGGGAAGCATATGCGGATGAGACCAACGGCGATCGAGAAACCGGCGCCGACCCAGAAGACGGTCTTCCAAGTGTTGGTCGCACCACCGACACCCAAGTTTGCGCAGGCTGCGAGGACGTAACCGAATGAGTAACCTTGCTGTAGGATACCACTCATAAGACCACGGGCGTTGACCCTGCGAATGTCAGCACTGGACTTCCATGTAGATCACTCAGAAGTACTTACGGGCAGTTCTCAAGCGCCATGGAGATGGCGTTTCCGTAAACACCTCCCATGAAGAGACCGAAGAGACTCCGTACAGCCAAGAATTGCTGGAAAGTTCCAGCGTAGATGGTAGCAACCTGGAGAAGACCCAAGATGATCATGTTGAGGACCATGGGCCACTTGCGACCGAACTTGTCTCCAGCCACACCGAACATGGCAGCGCCGACGGAGCGGAGAAGCAGTGTCAGGGTGATTGCCGTCGATATAGCAGTGTTTGATGTGTCGTAGTAGTCGGCAAGCTTGGTTGTCTGGATTGACAACGCGTGGAAATCGAAGGCATCGGCAGTCCATGCGAGGAATCCGACGAGGAAGTAAAGCCAATCCTTCAAGCCGAGCTGAGCAAACAAGCTGATGGGATTCTTGAGGGGCTCTGGCTTCTGCCACTCGCAGTGCTCCTCGCCGTAGTCATTGCGAACCACTACACGTTGGTCCCAAGTGAAGAGATCCTTGAGACTCTGCTTAGCGGTGGGGATGATACCCTTCGCCAATGGGTCTGCTGGGCGGTTCATGCTCGCCATGGTGTAGCTGGTAACTTGAGTTGAGCTTGGAGGCAATGAGAAGGTAAGAAGACTGCCCTGTATATGTAGGCGCAAGTCCGATCGCACTGCTGATTTCAAGATGGAGCGCGGGGGAGCTCAATATATACCCGCGATCATCTTGGCTGATCAGAACGCCTCGTAACAATACTATCAACGCCCATGTCAATCAGCCGCTGAGTCTTGATGCGTGCCAAGCTCTGCCAAGTCCGTCCGTGCAGTTGTTGTTGGACGATTTGCAGTGAATGTAACCATCTCCGGTCCGCCAAGAGCACTATTTCACACTAAGCCTTCCGGTGGACCAAGCTAGCGCAAAAACGCAAGTGACAAAACAGAACGAGTCCCGGGGTCGGATCGGACGTATCAGTGCGCTCTCTCAGAGCGGAGGAAAAGAAGTGGGTGTGACGATCCTACCACGCCGTTGACATCTTCCCCATGGGGTCGCCCTTTTGAATTTCCCGCAAACGTGGTAACTTTCCGACTACAGATTGCGCGACCACGTCACAAACAATTCGTTGATATGCGTAGTAGCACCGACAACCGTTCTGTGCTTGTGTCCGACCAAGCTCCGTAAGCGCTGGCGAAGCTTCCTCGCGAGACTTGCTCGCAAAGAAGCTTCGAGCCAGTGAAGCAGCCACAAAACTTGGCAACTGACCCCGCAGCGAAGACCTGTGCCGCCGCGGCTGCCGAAGCTTTTCTCGCCTCGTTGTAAGCCAAGCAGGAGAACGGCACATACGACGGCCAAGATGCTTCGTCGTCAGCCGAGCGCCCTTGCGCGGGCTTCTTTCAACACCCATCCTTTGTTCATGGAGGCCCGTGACAACGTCCCTAACACCGCGCCTTCAGCTATTGTTAGTGATGGGACAATACGCATCCGGTCAAACTGTTGGTCTGGACTGTTTTTGGTGTTATGTGCGGACTAAGCACTGGCGCAAGGCCCGATGGTGCGGCTTGCGGTCCCTGGGGTGGTTGGATGTTTCGCGCACGCGGCAGAGTGGACAGCAAGCGCGCACGAGACGTGAAGTGTGAGCGGAGACAATCCGGTCTTGGCGGTAGAGGTGTGCTGGCTAACATGACCTGACCACAACCTTGCCGGTGCGCGAAAAGACCAAATATGGTTCGGTAGATGCTCAGGATTGGACGGATGAAGGAGATATGTGGGGATGACGGCGGAGGCGATAACGTTTGGACGGGGGAAGGCCCCCCGTGTCCCTCGCTAAAACCTTCACACCAAGACTCCGAGTTCAAACGCCGAAACGACGACAATTACTCGCGTGTAGTCTTGGACGTGGTAACAATTGCATAATATCGTATGGAGTATCCACAGTCGTGGCCTGAGGAAGGGCGTGGGCCCACAGAGACCTCATCCCTCCACAGCTTTCAGCTCCAGGCCCGAGTCGTTGGCAATACGCGCCGAGATTGTGCCTGATTGAAATCCTGCGCAATAGTTGAATTCGGTATGAACTACCACTACCTAGCCGAAGATGTGCATAGCTCGAACGGATGCAAGCCACAACCCCATCTTCACCGGAAGACTTACAATGGTTAAACCTCTCAAGAGATAAGGGTATGTCTTATTTTGAAACGGCTGGCTTGACTTGCGCTCTAGCTAGATCACCCACTTGCGCATGCATCATGCATTCATCACTCTAACTTCGTGCAGATCTAGGCACAGCGGGGATTGGGGAAGGCGAAGATACCAAACACGGTCCTAGCAGCGACACCAATCACGCGTCGTGCGAATCCACCCGTTAGCTGCTGGCCCTGCATGAATGCGGCTCTTAGTTCGGATGTGGCAACTGCTTTTGACCGCGGCCGCAAATCCATGCGTCTACGCGGGATGTAGATCGTTCGACTTCCTCGAGTGGTCCGGAAACACTTCTTCTGGGCGATATTAAGTCGACTTGATGGAGCAAGACAAGCGTTGGCATAGTAGTAGCGAGCATTTAGATAGACTAGTTGAAGGCGTTGAGCATCGTATGATGAGTGTATGATGGCTATTCGGTGCCGTATTCCGACGAAGAAGTGGTAGTCACTGCCATCATGCCGATCGCGGTCACGACAGTATCAAACTCACTGGTATTCAGTTCCTCATCAGGGAAAAAAATATCGCTTCCTTGCTACGACGTCACAACAGTTCATTGGATAAGTCTGTTAATCGGAATACTAAGGTTTGACATCAAGACTCACGAAGCACCTCATTGATCATTCTTTACTCTGCTAAAAATAATGCCTACCCTTTATGCGCTCTTGCCTTTCGTTCTTCGCCACTCGGCCAGCCTCCAGCGTCTTACCACACTTCGCATCCCGCTTTGCTTGTAGCCTGGTTGCAACGGCGCGCTCCCCTGGGTTAGCTACGATGTTCTGCAGACTACTACCGCCAAGCAAGGAGTCGCATCTAGTCTTAGAAATAGTGAGCAGTTCTATGATCCTATCTATCCGGTATTGGAATGTCCAGCTTCGTGTTTGCCCTGCTGATTCCCAAAAATTATCGTCGAAAAAGTGCAGTACAGATGGCCCAACCCGGTGCAAGCGCTCTACAATACCCTCAATTTTCCAGCAAAGGATGAGTTTATCTAGAAAGAGGTAGTAGTTACTTGGCCCTGTGACGGGATCAGTCCAACGTCTCTGGAAGTCTTTGTCTTTGTTGCCTTGAATATTCTTGACGTTGTTGACGGCATCGAGGAGCTTTTGGACCCACTGCTGGTGGTGCATATTCGATGCTGGAAGAGTGTCGTCGTTGATGGGTAGGCTCCAATCATGTGACGGCGTGGCAGTTATAGCCTTGTCAAGTGAAGCAGATATATCGGACGGATGAGCGGGGCGTGCGTAGCTCTGTGGGCCTCGGTGAGTAGTAGGTGACGCAATAACACTATGTTGGTCACAATGTTGAGCAGAGTACTGAGGTGCGAAAACTGGGTTGACAGCTGGCATTCTCATCGTCATCGTCCTCCAGTTCCCCAGCCTCTCTTTCCTTACCTGGAACAAGATCATCCCGTCTATTCCGATTATGATGATAATTACTCCTCGTCTGCCTAATTAACAACGGCGCCGTAGCAACCACCATCTCCAGTCCTTCAGATTTAAGCAGATTCCCTCATCTAGTCTTGCTGATGCGCATCAGCTCACACACCTTGTCGACGCGCGCACCGAATGTGAGATCGCGGAACTTGTATACGTTCTCAAGCTTGCCTTTGTCGAAGACGTTGAGAGAGATGGGGCCTTGAGTGTGCAGGTTGTTGGCAATGGAGAGGAGGGCGTGGCAGATTGTGGTGATCATGGCTGGTGTGTAGGGGGAGGTACTGGATGAGAGGGTAGCCCAACGAAGGTCGAAATTGGCAACGGTGGCGCTGTCGATACATTGGGTTATGTCGGTGAAGGCTTCGTACAGCCGACGAATGTAGAATGTGCGAGCTGCTTGGTCTTGAGGAAACCTGCCGTCGTTTGCCAGGGGAAGATAGTTGCAGTGAATGACGCGAGTGGCCGCTGCTCGTTGGGTTTCAGCGAAGTTGGCGAAATCCATGCTTTGGGGTGCAGCGGTGGCAATTGCGCGTGTTGCTTGTATGGGAATGTTTGCGAAAGCAGAAAGTGCTGCTTATGGTGTTGTTGGATGCGCGGGCTTTGGGCGCCACGATTGATCTTGCATTGGCTCGGAGATTGGTACTGTTGGCTGCGTTGCCATGAACTGACATCCGGCTATCTTTTGTTGCGATATATCCCGCATGGTTTGGCCTTGCGGCTATGACTGTTCTTCCATCCACGGTGCTTTTGGTTTGGTGTGTGGCCGATAAATATGTCGTGGTGTTATCGGTGATGTCTGCGGTTCACAGAGCAAACCTTGAGATGCTTGCGCATGCTGGCGAGCTCTAGCAAGAGCGGCCATGGCGACCGCACGAGCATCCTGCAGTCTCGCATCAATCGGCTCTGTTCACGTAAAACGTACTTCCTTATACGGATTTTCTTCTTCATAGCACTGTAGCAGTTGCTGCTGCTGGCTAAAGCTCTGCTCCGGGAGAGGGAGTTGTCGGTCTGCCAGGACTCAATGTTGATATTGTCCATGGTAAAGTCATCAGAATGGACCCCTTCCGCCTTGATAGTGGCGAGAACTTCGGGATGAATGGCACCCATGACTTTGTTGAACAGATCTTCAATAGTCTCCTCAGCTTTCTGGCAGTATGGCGTTTTAGCAGTGTCTTTTACCCTCTCGTTAACTTGTTGAAAAGGTCTCGGATCCTGAGTTCTTCCACACATACTGTAGTCCATCATATCTGATTGTGGTTGCGGGTTCATTATAGTTGTGACGATAGTGTGATACTGTAGGTCGCAAAGAGCTGGTTCTGATCAAAGCTTGGTTTTCAGTTGCGTCCGCCTCAAGACGAAGTTGTACTGAATGACGTTACTCCAGACGCCAGGAGGAGGAGATCATGTGTTTACAAGTGACATGACATCGTGAAGCACATTTGCGGCGGTAGCGGAACATTGTGGTGAAATTATCGCCTGACAAGCGCAACATCGAGGTGAAGTCTCTCGCGACTGGGCACTTCGCTAAGTGAATACGTGGAAATAGTGCTCTCGTTAATGCAACGCCATCTCAATACAAAGGGAGGCGCGGGTGGCAAAATACGGATCGAGGGGATTTATGTATTGGTATATTTGTATATAGTGAACGTGTAGTTATAACAACAACGCGTGGGTGAAATTATGAGAGACGAATGAATGCAATAGACGCAAGCGTCCACTATACGTATCGAATCGTGGTGATACTAGAATCGTCCATGATTTGATCTCAACTTTGAAACGTGTGCGGTCGATCGGCATCGTAACTGCGAGACAGCTTACAATCCAGAGACAGGCGGCAAAGCAATCCCCGGAGTGGTCCGCAAGGAGGGGCGTAGAGCTCTTATGAGAGGTGTTGAAGTAAGTGGCGCTTTCAATGTCTTCCTGAAATTTTCAATTTCCAGATGGTAACAAGCGAAGAAAGGCAAACCGTTTCCAATCGCACCCACAAGCGCTCTGCGTCCCTTTTTGCGGACCACTCTGGTGTTCTCTCTGTAACCTATCACGGGATAGTGATCGTCTAGGCGAGAGCGGTGATTGCACGTCAAGTGATGGTGGGCTGGACAGTGGACGACCTAGAAAGCAGAGCATGGTCAAGGAATCCCATGTGCTCGAGAGCATTGCGAACAGCAGCGAAAGACGCATCTCCGGCGTCCACGGATATAGCTCCAACGACGGCTTCGAAGGTGTTCGCCACCATGTCGTTAGATGGGCTACGCATCCCCAAGTTCATGATGATAAGCTTGTCCAGTCCAAGGTTGAACCCACGTTCGGCAAACTTCTCATTGCTGACGAGATCGTTGCGCATCTGGGTCCAAGCTGCGAGGCTGGAACGCTCACCTGGTATAATCAGTATTGAGGTATGTTAAGCGCCGTATTCTGGAAATACCATTGTAATCGCGCGCTTCGTACCACATAGTAGCTAGCACGGCATCGATGACAGCGTCTCCGACCAACTCGAGGTCTCTGTTCTTGTTGAAGAGGTGAAGTGTACCTTCGACGCGAAGAGGACAATTGGGTTCCTTCATCTGTAAGGCTTCTGCACATAGCAGCTTGTTCTTGAAGTGATATCCAGTTATGGTTTGGGCTTGCAAGATGCGGCTGTCCATATCGTTCATCTTTGCGGGATCTCTTCGGTTGGTCAGCTGGGCTTTGGTGTTAGTGAGTATAGCTTTGTGACAATGTCCTGCAGTTGACGACAGAGGCATGGCTTTTATCCATCTTCTGATTGTTTCTGCCTAGTGATCGGTTCGTTGCAAGCTTCACCGGTGACTGCGCCGCACTAAATGACTTCGTGTAACCACACTATGGGAGTTGTGTCGCTGGCGAAGGAGTAAGGCTGATAGCCCCCTAGATCAAGGAGCTGTGCCATGGACTGCCCATGCATCGATATACTGGCAGTGAACTGCTGTCAGAAGCGTCTGAACGCTGCACCATGTAAGATAAGACACGCTAGCCGTGATGAATGAAGCAGTGTGAGCTTGATTTTCCTGCAACAAAAGAAGCGTAGAGTGTCATTAAAACAAGGAGCGATATGACAAAGGGCAGGTTTCGCGGCGGTTGAATGCCCTGAACACTATACCCCATAAGGTGTTCAGAAGTGTGTCGTTGAGATCAGCACTTCGAGGGGTGTTCTGCGAAGTACCAGGCTGCATACTTCCAATAAGCTTTCACAAGGTTTCCAGACGACTTCCTAGATGCCCGAAAGAGGGGTACCGTTCTGCTGCACGCATTAGAAACCATACGCAGAAGACACGTTGATTTAGGCGCAGTAGACTTCGAGAGCGCAGGCTGGTAGCTCCAAGCGGGTGCGGCGTAGCTGTGGCTGGAATTTCATAGGCGAGACATCCCCAAATTTTCGAAGCGACAAAGAGGCGCCCCAGAAACGTCTTTTCCTTGCGTTCCAGTCTCCTCACGGAGACACAAACGCAGTGAGAAGCAGAAAGAGACGCCAACCATTCGTTAAGAGGATTTGGGGTCGCCTTGTCTAGCAGATCTAAGCTACAGCTGTGCGGAGATCTAGAAGTTTGCACACCAGTCAATAGAGTTTTACTGTTCAGGGTGAGATGAGAATGGCTTGAAACATTACCGTCAGGAATCTATGTTCGAAGGCCCCGAGAGATCGCATGACGCGCTGGACGGCATCGTCTCCTCCATCTTGATACACCGCACCAATCACGGCTTCAAGGGCTGTAGCCGCCATTTTTGGAGACACGGCAGGCTTGCTGTCAGCCGTAATGACGCATTCATCGAGGCCAACCTAGTATGCCCGGCGTGCCAGCGCATCGTTGCTCAGTGAGCCGTTGCGCAATTGCGTCCATTGGGCTTGAGAAAGCACTCGCCCTGCTATCATCAGTACCCCGCAGCACAGGAAAGAAGGCCGTTCGTTACCACTAGGATCACGATCATCAAACCAGGCACTGCACAGTACCTTGGCGAGCACTGCATCGCCCAAGACAGACAACCTTTTGTTGTTGCTCAGGCCGCAAAATCCCAAGCACCATTGTGTATCGACACAATCTGCGGAGCAACCATTTGCACAGCTTCGACAGCAATGCGCCTATCAGAGAAGGTATACCGGATTGATTCCTCCACTTCGCGCGCCTTCGTTTCGATGTGAATCATTGTAAGATGTGGGGACTGATATGTTGATGAGTCGAGATGGGAGGAGACGGAAGCTGCAACAGCTGTGGTGCGCTTCGCGTGATGATGCAGCTTATCTGGGTTTTCTTGGGCTACAGGCTCTACGAGAGGCTGCTGTCATGGCGCAAAGAGGAGGCGGGTTGTCACCATGATCAGCTTGAGAATCAGCCATACACCTTTCGATGAGATGTCCAGACCGGCATCGCCAACGCCGTGGAAACGCCTTTGCCCGCGCAATGATCGCATCTAGACCCCGGCGTGCCGACACCCGTTCCTGATGAGCGACGGCGCTACGCCAAACCTCTAGCTTCTTTCCCACTAGCACCGCCCTACGTCATACCAAAAACGCATGAAAACAGGCATCATGGGGTTCCCACCAAGCGGGATTAAACGTTAAGAGACTGGGCATGCCAGTCAGTCGACACACTCAGTACTTTTACTATCCGAATAAGCGGTCCGCGGACGTAATACCGACACGGATCTACCGGAAAGACCAACCACAAGGGTCTAGTCACTATGGCAGAAGAGATGGTGGTGCGCGGCCCTGCAGTTGTCCTCTCAAGTGTGCGACCTGCTGATTTGCTTTTTCGATAAACAGGAGCTCGGGTTCGAGGGTCTTGACAAGTTCACCGACAAGTATTTTGACAAAACCTACGATCGTCTTCCGGCGTTTCCCAAATCAGCAAAGAAGAAGCGCAAACTACAAGCGCAGTCAGGACAATACCGGCAAAACGCACAAGGCCAACCGGTTCAAAACGCACAGCAGCCGTCCTACCCAGCTCAAAACGCTTCGCGGCATCCTGACAAGGGGTACACTTCGCCTCGTTCTGCTGCACCGAAGAGTGTAGACGGTTATAATTCGGACCCAGAGATGTATGCGCCAGACTATGGACAAGACCGTTATGGACCAGACGCTCGGTACTACGAGACGGAACAGAACGATCACAGAGCGCCGGGACCAGGGTTCAAAGTCCCGCGCGGTCGCGACGGACCGAGTGATACCCGCGACATGCAGGTAGCAGTGCGCTCTACTCTGAGCAGTATGCTAGTCTTAAGCTAACGGACAATAGCCATACCCACAGCAAAATCAGCCTGACTATGGTCAACAACGCGGGTACGGGGGCGCCGGCGGTAGACCAGGTGCCCAGCGAAGAGGCTCGTCGTGGTCTCCGCCGCGCTCTGAGAGACAGGGCCGACGAGACACACGACGCCGTCAGTCGAACTCGCGCTCCCGGTCTCGTCATGACATGAAGAGCCGTCTGATTGCGACCGTTGGTGGCGCATTGGTGGGCGGCATAGCAGGCAACCAAGCGACCAAAGGCAAGAAGTACGACACTGTTGCGACGATTGCCGGAGCCATCATAGGCGGGGTTGGTGCAAAAGAGGCCGCGGGCCATTGGGACGAAAGGAAAAGGAAGAAGGAGCAGCAAAAAAACGGTGATTGGGAGGAGGACTCTGATGACAACAAGCGCAGGAATGACCGCAGGAGAGACGACAGATACGACCGCAACGATAGGTACGATGACCGATATGAGCGCGATGACCGAAGGAGATACTAGACATGCTTCAGGATGGTGGGCCCGGGCTGACAAGGTATGCGGGACTTTGGGGCTGGCGCCAGGCGTGCGCGACATTTCTTAGGGGCGAAGTTTTCAGCCCTCTGGTATGGAGTTCTGAATGGCGCAATTTGGCACACGATACCTTTGTACGATTTGACGAAAACTGGATGACATGCAGGAGGAGTAAACGTTTGCTGCGGGAATGACGTGCGACGGGCGTGCCATGTCTGCGACGTGATCTGATGCGAAGGGGAGGGGCCACGCGACGGTGGAAGTTCACAGGAGGCGCCAGGGGGCCGACTGTCGGTGCGGTGGTGGGCTGCCGTTCGTAATAATAGCCGATACACGAGGCACATCTCTATGCTTTTTCCGGCAAAGAAATTCCAGAAGGCTTCTGGAGGGTGTGAAGAAGTTTTGAAGCGGATGCGGGCGTGACAGACGCACTGTGTAGATATTCCCAAGCTTGATAGCGATGATAAGAGGCAAGGTTGAGCTCGGTGTTATAGCTAAGGCTGGTATGCGGTTTCGAGAAGCCTAGTAGAAGGTTAGGCTGATCCACCACGTTGCGGGACCAAGCCTCGTCCCGCAGTCTACCCATCATCTCTCCGAGCAGCACGCTTCAGTCACAAGAAATTATACACTACACAGAAGCCAGCACGCACCGACCCACTGCAGGTTCCCGAGCTGCCCTGACCCAAGCTTTCCGCCCGCCCAGCTGCAGCATTGCTCAGTCATTGTGCTACCCACCCGCTGTGCTTCGTCTGCATCCCGCTCCTTCGCCGAGCAATCATCTCGCAACCCAGAGACACTCGAGCAGCTGCACCGCGCATACCCACGCACCACCATGAGCTGGTGACTGCCCGACAACTGCATCGCCCCTTCCCCACCACGCACGAGCTCCTTCCCTAACCGTCTGACACCTGCCCCTCGCTCCTCCCCAACCGGCGAGTTTGCCTCTGGCGCCGCTGCCGGCCACCAACACGACGATGCGCCGATACAGGCCTGGAGGAGGTCCCGTGCGGGCTCATGGCGGCGTGCCGGTGCCTGATCCCTTTGCCATGGTACGCGCATACGACAGCGACTCCAATCCCGCCCGCCCGATACGTCCCTCCCCGCTGGCCGCCTCGACGATTCAGGGTCTACCGCTAGACCTGCTCGACCGCCTGCGCTCCTTCCCGCTGTTCCAGGCAGCCCCCGACTCCTTCCTCACACAGGTCGGCCTGCATCTCAAGCCGCAACTATACCAGCCTCATGACACAATTCTCACCGAGGGCGAGACGGGCAAGGCCATGTACTGGCTGGTCCGCGGAGCTGTGCGCGTGACATCGCGGGACCAGGAGAGCACATACGCAGAGCTGAAGCCCGGTGCTTTCTTTGGCGAGATCGGTATTCTCATGGACATCCCCCGCACCGCCACCATCATAGCCAACATGCGCTCGCTGGTAGTGCGACTGAACAAGGAGGACCTCATGAAGGAGCTGCCCGCGTTCCCCGAAGTGGAAGTGGCCATCATGCACGAAGCGCAGGAGCGACTGGCCATTTTGCAGCGCAAGAAGTCAGAGCTGGGAGCCAAGCGTCCTGCCATACCCATGCGTCAGATCACAGGCAAGCGCGACCGCGAAGATGGCGACGTGATCATGGCAGAGAGCGGCACTCTACGCGAAGGCGAGATCAATGCCTTCAAGAAGAGGAAGTCTCCAAGTCCGGGTCTCGCTGAAGCCATAGCCCATAGTGCCTTTGGAAGCGGCAGCATTCATGTGAGGCCGCTGCTCAAAGAGCTGCCTCTCTTCTCCGAGCTGCCCGACGACATCCTCCATTTCATAGGCATGCGCGCGCAACCCTGTTCCTTTGATCCTTTCACAGACATAATAAAACAGGGCACGCAGGGACGTGACGTCTTCTTCATCGTGAAAGGCGAGGTCGAAGTCATCAGCATGAACGTACCTGAGCAGAATGGCACCACTTCACCTAACATGGGTCGCCGGAAATCCATTGCAGCGGGCGAGCAACATTTCCAGGAAGTAAAGGCCCGATTGAGGCCCGGGCAATACTTTGGCGAGGTCGTCAGTCTCTCGCTTGCGCCACGCCGCACCGCCACGGTCCGCTCCGTATCGGCCGTTGAATGTCTCATGATCAGCGGTGACACTTTGAACCAGCTCTGGGAGAAGTGCACTCCAGATGTACGCCGACAGGTAGAGTCGGTCGCGAAAGAGCGGTTACGGACAGCCAATGACGAAGATGTACACATGCTGGACGCGAATAGTACACCCAACATCAACGATCTAGCCATAGCGGACCACATAATACCCCGTACACCACGACGCAAGAAGAGTGTGCCAACTGTCACCTTCAATGATACCCTCGACATCGACAATCCGGCGACACCCACCCGGAGAGACGAGAAGATGATGGAACCATTTGATCCAGACCCGTTTCTCAATGTTGATTTGGACAATGTCAGGTCGAGGTCAAGGAGAGGCTCACTGGCTCCACCCCCACCAGGATCAATACCGGATTCGCCATCCAGCCCAGCAAAAACTGATTTCCCCAAGTCACCATCGCCCGGTGGCTCGCCCCTTTCCCCATCACCATCATTTTCCATATCGAAGCATGCGTCCACTCCACCAGAAATGCCACTCGACTACAAACGCCCTCGGCTAGTCAACAGACCAAGCAGATATGGAAGAGGCATACTGTCGGATCAAGTGCTCACTAAAATTCTTGCGAATCTAGACATACACGAGCTGATGAAGTTGCGTGTAATCTCTTCGCACTGGAACAAGTTGATATCAGAATCGCCGGATATACTTCACGACCTCGATCTTACCAAATACAATCGCAAAGTCACGGACCGATCGCTTGTAGACGTAATATGCCCATTCGTAGGCAGTCGTCCAAGATACATCAACATTAGTAACTGCTTCCACGTAACAGACGAGGGTTTCGGCGAGCTAGCAAAGACTTGCGGTCCGAGTGTAAGAATCTGGCGCATGAAGAGCGTGTGGGACATCACTGGACCAGCTGTACTGGAGATGGTGCAGAAGGCGAAGGGTCTTGAGGAGGTTGATCTCAGCAATTGTAGGAAAGTAGGCGACAACCTTCTCGCTCGAGTGATAGGGTGGGTGGTTCCAGAGATGCCACCTCAGATGGCAATGGCGCATGCGCAACATCAAGCTCAGATAAACGGTCGCCGACAAGGAAAGGGTGCGAATCAGCCTGCGCCACAACCGTTACCTCCTGGTACTGTTGTTGGATGTCCGAAGCTGCGACGTCTCACGCTGAGCTACTGCAAGCACATCACCGATCGCAGTATGGCACATATCGCCGTCCATGCAGCAAACCGCATCGAGAGCATCGACCTAACAAGATGCACGACTATCACCGACGTTGGCTTCCAACACTGGAGTGTCTATCCGTTTCCACGGCTGACAAAGCTGTGTCTCGCAGACTGCACATACCTGACCGACAACGCAATTGTGTACCTGACGAACGCAGCGAAAGGGCTTAAGGAACTGGATCTCGTAAGTCTACTATCCTCTATAGGATGCTACGCAGAATTCCCTTACTAACGCACATCAGTCTTTCTGCTGCGCCCTTTCTGACACCGCGACCGAAGTCCTTGCTCTTGGCCTCCCTTCACTTACACACCTCAACCTCGCCTTCTGCGGCTCCGCCGTCTCAGACACTTCTCTTCGCTGCATATCTTTACACCTCCTCGAACTCCGGAATCTCTCTGTAAGAGGTTGTGTGCGCGTTACCGGCACAGGGGTTGAAGCCGTCGTTGAGGGTTGCAGAGATCTCGAACGCTTCGACGTTAGCCAATGCAAGAATCTGGGTCGATGGATTGAAGCTGGTGGTGTGGAGAGCGTGAAGAATCGCGGAAGAAACGTCAAGTTCATTTGTGTCAGTGATGGAAGGTGGAGAGATGGGAAGGGAAATGTAAGGAAGTGATGAACAAGACGACTTTGTATGGATACTATGTGTATGGTATATGTTAAGACGGTCGCGGCGATGCATTTTGCTGGTCTATGAAAGCGTGTACATTGGCTCATGATAGAGGAGGACTACGAAACGGATGTCGGCTTGATTGTATGTGTCCGGGTGGGGGTTTTCGCATCTACGCAAGATACCAGGCTTTTGTTGGGTGTATTAGCGATGTATTTGGAACGTTAGATCTCTTTGCTCATGGCGGCGGCTTCTTGTACGTTCTGGCCTCTTTTTCCACGAATTCACGGAAGAGCGAGTATAATCTCTCTTGGTCTTGTACTGTATTGTATTGCGAAGAACCCTTGCATCAGCGAGAACCCTCGGGGTCCAGCTTCGTCGCTCCTGCAATCTGATGGGTCGCTCTAGCTTCATTTGGATAGGCTTACTCTGGAGCCTAGACTATCCAGATGTCTCTACTCGCCCGGCAGCCCTTTATCTCACACAACCGCTCCCGCGCAGGCAATCTGAACGCAGTGTTGTACTATGCTAGTCAAACTTATCGATCTTACCACTCGGCTTCCTTACACAGCTCACGTCACTCCGCACGAAGAGTCGCTCGCCCACGACGTCAAAATCAGCGATGAAATCCAATCGAGCCCATATCTCGGAGTAATAGTGACCCCCCTTACTTGATCCTGATCGCTAACGGGCTTGATGGTAAGCTCAGGGAGGCTGAACGATTATCTCGTGAATGTAGCCGACATAAAGAAGAAGTGGGAGTGAGCATCGAGGAATACTCAAAATCACAATGTCTTACTCTCTGCTCGATGATGCAAGAGAAACTGCCTCGCGAGCTGAGAGATATGGTCTACGAAGCCCTACTTGGTGAACCTCAGAACTACTACGTCGACGACGATGGAGGCAGTTCCGGAAATCTTTGGCCAGCTAACACTGTGGTCTACAATCCTCACATCGGTGACAAGACGTTCGTCGGTGAAGAAAGACTCACTGAGTTGGCGGAAATGTGGTATCGACACTCAGTCTTCAAGCTCTTTGGAGATGCTACCGTGGCTTCTCTATTCCGCAACCAATCCTGGGCACTGCCTGATCTTGACCCCACTCGATTGATACGCCACGTATACATTTGTCTAAACCCCAGAGATCGTTATGGTAAGGTAACGGACGAGGCTGTGGAAGCTGGGAAAGAGCTTCTTCTGCCATCGGACTTCGAGCAGCTTGCGCAACTGCAGCAACTGGCGACCTTCACAATCGGTATCTACTTCGGACATTGGTACTACCATGGTGAGACGAGAGAAGACATGAAGATCTCCGTCGATGCAATGTCCAGAAGGGTCTTTCCAGTGTTGAAGCATTTAATCGCTTCCGGCGTGGGCGTCGCTGTTAAGATATACAAAGCGGAGCCTGTAAAAGTGGGATTGGAGCATCTCGATAGCGAGGGTTGGTCGAAGCTGCTTCGTGGAGTGCATCGCCGACAGTGAAACAAGGCCCAAGATCACTCACTTGAAAGGATTACGGCCAATATGGATGGGTATGAGAAGATACCTAGAAATCTTGATTGTGTCTAGTTCAGGCTAGTCAACGCCTGATCGAGACTAGCCACGCTTAGCCTCAATCTTCACCTGCGCATCTAGCTTTTGCGAACAAATCGTTGGTCTAGATATCATACAGCAGTTTCCATAACTCGCTTTATCCCCAGCATTTCATCAAACAATATGGCTTTCGATCCGACTCTTGTCTCCATGGACTGCGCTATGGACATCGATTGGTATTGTGGCTTGCCGGAGGACTTTGTCTGGGTATTAAGAAGTTTAATGGATGCTGGTACTAGGGTTGTCGTCATGGTTGTGGGCAGACCGACCTACAGTGTCAGCGTGAGCATGGAGCATCTCGACGATGGGGCCTGGTCCCAGTTGATGAGGCGATTGTGGCATCCGGACCTTCGATATTTGGAATAATTGTGAGGATGGTTATACCATTATGAATCTCTCCTGCAGTAGCATGTGACGTCTTTCGAGGCAAATCAGAGGCTGTACAGCATCGTGCATGAACTGTCAATTGATTGATCCTATGCCATTCCTCTTTTGTAGAGCAGAATGATGCTGCATTGCACTTGGCTTTGCATGAAGACGCACGCAGTTCCGCTCCAGGTCTCGCACAGTTTCGATGCTTCTAGGCACCACGTCCGAGACGTCTCGCTGTATCCGCCTCGAGTCTTGCGGATTGCCTTGACGGTCGCGCTGAGATGATGGTATGATAGACTCTATCCCTCTTTACTCCTTCATCCAAACCTCTTGCCGTATCCTTTGACCACGTCGTCTAATATGGTACGCATCCTCTTGCACCCTTCAATACCCACTGCCAGCATACCCTCTAACCTCTCCATTCGTACCCTGGTCTCCATGACGCACACAGCGACGTTATCGGTTTCCCCCAGTGTCCCTACCGTCAAGAACGGCAGCTCCAATTCCTCCTGGTTGTTGAGATCCAACAGCGGGTCATCGGCAGACGCGTTGTCCGCCGCTGACGCCGAAGCAGAAGAAGCGGCTGTGCAAGCGACCAGATAATCTGTCATTGGTATACCCGCATCGATAAGCGCCAATGTTGACGCATTGATACACGCAGCCAGCAATGATCCATCCTGCGAGATGATGTGGACATTCAATGTAATCGTCGAATGCGGGTAAAGATGCAGCAGCAACACGCCCTCGAATGCCGACCTTAGGCAGTGCTCCATCTCACTTGTCCGTTTGTCACTCTTCCTCTTCCTTCGTTCTACACCGCTGAAGCCAGCGAAATTTATCTCGACTTCAACTTTGGCCTGCTTGTCTGCGCCGCCTCTTTGCCCGCTCTGTTTGCCTTCGGCGGGTCCGGTAACGGAAACGAGGATCTTGGTGTTACCCATCTCGAGATATGACGACCCATCGGCGGCGGCTTGCGTGGAGATTTGCGCGTGAATTCTCCGTAATTCGTTCCAGCGGCGGCCATCGAGGCGGAGAAGCGCGAGAGAGTAGGTGCTGGTGTCTAGCGGCATCTTGGTGGCGTCGCAGGAGTTTAAAAAGGGCTATATATTGCACGACGCGATTCGCCGGCTCGTGACTGCGGTTCGTGAAGAGAGCTGGTTTGGGTGGAGCGTGCAATTGCGCGCGATGATGCGGGCTTGCAGGCTCGAGCTCCAGATTTTGGCGGAAGTTCTTGCAGGGATCTTCTGCTAGTCACGCCCCACACTCACGTGGGAGCGCGTTAACGTGTTTGGGCAGCTTGGTGGCGCTTCCTTTCACGCTCCACTCCAGGTGCATCCTTCCGTGACAATCGCCGCGGATCAGGACCGTGCGCCAATATGCGTTTATCAAGCGCCGGTACCAGTGAACAGCTGAGCAAAGTCACACAGCGTTCACAAACGACTCCTGCTACCCGCCACCTCAGCCATCATGTCTTTCAGTCGCGACAAGTCAAAGGATCGTCAAAAAGGGATAAGAGCCATCGCTGAAAGCGGCGAGGAATTCAGTGATGGCGACGGCGCGGAAGATGACGGCCTTGACATCATCAAATCGTCTAAGAAAGGTTTGGATCTCTCACAGTATATCGACGGTCAGTTGATGTTTCCTCGACCTTTGACAATGTGCTGATACCCGGTAGTCTTGACTCAAAGTCAGACTCAGTCGCAAAAGGCTGCAGACGAGATCACAGAAGACGAAGACGACGAGGATAATGATGACGATGCATGGAATCAACCACAGCCACGAACTAGAGATGTTACCAGTTCAGGTACCGATGACGATGAGTTGTTAGAGGCCGAGTATGATCGAAGGGCTGCTTACGAAAAATGGACCGGGCGCAAGACCGATAAACGCAAGCGCGCCGCTGCGGAAACCAACCGAATTCGCAGTGAAAAAAAGAGCAAAGCAACGGCTGCAGCCAGTATCGTAGGTCGCAGACCTCCACCTAAGAAGCAAACTGGTCATGGTCTGACAGGCTTCAGTACCGACACCTTGGCCGATGACGAGGGCGCTGTACCAGCTTTCCTAGACGACCCGATACCTGATTACTTCATATCGCGACAGAAAACACTCAAGAAGTTGCACGAATCTGGACTGCGATACCCTCCCAGTTATCATGACGTTAACTGGTACAACGCGGGCACTGCAGAGAAGCCAAAACTAGACAATTCCGTGCAGCAGCAGCGTGAGAAGAAGGATATCAGACTCCGCGAGTCGCATGGAATCATACCGGGACCCATCGCTCGATGGCTGCGCGACTACCAAGTTGAGGGCGTCCAATTCTTGCAGGAGAAGTTTGTCAAGCAGACCGGTGCGATTCTAGGTGATGATATGGGACTGGGAAAGACTATCCAGGTCATCGCATTTCTTACAGCAGCCTTTGGTAAGACGGGCACTGAGCGCGATGCTCAATGCATGCGAAAGATCCGTCGAATGGGCAAGGCTCATTGGTATCCGCGAGTTCTCATCGTCTGCCCTGGTACGCTCATGCAAAACTGGGAAGATGAGCTCTCGAAGTGGGGCTGGTGGGAAGTCTACAGATACCATGGCTCCAACCTCGCAGACCGGAAAGGCGTCCTTGGCGCTGCAGCTAAGGGCATGTTAGAGATTATGATCACGACATATACGACATACCGCAATCATGAGAGCGAAATCAACACCATCGACTGGGACTGTGTCATCGCTGATGAGTGCCATCAAATCAAGAGCAAGGACGCCGAGATCACCAAAGCGATGAACAAAATCAACGCACTGTGTCGCATTGGGTTGACAGGTACCGCGATTCAGAACAAATATGAAGAGCTCTGGAACCTCCTCAACTGGGTACGACCTGGCGCATACGGGTCAGCCCAGGAGTGGAAGCAGAAGGTCAGCCTTCCGTTGAAGCTAGGCCAGGCTCACGATGCCACCAACGCACAGCTTGCCGATTCACGGAGTCGAGCTCAAGATCTCGTTCACAATATTCTACCTAGTGTCTTCCTTCGGCGTATGAAGACGCTGATCGCTGACCAGCTACCAAAGAAGAGCGATCGTGTCATATTCTGCCAGCTCACCGAGACCCAAGCTGACGCCTATCGAACCTTCCTAGAAAGCGACCGGTGTGAGTACATACGCACTTCAAGGGAAAAGTGCGATTGTGGGTCCCAGAAAAGCAGAGGTTTCTGCTGTTACGTGGATATTGAAGGCGAGAAGTGGTCAAACTTCATCTTTCCCTGCATGGTTACATTCCAGAAACTCGCAAATCACCTGGCCCTCATCGTGCCAATGTCGTGCGAAAATTCAGAGAAGCAAGCCAAAGATCTCCAAACACTGGAGATAGCTTGTCCGAGTACGCACAGGGATCTCTTCAAAATTCGCGACAACATCCTGGTACAGTCTCAGCGAGAGTTCTGCGGTAAGTGGAAAGTACTGCGGCGGCTACTCGACTTCTGGCACTCGAATGGGGACAAGGTCCTTATCTTCTCCCACTCTGTTCGTCTATTGAGGCTACTTAGAGGTCTCTTCGATGTCGACGGTACGAAGTACAACTTCTCGTACCTTGATGGCAGCATGAAGTACGAAGATCGGTCCCGGGCTGTTGCAGACTTCAACGCAGATCCCAATCAGTTCGTGTTCTTAATCAGCACTAAGGCGGGAGGAGTGGGTTTGAACATCACGTCGGCTAACAAGGTTGTCGTAATGGATCCGCATTGGAACCCAGCCTACGACCTTCAGGCTCAAGATCGAGCGTACCGCATTGGTCAGACACGCAACGTTGAAGTATTCCGACTAGTATCAAGTGGTACTATCGAGGAGGTGGTCTATGCTCGTCAGATCTACAAGCAACAGCAAGCGAACATTGGATATAATGCATCGGAAGAACGTCGCTACTTCAAGGGTGTGATGGATCAATCCACCAAAAAGGGCGAATTGTTTGGTCTGGAAAATCTCTTCACCTTCCAGGAGCACAGCGTGCTGCTTCGCGACATTATGCACAAGACGAACGTCGCGGAATCAAAAGCCGGTGTCAACGCTTATGACTTCCATGTCGATGAATCGCAGTATGACTCTGAAGATGAGGATATCCTTTCCAACAAGAACCTCGGCCTTGATGACGACGCTAATATTGCCGGCATCAAGAAGTTCGCTGATTCAATTCTTTCTACAACCACTGGTAGCAAGGGCAAGATGAGAGCCACAAGGCGCACTGGGCCTGATCCAATCAACGCAATTCTCGCGAAGGCTGGAGTTCAATATACGCACGAGAACTCGGAGGTCATCGGACGCAGCGAGATAGAAGCTCGACTAGGTAAACAGGCCATGGAGGTACGCAACGACATCGATCTTGCGGGAAAACGGGTGTTCCAGGGTACGCAGTCGCAATCTCAATCCCAGCATCAATCCGGTAATCGGGATGATGGGGATGAGACCGACGCTGAAGAAGACCACGAGGTCCATGCTACTGGTAGTGCGACGAAAGGCGAGTTCAAGATTAACTACCGATATAGACCGAGCGAGGATGTGCGAAAGCGCCAGTTCTGTAGCATGGCGGAGAGTATGGGCTTTGATGATCCGGTAGAGTTTGCGCTGCTTGTGGAAAGCAGTACGCAAGAGGAGAGGAGGAAGATGCTCGAGCGCTTCTATCGTGGGCGGAGGAGGCAGATGATGGGTGATCTTGATACACCGAAATAGCCTGCACAGTCGCTCTGGGTTTCGTGCACAGTCACTCAAAGGCTTTGAAGGAGGCAATTGCGAGTTTAGATATCCAGTTCGTCCACGATTGTGATGCTGTGGCTCTCGTTGCGTCGCACCTTCCTGCGTCGGCTCGCTAACCCCACATCCGCACCCGGCCATTCGGTAGCACTAGATCAAAGCTTTCCAAACTCGAACCTACAGTGCTCGAGCGAGAGAATTTGCAGGTTTCAGCCTTGACATGAAAGAATCACTAGAGATGTACCGCGCAAAGTAAACACCTCACGGTGCAAGCAATTCGCAAGAGCGTACCGACCTTGGCAAGGCTTGTGTTGTCGCATCTTACTTCTTCTCAGTCATGTCATGTGTCTTCATTTATCGTTCAAATACTTCATTAGCTTCTCGATCTCTTGTTCTTGTCATCAGCCAGGCAGGAAATTCTGCGCATTCATAAAGAGGCGTCTCTTCTGAAATGACTGAACTTACCCCCAGATTCAGGACATGCACCCGCTCCCAGTAATGTCATTGAGAGACCCTCCCGACTTTTCGCATCACTGCCGGGCTATGATCCGAGATTTAGCCAAGATACGACCATCGTTGGCTAGAGCATACCGCGGGGAACAACGTGCATCATGGTGCATATCCTACACTTCGGAACGAGCACGTCTTCCCGACCAGTGGAAGTAAAAGCCGATAGGGTAGTCGAGTCAAGACAAAGAAGCGCTAGCGGAAACGGATGGGCTTTTCTGGACTTTCTCTAGCGGTACGCGGATGTGTGTCGGAATGCAGCGAGTACCTCCGCAGTGGTATGGCAGTGGTTACAGTGCTAAGGAGGCTAGTTTTGCCATGGCAAAGATGGCCTTGGTAACCTCGTTGCACCGGGATTGCGGCTCCAAATTTTCGGCCGGGTACGGGCTGGAAAACGTTGCGCCAAACGTTACGACGAAGTTTGGCGTCTACTCCGACGCGCCTTTGCGAAGACAGTAGAGGGACGGTCTTTCTTTATCTCCAAGACACACGATTTTCACTTGGAGCATACTCACTCACTACACTGTTATTCTGGACAAGGCACCGAATTCTCATAACCGGCATGCGGCACGCCCCCGGATCGGACGTTTTTCAAATGCTCCGTTGTAGTGACTGTCGAGTCATTTACGAAGGGCGGAATGTGGAGTTGTGCGTCAGACACACCTTGCGCAGTTTTTCGTTTGCTCACATGACAGCTGAGCTACCAGCTCGAAAGGGTGTGTCGAACCGTTCGTTATATGTCATGAGCCTTCGTAGCGTGTGCGCGCACCCAATCACCAATCTGCCGGACCAGTATTCGGCGGAAATGAGGACTTAGCTTCGGGGGCTTTACCCCGACCCACGTTTCCCCCACAATGCACTCCACACTCATCGCCTTGGCAAATCGTCGGCTCCAGCTAATGGCAATCTCGACTGCGCCAAGGCCAATGAGAAGCTGGTTGTTGGTACGGGTTCCAAGACGACGGTCTATCCGAAGTTTCCCCAAGTAGAAGCAAGACTTCAAAGTCCCTCGGACGTAGCGCACATGTCGGCAACGCATCGTGACGGGGTGCATTGAAACCAGAGTACAAATACCTGGTTCAATACCGTAGACCGAGTGGTCAGTAGCATCTGACCTTATCCTTCACCTTCTGCCTCAACTCATACCACCGGCAAGATGGTCGCTCGCAACCGCAGTCAGCGCAAGCTGAACACCTTCACAACGCTGTTCTTTGCTGCAACAGCCATGTCAACAGCCATTCGAGTTCCGACTTCAAGTGGTGCAAAATACCCACGAATGACATCACGGTCAACAGATATGGACTCCGCACCATACCGAGATGCTTCTCTTTCGGTAGATGAGCGTGTGGAGGATCTCATTCAACGCATGAACATGGAAGAGAAGGCCGGACAGCTCTTCCAGCAGATCAGCTTCCCAGGACCTAACGGAACCCTATCGAACACAACTGCACCATCGATCCAAGGAAAGCACATGACACACTTCAACCTCAACGGTGCCATTACCGATGTACGCCAATCTGCCCGGTGGCATAACAGTCTTCAACAGCTGGCCCTAGACACTAGGCTCGGCATACCAGTTACGCTTTCTTCGGATCCCAGGCACACTTTTGTTGATGCCACCGGCAGTCAGATTGCGGCAGTTAAGTTCTCGCAATGGCCGGGAAGCTTGGGCTTGGCAGCGTTACGTGACGCTGAGCTCATCCACATCTTTGCGGATATTGCACGACAAGAGTACAAGGCTGTCGGAATCAGATCTGCTCTGCACCCTCAAATCGACGTAGCGACCGAACCGAGATGGGCCAGAATCACCACGACAATGGGCGAGAACGCCACGTTGACCGCCGAGCTTGTAGTCGCATACATCAAGGGCTTCCATGGCCCCGGTGAGTTCGGAAAAGATTCTGTGACCACCGTATCGAAGCATTTCCCTGGAAGTGGACCGGTCGAAGACGGTGAGGACAGCCACTTCACCTACGGCAAGAATGCCACATACCCAGGAAACAACTTCGAGCATCATCTCATCCCCTTTAAGGCTGCTATCGCAGCTGGCGCAAGGCAGATGATGCCTTACTACTCCAGGCCCATGGGCACCAAGTATGAGGAGGTCGCCGCTGGCATGAACAAGGGTATTGTCACCGATCTCCTCCGAGGCGAGCTCGGTTTCGACGGAATCGTCGTCAGCGACTGGGGTCTCATCACCGACGGTATTATCGCAGGGCAAGATATGCCAGCTCGTGCTTGGGGTGCTGAGAACCTGACTGAGCTTGAGCGTGCCGAGAAGATCTTGAATGCCGGTACCGACCAGATGGGCGGCGAGGAGCGCACTGACCTCGTTCTCGAGTTGGTAGAGAAGGGCATCGTGAGTGAGGAGCGCATCGACATGTCAGTTCGCCGTCTCCTCCGCGAGAAGTTCATCCTCGGCCTCTTCGACAACCCCTTCGTAGATCCCGAGGAGGCCGTGGCCAACGTAGCCAAGAAAGAATGGGTCGAAGCCGGATACGAGGCCCAGAAGAAGTCCATCACCCTGCTTACCAACAAGGAGTCAACTCTCCCACTCAAGGCTTCCGAATGCTCCAAAGCCAAGTTCTACGTCGAAGGTATCAACAGCACCTACCTAGAGGCTCGCGACCTGACCGTCGTTGCGACCCCTGAAGAAGCCGACTACGCCTTCCTCCGTATGGCCGCCCCCTACGAACCCCGCCCAGGTGGTTTCGAGAAGAACTACCATTCTGGCTCTCTCGAGTACAACAGCACCGAGAAGGCGCGCCAAGCAGCCATCTACTCTGCGGTCCCCACCATCGTTGATATCTTCCTTGACCGCCCTGCTGCTGTCCCCGAGATTGCCGAGCAAGCTCAAGCCCTCATGGTCAACTACGGCACTAGCCCTCAAGCCTTCCTCGATGTTATCTTCGGCGTTGACGGTAGCGGTCCGGAGGGTAAGCTGCCGTTCGATCTCCCGAGGAGCGACGAGGCGGTTGAGGCGAGCAAGGAGGATGTGCCGTTCGATACTGAGAACCCTGTCTTCAAGTTCGGACACGGGTTGAGGTACGAATAGAGAGATTGCGCTGTCGAGCCGCTTAGATAGATGACGACTTAACGGTCCTAAAGTTATGATAGCTTAATGTATTTGTTGATACCCAAACCCTCCGTTCGTTGGACGATGTGCTGTCTGTCTCGCTGCGCGTCGCAGCAGGGACGTAACGGCAGATCTTATGTGTTTGGGTGCGCGAACCGCGTAGCATGTGAGCCTACTCTCAAAGTGGGTGTGAGGAAAGGCTTGCGTTGATGCGCGGCAGGAAAGACCAACACGTGTAACCTGCTGAGTAAGCGAGACGCGTCTCCTCACCAGCCGCGTCGAGTATTCCTGACAGCTTCACCAGCATCCCCCCACCATCGATCATCAGCTAGGTATTTACGCGCATTAAGCACCGAATATTTCCAGTCACTTTCATTGGTTCCACGCTTTCAATGCTCTCCGCAATAGAATTCCATTCTGGACCGACTCTAACATTCCAGCTGCTCGGTGATGGCACGCTACCGGCTTTTTCGAAGATGCCGAACACAGCTGCAATCATCTTGCCCACACGCTCCTCTACGCACAAATGAAGAAATACAGGAAATACAGGAAATCAGATCAGCCTACCGCGCGCGTTGGACGAGCTTGTCCACCATTTCGTCAGTTAACATTCTGCCGTTCTCAGCCTGTGTTGACCGCCTTCCATGGCAGCCATTCCTCTTATGACTCCGCCTGGTCTATGGCACCCATGATATTGAACTCGACCTAACTGCGGGCTGTATAAAACCTTTGTGCTGTTTTGATCGTAAATCTACCTCTTCAGTTGGTATTGATCGAGCTTTTGGCGGCGGCGAAAGAGAGACCACGAAACTTGTCACCTAGTACAATGAACACCTGGACTTCCATCCGAAGATGCCAGGAAGGCGGAGCATGCGCGCCTACACTGCCCTGATTACTACATATAAGGAGAGTTACTCACTCGATCAAGTTACGACAACACATACTCCCAGGTGACATATGATATGCTTGCTACGACACCATAAGTAAGTCGTTCTCAACACTTCTCTTGCATGTCTAGCATCTCTCATTATGCATTTCCTCTAATATCTCCAGCCGAGGTGACCACCGCTTGTAAGAGCGTTTGCCTCTCAACACCCAGCGTGACCGACGCTCTCACCTTCCGCCTTCTACTTCTCGACGTGACTGCAGATTGCATGTTCTAGCGCCAAACAGCGAGAGTTCTTGTCTGTATATAATCTGCCCCCCCTCACACGCTTGTTCCATCTTTCCCTTCTATATCTACGAAAGCATTTCCGCTTCCAGCATCACACTACTAGGATATCTTTTCTATCTTTCCAATAATCGACAAAATACGTCAAGATGTCTAGAACCACCTCCTTAACCAACGAGCTCGTGTACCGTCCAGCGCGTGACCGTCAGACCGGTTATCGAGTCAACGACTTCGAGGTCTACGCTGACGGCAGCATGATCACGCATTGGCGCACATGTAAGGGCAAAAGCCCAAACTACGTTCACGAGCGAGATGTCTCTACTGTAGTAAAAATCAGCAACGCTATCGTAAGTTTCCTTCATTGTCAATGCTACTTCACTTCTTCTTCACCTTCACTTTCACCCGCGTATTTACCTACCAATTAATGACACCCATCCGGATCTGGTCGAGAACAACGCGAATGCGATGGACCAAATTATCTGGGGCATAAATCATCGTGACGACTGCCATCCTGGTGTCGAGTCCATCATCGGCAACTTAGCCTTGGTTGACCTCCTAGTAGTCCGTCACTTCAAGAAGTGGGGCGGTCTCGTTCTATCACCTCTTCGAGCAGCCCAAGGGCTACAGAACCCCCACGAGGTAGTCGCCGACCAACAGAAGCAGCGAGGACTGACTTGGGCCTCTGGTCGATCGCTGATGAAATACCCCAACTGGTAAGATATGGGATGGACTTTTGCTGGAGCAAGGTGAGACTGACATGAAGAGGCGCGAGACTCACGGTATGACTCCTCCTCCAGAGTTTCCAGAGCCGATCGAACCGCTTGTTTTTGCACCGGGTCCTCGTAATGAGTCCAGTCGGGGACGAGGTGGATACGGGGGCTGTGGTGGGTTCGAAAGTGGTTACTAGGGGTCAGCTCTACACGCTTGAGACGGAGCACATTGCGAACACGAAAATGCATGAGTTAATGAGCAAGCCGACTTGGAGATAAACGAACTCATTAGATAACTAGATGTCGTCGAGGGCCTCGCCATTATGGATCCTTTCTCTCCCCAGACCTCTTCGTGTACGCTAAGCTCACTACACCGCCATGCTCTTAACATCAGCAGTAAGCTTTAAGAAGTGATTGCCAGCATCCTCCTTGATCATCTCCGCAGCCCCCTCCCCAATACCATACGCCACCATCTGTGTATGCCCATTGTTAACCTTTGGAATGGAAGACACGTCCGCCACGCGTAGATTTCTGACACCGCGCACACGAAGCCGCGAGTCGAGAACAGCATTAGGGTTATCCGGTTTACCCATCGCGCAGGTACCGGATGCGTGGTAGCCTATGTCTCATCATTAGCATCTCTCCATGAATGCGATCGCCAAAGTAGCGTATAAACTTACAAGTCGTGGCATGTTCCCTAACATGCGGCTCCCACTCCTCTCTGGTCTCGAAGCCATGATGTGCGAGGGCATCAGGCCAACTTCCCTTGATTAAACCCCTTGTCCCCTTTCCCTTCGTAACAATTTCATTCGCAAATCGACATGCCTCGGTCATAACCAGCATATCCAGTGGATCCTCCAGATACGCATGATCGACAATGGGGTTTTCGAAGGGATCGGCCGACTTCAGCGTCACGCTACCTCTGCTATGCTGGTTGAAGAGTAGTGCACACATGGCGAAGGCTTGTTTGTGATCAGTAGGGAAGTCAGCGTATTGTTTGGGACCGCCGTAGAGTTCGGTGTTCCAGAATTCAATGTTTGGTTGCGAGGGAGTGAGGCCCATAGGATCGCGTCCGGGTTGACGGGGAGCATCTGTCCACAAAGGTGAGTCTTGGAGGCGCTCGTCTAGGCGCGCGTAGCCGAATATGCCGAAGGGGAAAGTGGATAGAATGCCTGTCTTCTTTTCTTTGTATAGCGCGTAGGTGGAGGTCATGGCGTCGTCGTGATATGCGAGGTGGTCGTTTGTGAGGTTGGGTTCGGAGACTTCGTAGAAGATGAAGCAGAGGATGTGGTCCATGAGATTGCCACCTACACCTGGCAGATCAACGCGACACTCGATACCATGTTTTTCTAGTTGTTCCTTTGGACCGAGGCCGGAGCGCATCAAGATCGGTGGGCTGCAGTATGCGCCCGCTGCGACAACGACTTCTTTTCTCGCGTGATAATCAACCTTCTTGCCATTCTTCGATATCGTAGCGACACCTGTTGCTGCGAGATCTCCGGCATCTTGATTGAAGAGCAACTTGTCAACAGTCACTTCAGTCTTGATCGTGATATTCTCTCGTCGATAGCCCTTCGTGATAAAGTCGGCAGCTGTACTCCGTATGCCTTGATGCACTGTTCGCGGTACATCGCCACAACCATGCGGCGTCTCTCCGGTTGAGAACATGTCTGCGTGGTAGGGAAGACCCTGGTCGACAAGGCTTTCCCTAACACGTTCAGATATGGGTGCTAGGTCGTGTGGTTCGGTGTGTAGGGGTCCTGACGAGCCATGAACTGACATATCCGCTTTGTGCCAGTCCTTCTCATGGAATGTCTCGGACTGTATGAGGGTCAGCTTGCATGCTCCAATATCTCCGCACTTCCAGAACCGACCTTCTTCATATACTCAAACATCTTATCACCAGTCCACTCATCCAACTCCCAGTCATCATAGTCCTGCTTCGTGCCCCGTATACAAAGCGTGCCGTTCACGCCACTCGATCCACCAAGGAAGCGCCCTCTGCTGACCTTGACTTGCCGGTTGTCGACCTTGGGCATGGGCTCCGTGACGATGTTCCAATCTGTTTCTTTGTCGAAATTCTGGCTCCATCTGCGGCGATCTACTCAGCATGGATTGTAAACAACATCACGAAAGGCTGGCTTACCCTCCCGCCATATGTACATTCTCAAGGTCAGCATTGTCGGGTCCGGCTTCTAGGACGAGGATTTTGGCATTGAGATCCTCGGCGAGACGCCCTGCTATTACACAGCCTGATGTGCCGCCACTGACGAATAGAAGTTAGTGATAATACTTCGGGAAACGCTGCAGGTGCTTTCACAGGGAGTCAACTTACCCGCAGATGATGTAGTCGTACACTTCCGTAGGGTCAACCGAATCGACGCGTTCAAGAGACATGGCCAGTATTCTAAGTAGTTGATTGGGAAGACTCGACTCCCGATGCGCAGCACGAGGTAAGAGCCCATATAAAGTCGCCTAGTTGGTCCAGAGCTATGTGCCACGGAATGAGGCCGCAGTGCACGGTAGCACAACCGGATATGGTTCTATAACACGACATGCGCTAGACCTAAAGACTACTGTGCATTAACCACGCTCTTTTGATTTGCAAATCCCACTGAAGTTTAACCAATAATACAAGCAGACGTGAAGGATTTGGAAGACTCGCATCATTTTGCCTAGACGCATACGCAACTTCCTACTCCATGTAGGCCTCCATTTGCCAGGAGGGCGGAATGAGTCCGAACAGGTCGATCACGCAGCATTTAAGGTTCGGGCCTAGTCCATCTTCTTGGCTGTCTAGGAAGAAGCAAGGCCAAAGGGCGCAGACAAATGGGGTAGCGCGAGAGACGGACGAATGAGGCGGAAATGGTCGAAGTATAGCGCTCTTTGCGTTTGTGCCCGGTCGTGGAGATGTGCATGCTGGCGCGTGAAGTTGCATTGCGGGGTAAACCCATGTATCCGAAGGGTCTACCTAGGTATGCATACTAGCCTACCCAGCTCAAGTATGTTGATCCAAAGAACGCAGCTCTTCGACGCTCTATCGTATAGTGACATGTCCTAAATACTAATCCATATCCTTCGCTTCGTAACTTCCGTGACCGAGGACGTCCTCTCGCGCGTCGTATGTACAACCGTCTCCCCCTCCGTTGAGGTCTTGGTCGATTCCGACTCTGGCTTCTTCCTGTCCTTGGTGATCGCTGGATATCTTGTGTCCACTGCTACACGCTCATAAACACTCGCCAAGATCCCGAATAGGAAACAGAGCAGCAAGACCAAATCAACAATGTGTACACCCCACCACCAATGCTGAACCCCAACTCCACACGTGCTAAACTCGAAGACCCACTCGCCTTTCCCGCCTTTGCTTTCATCGAACCACGCTGATAGGAAACCTGCGTAGCCTGAATACTCTCCCATCATGCTACGGAGCGTGATCTCGCGGATGTGAGGGACGTCGTTAATGGAAGTGCATTCGTTGGCTGGGGTGATGTCGTATGGACGCGGCGGGAACCGACGAGCCTTCCATTTCGGCGGTGCGGGAGGTTCAGGCTCTGGGGTAGGCTCTGGGGTAGGCTCTGGTGCAGTTTCAGATGCTGTCTCGTCCGGGACTACATCGGATTCAGCAATCGTGTCGTTAGCGGCTACAACATTGATGTCGACGCCATCGATATCCATCGAAGTAGCAATCATGGTATCGTTTGTAGTGCTCGCTGGCCAGTATGCTTCCTCTCTCTTCACATGAGCCACTTGACACGCATCGTCCACGCCGGGTTGACGAATATAGTGTACAACATCGCAGCCAGCGTGATCATGTCCGTTGAGTATTATACCCCTTCTGCCCTGTCCCTTGCCTTCGGCGTCTTTGTTCGCACTCATGCCAAACAATCCCTCAAGAACGATCTTGCTAGCATGGCCTGAAAGCATGTTTTGCTCCTTCACTCCTTGACCGCCCTCAAAGAAGTCGAAGTATGGGCTATCGACACAGACACCTTCCTCCTTCTCGAGCGGGATATGGGTGAGGAGTATGGTAGAGTGCGTCTTGTCGTTGACTGGAAGGGAGCTGGTTATGATGTGGTTCATGTAGGAGTAGGTCTCGGTTTGAAGGTCGGAAGACCAGGCGGGTGTATCGAGATTCATCGAGTTTAGGATGATGAGGCGGAGCGTCGGAGGTCTGGGCAGGTCTGGTGTAGAGGATTCGGTGGTCTTGTTTAAGCGCAGTGTGTCCGGGAGCGTGAACCAAATATCCCAGTTGGAACTCCCAAAGGCCTTTTCGAATCGCTCGATGCGCGACTCGTCGATGTCGCCAGCGTAACCGACGTCGTGGTTTCCAACGATGTTGATGACGCGCTTTTCCCAATTTTGATCAGCACCCAGCACTTCTGTTGTACCACCCCACAGTGCCTTCCTCTCTGGTTTCGGCTCCTCGTCTATCGCCTCTTCTCCTGAAACGTCCTGTTCCGTTGTAGGCTCTGTTGGCGGCTGTTCTTTCTTCCCAGGCTCAAGAGCACCAAAGATGGCATCCGGCACCTTCTCCAATCCCCTCATGACAATGTTCCAATAACGCCCTGCCCGCTTCGTGAACTCGCCATCTGTGACCCACTGACTGCCCAGCAAGTCACCAAGTACACTGATATGTGTGGGTTCAGTCCACCACCGTAGGCTTCTTACAATGTGCGAAAGATACCAGTCGTTCCCCCAGAGATCTATAGCCTTCCTTTTCCCCTCGAGCCATCTGCCAACATCTTTCACAACACCTCTTGCTGCTTGTTCTACAATGTCTCGTCTCTGGGTTGAGTTGGCCGCATCGCGCAGATCCGGTACGAGCTTCTCGATCGATGGAAAAATGAGCGCATTCGGGTCGGGGAGTGAAGAGTCGCCCTCGAGCTGGGGATCACCGAGGGAGAGGAGACGGAAGGGTGCGATGGCTTGCGCCTCCGTAGATGGGGGCTTTGGGAATGCGCAACCGTGGAAAATGGGGTACAAATACAGCCATGTCGTGCCAATTAAGGCTATCGGACACAGCAGCAGGGCGACGCGGAAAAGAAATCTCGAGAGCTGCATCTATGCATGTTCGGGGCCGGAAAGGGGACGGCGCTGTTATTTTCACATGCCACACGTTGCGCGCGCGTCGACAGCGTCTTGGCCGCGGAGGTCATGCAGGGGTGGTGACATCAGCCAATGACAGAGGCGCATTTGCGGAGAACCATCACTGTCCTTGCGGTCTTTATCGTTACGGGTTTCAGAGATCAGATCGTCTATTACGCTCATTCTCAACTGTCGTAGTATCATACGCCGCATTTTTGTATCCTCAAACTGAACGAAAAAAGCAATGCTCGCTGTTATAGCATCTAGCCCAATAGATCTCCCAGAGCGCCGCCAGGCTTGGACCCCGATTGCGGTGCTTGTGCGGCAGGTGTGCTCGGTGTAGAAGCGGAGGCACCCCAAAGTCCCTGAGAAGTCTTTTGCTTCGCCAAATCCCCCATGGTCACCTTTTGTGTTGGTGTGGACGACTTCTTTGGTGCGGCTCCGGCCAGTAGAGAAGCGAAAGCGTCACCGCCAGCTTTCTTGGGAGCAGCTCCTCCGCCAATGCGACCACCTGGTGACATGACAGAAGGCGTAGATGCTCCTGATTGGGGCGCGGGCTGAGGTACTGAAGTGAAGTAGTTCGGGCCGGCCGCTTGGTATCCTGTGGGCTGTGGTGGCTGCGAGAAGCTCGACGTCATGGAAGGAGGCGCGCTCATCTTGTTCGCAGCGGGTGGTGGCGAGACGGTCGCAAATAAGTTACTGAGATTGTTGTTCTGCGCAGCAGACTGAGCCTGCGGTGCGGCGAATTGGGTTGATGATGTGATGGTAGAGGTCGAAGCAGGAGACGCAACGTTGAAAGCTGAAGCAGCTGGCTTGGATGCTGGTGCTGCCGGTGCCGGCGCCGCAGACTGGAAGTCATCGAAATCGTCGTCGTCGCCAAAGTCGTCACTTGCAGCAGTAACAGGCTGCTTCCCTGCCGAAGTCGACATAGGCGCGGGCTCGTCGTCAAACGCAAGCAAGTCGACTACTGGCTCAGGTGCTTTCGGCTTAGGCTCCTCCTTCTTGACCTCTTTCTTTGTGTGACTCGCTGTAGGCTCTCTCCGCCGTGCTGGTGCTGAGCTGGCACTCTCGCCCTCGTCGTATTCATCGTATTCGTCGAACTTGTCGCGCCTCTGTTGCGTGTCTGCGAAGCCGGACTGGTTACCTCCGAAGCCACCGCCGTCGCCATAGACCTCTCCTCTGTAGCCGCCATAGTCCGCCTGCTCGCTACCAAAGCCTCCGTACCGGCTGCCACCTCCACTGCCTCCCGAGAAGCCGCCCATGCCGATACCTGCTCCGCCCTCGACACCGCCAAATTTGTTTCGGTTCGCTCGCGCTTTCTTGCGCTCGGTCCGGATGCGATCGACATCGCTGAGGAGTTCGGCGAGCTCCTTGGCACGGTTGCGCACGTTGATGCCTTGATCCTTGCCGTTGGAATCGATGAAGTGGAACTGCCGTAGCATCTTGAGGAGCGAGACATGGGAGCGCGCGTCGTCGATGACTCGTTCCGAACCGTTCTTGATCAGGTATTCGAGAAGTTGCAGAGCCTGGGTCTGTTAGCGACGGTGGTGGCACAGAGTGCTCAACATGCCTTGTAGATCTGTCTCCATTCCTCAGAGGCCTTCTCGGTGAAGCGCTTGTATATCATAGGCATGATCTCATTCAAGAGTTGGCTACTCTGTTAGCCGCGGTCCACCAGCTCCTCGGGCATCGCCTACTAATTGAAGGTTCCATTGGCAATCTCCTGTAGCATAGTCGATGATGCACCTTGCCATCTGTCAGCGGAAGCTTTCGCGGCGCACGAGGTTTCGCTCACCCCATGGCTCATTGTTTGTCGCCTCGCGGACCTTGGCCTCCATCTCCGTGTAGTTCATGACGGCTGCGCAGCGTGTTAGCATTGGCCAGCTGGCTTCATGCTTCCCCTCAGCCTACCATTTTGGGCCTTGCGAAATCCGGCCTTGAGGTCGTAGAGCGTGAGATTGCTCACTTGGTCCTTCAAGCTGTTTAGATCCATGATTGCAGACTTCCGGCGCGTAAATCTGGTGGTTTGGCGATGTTGGTGTACTGTAGTTGGGCTGGCAGCTATCGACCACGGTCTCGGTAGCGGACCCCCGAGGGCGCTTTGCACAAGTTTCGGGAACTCGGAATGGGCGCTTGCGTTTGGGATATTCGTGTGACGGAAAATGTCAATCAAGAATGATGCAAAAGTCTTCAATTACAGAACGGCTTTACTAAGTGAGCAAGCCACGCTTAGGAGGTACATACTCCCGTAGAGGGCAGCCAGACCAAGCCCAAGGTTCACGTGACACAAGCTCGGACCTGGCCAGCAGTGGGAATTATCGACGACTTTCGTCCGACAGTTGTACAGCTTCTCGTACCAGTACAGCGTGATTCAACGAAGATCCGTGTTCCATTCAGTATGAGATGAAGCGGGTATCAATTCCAGGGCGGCCCGGTCGCATGCAGAGTCCCACGATTGATGTGAGCAATGAAGCGCCGAATCGGGGAACGCGCTAGACTCGTGCACAAGCTTGAGGTATCCAAAGTTTTCCATCTGGTCATCCATCCGACACTACACCTGCTGCCACTCGTCGGTAGTTCCTCAATTGTATTATATCTCTTCCATCTTGCATACCGTGTTGCATAGCGGCCCGATTCCTCGTACCATTCTGTAAGTTGCCACCGTTGGATTTGTACACCTCGATCCTTGGGGTGTTATAGCTATTCTACAGTTCTCTGTAGCTCTAAATGGAGTTCACAGCCAACATAGTGGCACCGGACTTCAGCTCCAAAGCTGCAGCATCTCCCAGAAGAAAACTACCTGCTATCTCACGATTCACTGCCAAGCTCCATGACCTAACTGCCTATCAGGTTAGACTCACACCCCGCGCTGCATCATGCCCCACCTACCGAGAGCTTCTGCTCTTTCAGCTTTCCGTGCAGGTCCCCAACTGCGCGCTCCTATTAACAAACGCTTCTTCACTCCCTCGGCATACAACATGGCCATCAAGGCTTACTTTGATTGCTCTTGGACCGGCCCCATCGTCGAGGTCGACAACGCTGGCAACGTCACCGGCCAAGGTGATGTCAAAGGTAGCTACTGCTAGCTTTTTAATTAAATGCTACTTGCAATCACTAACTTTGTATACCTACAGCGCAAACCGGCCGTGTCAACTTCGAGCTCTTCGACGATGTCGTCCCCAAGACAGTTGAGAACTTCCGCGCTCTCTGCACCGGCGAGAAGGGCTTTGGCTACAAAGGCTCAAAGTTTCACCGTGTGATTCCCGACTTCATGCTCCAGGGTGGTGACTTCACCCGCGGCAATGTGAGTTTTGGCCTCGACACACCATAGGGACAGTTGGCTAACAGGCAGCAGGGCACAGGTGGTAAGAGCATCTACGGTCCACAGTTCGCCGACGAGAACTTCAAGTTGAAGCACAACCGCCCCTTCCTCCTCTCCATGGCCAACGCCGGTCCCAACACGTAGGTTCTACACATCCACGGATTAGCGGAGTCATGGCTAACACGTCACAGCAACGGTTCTCAGTTCTTCGTCACCACCGTCGTTACCTCATGGCTCGATGGCAAGCACGTCGTCTTTGGCGGTGTTCCCGACGGCGACGTCGAATCCTACAAGGTTGTCCGATCAATCGAGGCCTGCGGCTCCAGCAACGGCACCATCAAGTACAAGGATGGCCCACCTACCATCACTGATGCCGGGGCCCAGTAGGTACTCTGCGATGAAGGTGGAATATAGCCATGTTTGACTATCTGAGAAGGAGTTTATGTGCAATAGACAGCTTGGAATCTAGTAGTAATGGTCAACGAGGCTCTATAACTCTTCGAGTGGCTATAAATGAGCAAAAGTACCCATTCCGATGCGCATGTGATTCTTTCGACACGCTTGTCAAATGCTCTCTTTCACAACACAGGCGCGCTGCTAACTGCGACTTTTTTGTCGCGAGGAGGGGCAGCATTTTACCCCGCATTCGTCATATCTCCGCTCATTCCGCACTACGGGAGCTCGAGCGGAAGAACGTTCTTTGAGTGATGTCCCTTCTTATAGCCATATAATACACGGGTATACAAGTATCTGTCTAAGTATATATATCAATGAGGTGTTCGAGACTCCACCAAGCGCTGCACGAGCTTGATAGCTTCATACCCACTCCCCAGCTCATGCTACGCCTGTGTCCACAAATGCCGACAAAGCTCCACTCCAATCGCGTGGACGGTTAGATCTAGCGGCGATGATCCGCAATTTTCATCGTATAGGGCGTGATGTCGACATACTCACCATGTCATCTTGATAGGCGTTTTCTCCATTGACTTAAAGTCTTTCGTCCACGCCGATAGAGAAAAGGCTGTGTCATTTACCATCAGGTTGACACCCGCACAGCATCAGAAGCAGTCGCAATACTACAGATATCGCTATTTGGCTGCCGAAGATCTCGGAGTCATCCATTCACAGTCATCATGTCGACATACCACCCATCAACACACGGTGTCCACGGCGACGACCGCATCAACGTCCTCACCGATGTCGCCCCACCAATTCACACATCAACCACCTTCAGGTATCCTCACGATCCATCAGAGCTTCAACCCGTCCCGAAAGAAGGCGAATTCGTCGACCTGCAAACTCCTCTAATCTACTCCCGCCTCGCATCGGCCAGCACCAATCGCCTAGAAACGATCCTAGCGCCTTTAATCTACCCTGACGCAAAACAGGAGGAATTAGATGGCCAATCTGGGTTAGCAAACCACGTCGTAAGCTATACAAGCGGTCTCAGCGCTTTCCACGCCTTGCTTGTCAACGTTGTCCCCAAAGTTATCGCCATCAGCGGCGGCTATCATGGCTGCCACGGCGTGATCGACCTGCACAAGAAGATGCACGGGGTCAAGACCGTGGATCTCCATGCCGATGATGCTGCTTGGGACGCCGCCGGCCTGGGAAAAGGCGATCTCGTGCATCTCGAAACACCCCTGAACCCCACAGGCGAAGCTTTCGAAATAGCGAAGTACGCTGCCCGAGCGCACAAGCGGGGCGCGTTCCTCAGCGTCGACGCTACATTTGCACCACCAGGTCTACAAGACCCGTTGCTGTGGGGCGCTGATGTGGTGATGCATTCTGGAACAAAATACATTGGTGGTCACAGCGATATGCTTTGCGGTATTTTGGCTACTGCGAAAGGACCCGAAGGACTAAAGCAAGCAAAGACGCTACGTGCTGAGCGCATTTTCCTGGGTGCAGTCCTTGGTAGTCTAGAGAGCTGGCTCGGCGTGCGAAGTCTTCGGACCTTTGATTTGCGCGTTCAAAGACAGAGCAGTAACGCGGAAAACCTCGTCCGCTGGCTGCAAGACTCACTCAACGGCAAGGGTGAAGACGCGGAAGTGGTAAATAACGTCGTGCACAAGGTCGCTCACGCAAGTTTGCAAGAAAAGGACATGTCGTGGTTGAAGAAGCAGATGCCGAATGGGTTCGGTCCTGTCTTCAGCATCTACATGAAGAGTAGTCAGCAGGCGCGGTCGCTTCCCTCCAACCTGCGTCTCTTTCACCATGCGACCAGTTTGGGGGGTGTGGAGAGTTTGATCGAGTGGCGCAGGATGAGCGACGCGGATGTGGATGAGAGGCTGCTGAGGGTTAGTGTGGGCGTGGAGAACTGGGAGGACTTGAAGAATGATTTTCTGGGAGCTTTCAAGGCTTTGGTTGAGGGAGGAACGAGTGGGGAGAGTGGGAAAGGGGATGGAAATGTGCAGGTCGGACAGGATGGGGCGCAGATGCCGAAAGCAGGAGCTGGTGCGGTGTGATGAAGGTCGCTTTGTCGTGACATGCTGGTAGGAGCGGTATTAGTGTTATAGATCATTACAAACGTGAACACGAAGAAAGGACAGTGACATTCATGCCTTTGTGCCATGTGCCTGAGAGGGCCAGCTTGGGATAGCACCCGGATTAGGATCCATTTCTGGGGAAAAGTGGAGAAGCAGAAGCAGAAGAAGACGCGGAGGTGCTTCTAGTCAGTACTTAATTTTGTTTGGGAATAAACTCTATATTTTGGTGGCCAAGACTTGAAGGTTATCACCTGACGCTTGTGTAGGAAATTAGCTTCGGCGTTTGGCAAATGCATTGACAGGCGCGTATACAGCACAATGCGGTGACCTGAGGATATCAAGCATTCGTCAAGACACGTCTCCGCAGTGAAATTACCAAGTGCAAGCTGGTACCGTATCATCAGCTGGGAAAGACGCGAAGCCCGACTGGAACATAGTCGGCGTGGGTAGTTGTGGGTCCCCGACGCTTTCCGCAGCCAGAACGGCCCTCCTCGCAGTCGCCATGCTAACATCAAGCCATGACAAAATTTTGCTTCTTCTCCATAATATCCGATACCGGTGCGCATGGTCCCGATCCAGAGTCTGAGTGGAGATGATGTGGTCAGAAGAATTGAATCCTGGGGGCTGGTCCAGGACTTTGAGCGATGCCGCCATGGCTACGCTCGGCTCTCAGCGTGGGCGGCAGACCAAACACAGATCACGAACGGAGCTGTGCTGGCAAGATGACGCTAATGTGAGGAGCGGCTGGTTGTGCATTTCGCCGACTGTGGGGTAACAGGCATTGCGAAGGTCACGATGGCAGCTTGGAGGTCAAAGCCATGGCAAAAGCAAGGGATCGCAGAAGGGGAATTGATGATGCTACGTCACCGGCTGACATGGCGAGCAGGCACGACGAGTCTGCCACAAACTCTACAACGGTCATTACATCATATCCAACGATGCCCTTCAACACCATCACATCGCCATGAATGCTAGACATGTCGTTTACACCACAGGAACGCGTTACGGCATTGTCCAATCATCAGCCCGTCTAGCGCGGGCGATAAGCCGGCGTCTGCGTCAGTCTGGCACCATCTGGAGCAACAATGAAGCTGCACTAGTGCGACATGACCGCATCCGACGCAAGCCGAGCATCGCGTGCGATATCGTGGAGCACCAAGAGTACCAACCATGGTATATATGCCTTTCATCACGATGAAAAAAGTCACAGGACCTCCAGAATTGCTCGCGCTCTCAAGCTTGCAAACATCGACAAATCTATAAACCGTGCCGATTCACCAACTCCAAGTACAAACTACACCACCTTGCACACCACCACTTGAGCGCCAGAGCCACACCTACACTCAACATGATGATCCGGAGACAGAACCTCCACCGCTTCCAGAGCCTCGCACTCGCACAAACATCCAGAACCCTTGCACAAACACCACGCTACGTCTCCCAGAGCGCACGACAGAATGTCTCTATCCCCGCCTCATCACAAGTCTCGACCTCACATCTACTGTCGACACAGCCAGAGTCGCAAATAGCGCAGACAAAAGCAGTCCTCGGACGCCTACCTACCGAGACTGTCCTCCGATCCTACCTTATCACAGCCGTATCATCACGGCCTCTGCTGCTCAATGCTTGCTTCGGCATCTTACGGCGCATGCTAGACTCGAAGTCTTTCCTCCTGAGCATCGAGCGAAACCCAGTGCTGTCCAACTTGCTCAAGAAGACTTTCTACGCGCAGTACTGCGTTGGCGAGAAGAAGGATGAGGTTGTCAAGAACACCGAATTCGCGCGCACACTTGGATATGGCGGCATCCTGTTTGAGTACGCGCTCGAGGTTCTAGGTGGAAAGGCACCGACTGCCGAGGAGACCAAGATGGAGATTGAGGTGTGGAGGAAGGGCATGTTGCAAAGTGTCGATATGGCGAAGGAGGGCGACTTCGTTGGACTGAAGTAAGTCCTCCCTCAGTGGCTCACGAGAAACTTGATGTTAACCGCCATATAGATGGTCCGGTCTCGGTCGTCATGCCCTCAACCTCCTCCAGAACCAGCAAGATGCCACCCCTGAAATGTGGGATGCCATCACAGCAGCTTGCGATGCCGCCGCTGCAAAGGGTGTCAGTCTCCTCCCTGGCGCCGAAGAAGAAGCCACCAACCGTGGACTCGAGAGGTGGACGCTAGCCCTACAGGAGAAATACAATAAGCCCGAGAATGGTCGTGCAGTCCTCTACATCACATACCAATGCTACCTTCGCGACATCTCGAAGCGCCTGGCCCAGCACCTTGAGCGCGCATCAAAGAAAGGCTACATCGCCGGTGTCAAGCTCGTACGCGGCGCCTACCTCACCTCCGAGCCCAAGCACCTTACGTTCGATACCAAAGCCGGCACTGACGCCAACTACGATGCTTGCGCTGATGCCGTAGTCCGCCAACAATGGACTGACAAGGTCCCCGCCCCCACACCAGGCACTCCCTTCCCCAAGGTCAACATTGTCCTAGCAACCCACAACCTCGCCTCCGTCCAAGCTGCCCAGAAGATCCGCGCCCAACAAATGCTCTCCACCTCCCCAGAGAACCTACCCCGTCTCACCTACGCCCAACTACAGGGTATGGCCGACGAGATCTCTCAGGCTCTAGTCCAAGACGAGACGATGAAGGCGGATACCCAGGCTAAGGTCGTCAAGTGCATGACTTGGGGAACTACAACTGAGTGCCTGAACTTCTTGCTCAGGAGGGCGAGTGAGAACAAAGAGGCTGCGCTCCGTACTGAGGATACCCGAAAAGCGATGGGCAAGGAGCTCTGGAGGCGGTTGAGGGGTGTTTTCGGCCTTGCTTAAATCGGGCTTTTCGTTTTTGGGATTGATGATTTATGAAGCGAGGCATTTGCATGAGCATAAGCATGGCGTTTGGAGGAACGATGGGGAAGCTACTTCTAGCATCACGGCTACCCTTTTTCTTCAGCATTTGAGATTTTGGGTATTTTGCATAGCGGTTTCACTTACGAGGGAGGGTACTTCCCAGATATCAATATGAACATCATAAACTATTATTATTCATCTCTGTCGCTGTGATCTTGGCCATGTCAGTCGTGTCAGTCAGATGGTCAGGAGTCTCGCCCGTAGTCGTCGTCGTCGCTGCTACCGCCCCACAACCTCGCTTACCACGTCAACATGCTCTTGCCCACAGTTGCCTTGTCGATAGGTACCAATTAATTTTTATTAGTCATCAACAATTGCCTCCTTGGCTAAGTGGTAAAGCGTCGCACTTGTAGTAACTACTAGATATGCGAAGATCGGTCGTTGTAAGTTGAACCGCGCTTGGTTCAAATTCCATTACTAACAGTATTATAGCGATTCGGCCAGGTGGCATTCATTCGTCTTCTTTTTGCTCATGAAAAAATTGAATCGATTCATTCTGTCTATTATCTTTGCTCGTATTATAACATGAAAATTGTGTTGTACACCAGGTTCTCAAGGTTGGTTTCTGTTTTTTGCAATGATCTTTACGACTGGTACAAAAAAGCACTATCGTAGGAGTTATACACCTCTATTTCTTCTTTGCTTAGAGGACTTATAAGATTCGCCTGTAGTGTTATTGCTTCTCTAGTCAACCTCATGTGTATACCTTCTTAACTTGCATCAAGAGTACTCCAATGCAGTAAGATTCTATGCCGTCCATGTCTAGAACAGGCAATTAGGCAATGACTAGAAGCAGCCCTCAGACTCGCAATCGATACAATGTAATTATAAGTTTAATTATAAAGGAAGAATGTACTTAGAACAAATACGCGGAAGTGCGAACGGTACGAGATGGGGGTCTGCGAAGATTGGCAGCCTCGGTTCAACGCACGGGCCCTCCATGCCGAGATGCTCCTTCTTCTCCCCAACGCAGATCACCATCGCGACGTCTCCAACAATACGCCTGCAAGCTAGCCGAAATTATGAATAGTAGCACTCGTACGCTTGACGCACTCCAGATAGCCTTGTCAACCCTCGCTACCCGCAAGTTTACGCCAAGCCCCGGCCCGAAACACCAAGGCCTCCAAGCTCAAACCACAGCTGCTGCAAGATCCGCGCATCAAACACAGCTTCCATAAGCCTCGTCCAGATCACACCGCTCACTGGTGGAAATCAGTCATGTCAAGCTCAGGAGAGGCAAGGCGAAGCTCTGACCTGTAGGCTTGGCTATACTCGTACGCGTTTAGAAGTGAAAGAAACTGTGTTTCGCAGGCTCGAAGCCTTTTCGTGATTTGTAGCATGCCGTTCATGCAGTATAGATGTATGGTAATCCCCCACACTTCTTTCTTTTCTTCTCTCTCCGCTATACTGCCGTGCGGTATCTCTTGTCTGCCATCCTTCTTTCGATTCTTCTTTCTGGCCGGTCCATCATTTAAATAGCCTAATTTCTATTTCCATCTATTGAGCTCGTTGTTATCGTCATCATGTACGGACTCATCACCCTCTCGCTGCTTTCTCTTACTTCGGCTTTGCCACAACGCAACCGCGGCGGTAACGGCAACGGACAACAAGCGACGGCCTTTCAAAAAGCGGCTCAGGTGCCCCAGGGAATCTCTACTGCCACCGATGGCTCTATGATCCTAGACGACACGGTCATGGTCAACAACCTGCCTATTCGATTCAAGATCTCCGCACCGGCAGACCAATTCCTTCCTGCTTCGGGTGTCCCCGGTGCGGCAGCTACGTCGGCGAACGGCACCCTGGGCGCGAACGTGTTGCTCCATGGCGACGGCGGACAAAGTTTCTTCGACATGCCAAACCAAGCTGTGCAAGCCAACACCATGGGTGTTGCGCTTCTGGCGCCCGACAAGAATCTGTTCTGGGGAGGAGGCGCAGGTCTTCAACGTACAGATGGTGTAGCACACGCTCAGGCCGTCAACGACTTCATCCAGACGGAGCTGCCGCAACGGGTCGCAGTTAACATGTCCAACATCGTCTTCACTGGTGTCTCGGGCGGCTCGCTGATGATGTCCGGCTTCTTCATCCCAGCACAGATGCAAAACTACGCCAACTCAGCTGTCGAGCTTAACTGCGGTGGCATGCCGCCGCAAGTCGCTTTCCAGAACGCTGCCACAGTCATGTCTCAGACAAGAATACACTTCCAATCTACACAGAGTGAGCTCCAGTTGCTCCAGGATAGTATTCCGCAGGCTGTTGCAGCCTATGAGCAGCTTGGTGCAGATGCAGGTTTGAGCGCGGCTCAGGTCAACACATTGCAGACAGTGGACAACACACCTGCGGGAGGACATTGCGAGTTTGACGGCCAAGACTTCGTTTCTGGAGTACAGACCATGTCGTCGAGCTATGCGAGCGTCATGCAGGGCGGTAACGGCGCGGTGCAAGGCATTGGTGCGCCGAGCACTGGCGTAGTCACGACGGGTGTTGTTGGGAACGAGAACTTGAAGTTCGTTGGTGGGCAGAGGAAGCGTGAGGTTGAGGCGAGGAGTATGATACAGATGCGATGGGCGCAGGACGTTGTCGAGGAGGCGGACTTCCAGATGCTTGCGTGCGATAGAAGTTCGTGCTCAGCCGATGAGCCTAGGGTCTAGATGTGCGTGGGTTTAGTACATAATTCCTGTCTCCATGTCAGATCAATCAACAGAGTCCGACCATCGCAGACAGTTTCCTTGACGCGCTTCTTGTGCTGCTAGTCCTGTTGGTGCACTGCCAGCAAATCATTTATCCGTCACTGCAATGAGGAACACAAAGTGTGGTTTTGGTCGTAATGTTCATTTGACTGGTATTGTGAAGGTCGTCCCATTGCTAATCGTGGTTGCAATGTCGTCTCCCAAATCCTTCACCCCGTAAATGCATTTTCGCCGTGCCCGTAAACCCATGAATGTGATCGAAAGCAGGAAAAGAGACACCTCACATGACGACACCGGAGTTGGAGGCGATACGCTGAACATTGTTAGTACTGACTCTCTTGATGGTGTGTGCAGACGTACCGGCCACAGCTCAGCGGCCTCCTTTGCGACGGGTCCAGTGATGGCGGAGCCCTTCATTTCACCCTTGGGGTTGACAATGACACCGGCGTTGTCCTCGAAGTACAGGTAGATACCGTCTGCTCGCCTCCATGGCTTGCTCTGGCGGACAATGACGGCGGGCATGACCTTCTTCCTCAGCTCGGGCTTTCCCTTCTTGACGGTCGCCATGACCATGTCACCGGCACCACCAGCGGGCAGGCGGTTGAGACGCGCACCAATACCCTTGACGGAGATGATGTACAGGTTGCGGGCACCGGAGTTGTCGCAGCAGTTCATGACGGCGCCGCTGTGCTGCTATTAGCCTGCATTCATTTGTGTGCCTTGTGTGCGTGTTCGCGAACGGAAACGGTCTCGGCGGAGCGATCGCATCGGGGTCAAACGTACACTGGCAGACCAAGAGTCATCTTGAGCTTGTTACCGGAGGTAGAACCTCGACTGCACACACGTTAGCCAGCATTCCTCCGCGAGACAGCCTCGAACTGCCCAATTTGTCGCTGAGGACTACGTACCCGCGCTTTCCAGACATTTTGGTAGATTATCGGGGGGATATTCGATTTGGGCGGGTTTCGGGTGCGTCGTCGCTGGAGTTGTCGTGAGCGTCGTGAAGTTCGGCAAGTGGGTTGGCAACGACGAAATTCGTGTGGGCGCACGGACCCCGCTAGCGTCATCTTTACTTCTCGACACCAACACCAACACCAACACCAAGATTGCTCACACCTATATTTGGGGATACTCATACCTCCAACTACATACTTGCGCTGCTCTATGTACAAGACTATGCGACTCATAATCTGAGAGAGCGCCCGTCCGATCGTTGACTTGTCGTGGCTGCGAGCATGATTTGTCCAAGAACCACGACATCAGCAATGCTTTGAAGTGAAAAGAGCTGCAGACATATAGACCCCGCTTTGCCTACTGTTGATAGAATTCTGACCAAAACAACCGATCGTGTACTTTGCCAGTCGGCGAGACTGTTCTTCGTCGATGAACCAACATGACATCCTGAAAGCGCTTGCTGCACTCTCTCGTCGGGAGCGAAGCGACCAGACTAGCCGCATAAGTCCATCAGAGATCAAAGTCGGGACAATTTGATGCATTATACAGAGACCTGCCACAGGTTTGCAAGTCCACCTATAGTTCACGACTTTAAACCCTTTTCTTGGTATCTCAAGAACTCGGTTCTGAAGGTGGGTTGTCAATTGATGTCGAATACGCGACACGCCTTTGACATGAGCCCGTCTTGATATAAGAATATTACGCCGACTGAGCAGCTACAGGTCATGCTGCTTGGTAATAGCATATCGCTGGAGCAGGATGCTGCATGAGCGAATGTGGTGGCTACTCCGATCGATACACCTGACTCAGACCTTCCGTCCCTTGTCTTGGCATCAAATATTGCGGTGGAGACTGGGTAAACATTGCTATGGGCACTCGATTCATGCAATCAGGCATCCGCGAAGTTTCGGTTGTCAGTTGGCGGTGTCGCGCAATGATAGACCGAGAGGGTTAAACACGCGTTGGCCTGCGGGCACAAACAGGGAATCTTTGAACCCTGGAAGTCTGCTCTGAGGAGACATGCTAATTTTGTTCGCGTAAGCCCGGCGACGCAACAACGTGGACGACCACTAAGGAACCCCAAGACTTGCTAGGACTATGAGCCTGGTCAAACCATGAAAAGCAACGTTGGAGCTTAGACGTTGCATCCCGCTCGTCATCACAACAAGCTCGACCCCGCAAGCCCCCGCAAAGTACCCAGGCACTACCGAAATTGGGCCCGACCGAACTCGACCGAGGATTTCGATCCGCCAAACCCCAGAAAGGGATCAAGGCCGCATCTTGCCTCTCGTATTAACTCACGACGGGACTAGGGCTGCGAGATTTTGTGAAGCGACAAGCGATTGTACATGCCGAATGACGATGAGTACCACCGTCACAATCAGCCCCACGGTCCGATTGAAAAGCCACAGAGGTATAAAGAGGTCCGTAAATGATACTCAAATGTATCAAGCATTCCTTGGCCATCATCATGAAGCCTCAAGCACTTCTTGCGTATGGCGCGGTGGCTCTCGCCCAGCAAGTCTACGTCCCTGCTGAAGGACCAGCCTCGCGACCGCAATGCTCGGCAAATCAAACATATGCGACTGCAATGCCCTCGTTTACTTTTCGAGAGTTCAGTTTCACACAGACCGAGACTGTTCGTACAGCAACATCTGCCCCGGCTCCCACTACTACTACTACTTATGCACCACCGTACGCATCGCTCAGTAGCTTGGTTCCAAATTTGACGACGACACAATGGGGTAACTGGAACTCAAATGCCACTGCATCAGCAACCGACTTGGGGAACCCATACGGAAATGCGTCCTGGACGGCTCTCTGGACGACCGTGCCTTGGGTCAACTTCACGACTGGGATGTACTCTACAACAGTTGAACCGACGCCAGTACCAACCAGCGAGCTCATCCTGCCACCACCTGAGCCACTGGTACCTCAACAATGCTACTCTTTCCCCGCAGACTTCATGCTTGGTGTGGCGGCATCAGCGGTTCAAATCGAGGGAGCCGTCGCAGATGAGGGACGGACACCCGTTCACAACGACGTTGCTGCCTTGAACAACCCGGGCCAAGCGCCGAACTGGATCGCCAACGAACACTACTACTTGTACAAGCAAGACATTGAACGAATTGCTGCCATGGGCATCAAGTATTACAGATTTTCCATTCCTTGGACTCGAATTCTGCCGTTCATTTTACCAGGCACACCAGTTAATAAGCAAGGTCTTTCGCACTACGACGATCTTATCAACTTCGTTTTGGAAAAGGGCATGCATCCCGCTGTTATGCTTTACCACAACGACTCTCCTTTCCAATATTATAACAACATTAGCGATGTCTTTATCAAGCCCGGAACTGGAGGTATTGGCTATCTGGACTCTTGTTTCCACTGTAGCTACAAGAATGTGTCGTGGGAGGATGCTTTCGTCGAATACGGAAAGATTGTCATGACACATTTTGCTGACCGCGTGCCAATCTGGTGGTCCTTCAATGAGCCTCTTTTGGGTGCGCGGAACGGAAAGTCTGTTGATGCCGTCATCAAAGCTCATGCAAGGCTCTACCACTTCTACCACGATGACATTGGTGGAACTGGCAAGATGTCGCTCACATTCAATGACAACTTTGGCGTCCCACGCAACCCGGATGACCCCGCTGACGTCGACGCTGCCAACCACTTCAACTCCTTCCAGCTAGCTACCTTTGCCAACCCTATCTTCCTCGGAACAGACTACCCGGAATCATTCAAGAGTAGTGTTGACGACTACGTGCACTTGAGCGAAGAAGATCTACAATACATCAACGGCACTGCAGACTTCTTCTCGATCCAACCGTACACTGCGACAGTAGTCAGTCCACCGCCGAATGACACCATCGCGGACTGCGCTGCCAACATCACTCATCCCCTCCGGCCTTACTGTGTAACTCAGAGCACTCTCACCACCACTGGCTGGGACATTGGATATCGCAGTCAATCATATGTCTACCTGACACCCAGCTATTTCCGCACCTACCTAAACTATCTCTGGAACACATGGCGTTCTCCAGTGGCCGTCACTGAATTCGGCTTCCCTGTCTTCGCCGAGGCGCAGAAAGAGCAAGCAGACCAAGAGTTCGACAGCCCAAGGAGCTGGTACTACCAGACGTATCTGAACGAAGGCCTGAAGGCGATCTGGGAAGACGGTGTCAATTTCATTGGCGCGTTTGCTTGGTCGTGGGCCGACAACTGGGAGTTTGGTGACTACGATCAGCAGTTTGGTATCCAGACTGTGAACCGCACGACGCAAGTGCGAAGGTACAAGAAGAGTTTCTTCGACTACGTGGACTTTATCGAGAGCAGGAGACAGGCAGAGTAGATGTCATAACATGTTTGATCCCATGTGTACATACAAGAATCGTGTCAAAAGTATATACATCCAGAGCTACCCGACGATATACGATCATAATCTCTAAAGACGACTAACAAACCCACTTCGATCCATCTTGACCAAGTACTCTCTTCCAATATCCTCAACTTTTGTCACACCCGCAAGTCCCATACACAACTTGAATTCATCACTCAATAGCTTCAGCGCTAGTTCAACACCTTCTTGCCCTTTGTACGCCAATCCCCAAAGTATCGGCCTGCCAACCCAGACGAAGTCCGCACCTAGCGCGAGTGCTTTGAATACATCCGTCCCATGCCTGATTCCTCCGTCGACATGTACAGGAATCGTCTTCCCAGTCTGCGAACGCACCGCGGCAACAACTTCAGGCAACGCATCAATGGTAGCCAACGCGCCGTTAAGTTGTCTTCCTCCATGGTTCGACACAACAATACCATCGACGCCGTGGTGGCACGCTAGTAGTGCGTCTTCACCCGTCGCGACGCCCTTCACCCAGACTTCCATCTCTGGGTAACATTGTTCTTTCAACCAGGTTATGTCGCGTTCCCAGCATAAGGTCGGGTTGGGTGCGTGGGTGTGAAAGGTTATCGGTCCTTGTGGTGGCTGTCTCTTGTTGCCATCGCTGGCACTGGGTGTCTCGCTCCGTTTGCGCGATTCGTTCGCTTCCGTGGATGGTAAGGCGATCTTATCTTCGACCTTCGTCCCTGCGTCGTGGTTGTCGTCGCGGTTGAAGTTTGCTACTTTGAGGTGTTTTGGCAGCTTGAACTGGTTCCTTATCTCCAAGTTTCGGCGCCCGAGAACTGGGGTGTCGACTGTGAGCATGACGGCTTTGTAGCCGGCTTTCTTGGCGCGTTGGATGAGCTTTTGGCTTTGGGTGCGCTCTTCGAAGAGGTAGAGTTGTAGGGCTCCGGGATGGTTGCCCAACGCGCCTTTCACGTCTTCAAGACTGGTTGTGCTGAAGCTACTCAGGCCCATTACTATGTCCTTGTTGGCGCATGCGCGTGCAGTCGCTAGTTCACCGTCGTCGTGGGCGAGACATTGCATAGCGGTTGGTGCGACGCCGAGGGGTATGCTATTCTTGTGCCCGAAAACGTTTACGGTCGTATCGATGGAGGAGATGTCGCGAAGCACGCGTGGACGGATGCGGTACTTCTGGTATGCGGTAATGTTCTCGAGGAGCGTCGATCCAGAGTCGGCGCCTTCATTGTAGTAGTCGCGTGTCTGCTTGTCCATGCGCTCTGCGGCAAGCTTCTCGAGTTCGCCGATGGTGAGGCAGTTCAGATCGTGGGGAGTCTTCGTGTCCGACATTTTGATCTGTGTGGTAGGGCAAGGCAATGCGACGGGACGTGATGCGAAGCGAGTGTATATGGGATTTTGGGGAGGACAACGAAGTCGTCGGATATTGAAGGAGACCAGGGGTTAGCCATCTTGTTCATTGCTTCGGCAAACCTATCTTTGATTCGGCTATAAGATAGATGATGACGGCGACGATGTAGCGTGAGAGCTATGGCTTGCCGATCTCGGGTCGACGCGTCAACTTCCCGTTCGTGCGAACGTGGGGTGGATGTCGCGCGTCAGACCCGTTCCATCACAACATTCTTGTGACGCCAAAACAAATTCGATAACGCGCGAGCAGCTTTTCCTCCCAGAGCCCATGATCGATTCAGCAAAGTCGTTGACAGAGTGTCTATTGTAAAGCAAGGCGAACACGCCACAACTAAGCAACAGCGAGGCGCAACACAGGAAATGAGAGACAGCCCTGGAGCCCAAGACTAGTAGTATAAGAGAAAGAGAAACAACAAGGAGATCTATCGCGAAAACAGAAAGCAGCGTGACCGGTAATGAACGCAAAACAAAGGAGATCATAATCAGTCCGAATCATCCCCATCAACGGCCAGACCTTTGCCCTCACATCCAGAACATACCATTCCTCTCGTTATGCGAAGGATGCCAGGGATTGAGCCATTGCTGACCTCGGAGCCAGGAGTCATTATCATAAGTGACCTCGGTGTTGTATTGGCTACCCCATAGTGGCGGGGTCTCAGAGATTTGCTTCGCAAATTGTTTCTTGGCTTCATCAATCTTGTCCTGACTCACACGTATGTTCTTGCCATCCTTGTCTTTCTCTACTGGCATCGCGAACGTCGGTGCCATGTCAGGATCGAGGTTCCAGGCGCGGAGATACACTCGACCTCGTTCGCACAACCTATCCGCTATGTATGCAGGGGCGGCATAGGAGACTCCAGTGGTGGAGCGGCCAAAGGCGTAACAGAGCATCATCGTTAGCTGAGGTAGTCTCTCTTTGCCAAGTTCCATGCCATCTTCTAGGACATGGTAGTGAGCCGACCGAGCAGTGCCTTTGAGGGCGAGGTGCGATTGGAGGAAGAAGTTGAAAGGCTTGGGGTTGGTGACTATCTCGGTGACGAGAAGCCCAGGTTTGAGATTTCCGTTCAGCCTGTCGTCGTTGGCCGTCAGAGGGTATGTCTGGCTTTCTTCGGTAGCATAGAACCGGGTGTGATGACGCTTCCCACACACCACAAAAGTTAACCGAACCTCTTGTTTGCACATACTTCGGTAAGTGTCTTTGATCGTGGAGATCTCTTCGTCGATGCATTGCTTGAACTGACTCTCGGAAATGCCGTCACGGTAGAACAGCATGTGGGTAGGCCAAGCTGTAGGCTTGTGTGCTTGTCTCCATGCCCAGAGACGCTCTTGAATCATCGTTTTGAGGTGCTCCTTTTCGATATTCTGTGGTCATTAGTATTCCAGCTGCGAAGAAATTTCATTTTTGTACTCACCTCCTGGCCTTCTCGTTGCAGTCTCATAGAGCCAGGGTAGGTCATAAATTTGTTGTCGACGCTGCCAACCACGCAAGCTACGCTTGGGCTGCCATCTTTTCCTCCAGTCCCACAATGACCAATGTCGGCACCCAGAATTATGGTCTTGTTCTTGATGGCCTGACCAAGCTTTGCGGTCTTCTCGAAGAGGTTGTCGAGCGTTTGCGCGTGAAGGTGATGTGATGCTCCGCCAAACTTCATGTTGATCTTTAACGACAGGTTGGACATGAATTGCTGTGCGCCATCCTGTAGAAACTTTGAGCCCACCGCAAACAGAACATGACGCTGGTTGAAATCAGCAACTCGCTTTGCGAACGCGTAAAGCTTGTAGTTCTTCTCGGGTATCAAGATGATGCTACAGTCAGAATTCGACTTATGGGCGAAGTTGATGAGCTTTCTGAACACACCTTCGTCGCCGAACGGAGCTTTGGTGATGGGAGACCCTTTCAGAACGTACTGTTCGGATTCTGTCGTTCCTTGTTCCATGTTGATACCATGAGCCTTGATCTTTGCAAGGAATTTGGTGTGGACTTCCTTCAAGGTGGCATTACCGACTTTGGGGTCGTCAGATGTTACGTCGGGCGTGCCAAAACAGTTTTTCAACGCTAACATGTGGAGTTTACCAGGTTTGACAGGTGTTTCTGCAAATTCGACGTTCTTGAGGTCCCACCGGCCCAAATCTGGAGTCTTAGTGGAAGCGGTTGCTATCGGCTTTGTGTTCAGATTTGACTTCTTGGGAGCAGGTGTGTTGGCGAAATGAAGTGTCGGTTGTTTAAGGGTAACCGCTGGCACTTGAATGAGCTCTTTGCCGAATTCGAAGCCCATAGATGCCTTGGTTCATGTCAGTCATGTTGGTTAAGAAGCCTCTTATAATCGTCACATGACTTACCAATGGCTCTTGGCCGCTCTGAGTCTTTACTCCGATAATTTCAAGACCTTCTTTCTCGATGAGGTCGTAATTTCCAGCTGGCAAACGTAGGGCTTTCTTGATCATCTCCCTCGTATGCTTGCTGCCTAGTGTTGTCGTAATGATCTGGCCGGGGATGATTTCGAGTAAACAAGCCGGTATCCACTGGGCACCGCATTCAGTCTGATGTCGCATGATCTCATCGTTCGGCTGAGTCTCATCGCTGTTCGGAATTTTGACACGTTTGCCGACATTGACACAGTACGTCGCAGTCGAGCCCTTCACCGCATCGGTTGGGAAGTGTACCATCGCTTCTAACACTTGTTAGTAACACTCATCGAGATGAACATATCCAAGGGACTTACTTTGGGTGAAGTAATCGTAGACAGTGGTTCCTTTGTCCGTAGTCCTTGTCTTCCTTGGCTGACCATTTACGCCGTCCATCAAGTCGTAGAATTTTTGCAACCTAGCATCGTAACTCCCGAGTTGGAAGAACGTCTTGAGACGAGCAGCGGGTGAGTTATAATCAACATCGCTTCCGTGGTAGTTCGATCTTCTGTACAGAATTTTGACTGTGGCTCCTTGTAGTAATTGGCTGACGTACGACAACTCATGTGCTCCTATCTCGTCTATGAAGTCCGAGACTCTCATTGGTGGTAGGAAAGCTGAAGTTACTTGGTTAATGTTCAGAAGGGTTCCGTCGGTTCCTGGTCTGATCGAAGTGTAGTAGCCGCGAACTGCTCTTAGACCCTGCATCTCCTCATAGCCGTTAGCAAGGTAGAACTTGTTAGCGCCCACCCTGTCAATACCTTTTCCGGTTGTCTCCTGGTGTTTAACAATGCCTTGCGCGACATTGGCGTTGAGAGCGCGGATGTATTCGGGAAGTTCCGCTAGAGGTTTGGTCTGCAGTTTCTCCTCTATGCCAATCATGTGATCAATATGACGGACTTCTGCTCTGAGATTGGTGATCGTCTTCCCATCTGGCTGAACATACTCGAAATCATCGCTATGAAACACGTAATCGATGTCAGAAACACCATTGATCGGTGTGGTCGTCCAGAGATTCTTGAAATCAGTGACCAACTGTACACCATTCTCTTTTAGATGCAGAGCATCTGCTTCGATCAAGGCTTGGAAGGCGCCACGGATCTCGCGGCGCTTGTTGTACTCAATACGGTCATGATCCTTATCCTTGGCTGGGCGAGTGAACTTCAAGGAGTAAACGTGGAGGGTATCGGGTATCTTGGTTACTCGAACGTAGTTACTTCTAACCATCATTGTCGCACCGTCGGCTGGGTTGTCAGCAAATACATCGAGCTTCGGGCATATACCATGCTTCCGCACAGCCGGAGGGCGGTCTATGGGTGGCGAGATATAGGTCTCATCGATGGTCCCAAGAAGCGCATCATACTTGGGTGTTCGTTCGGGTTTGCTTGCTGGTTTCGGTCCCATGTCGACCCTTCTGGTGATGAGCTGTTCGAAAGAAAAAGATGATTAGTGGCTCCCTATCTTTGAATGACGAAAAGTTCAACGGAATCGGATAGAGAATCTCAAATAGCAAGAATCTGAGACCTTGATATAGGCGAAGCTCGTGGTTGTTTGGAGCTCGAGCAAGCAGATTGTGACACCAACAATGGCGAGCTTGCTCAATCAACGATGCATGTGCATCCAAGTAACTCGACATTATAGTCACTACAAGCGGTGTGCAATAGACTATACCGATCAGAAACCTGTTTAAATGAGTCTTTGGGGTGGCCAGTCGGCCACTAAATCAACCGTTGGCTATGCGTTTGATCACGCGCAAAGATACCGGTAATGCCAAAAGGGCTCTAAGTAGTGGTTGTATAAGATGATTTGTGGCATTTGAACACGTCAAAATCAGCTTGCTTCTTGGGCTATCATCGAAAACGTCATACACTGGCCTGGTGCTCATGACTGAGACAATCATCGTCTCCAGGCAACGTGTGCGCTTCGTTCAGGGTTTAGTAACACATCTTGTCTTTGACACCAAGACTTTCGACAGAGACATTTTAAACCCACTGAATATTGAGTGCTCATTCATAATTTTCTAGTCCACCGCGAACTTCAGGTATCGACGAAGGGTCTTCGCAGCCTGCCCACATACGCACGGCTTCTGAGAACAAGGTCGGTGCCTTTGCACCCGACAGACAAGACACCCTCCTGAAACTTCCAGATGTTGAATAACATCTGAGCGTCAGAGGGGAACGCATGAGAATTTGTCCGCATGTTTGTCGCACAAGGAAAATGAGGCGCACTTTCCTCACCCAGAGAGGTCTGATACGATGATGTCAAGCATCCAAAGGCCTAAACCGCACGGAACTCTGCGACTTTTGTCAGCATACTCATGTAACTGAGCCAATGCGTACGTCCAAGAAAAGGGCGCATATGAGATATAGTGGCCCTGCGTTGTGATAGTCTCACCGTAGTCGCGCATCTCGCGTGTTGATGCCTCGCGGCCGACGGCGCGAAAGTGGGTCCGGTCAATCGCGTCATGATCTGATTGGTCAATTTCGAGGCTCCACCAGATTGCAACCCACCCGCTTTGTAATCTAGGCCGTAATCACCGCCAGTCGTGTAACCCCTCGAGTAAGACCGGACCGCTTTGGGCTGAACGGTGGAGTGATGATGCCAAGTGGAGCGTGGAGAGCTTGATGAAGAACGGACTCCAATGGACTGGGAGAAGGTGCGAGATACATAGAAGTGGAGCATAAATAGTCGACTACCCCGCCAGTGCAACTACGCCTAGAGCTCCAATCAACAACACAACAAGAAGCAGAATCTATTACTATCTTCACCCTTTCAACACTTTTTTCAATCCTCAAACCACCACCCAACATGGCTCTCTCATTCCACAAGATCGCCGTCGCTCCCGTCATCACAGGCCTCAAGAACGCACACTTCTTCATCACCAAAGGCTACGAGCACGCCAAAGCCACCGATCCCAATGACTTCCTGACGGCATCTATCCATCCGGACATGAAGGACTTCCGCTACCAGGTCTACCGTTTCACCGACGCCGCTAAGTTCATCCCCTCACGCGTGAACCCCGCCTTGGAAGGCATCACTCTACCCGACGAAGAGCAGACCTTCCCCGAGTTACTAGCTCGCGTCGAGAAGACTATCAAGTACCTTGAAGGTTTCTCGGAGAAGGACTTCGAGGGCAAGCATGATGAGGAGGTTATCGTCAAGTTTGGTAGTGTCAAGCAGATTAGGCTGCCGGCGCTGGATTATGTGACCAGGTTTGCGCATCCAAACATGTGGTAAGTGGATATTTCGCTTGGGAGTCCAGGCTCGTGCGGAAGTTTTGCTGATGGTTGTAGGTTCCACATCGTGACTGCGTATGACATACTGAGGATGAAGGGCGTTGATGTTGGAAAGATGGACTTCTTGAACGGTACGGGCGGCATTACAGTCGAGGACATTTCGCAGTAGTGGTGCTAGACTTAGATGTCTGAGTATGCGCTGAAAGCGATGGGTCGGTCCGCGAAAAGGAATCGCAACCCGTGAGCAATAAACATGAATCATATGAGCGGCTTTCTTCCATTGCAATCTTCATCCTGGAATTTCAATCGATGACTATATCAGCGACAAGTGCATCCATTGCCGAGCTATGCGTGCTTGCATTCGCTGGAGTAACCCATGGCCCGGCCCAGTTTACGCTGAATACAGGTAAGCCGTCAACCGTCACCGCTCTATCCCGTTCCCAAATAGACGCCGCATTGACGCGAATAGCGTCTGAAAATGCTTTATCAGGCGCCACAGTATGAAGCTTGACGAGATTGCGCATGAAAATGCCCTTGAATTGAGCGCCATCACCACCACACTTCGGTTCGCATTCGTCGTGTATAACACCATTTTTGTCCGAAAGCGCGACAAGCGCCGCATTCGCGATTTCCGATGCGAGAACCAGGCATGCGAAACTGGGTGAAGTCGAAGCTTGGTAAAGTTCGACAAGACCTCCCAAGATAACACCTTGGTTGTACGACCAAACGGTCTTGTTGTTGTTCTCGCAATCTTCCGTCAATCCATCGTTGATAGTACCAAGCTCATTGATCATACCACTTCCAAGGAACCAGCTCAGACTTCTCTCAGCCCAATACAGATACAATGTCTTCTTTTCATCGTGATTGACGCGATTAGCCAGATGCGCAGCTGTGTTGAAGAAGAGCTCATTGGCAATCGCGTTAACGTAGTCCTTTTCCCAATTCCAATAGATGCCGCCATGGGAGCAATATGTACCCCAGCTGCGCGATACAGCGATAAATATGCCTTCCGCGAGGGTGAGATACGCGGGGTCAGACGTGACGTCGTATGCATTGATCCAGGCTAAGGCCCACCAAAGGTCGTCATCGTAGTAGCCATCTAGCCAGTCGTGAGGATCTGGCCTGGTGGGATATGATTTCCCATTTTCGTACCAGTCAAGCGGATAGAATGTGTAGGGTTCGTTGGTATCTGGATCGAGTATCTTCGTGTACCCAGTCTTATGGCTAGTTGTGTTGCTGAGAGTAGGCGTTGTGCTATAAGCATACAGCTCATTAATACTCGCTTCTGGATTTTTAATCGGCGCCTTCAGCAACGCAGTTGCGAAGACATCGCTTGCCAGATCCTGCAGTGCTTCATCTCCAGTATCTGATTTCGCATAGTCGCCGATCATTGTCATGATATTCGCGCCATTCCACCACCCAGTCGACTCCCATAGGCCGGTACTTGTGTTATACCACAATTGCAGAGTTTCAAGCGCGAGCTTTGTGCGCTCCTTGGAACTGAATACGTCGTTGCTGTTGCTTTGCGCATATGCTTTAGCGATGAACATGAAGCTGGGAAGGAGCAGCTGGAAGAAGGATGTAGATAACATGACGAGCCCGGACTTTAGTAACTGTGCGCATTGATGCTACTCGAAACCGATAATATAGGACAGTATCGAAGACGCTGCTCAGACTATGAACAAAGTTCAAAGAATAAGCCAGAACGTGCAGGGCTTGCAAGTAGTCTCCGCCAAAATCCGAGAATGGTAACTCCCTCATGCGCCGTCGTACTTGCAAGAGCGAATTCGTCGCAAGGGAAGCAACATTCACTCTCGTAAAAGAAGATTCATGTGGTCTTACCTTTGGTCGATCAATGGAACCTGAATTCCAGCAACCTGGTGTACGGTTTCTGGTGGTTGCACATCTAGGGATGCTGATAACTGCTTGGAAAGCAAACGTGTCGCATGTACCGCGGAGAGGTTATGTGCGACCCATTCGAGTTGGAATAGTATGGCAAGCGATGCGCGCATGATGAGGTTGTGTGCGGGAGCAGCACTTTGTAGATCTTGGCGTCGGAGCAGCCTGAAGCTCACAATGGGTTTTGAACTCAACCCGAAGATACGATCCAAGTCTCAAAAGCTGTGATAAGGCAACTGTGGCGATACGCCTTGCATGTTTCGAGAAGCCAGCTGCTTGTATAATACAACGCACCGAAGCTTGAGGTACCCGTGACGAATACCCCGCTACCGACCACTCGGGGATCGACCAGACTAGACTAGCTGGTTCATGTCCAGGTGCCATCGCACCCATCGGTTATGACTAGGAATGGCCTGCGGACTCCCCGCAGTAATTTGCTTCTTCGCAATGGGGATCCGGCCGATGCGTGGGACGTAGTGTCACGGCAGGTACACCCAAGTACTGGGTTTGCAAAGTGGTGTTACTACCACCCAGGTAACGCTACGCCTGCGTGCTGGCATTCTGTGGCAGGCACATACATCCCCGATCGCACGTTCGCATTTGTTGTTTCGCACCTTACTATCTTGTCTTGGACCGATGTAAACACTCAAGCGATCAAGATGTCGTTGCCCAGGTCCTTGACCTCTTCAACCCAACAGTTGCCGGCACCAGGTCCAGCTGAGTCTTTAAATCGCCAAATCGCCTCTAACACGCGCTTTGACGTATGAAGATAACCCCAGAACATCTGACCGTAAAGTTCATCCAGTGTGTTCATGATCCACTCGCGTTGACTAGGATCCTCCGACTCAGCGCCGGCAAGAAATAATGGCCAACAGATGGATTTGAAGAGTGCATCTCCAGGTTCAAGATGTGAAATGTGATTGACGACGTCGTCAGCGAGAGCGGTGAGGCTGACGAGGGCCGTGCCACTGGCTGGGTCGAGAAGAGGGTTTGTGGAAGGTAGTACGCGAGCGAGATAGATGCAGACAGCCGACCGATGCGCGGACGCTATTCGAATTCGTTTCTGTATATCGTCGAATGGCGATGCACGCTCAAACTCAAAAGACCATGCAATGGGATCGAAGTCGAGCGCGCGTTGCAGGAGTACGCCCACCTGCTCTTGGAGATATATGGGCGTGGTGGTCTCAGACGGCGACCCATGACTATCAGGCAATGCGAAGGATTCGAGCATTACGCGCAACAATGGCCCAGGACAGGAGAGATAGTTATTCGTTTCCGCGTACCGAAGAATCGGGTCCAACTCGATGGTCTCTGGAATCAATGAGGGAAGCGTCGTGAAGCTGAAAGTCGATCCGAGGATATGAAATACAAGAAAGTCTGAAAGAATCGTCTGGCGCAGCCTACTCATCGGCCGTTGTATATACTCCGGCTCACCCAGAAGTTTGATGAGCTTCAGCGCACCGTCCATGTGCACTTTCCACTTATCTCTGCCTGACTCTACTAGAGCATAGTTGACAAAGAGCAGGATGGTGATTAGAATGAGGTCAATGTTTGAGGTGTTCACACAAGTCACGCTCTTTGCAAGTAAGGAGAGTGCCTGCTGCTTCGCCACGAGTGCATCTCTGTAAGACGACTTCAGCGGGCCTCCAAACCGGCTCACAGCTTGGTAGTATGCCATGACGGTAGGGCTCCGCTCCCCTTGGTAGGCTGACTGGCCCATCGGGTTGCGTGTGATGTTGAAGACGTGGAACGCCGAATTTGCGACGATGATCTGCAAGAGCAGCGGGTAGGCAGAGGTGGCGGGGATGAGATCGCGGATAGGATTCTGTCCAGGCTCATCGTACACGACCATGACTTCGCACAGCTGTGTTGCGAAGTGGTAGAGATAGTATCGCGAGTTGCGATCGAGATCGTTGACCAAAGGGTCTGTCATCTGTCGGTGCACGCCAGCAGTCATAGCCATCGTCTGATCTTGTTCCAGCGCGGACATCCGGGCGAACTCTGGCACCGATCCGGCGGGCACGACTTCATACTCGGTATCCGGTACTTCGTGCTGTTGCGATGAGCCCTCGTGCTCCCAGACCAACCTCGGCGGTACGTCGTGAGTCTTGGCTGCCCCTTCCGTCGCAGCTGCAGCACCACCAGCATCCTGCTCCATCTTCTCTTCATACCCCTTCCCCATCATCTTGCCCCTGCTCGCAACCCCGCGATTCCATACAAACAACTTGCCATAACCCAGACATTCCGTCCCCGCTGACAAACATTTCTGGCAGCTTGGCAGCGACCGGTCGCACCTCCATCGTCGCTTCCGGCAATTGTGGCACGCTTTGGTCGGAAGATTGAAGGGCGTCACGCTCATTGGATGGTCGCCATGCAAGATGTGTAGGCGGTTGACTGTATTGAGGTGCTCGAGGTTTGGTGGGGTGGAGATCTTTCGCGTTGCTTGTGGCGGTTGGAGGGTCGGGTTCAATGGGTTACTAACGCCCTCAAGACTGATGTGGATGCAGGATTTCGTCACACCTGTCGGACTGCAGCTACAGAAACCGATGTTGACCGAGTGCGCAGCCCGAGGATGAAGCAAGCAAATCGCATGTCTCCGGGCGCTGACAAAGACGGGTTTGGGAGGGGAATTGCGCGCATGGTTCGCTTGACTTGCCGTTCTCCCCAGACCTGGATAGATTCGTCTAGGCTCGATGCAGCAGCCAAGACTCAAGCTTTGCATCGAGGGTCCACATCGTGACGGCTTTATGCTCAGACGTCACGGTCACCGCTAGGATTTGCCTTTACCTGTATGCCTGTGAGGCTCAGCACCCGAGTAAATGTCTTCGATTACACATAGCAACAATGGCCGCGGTCATTACGGAGTCCGGTCACAGCATATAGAAAAGGTGAAGATTGTGATGGAATTGGGTCGTCTTGTTCAAAGTTTTTGCCATATCGACTCGAAGAATCTCATCTCTCCTAGCGTGCCTGGGCAATTCAAAGGCAAAACATCTAGATGGCTTTGCGATGACCATTACAACACCTGATACCATCCAGCCCACCACGGGAAACATTACAATGCCCAACGACTCGATGGAGACTACCGCACATACCCCAAGCGACGCGATACCATCCTCCAATCCAGGCCCTATGCTAGAGAAGGTCGAAGAAGGAAGCCCACCACAACATGGCGGCTCATACAGCCCATCCGACATCGAGCGGCTCGGCCGCGAACGTCCCTCAGCCTTCCGCTCTCTCCCTCACGAACTAGGGTTCTGCTTCGCCCTTCTAGGCTCCATGTTCGTAGCCGAGTACATGATCTCCGGCTTCAACATCCTGCTCCCCGACCTGACCTCCGCCCTCAATATCCCCTCCAACGCGCAAACGTGGCCAGCCTCTGTCTTTTCGCTGGTAACAGGAGCTTTTCTACTACCTTTTGGTCGGTTGTCTGATATGTTTGGAGGATATGCCGTATTCAATATTGGGCTGGCTTGGTTCTTGATCTGGTCGATCATAGCCGGCTTCTCACAGAACTATGTCATGCTTATCGTATGTCGAGCGCTGCAGGGTTTCGGTCCTGCGGCTTTCTTGCCTAGCGGTATTATGCTGCTGGGTTCTATCTACCGTCCTGGGCCGCGCAAGAACCTCGTCTTCAGCTTATACGGTGCTTTTGCTCCGGTTGGCTTTTTCACTGGTATCTTTTTCGCTGGTGTCGCCGCACAGTTCATGAGTTGGGGCTGGTTCTTCTGGATTGGATCGATCATCCTCGCTATCGTGGCCGTTGCGTCATATCTTTGCATTCCCAACCCAAGAGCAGAGAAAGAGAAGGCGAAACAGGAAGGAAAGGGCGTGAAGATGGACTGGTGGGGCACAGCGACTGTAGTACCAGGTTTGGTCCTAGTGGTCTTTGCACTCACGGATGGAAGTCATGCGCCGCAAGGGTGGGCGACACCTTACATCCCCGTCACCTTCGTCATCGGTTGGATCTTCCTGGGTATATTCGTTTACATCGAAGGCTGGGTCGCTGAACAGCCTCTCCTACCCCCCGACCTATTCCGTGTCAAGGGTATGAAGCCACTCGCGCTTGCGTTGTTCTTCCAATACGGCACCTTTGGAATATTCATCTTCTATGCCAGCTTCTACATTGAACAGGTTGCTGGCGCCAGTCCGCTGCTTACCGCCGCATGGTTTACACCCATGTGCGTTGGCGGACTGATCTTAGCGACCGTCGGCGGTCTGATTCTGCACCTCCTACCAGGCCGCATCCTCCTTCTCATCAGCGGTACCGCGTACATCCTATCGACGCTTCTATTCGCCATTCTCCCTGTTAACTTCAATTACTGGGCCTACATCTTCCCCGCTATGATATGCGCTACACTCGGTATTGACATCACCTATAACGTCGCCAACATCTTCATCACAACGTCACTACCAAAAGCGCGTCAAGGGCTAGCAGGATCTTTCATGAATTCATTGTTGTTCTTGGGTATCGCGGTCTTCCTTTCGTTTGCAGATCTAGCGGTCAGCGAAACGGAGGAGAGGGGACGAAGGGGGAGTTACAAGGTAGCTTTTTGGCTTGCAACTGCACTTGCAGGGGCGGGATTGATCATCATGTTCTTGGGCGTTAAGATTGGCAAGGCAAAAAGTGATTTGACTCTTGATGAAAGGGACGAGCTGGAGAACGAGCTGGTGAGGAGGAAAACGAACGAGTAAAGGAATTTTGAAGATTTCTATTTCCACTACTCCAGCGCTGGAGACTAGAGTCGACATCCGGTAGTCTTCCAAAATTTTGTTCCGCACCTCATCTCTGTCTCTCTGGGACTTTATAGCAGCCTGCATAGATGATATCTCGTCGGCGTCCTCTCCCGTGAAATCTGGATGAGCCGCGAGGTACTCTGGTGTATATCTGACGCCGTGGACATCAGAGCTGTGGACGGCTTTCAACAGCTCCACAACCATGTGCTCTTCGATCACGTCGGCGTTCCGTAGGTGTCGAGAGTGGGCGGATAGCAAGGCTTTCTCGGTCGCTGCGTGGCTGTCGCCATAGGCCGAACGACTTGACTCGACCGGTGTCTCTGGCGCGGCTTCCGGTGTCGGTTTGAGTTTCTTCTTAGGCGGCATTGTTCCAGGTGGGGTAGAGGGAAGGCTGATACCGATCCGAGTGTACGTGTGGCCCGGCTTGCTGTGCCCAAAGTGATCAGTTGGCGGCGAGCGACGTGAGTTCTGGGAACGAACACCTGGGCAGGAATGCAGCAAGTAGAATAGCAGCAATGAAATGACGTAGCAAGACAAAACATGTGCAAAAGTGAAAGCGACGTGTCCACGAAGTTCCAAAGTTGTTTGAGCAACATGTTAGAGACAATGACAATGGAGAACCATTTTATCCACACTGAACGACAACATATTCTTTGTATTCAGATCTCTCGGCTAAACCTCGCTGATGCCGAAATCGACGTTCAATAGTGGGAATGGTGGATAGTGCAATGTGCGCTGCTGGTGTGTAGTGTTCATGGTTTCAAATCTACACGGCCCCAAGGATCGCCGAACATGTCAGGGGGTCAGTGAGTATGCGTACAGATATCAAGCGGCCATAGCTACGAAGAGGTGAGTGTACATGCAGCGTGACAATAGTGCTGATTAGGATGAGATGACTGTCGAACGGAAGACAGGCCGACTTTCGTCGACGCGACTGACGCTTGCCTTATTGAGACTAAATTGAACGCGTCGCGTGCGCCAACCCGGGCCTCCACCAATTGCCTCAGGTCTCGCAATTCATTTTGGCTATTTTGGCCTCGGTGAGCAATAGGGTATTTGAATCAGTCCAGAAAATTGCCTCCAGTCTTGGCAAGTACTTCGTCGTAGTAGCTCTGGAATGCCAGCCATCCCTTCTCAGGCGTCCCAACCTGTTTGTATGTCTCGGCAGCCTCGCTGTCCGGTATGATCTTGGGCTTGTGTCCACTTCCAGCGGCCGCTGCGTCTACGAGGAGTTGTGCTTGACACGTCTTGTCGAGGGAGAGGAACCAGAAGGCTGCTTCGTCGACGGACTTGCCCACGGTGAGAATGCCGTGGTTTTGGAGAATAGCTGCTTTGCCGTCGCCTGTGCAAGTGATCAGTAGCGTGGAGTATGAATGTAAAGGGGGTCTATACCTAAGGCATCCGCAATCCTCTCGCCCTCTTCGCTGGCCAGCACGACTCCGCCGAACTGGTTGTATACGCCGTGGCTCTTGTAAAAGCGGATGCTATCCTGAGTGATCATGTCCAGTTCCCTACCAAAGGCGCTAAAGGCCTTGCCATGTACGCTATGCGCATGACACGCTGCATGTACGTCTGGCCGTCGCTTGTGTATGGCGCTGTGAATGGCAAAAGCCGCCGCATTGATGGGCTGGTCACCGTGCACCACCTCGCCTTCCTCATTCACAAGTATCAGATCCGACACACGTATCAGGGAGAAATGTGCCGACAATGGGTTGAGCCAAAAATGGTCGGTGAGTATTGGGTCGCGCACGCTGATATGGCCGGCGACACCTTCGTCGAACCCGCGCGAGGCAAAGATGCGATAGGCAGCCGCGAGATGCTGTTTACGGTAGAGGCGTTCGTCTTCGAGGCGTTCAAAGGCTGGGTATTTGCGGACTTTGAGGGCCTTGCCCGACTTGGTCCGGCCCATAGCTGCTACGGTCTGGTTGTCATTGCTTTCAGCATGATCGACTCGCGTACCTGCCGCAACGGACGCATGCAGGTCCTTCGACGACGTTGTGAGCGCCCGAATAATACGTGGGTGGAGCCATTGGGGGCGTCGTGTGAATGGCCCTGCGACCCGCACAAGTGACGAAGGAAGAAGGCGAGCTGTAGACATGGTCAGTGCTGTAGGTTAGCAATTTATGGCAGTGGAAGAGTACAACAGCTTCCCCGCCGGGTATGACATGACGGATAGTTCGCTGCGCATCCCTGGAAGTCACTGGACGCGATTGGCGAGCTTCGCAAGAGAGGAGAAGATGGGCATCGGAGGTCAAGCCGAGGCTTGATGGGTGATGACATAAGCGGAACTCGCCCAGCACTCGCTGACTATCCAACTACAGAGCATTCTCGATCCTCAACTGCCCCGATAGACTGACGTTGCTGAAGTCGCCTCGCAGCCATGTTCGATATTTCTTGAAAGCACTACACATGCTTTCGGGTGACTGTGATGTATCATCTACACTGCTTGGGAATATACGAAATTGAGGCTTGTCAAATTGTGTTGCGACGAGCGTAGTTGAAAAGCCCTGACCCAGTTTCTATGTCTTCCATCTTCCAGTCAAAATGGATACATATCATTGCTTGAGCTATAGGATCTAGTGCTACTACCTCTTCATTCGTTTAGTCTCATTTTCCCTGATAAGCCCTCCCGCGCTTGCCCTTTCACTCTCAGTCGCGGCCGCTCCTTCCCTTCTCACCCGCTCACTCACCGCACCAACTTCCTTGCCTCCAGGCAGCTGGGTCCACTTCTATCTCGGACTGGCGTCTGCGCACTATATGATTACGCCTTCTCCTGCCCTTATCAACGCCCCTGCCACACCTTCAGCTCAAACAGCAACCCAAAAATCAGCGCAATCAACCAGGGTCAACATGAAGTGCACCTTCTCCCTCCTCTGGGCCTTCCTCGCGCTTCTCGTGCTTGCTATCGCAGCCCCGGACGTCATCGACATCGACAACCTTGGTGAGTGGGAAACCAGTCGATAAGCTCGCAATCGCTCTACTGACGTCCAACAGCAATCTCCTCCAGCCTACAGCCAGACGCTCAAGAAGTGTCGACTCTTCGTACTTCTTCGGTGCAAACAGTTCCCCAGGAATCATCGATCCTTGGTACTTCTCCCACCCCGGCTAGTTCCCAGGTATCATCAGAAGATATCTCGTCCGAAGACGGTTTAATCGCCGAGCTCCACGGTCTCACTAACACAAACACAACGTTGTCGACTGCCAGCTCCGATGATAACGATGCCACGACCGCCTCCGGGGGGCAGTGGCCTAATCTCAAAGACTGGTATCGAGTTGATGTTCGTCTCGGCGAAGGAGCGACCCACGCTGGAACCTTCCAATTAGAACGAATGTATGAACGCATTTACTCGGTCCTCAAAAGCTGTAAAAAAGGGTCTACCATGGACGAATGCTCTATCCGCAACGCGGTTTGGAGAGATGGCGACAACAATTACCGAACAGACTCGACGCTCTATCTCGAAGTCGAGCACTCGTACTTCGATCCAGGGTTTCCAGGCCTCCCGGACTTGGGAGTAAGCGCGACCACACTCTTAATGATCCAATTCAAGGGCTAACACTCGTATAGTATCGTATGATGGCTAGAGTCTACCAAAAGATGACCGAGGTTCCGCGGAACTGCTTCACAATCACGAAAGACAAAAATGGGGGCTTTAAGGATAACAGCGGTGGTGACAGAGACTTGCACTTTTGCACCGTTCCAAGCAGAGCGCTCATCGTATACCCGACCAACGGAGGTCCAGTTCAGATGGTCCTCAAAGTCAAACTGGAATGGGATCACAAGACATCCAGCCAAAACTACGAATGTAAAAGTTTTTCGGATTCGGGCGTTGCAGAGTACGGAACCGTACCATTTCGCAACGGTTTCAATGAAGAAATCGCCAAACTGCACGGATGGAGAGCAGACCGAGTCACCACCTTCGTCGACTGCTCAATCGACAAATGCTTTTACACTGATCCGAAGCGTGACAACATGGAATGGCAGGAGCAAAGAGACTGCAAGCCGCGATCGAATCCGAGAGGGTGCGACAAACTCGAAGGGGGTCCCAAGGCTGAATACCACTGTCCTCCGGAGTACGCTGGGTGGTAAGCCACAAACGCGTGATGACGGCAACCACATTGTCTATAATCCAAACCGAAACGGGTAGCTTTTGTTCAGATGTTGAGGTCTAATTGGGCAGTCGAGTGCAGTGGTATTAGTGCTCTCACCGTGGTGTAGCCTCAGACAGTCAATAGCAGTAATGAGAATCTCGTTTGTATCAATATTGTCATGTTCAGAATGCCTCAGGGGTGAATTCTGCCTTGGAACAATTAGCTCTACGGGGCCGCCACATATTGAATAAGCAGAACTTTTAAAATCACGTCGTGGTATTCATGGTCTGTGACTTATGTTATCTGATTCAGTCGATGCATTCATCGTTTCGATAACAAGGCCATCTCATACTACTTAGTCACCACCAAACATGAGCAAGCTCCGCACATCCACCATACCGTGCCCACGATCGTACAATAATTTACGCCCACAATGGAGTGGGAACTCCGCGACCACCATGACTGCGATACTCTTTACACGAGCCTCTTTCAGTAAGTATAGCACCGCACAAAGAGTCTCACCCGTCGACAGTACATCGTCCACGACCACGACCGAGTCAGAGCCGATAATCGCGTTTCGCTCTATCTCGATGCGCTTTCCAATCTTTGCTTGGTCAGGAGCTTGGGAAGAAATATACGATGTATCTTTCGTCGTCGAGATGGTGGGTGGGGGAAGCTTGCCAGCCTCGCGAATTGGCACGAGAGGCACGTCTACCAGCGATGCTAATGCCGGTGCAAAGACGAGACCGCCCACCTCGCAACAGACAATGGCGTCGACATTGGCCCAAGATCCAGTGAAGTGACTCTGTAGTAGTGATGCGCAAAGAGCAAGGCCACCTGGCTGCTGCGAAATTCCGAGTACATGCCGAAACTGGATGCCCGGCTTGGGGAAGTTCGCGATTGAGCGTACCATGTCGGCCAGCCGCCGTAGGTCGTTGTGAACGAAGGGAAGTATGGAGGCCTTGGCAAATTCTCGTGCTGCGCCCATTCCCAGTGTATCGTTGACGAAGGCCAGATTTGGACAATGTCGCGGAGCTTTAGATTCAGTCGTCTTCTCGGTGCGTACCCCACGAGCGACCCGTGAGACTTTGCTGGTATTAACATGGACTTCGATCACTCTGCTCGCCGCCACTAGATGAGAGAATGATGCGACAGGTGCCTCATCTCTCATCCCCGTGATGAACAGAACATCGACATCTGCGCGTGCGGCTTCATGCACAACTTGCAGGAAGTGTTCTTCTGGCAGTCGGGGTCGTTTCTGGACTTGTTCCTCGTAAAAGGCTGTCAGCGCTGGACGGTGTTGCTCCTTATATGCGCGATCGTCTAAAAGGCGGCGAAAGTCGTTACCAGTCGCGGCGGCGAACTCGCGTTTCGTCACGTCGCTGATGCCCACAGCTTGCACGCAGATACCGTGCCTCGAAGAAGAGACGTCGCCCTGTAGTTCAGAGAACACAGCAACCCACTCACCGGCGCAATAGTCCTTACCAGCGCCGTGTTCGCCGGTAACAAGAATGATGAGTTTGGGCAACGGGGGGTTCGGCAACGGACAGGCCCACGCCAACACGTTGTGTGGATCCATCAGGCGTTTGAGACGACCGAGGCGCACGGCGTTCGGCCCGAACGCCTTATCCGCCAGCACTGCATCTCGGGAGTCAGGTCCAAGGTCCGCTCCGTACGTGCCCTTGCTTAACGGCAGCAAGCTATCGACTATTTCGTACACCCACTGCACGGAAGCATGCGCAATATGACTGCCATCCTTATCCCGAGGCCACACCCCTGTGATGACGCAAGCAAAGTCCCAGTCTCGGCAACCAAACGCAGTCGCTTCAGGTGCGACTTCGCCAGCCTTCCCGCCGCCATGCAGCAGATGGAGGTAACAGAACGGCGACGGGCGAGACTCGACCGCTGAGACTAGGCGATGAGCGATTCCCCACCCTCCAATATCCTTGAGAAATACGCAACGCTTGAAAGATGACGTCTTGCCGCCACCATGTCCCCCGTGCATCGCGGACATGTACATCTCGGCTCCGAACGCTTCTACGCCATTCATGATCTTGATGTCGCTGTCGGTTCCCCATATATCGCCTTCACGCTTGGACATGATAGTCATAGGCGATGGGGAAGATGCGGTCGAGGCGAACGTTGTGATCCCAAGGTTGAGTCGTCCGTCCTCCCAGTATAGGTATGCATCAGCGGAACAGAACTTGCTGCATCCTTTTGCGATTATTTCGTCGAACTCCCGGATTTTACATTTGGCTTCGGCATTGTCGCTCAGAGGGAGTACCCAGTTTCGCGTAACAAACGTGTGGGCGGGATAAGCCTTGAATGTTACGCTGAGTACGATACCAAAGTTCGTTCCTGCACCTTTTAGTGCCCAGAGGATGTCAATCTCATTCTCTGGACGATGGACCCCCTTTGGAAGATGCTCAATCGGCACACAGCCGACATAGAAGATTTCTCCGGAAGTCACGCTGATGAGTACGGCGCCGACAATATTGTCGCAGGTGAGCCCGTGTAGCCTGGTAAGATGGCCTATACCACCCTGTAGCCAGAGCCCGGCTCCAACACTTGGGCGAGATCCTAGAGGTATTGTGATGCCCTCATCGAGAGTTCTGCCGATGATATCGTCTGTCTTGCATCCAGCCCCAACGACTACCAGTGGAGTGGAGGTGGCGTCTTGGTCCTCTTCATACCCAACCTTTTTGAGTACATGTACGGAGTCGAAAGCACTCATGTCAATGCCCACAACATTGGATCTGAGGCAATGTGCGCTGTGTCCTCCACCGACAACAGTCAGGCCAAGACCATGGTCGAGTGCCCACTGGACGCAATATTGCACCTTCTCAACAGTATCTGGCCTAACAATAGCGGCGGGGCGCTGCAGACGAGCCTGCTTGTTCTTGACCGGTTTTTCCTCTAACATCGGACCCACACGCATCTCCAGCTCCTTCACTTTGTCGGCGTGGTGATTGAAAGAAAACATGACTTCAGGTGCGTTAAATAGGAGGGTTTGGGGGTAGGCGTCATCTCGGCGGGCCAGATTACGACATAGCTTTCGCCAGTCCGCTCGAACAGCGTTGTCTTCGTCGGTATCTTGCATGGTGAAGCCAGCGACGAAAGATGTGAAACTGTCCAGTGCGTCGTCGTTGTCTGCTACGCCGATAACTCCGGTGGGGTAGGAAGCCGTATGGTGGCAGACCAAGCCGTCGATGTGAAGATTTCCGTCACGATGGAAGACTGCGACGATTCCGCCGTCGAGGAGTATCTTCAAAGCGCGTTCAACAAACTTGCTTGCCGGTTTCATACCGTACATGCTGTGGCACAAGAGAACAATGTCGTACTTCTCGATATTGGTACCACTAATCGTGTCGTCTTCCGAATGGAATGGAGCATGATGAACAACAGGATCACTCTCCAAGCGTACGAACGGAGCTTTTGAGGTAGTGACCGTCTTCTCGTCGCCCTTCAACCACTCTTCCAGCTTCGAAGCGAACAAAGCGTTGGGTTCGAAAGCCGTGTAGTTTCCGATTTTCCCTCGCAAGGTTTCAGGTAGATGACCGAGAACACTTTTAGGACCCGGACCGATCTCTAGAACCGTTATCAACGTGTCTGATTGGTGTAGTGGAGCTAGCAGGTAGGACAACTCCGGGATGATGAAGTCGCGATAGGTCGCCCAGCTGGGTCCTTGAACGAAGGCTTCGAAACCGGCTACGTATTGCTTGTCGGTCAAGGGTTTCCGGGGAGATGCGACAGAGGTTGTGGCGTTGGCGACTTGCACCAAAGCTCGCTTGAGATTGTCGAGCGTAGCCATGATAGCTGGCGGTGATGCACAAGTACGCTGAGGGTCTTTGAAATGCCAGTATTAAAACGAGATGGGCCTGATTTGAGATGAGAGTGCTACTCGGCCAGCTAAGGAGCGGAGGGGCTTTGCGCTGACTGCATTGTTTACCACCACAGTGGTCGCAGCGGCAATGCACATGTCTGCCCTGCCTTGCTGCACGTTTCCGCACGTCGTAGCTAGGTGTTACGACCCTAGGTCAAAACGCTTGCGACCACGCCGCAGCCGCGCCGCACGACTTAGAGCCAGGATGACAATCCTCCAGAACAATAACTGTCAGCAGTCACGTAACTGATTACTACGCTAAGAAATTATTGCTAGGAGCAATCACAACTATCCTAACTACCGCTAGGAGTCACTATAACTACTACGCGAGTATATAGCTAGTAGATAGCGCACTCTTACAGTCGCTGTGTTTAACTTCGTACAAGACTCTAGTATTTAATCTAAGGATTATGCTTGTTTATCATCCCCTCGTAATATTACATCGATCGACTAATTGTGCTATCACACCAACCCCGTCAATCGCACTCACTCGTTCCCGAGAACCAACTTTTAGGTTATCAAAGGACGACCTTCACAAGATTGGATGTATTACTACACGTTAGATTTGATACCCGATAGAGTAAGGTAAACGTATCTTTCGCAAAGAATCTCACAGATAGTAATCTATCCAGTTTTGCACTCTAAGAATTCCATAGAACGATTAGCAAATTTTTCCACTTCAAAAGTGCCGAGCCCAACAAAAACGTTGCGCTCAAGATCTCGAAATGTACAAACCCCATGATCGTTCAATTTGTCGTGTAGTATGCTTTGTGCTACGAATACAGGATTGTTCGTGCTATTGCACAGCTCAAATTCAAAGATTGCTGTTCGGTTTTAGCAGTGATGAAGACTGATAGCGAGAGCATCCTTAGCCCTCCATCATAGGTAAATGTGTAGAGCCCTCAGTCCTGGAGAGATTACAACAGTGACGGGCATGAGGCAGAAGTTGCTCCACAACCTTGAGCATACACTAAGAGCATCATAATCAGCATCTCCCAGAGACAATGGGTTTCTCTTTTCTCTTTTCTCTTTTTCCTTTTTCAAAAAAAGAGGCAGCTTCAACGGTGTTGAACACCAAAGTTTTGAACACCAAAGGGGTGGGTATCAAAGGGGGGACACCCAAGATACAACCCTAAAGCTATTGATACCAAACCGATAATACCAAAGCGCCAGCAGAATGATTCATCGGAGGTTTGAACTCCGGACCTTCAGTGTACTAACAGGCTTTTGAGGGCCTTTGTTAGACTGACGTGATAACCAACTACACCAACGAACCGTGATTGATGGCCAAAGATGAAAATAACCGCAAAATGTTCGCTACTAATTTGCCGCAGAGCGAGATGATCTGAGCTCTCCTAGCAACCTATGAAGACGCTGACGGCATGATAGAAAAGTTTCTGTGGTGCGGGGCAGAGAAGCTGAACCAGTTGCTATCCGGTCGTGATGAGTGGGTCGGCAAACTTCGCCCCACTAAAGACTACCATGGTGCGATAGAATGGAGTATAGTCGTGATAGGTTCGCTTGACATTTAATGGGCATGCGAACAAGTATGGCCAGTCCGAGTACGTTTGTGTTGTCTATCGCGAAACCATCATTGAGGCTGCGTAATGGGCTTCGAAGCTATGTCTGTGGAAATTCCGCTAACTTCTATTCCCAGCGATGGGCTTGCTTTTGCTGGAGACCAGAGAAGACTAATTGGTCCGAAGCGGATGCCTTCGATACAGAAATGCGTGTTCGTGGTCGGAAGTCTTCTGCCGTAACAAGATTCCAATTCTTGCCTGAGACATTCGGCGCGCGACTTGCTGCCACTAAGCTCAGCTACCAAGCTCAGCGACAGCTTGGGAACGGGTACCTACCAGCTAGCAAACAGACAGGCGGCCGGTCTGCATCGCGCGACGCGGCTGGAAGCTACCATTCGGGCGGGAGCTGTAACGTGGCTTGGTACAGCTGGGCGACCAACGGCTGTTGCTGATCGCGCATCGAGCAAGCGTAGTCGACGTGATATTGGCTGTTTCGCGCCCGCGATTGCGACAATAGATCTATTAAGATATGGGGTACTTTGCGCGTGGAATTGACCGTATGTGTAGTCGTCAGTGCTGCAGTAATTCTAGACGCGTCCACACGTGCCCAGGAGATCGCGGAGCGGGATTAGCTGCGCCGACGGTAACAAACCTGCAATGCCCCTAACCTTGGAAGTCTTCCTCATCGCCAACTTCTACACGGTGAGTCCAGTCTTCAATGCCGCTGAAGAGCCAAGCTGCGCGTGAAATTAAAGCCAAGAACAAATCGATCGACTTCAGCGCATCTAGGCTGTGGGTTGCAGCACGGTCCCGCTCGAGCAAGCACACGTCAGCTGCACGCGCGCACCGTTCCTCACGACAAGTACCATGACAGGCAGCGTTCCGAGACTGACGCTGTGCTTCCTGCATGAGTCTGGAGACGATGCGAATCCAGCGACGTCCCCGCCAGCCAAGACATCGATTTGTCGCACCTCCGTAGGAGTTCCAGCCACGGGGTAGCGCACTAAGGCCGATACGGAAACCACAGCCTAAAAGCAGACCACATCTCAAACTTCACATCGCGTCTATAAGGCTGCGACCCCGGCACTTGGCTCCGCTCAGGTATCTACAACTCCACTTGTTCAAGACGCCAAGTGTTGCGATCAAGGCTTGCCCCTTCGAAGCTCATCGCCGAGCCCTGTCAGTCTGGCCCCTATGCCCCAGACGAACGCTGTGGAGGTCTGCCTAAGGGTCGCATCTTGCTCGTATGCGCCTGAAAATCCGGCGATCGATGCTCCTTCAGGTAGACGACCCCTCGATTCGCCCCTTCTGTCACCTCCTGTATACCACCGGTACTTGGCAAATCGGCCTGGACGAGAAGCTATAGGCTTGGTGCTCTAAGCATTATCCAGACTCCCTCTACCGCTGTCAGGGCTTTAGATTTGGGCTTGGCCAGATGTCAAGAAATCGAGAGGATTTATGTGTGGTACGCGTCAGTGACGGAAGATCAGTACTCCAAGACCCATTATTGGGCCCCAGTGTGACAAGTGCATCGTTCACATAACATGGAGTTGACCTCATGTGCCTCAGGCAGATCGTTCTCCACGTGCACTCGAGGAGGAACTCATCCATGGTCACGTTGAGGCCTGGACTAATCACACGGCTCAGGACCGCGGTCACTGGCCCACTTGCAGTACCAGAACCATGCATTAGCCCCGGTAACTAAGGTCGCTCCCCAGGCTTATCCGACCTTGGCTCCGCATCACAAAAGTTTTGACCCAACATCAAACAGCGGGAGAAGCTTGGCATGGCTCTCGAAGGCAAAGCTCTGCCATGCTATGCTTGCCGCTACTTGGCGTAGCCTCAAGAAAGTTTCATGCCTTTACAATTGCGGCTAATTCATCTTGGCGAGTAACGACGGTGGGCCTGCGATACCATGGCTATGGAGTCTATGGAGACACAGTGGTTTGCGTATAAGAAGACAGTAAACCCACTTCTTCTATTCTCCAGTCCGGTCACTCACTTCATTTCACTACCAACTAGTATTCACTTCTGTCGCCGGGCGACTTCTATCACTTAGTACATTTTTTGATCATCTAATCGTTCATCCAACTTCAATCACCCACCACTACTTTACCACTTAATCGAAAGATCCAACCACCCAACCGACAACATGCTTCCTCAACACGTCCTCTTCGCGCTCGTCGCCACTGTCGCTGCCGTCCCCCTTAACATCAACTTGGGTGCCTACTCGCCTGCCCTGGTAGTCGGTGATGGAGAGATCTCGCTAGGATCAACAGAATCAGCTTCAGAGTTGATGGCTACGCTCGCTTCGGGAGCCGCAGCCAACGCCGGTGGGGAGGGCGCAGCACAAGGTCAGCAAGAACAACCGGCCGCCGAACAGCCCGCAGCTGAAGGCGAGCAAGCTCAAGAACAACCAGCTGAAGGAGAAGCAGCTAAACGATCCAACCTTCGCCGCGCCGTCAACGACATCATCAGCAAGCGTGCTCCCGTCGAGCCCAAGATGGCAGCCGTCGAGGAGGCCATGCAATGGATCAAGCGCGACCTCGCTGGCTTCAACGCTGCTCTCGGCTACGCCAAGGAGGCCCAGAAGGACATGCCCAAGGTCGAGATGGGCACTGAGAACGCCGGTGTCGGTCTCCTCGTCAACCCCGGTGTCAACGTCCCCAAGGACTCTGCCGCCGCTGGCGCCCCTGCCGAGAAGCGCAAGCGCGACGAGGTGGTCGAGGAAGAGGACGCACCCAAGATGACTTTGGTCGCCATCACCGAAGTCTGAGCACTATACCCGACTTTGCATTTCAGCTAGCATCGTCTCCCTCCAAAAGACATCACGCGCCATGGGAGGAGAAGTTATATACGACAATCATGTCACAAGCTCGATCTTGTATGTTCCGAGCGCGAGTTTTCTTTTCAGCAAGCATCAGCAGGATCCCGCGTACTGCGGACCGGAAGATGAGGAGTTTTTGGGTAACGGTATTGATGGATGGACGGACGAACAAGGCAATGGAAGATGAGATAAAACGTCGCAAGATTTCAATAAAGTACTATTTGATCAGACCTCAGTTCCAACATGAAGTTGCATCGCTTGCGCACTTTGTTTGTCACCTTCCGCTAACACAACAGCATCTCAACTTCTGCATTGCGCAAAGCAAGCCCGCTATTCTCTTCCTTCCGACGCAGTAACTCGCATTCCACCGCGCCACGACTCATACCACCGACACCCATTAACGCAGCATCCGCATTATCCGTCTTGAGCGTTTTACCCTCGTCGCCATCAACTCCACAATGAATATCGACGTCTAGTCACAAGTCGCATTAAAGTCTCAGTAACGTAACTTACAGCTCTTGGCAACGCTGCGGGTTCAGGGTCCAGGGTCCCGGGTGCGGAGCGTGAAACACGACCCTGTTGCGTGGTCTGTGCAGGGGCAGAGGCCTGGCGAGGCCGCTGACGAGCGGAAGAAAACCTTCGCTCTCTCCGATGCCGAGTAATGCGATTAAACTTTTGAGCCTGTAATAATCGTGGCATTTGGCTGTGAAGTGGGCTGGTCAAGTAGTGCTGTCTTTATTGAGCTTGCTGATTTGGATCGTGAAGGGGTCGCAGCCCAAACACTTTGGCATGGAGATTCGGAAGCATTCGCCGAGGCAATGAGAAGAGCAGAATCAGTAATCAGATGTATGAGGTTCGCAGCACGCAACGTCTTGGAGGATCGAATACACTACGAATACCATTTCTGCTCCTAGATTATACCAACACATATGCCTATCGCTTCCAAAACCGCCAACTCTTGGCTTTCTCCCTCTTCTCAGCACTACCAATGACATTACCAACAACCTTCTGATCCATCTGGTCCAGCTTGTAGTTCTTGAGGCAAAATGTCAATGGAACGATAGGTGCCGCGCAACAAAGAGCTCCAATGAGTAGGTACCGCATCGTCTCTTGGTACGCCTGGTTGATAGCAATGCGGACGGGTGATCCAGCAGGATAAGTAACGTAATCTGCTGCAACGACAAGACTACCGTAGATAGTTGAATACTCCGCTACGTTTTCCGTGGGAAGGTACTGTTGCAGTTTGGCGGGGATGTAGGTTGACCAGATGGCGCCTGAGATGGCTGATCCTACTGCACCACCGACTTCCAGGATAGTCAGCCAGACTGTCGTTGCGGCTGCGACTTGTTGATGGGAGGACGATGCTTGAACAGCAAGTTGGACGGGGACGTTCAAGAAGCCTCCGCCTATTCCGATGGCGATTTGGGTACCGACGAGGGTACCGGTAGATGCGTCTTCGGTCCGGTAAGCCAGCATGAGGCCCATGCCCATCAAGTAGATGGCCGCGCCCAAGGTTGTGTAGTACTTGTAGTGCGCTGTGTATTTTATGAGGAGCGAAACTACAATTGATGAAACAGTCGAAGCGAAGGTGAAAACTCGTGTGATGTATCCGGCCGTAGCGAAAGACTGGCCCTGGACGATCTGGAGGTAAGAGTTGAAGTATGGGAAGACCGACATGTAAAATGCCACTGTAGTACATGTCAGTATTATCCCAATGCTTCATGTGAAAAGTACTCACTGAAGTAGAAGAACGCGATCAGGACACCGGCAATGATCGTCCTCTCTTTAAAGAGATTTGGTGGAAAGAATGCCTTTGGCGCCAATTTCTTGCTCGTCTCCCACAATGGGAAGGCAAGAAGCAGTACACCACCAATGACTAGCATTGCGATCATACTACCATTACTCCACCCACCACTAGCGTTTGGAGCCAGTGTAAGCGGCAAGAGAATGAGTGCTATGGCTGCCGCGAACAACAACAGGCCAGATCCGTCTAGGTCGATCCATATGTTTTTCAGGACCTGAAGAGTATTGCGACCATGGAACGGGCTGGGGACGTCAAAACCCAAGCTCTTTGCACGTCGCTGGTTCATGAACAGACTAACAGCAAGCGGGATGAAGCATATCGGAAGAATGATAGCCCAGATACCGTATCCCCATCGCCAGGTAGTGTCGTTGAGGATCGCTTCTCCTACTTCAGGCCCGGCCCATGTAGTCCAGAGAAAGGGCAGGTCAAACAAGGTGGAGAAAAGAGCACGATTGAGCAGATCCGTAGTATCGGCGACGAAGATCTGTTGCAAAACTCCTAGACCGTTGAAACCGGCTGCCCAGAAAATTTGCGCTCCTGCAAAAGTTTGCACATTATTGGAGCCGGCTTGCATACAATACCCAATTGTGTAGAGGAAGATGGTGATGGAAAACGATTCGAGACGTCCAAAGACATCGGCAATTTTTCCCATTGGCGGTTTGATGACCGCTGGAGATAGTTAGTCGCTATGCTGAGCGAGGCGGAACCAGGAACGTACCAGCTACGACACCCTGCACTACATAGATTGTGGAGACGAGTGAATGCAGCGCAAAATCACTCGTGGCATATGGCGTCAAACCACTAGTGACCTGAATCTCGAGAGATGTGACATTGGCGATAAGTAGAAGGCTGAACTGGAGTCAGTATAGAGAACCTTGCTAATTGAGAGCGACCGCGATGACGTACGTGACATAGGCGACGATGAGCGAAGTCTTCGTCCATGCCTTACTCACAGCTTCGATGCGCTTCACACCAGCCTGAGCTGAGTTCTCGCTGGAAGTGTCATCGCTTGGCGACCGCTCGCGGTTGTAGTCGATATCTTTGCCGAAGTTGCCGCGATCAGTTTCGTTATGAACGATATCGGTCGGGCTCGTTGCCTCTCCAGGCCTCAATGAATGGCGCATGCTCGCGTCCAATTCTGTAGGCAAATTCGAAGTTGCAGTATGCGCGATGCATCTAAGATAACGGCACAGCAGAGGGAAATACTTTATCTGATCGGCCCTGCATCGCAACAGTGCTGATGCGCACAGGCGGCTGGGCTGCCGTGTCGTGCTATTGGCACACTTCTTCCTCGCCAAGTGCACTGGTGGCATGGCGAGAGGCACACACCCACGCGACATTACCACGAGGAAGTCCGCGGGTCTGTGCAATGACACCATGGCTTGCCCGAGAACCACATTCTTGGGTCAAATAGCCCGTAACTAGCGATAAGGTAGATCTAATCTGATCCGTTCCAGGCGTTGGATGCTCCTTGGCGTGGAATTGTGGTGTCTTGGAGTTGCCGTGTTACGTCAATGCTGAACCGCGAACAAATTTTCTGCTTGGGGTGGCCTGAACAAGTCGACCCTGGCGGTCGGTCACGCCGATGCGCTCACCTCATAAACTTTTCGGCAGTGCTACGTCGTTTGCACTGCAGCTGTCAGCGCCGGATGGGGCTTCATCACGATCTCAGCGCGGTGCAACGCCGCACGAGGCTGGCTGGATATGAATCATGTCTCTTTCCGATGACACCTTCCTGTATGGACGCTGCCAGCATGGAGATGAGACTTGTGTAAGTCAAAATGAAGTTGCGCTGATGTCTGCGGGATGGATGTTGAGGAGGCTGGGATGAAGCCTGTTGCAAACCCGAAGCGTGCACGTGGCGCGACTTGCAGAGAGGGTCTAGCTCTTCGAGAACAGTCTCGACGGGTGCATGCCGCAGCGCAAAACCCCTCAGATCAGCAGACGAAAGATGAAATTATGAGCATTGCAGTATGGGCGGGAGTAACAAACAATAGCGGATCGACCTGCTTCACCCAGGCTAATCAAGCGACCACATCTTCTGCAATAAGCTCACTACGGCTCCACCTCGGATTTCTCCCTCAACCCCTCTTCACTCCCGTCTCTCATAGTCTCACTCCCGCGAATCGCCTCGCCATCTTCTTCGTGCCTCACACTAGCATTGCCGTCAGCCGTCCCTCCATTAGTCTCTTTCTTGAGGGCCAGCTCCGGGTTTGCCGATTCGAGCTTAACCCTCATATCTCCACTCATCTCTTCCAAGCTGGGAACGACCCATTTTGCGCTTTCCCATGGCTTGACACCCATCAGGTACATGGTATCGATTTCTTCAAGTGTGCGACCTTGGCCTTCAATGACGAAGAAGTATACGATAAGACCACCAAGGATATTTGTCCCGGCGAAGACGTAGCCGTAGCGGAAGTCTATGGCACCGGTGATGAAGGGCGTGAAGAAGGCGAGAAGGAAATTCCACAACCAGTTTGATGCCGTTGATAGAGCCATGGCCTTCGCGCGATAGCGGCTGGGGTATAATTCCCCGCAGATTGTCCAGCTGGAAGTTGTTAGTTTGACGTATCGTGTTGAGAATCTGCGCGAAACTCACATCATCGGACCCCACGTTGTCGCAAAACCGAAGATGAAGAAACAAGCAAAGCAGATCATCGCCGTGGCTGCACTCTCGGTATTCTCTGGGTTATCGCGATCCAGGGCAAAGTGACCCACCGAAGCGAAGATGAGGAAGCAGATGAACATCCAGCATGAGCCGGCAATGAGCGATTTTCGACGACCGTAGTGCTCGACGATGTAGAGGCCGTAGAAGGTGACACCGAAGTTGATACCGTTCTAGAAAAGGTCAGCACCGGTATGATTCGACTTTCGAGAGGATATCGCTTACCAAGATCATCTGCGTCACGAACGAGTTCTTAATACCAGTGCCAGCAAAAACTACGGTACCGTAGTAGAAGCTTTGCGATGTCAGCATGTGCTTACGAGGGGCTACTTGGTGGCCTACAAGTAGTTGGCGCCTGTCAACTGTTGGAACATCTGCAAGCCCATGCCAATCGCCAATCTGTATGCCATCTTTGGTGCCATCCACATACCCAACCATTCTTGTATGGGTCCATTCGCGAGCTTGCTTTCGGCTTCAAGCTTAACTCTCATCTCCTCAAGCTCTAGCTGGATGCTATAATGGTTGGTTGGTACTCCATATACTTCCGACATGGTCTCAGTGGCCTTGTCGATCTTACCATGACGGTAGTTGAAGCGAGGTGTTTCGGAAAAGGCCAATATACCGACGGCGAGAATAGCGGCAGGTACGAAGGAGAGCCCGAGCGTGATTTGCCAGGATGCTGCTTTTCCGGATTGGTGGCGCTCTGCAGCGTAGTTGAAGACTGCGGCCAGGAAGATGCCGAACGTGATGAACAGTTGGTATGTGGAGATCAACGCTCCGCGGATGTGTCGAGGTGCGGTTTCCGCCTAGTCTTTATCAGCACTGGACATGTGTTGTTGGGTTAATATACACACCTGGTACATGGGCACGAGTAGACTCAGTGCACCAACACCAAGACCGGCAACGAACCTGCCCATCATGACCTGATACCACTCATCTGTGGCGGCAATCTGCACGATGATGCCCACAGAGAAGATGCCACACCACCATATGATACTCATCTTCCGCCCAATCCAATCTGCGATCGGCGCTGCAATCAACGCGCCAAACAATGTGCCTATGGACAATAGACCCACGATGAGTCCGGAGCGTACGTTGGAGAAGTAGGGCGTGCCATCTGCATGTCTCTGGCCGAAGCGCCGGAGGAAGTCGACCATGCCCAGGAACCCGGAAATCTGACCAGTATCATACCTAGGACAGTGAGTTGAAGCGAGGATAGTTATATTGAATGCTGCTCACCCGAAGACAAAACCTCCCATAGACACTAGCATGCCCATCCAGAATCCCTTCCACGTCAACCTCGGAAGCGGAGTGTTGTCATAGCCAGCATGCTCGCCGACATATCGCGATGTCTGCTCAACGGAGCTTCTGCGTCGCCAGATTTTCGCAGGGTTGGGTAACTTCGTCCTGATCTTCTCCATCGTTGAGATGCGCTTTGATTGACAGAACGAGGCAGATATGCTGAGATGACAAGCATCACGAGGTAACATAACCTCTCTTATAAACCCGACTCATCTTCGGGGACGGAATCTCGAGCTTCCATGCTGACTGACCCCCGTTTGCCCCATGGGCACGAGATCATGCAGAGACTGAACAAAGACCGAAAGATCTTGGAGAGAACTGTGGGGCGGATCAGGGCGGATGAGAGTAATCCTCGCGGTTCGGTCGAGTACGTATCACGAGACTGATGACGATTTGGTGAGTTTCGATCCGGAGCCAGCAACACTTCCAATGAAATCAATAGTGCGAAGTGTTGAAATGATATCTCTTGATCGCTAGATATACGTAGTACTTAGGCACTTGAGCACGAGGTAGTGTAGAGCTGGGGCTCCGCGTGAAAGACACTCAACATCATCCATTGCGCAATTTGACCATCCGAAGTGCATCTGAATTATGGCGTTCGACGTCATTCCTCGTTGGAAACAAGCATGAGTGCTGCTAAGCTTACTGTTGGAAGCATTCTGCTGTTCTAGAAAAGCTTAGTGAGAGGCATCCTGGTATTCCGCTGGGTTCCGCAGCGGGTGGCAAAGGATCACATAAAAGACCTATCAGTTGTTAGTGACCTTGGGTCCACGTAAGACCCGAGGGCCGCGCTTTCTGCATTGTGGGGAGGGATGAGTTCGGTTACTTGCTGATCAATGGTCATGTCGGTGGTTAGTGGAACAATCTTCTCCTTCTCCAATGAACATTGAAAAGAATTATGTCTAAGCTTTGTGAGGAAATTATTGACCTTCTCTTTAGACTTGTCTCTTGCCTAGCCTACGAAATCGGGCTGAGGGTGACTTCTGGACTGAATGAAAGAGGAAGTCTGTCCGTCTCTCTTACTTGATGAGTAAACCGTTCTGTCGCGCATTCCGTCGGCTTCGTTCGTTGCATGAATAGACGCTATTGCGATCAACCTAGCCACAAACTCCGTATGAGCATGGTTATTATGTGTGTCTGGTGGTCGTGCTGCATGGATGTAAGGTGTCAGGAATCGTGGGGAAGGTGGAATTCAGGGTCCAGTGACCGCTGGGAGATCAGCACGAGCCATCACCCGTCTGACACAAAATGCCTTGAATGATGGAAAGCAAGGCCATTCGTAGTCCGATCAAAGCCGAGACTGATGTTTGGTATTCAAGTTTTGAGTGCGACAAATGTGCCCAGAAACGCCACAACACCTGTTATGCATACATGAGTCGCGACTCTATGCCTTGTTCTGCGCCTTCTGCCACTTGGCGACCCTCTTCTTGATATCCGCAGCGGTCTGCTGCATAGGGTTGAGCTTCCGGTCTCTCGCCATCTTTGCGTAGTCCTCTCCGTACTTGTTTACTAATCGCTCTACCCACTCCTGCTCCCTTTGACTCTGTCCGCGGGGTGCCTTCCTCGCGCCGTTCATGGCAGCCTCTTCAAGTTCCCGAATGACTGGGTTCTGTGCCTCTTCAGGTCGCTCTGGTACCATGGAGAAGCCGTTCCACTCCATTTCCTCGTCGTCATCTTCAATCTCGTTGAGGGGGTCGTTCAGCGGGTTGTCCTTCTTGTCGAGAGTGCCTGTTACGTTGAGAATGGCACCTGTCTCGGGGTCGCGCTCGACTTCGATCTCCTCGATTGCGATATTCTCGGGCTTCTTAGCTTTTGAAACGATGTTGAGGGCATCTGCTGTGCTGTTGGCGGCGGTGTCGGCGCGCGAAGATTTCTCATCGTTGAGGCCGAGGAGGGCAATCGTCTTTTCTGTGCCACCGGTTGCGTGATTGAGGCGCGCTGTCAGACCGAGACGGCGGTAGTTTTGCGATAGTGTTTCTTTTTGGTTCCTGTGATTGTGTCAGTCTGATCGGTAACGCAGAGGCAGGCGCAATGTGTCGTACCAGTGCTTCGCTATGATAGGGTTTTGCAGGATCTTCTTCTTGGAGGGTCCATTCTTGCGCTTCTTGGGGATGGACGACCGGTTCTTCTTCTTTTGGAGTTCGCGACCCATTTTGTGTTGTTGTGGAGGATTACGAGGGTATCAGTGTATTGTGTTTGGTGTTGCAGAGGCGCCTGTCGCAACTTCCAAAAGTTTTGGCGAACTTTCCGTTAGCGTTATCGATAGCGGGCGGGTTCCAGAGCTAGGTACCGAGCAGGCCAGCTTCCATGATGACAGACCCCTGAAGCATCAACCCAACGACCCAATATCAGGGTCTGTATATTGCATCCAACCAATTCACGCGTCATTATGGTGTCACGGCGCAACCGGACCTTGCTGTCCTTGGCAATCTTCCTCGGGGTGCTCGGATGGAACGTGGCAGCTGCAGCCGTCAAGGGCGAGACCGTCGTGCCAGTAGGCAACCTGAGCGCCCATGAGATCGAAGAGCAATTGCAGGTACGCGTTTTACTCGCCAGTCTCACTAAACCCCTTTCACCTTCACCTCGATCGTATAGAGGATAGTGCATCCCTTTGGCATTGGATATCGTCCGACATACCCTGATGTCGCGTGCTCATGGCGGTACTGACACCAGCTAGGAGTGTCCCCTTGTGCAAGCTCTCAACCAGCACAAGGCAGCCTCGAACTCGACCACGTCCTCCCTCACCTCCCAGATCTTCGCCTTCCTGTTCCCTGGCAGCCCTGCAGTCAATGCCCTGCTAGCGACGCTCTACATCTCGGGTCCACCCAACTTCCTCCTCGCACTATGTCCGCCCAACATCGACCCCTCCTCGCTCTCCGTTATGGTCGCATTCGCTGTTGGCGGACTGCTGGGTGATACCCTCTTCCACCTGCTTCCCGAGATCTTCTTGGGCGAGGAAGAGCACGACTCGGTTAAGTTCGTCATGGTCGAACCCAACAAGAACCTGTTGCTAGGCGTAGCTATCATGGTCGGCTTCATCACCTTCGTGGCCATGGACAAGGGACTTCGAATTGCAACGGGAGGCGAGGGCGGACATGACCACTCGCATGGGCACTCGCACGACAAGGTTGAGACCACCGCGAAGACAACAAGTGTTGACGTCGGCAGCTCCAAGGATGGCGTGCGCTCCAGGAAGTCTGGCGCAAACGGCACATCGTCTGTCGTAGAGACAGCAGAGAAAGAGATCAACGCCAGTGTCAAGCTTGGTGGTTACCTCAACCTCATTGCAGACTTCACCCATAACATCACAGACGGTCTGGCCCTCAGCTCCTCATTCTACGCCTCGCCTACGATTGGTGCTACTACAACTGTGGCTGTATTCTTCCATGAGATCCCTCACGAGGTCGGCGACTTCGCTCTTCTCATACAGTCTGGCTTCAGCAAGCGAGCCGCCATGGGGGCTCAATTCGTTACCGCCGTCGGCGCTTTCTTAGGAACCTGCATTGGCATTGCTGTCCAAGAATTTGGAGGCAGCTCCGCCTCTGCTGACGTCCAAGGTCCTGGCATTATGGGTACTAGTCTGCAGTGGGGTGACATGCTACTACCATTCACTGCCGGTACTTTCCTCTATGTTGGTACTGTTGCTGTTATTCCTGAACTCCTCGAGACCGGTCCGAACAAAGGCCAAGAGCTCAGGAAGACTCTGATGCAATTCGCTGCCATGTTCACTGGCGCCGGTATCATGTTGTAGTAAGTTTCGCCATCCGTTGTTGTGGCTTATTGCTGACTCCCGTAGCATTTCATGGAATTAGATCTTCTCACGAGCAGCCGGCAATTGGCGCTTCATACAGCTTGGCGGCCGTTCCGAGAACGTCCGTTTTCAGAGCGCCGTAGCTCTCACTATTGCTTATTAGACGATCTGCGAGATTGGCATGCATGGCGCAATTTCAGAACAATAGCAGCTTAGAATTTCACGTCGACGACGAACAGCGGGCATAAGCCGGCGCTGATCAAACTCGTATCTTGTAAATGCGCTAGAGTTGCCAACATGTAGTTCCAATGGCGTTTCTCAGTCTGGCAAACCTCCCCTTCTGGGCGCACCGTGAGATCAGCGTTGCTCTTCAGGACAACAACTCTTCTGCGAGTTCAGCTCCACGTCGCATGCTCCCTTCGGTCTTTTTCACAAATCCTGAGTCTAGACCTTGCTCATAAGGCACATTTCTGCGTAAGATCAACGCCTCATTGAAGATGGACTCTACCCACCGCGTATGTTTGACATGGACATCTCAAATTCTGCTCATCACCACTATGACGCATTTAGAGAACTATTCGCAAAAGTTAGCCGAAATCGGCTGCTTACCCAGAAGGCCCGTGTGTTGTCAACTGTGTTCTTTCCAAGATGGTAGTGCTGACGGGCTACCTATCTCCAGCACCAAACACTGCACGACTGCACATGCCTAGGGCCCAACCTTCCCCGGATTACGGGCTTGTCCCCCAAAGGTTATTCCCGCTATGCCAGGGTCAAGACCGCCGCGGCGGTCGTGGCTGTGCGTTGTGAGGTTTGGCTTCCGCCCAAGACTGATCAGTGCACAGTTTCAGCCCGCGCCCATCTTGCATAACCACACCAGGCAGTCAGCTGCACGTTCGTTTGTGGGTGTTCGTCGTGCGATTAGGCGTAGTTGTGCTTGCACGAACGACGCACGATTGGCTGGCTGGTTCATCTTCTGCACAATTGGGGTAAGGCGTGCAACGAATGATCTTGGAGCATACCAGTTTGGTCACTAAGCCACACTTGCACACTAGCGTTGCCGCCTTACCGTCTTGACGAGCGCGAAGTGGCTGCCGAGTAACCGCCGCCTCTGTCATACATATGGGCCGCATGTTTGTCATGCCGCTGTCAGACTTATAATGTGCTAGATCCCACATTTCTCTTTGACTGACTTCCTGTCCTCCAGTGTTTGGAGTAGTGGCACTACGACTTTTAGCGAACTGCGACTTTACTTGCGTATCAAAGACACAGGCATCCAGCCTCCCCTTAAGACCTATCTATCCAACTTCACGACGTGATGAAAGAGTTGGCGTGCGACAAGAAGATCTTTCAGCAGAACGAAATGCACACGGCTACCCGACCCCAATGCAGATATACGCCACGATACCGAGCGATTCTACCTACAATCCTGATCCTGCTATGCATACCGATCTTTTTCTACCAACTAGTTCCAAAATACACCCACGCTACGGACTACTTCTTATCGTCTCTCTCACACACGCTTCGCCCACAAACGACGAGTGCCTTTTGCACAAAAGAAGTCGGAACGCCGCACTGCTGTGCCGTATACCTCGCCGCGGCACCCTGCCTCGACGAATGCAGGAAACAACACGTGGACAGCGAAACTCTCTCTGTAACAGCACAATATGAAAGCTGCGCAGACGAATGCTTGGTCGAATACCAAGAGACATGCAAGAAGGCGCAACATCCACGAACATCCCTCAAGTCGTCACAACATGATTGATCTATCCACATCAACAAAATACAGACAACTATTTACATGAAAACTTCCATCACCCTGTACAACGACACAAACATAACACTCCGCATACATGCTCCAAAGAAAGAGGAGCCAAGAGGCTGGAACAGTGAAGAGGCGGTGCAGAGCGGGTGCGCCAAGACTGAGGCGCAGGGGATGACCGGCTAGAACGGCACTGCACGGCCACTTATGAGCTCGGTGATGTGGTGAACCGCGGCCGAGGAAGAAGGGGGATCTCATCTCAGTAATCTTGTGTTTCAGGCCATCACGTTGCTGGGACGTCGAGAGGTGGGGGTTGGGTTACTGTGGTGATGTGATTAAGGGTGATGGACTGGGATGGAATGGAATTGGACTTGAGGAAGCCAAGGGAAGGATGTGGCTTGACACATTGCTAGGATTTCGTGTCGGGGAAGAGATTAGATAGAGATTGGATAGAGATGGGCATAACCACCACCTTTTATATGTAACAATACAGCACAGGAGCTGCGAGGAGCGAATACGTCTGCCCAGATGAGGACACGAAGGAATACCATCATCACATCAGATTAAAAATCTCCTCATCTTAAGGATTCGTGCTCTGAATATTGCATCGTCACAGCTCTTTGTAGTGGTGTACAATGCTTGCCCTTCTTGCGGAGGCAGCGCGTCTTTTTCGCGTTTAGTGTCACTCTTAGCGCGTGACGTCAGGGTTTACTGGGACACCATCTCTCATCATCGCTTCATGCTGCCTCTGCATCAAAATTCATCGATACAGCATCAGCAAATTGCCACCTAGCATTGTCAACACAATGTGTTCATGCGATCAAGCAGCTAGCCTTCGCTTCGGGCGCGTCGCAGCACGACCGTCCGGACATAGAGCGCACATACATTTTCTAGTATCACTTCCAGAAACCTGACACCGGGCAACACTCAAGCTTCCGTTTTGCTCGATATGGGCAGTGTCGCAGTATTGGGAACTACATGATGCCTCGAGAATGGCAGTCGATAGTTGAAGCATTTGATGGCGCGGACGAATGTCTTACGGCACATCATCGCGATTGTAGCCTGCATTGAATGGAGCTGTTCCTCGCTGCAGTCCGGGAGAGCTGCTGAAAAGGAGTTCGGTATATCAACGTCATGAAAGATCCTGGTGCTTTGCATCGAGATCCATTTTGGTCATGGAAGTCGAAAGTGCTGCGGGCATGGTCACATGGTTGGTGAGTAGTGCGCATCTTGGAGACGACTTCGCGAGTGGTGGAAGATTTCACATATAGATTCTGCGATCCCGATTCTTATTAGCTCTGCGTTGTCGTATAGGCGCACATGTTAACTTTACTTTCAGTAATGGATTGCACACCGTACGATTCCAACACCTTTAGTAACATCACTTGCGACGCTCTCACCGTTTCTTTCTAATTTCATCATGAAGTTAGCCCGGTAGTGTAGCTCAGATGTGAATCTTACTCACCTGGCACTTGATTGCAGACTTATAAAAGGAAGTTTGTACCTTTCAACCTACCCTCACTTTTGTCATCCAGAAAGTCAGCTTTCCTAGCCTATAGCTCGAGTAGGAACCTAACAACAGACTATCTCCAGTCACATCAAGATACACGAACGCGATGACAACCTCAGGGTCTGTTACTGACAGCATGGCCGACCCTTTCACGTCGACCGTAGCGCCAGACCCACCCCCCAGATGCAACGTGTGTAGGATCGATCTTACGATTAGAGACAAGCAGAAGACTACGGAAAAGTACTGGAAAAACTGCCAAAGCTGTCGAGATAAGATGAAGACGGCTGCGTCAAATCGGAAACGCCTGCTAACGCCAGCCTCATCTACGATTGACGTCGCCTCAGATACACCCGCGAAGAAACAAAAGAAGAAACCAGCAAACGTAGCCAAGCCGAAAGAAGAGTTCCGTAGGTTTCCCAGAACAGTCCCCCTAGAGACAGCACCACGAAAAAATAGCATCTCATCGCCGGACGCCATGCCGTCCGCCAGAGCTTCCGGTGGGGAATTAGTCAGTCTCTTCGATTCGGATTCGGATTCAGACCCTGAAGGCCTAATTCGACATCGCGGCTCAATCTTGGAACGCGTCCGTAAAATAATGCAGTCCACCATTGCGAAAAGAGATACATGGAAAAAGAAAGCGGCGATAAGTATCGAGAAGTGTGCAGACGAGCCTCATAATTTCACCTTTGCGGAGCAGCCGAATGAGAGGGAGTGCAGTTCCTGCGCAGACTCTGTCTCCGTACAACTTTTTCCTAGCCTTGAAGGATGCAATCACAATAAAGATGTCTGTCAAGAATGCTTCATTCAGTGATTGAACCAGCGGATGGCAAATGCGGAAAACGTCACTTGTCCGTCAAGCGGTTGCGCCAACGTAGTGACACATGCAGACGTTCGCAAACACGCGCCACGAGATGTGTTCACTCGGTAAATCTTCCTAACACCAACACTCATCAGAAGTGGTAGTTTCACCCTTGCTTACGTTAGTAAACAGATTTGACAAGCTCTCGATGCAAAGCTACCTTAGCACCAACAAAAGCTTCCTATGTTGCCTTGCTGAAGGCTGTCCATCGGGTCAGATCCATGATACTGGAGTAGCAGGCCCGATCTTTCGCTGTGCTGCTTGCGGACATCGCATGTGCACTGCCCACAACCCCATAATACCGTTTCACGAGGACGAAGTCTGTACGCAATACAACGAGCGCATTGAACGTGAGAGACTTGTGCGCGAGGCCCAAAACGAAGAGGTACGGTTGAGAAGAGAGCAAGAAGAAGCCAGTATCGCTGAGGTTGGAAAGTCTTCAGTTGAGTGTCCGGGTTACGGAGCGCAGATCCAGAAGACATCGGGATACGATCATATGACTTGTAAGCATATTAAAATGCTCGGTTCTCTCAGCCTATGCTAATTTACAAAGGTCGTTGGCCGGGATGCCGTTTCCAGTTCTGCTACCGGTGTCGAGCTCCATACAAAGGAGTGCAAAGCATCAGTGGCATCGGTAACTCGGCGCATGCTGATTCATGTCGGCATCATTCTGCACAGTTGCCAAATTATCACGCCGACTTTGGAGAGGAGGAGATTTGATCCCGATCGAAATAACAAAAGGCATTCTGCTCATTGGACCTTCCAAGAGTTGAGCGCAGCAGATCTCGCTGGAGGTTCTCATTTGGTTCAAGGTCCGCGATAAGACTAAGGAGCACAAAAGCATGCATGGGTTCGTCTTGTGCGGTGATTTTCAGGGGACATTGTCGATCGTTCTGTTCTCGGGAGTTACCTCTTCTATTTTGCGGCTGCTACTGTGCTGCCATACGGATATGAGTTTGAGACCTTTACTCGTGTTCCATTGGCTACCACCACCCATCAGACCCCAATTTTTATATCATGAGGAAGCGATAGATCTTGTTCCAGCTCAAATTGGCAGTCAGTAGGTGTGAAACAACAAAAGCATTTTCCCTCATACTCTTCAAGATGAGACGCGCCCTAGCCTCGTACATACATACACGTGATCGCGCACTTACCAACTGTATAACCGGCAGAGCTCCTCCCAGACTCCTTGACACTAGGACATAAGCTAGCAGTATGGATGCAGAACCCGGCCAGCGGCTCATTTCGCGAATCGACTTACAAGACGACCGACAACAACACTTACGAGCCCGTCAAACCACTCAGCACTTCAGCTTCTCTCATATACTGACTATCTGCGAAGCAAAGCCTTCGCACTAGCTATATTGTATATGCAGACATGCACCCCTTAGAGGACTTTATCCGCCCACGGAAATGCGAACATGCGCACGACATATGCCGGGAGTGCATCGATCGGTGGTTGAACAGCGAAGTGGACTATACAGACGTCGCTTATATGTTTTACAGAGTCAGAGAAACTTCAAGGAAGCCGAAGTCCACTTCGTTCGGGCCTTGCGTGGACGTAAGTGTCGGTTGGCAAAATCTCATCCCGACGCGCTCGTCAGTATGAGCAATATTGGTGTTCTCAAGCAGCTGCAAGGACGAATTCAACATCCTCGGCAGCTGCATGAGGTCGCTTTGGAGGGCCGTGAACTTTTTTTGGGTGTAACGCATCCAGAGACGTTGAAGAGCAAGGGAAACTTGGCATTGATCCTTCAGTGTCAAGGCCGATACGACCAATCCGCCGAGCTCCTCCGGGGCTTCTGCCAAGCATACAAAGTAACACTAGGTCTATCGCATCCAAACACCCTCAAGTCTCTCCGTAATTTATCCCTCATCCTACATCGACAATCCAGGTTTGCGGAAGCGGAAGTCTTGACGATGGAGATATTGGACACATTGGAACAGAAGCATGGCAAGGGTCATTGCAAAGCATTCAAGACATTGCAATATCTGGCAACACTCGTACATTGGCAGGGCAGGCCTGAAGAAGCGTTGGAGATGATAGCATCACTGTACGACATGCAGAAAGCGATGTTAAGGAATGATCACCCGGACACGATCTACAGCAGGCAGTACCTGGCGGAATTGGAAGCGGAGCTTGTAGCGACCGGGCAGGGCTCTTCAATCGTGATCTCTTTTGTAATTTAGGAATGGGTTTTCTTTCTCACGACTCGCGCAGTGAAGCTTAGGATGTAACGACAATAGTTATGATGATTGTATTCGGTTGGGCGTTCTAAGTGAAGTGCGATATCAATCTAAAGCTTGAAGCTGTTCTGCACCAGCTTCTCACTCAACGTCCACAGCCGCTCGGCCAACTTCGGGTCAGTCGCGTATGGCATCGCATCACACATTTGACAGTCAGACAGCATGATACCCTTTAGATCTAGTACATTGTTAGTACTCAGTTCGGCCGACTGAACCTATACTTACCGTCCAAAGCTGGGTCTAGCGCTGCAACCAGTACTGTCGCGGCACCTTGATCAAGGTTCTTCCAGAACGGACTTACACTTCGAATCGCAGCCTCGCCATCCGCGTCCAGGTTTCGACTGAGACCAGTCCAGATTGCTAAACTCGTCAGTGATTATGATACTGCGCACCTAAACGGCTTTTGCAGTAGGATACTCACACCCGGGATGCACAGCATAACTTCTCACACCCTTTTCTCTGAACATCTGGTTCAACCCCACTGAAAACAGCATGTTCGCCGTCTTCGCCTGTCCATAGGCCATCCATCCGTTGTATCCATCATCCGCGCCCTTCGCAAACATCGGAGGAAGTGGCGCAGGTCTCTCTTCTTCGGGTATCTCGTCGTTGCTCTTCTCCCAGTTGTAATCAGAGAAACGAACAGGGCTCAGCCGATGGCCAAGAGAAGTGAGGTTGATAACGCGGGTGGCACCTTCATCTGAAGAGGAAGCAGAAGCCAGAAGCTGAGGCATGAGGAGGTTGGTCAGGAGGAAGTGGCCAATATGGTTGGCGCCAAATTGACCCTCGAGGCCTTCTTTGGTAGTTTGACGCGCCGTTGTCATGATGCCAGCATTGTTAATGACCAGATCCAGGCGACTCGTCAATTGTGACACTTCTTTTGCAGCAGCCTTGACAGATTCTTGAGACATCAAGTCAAGGAGGACCGCTTTGACTATGACCTCTGGATAGGCATCCTGGATGCTCTTCACGACCTCTTCTAGTTTGGACTTGGTGCGTGAGGCGAGAATGAGGAGCGCTGGATTTTGGGAGGCGGTCGAGAGGGCTATGGATGAGCCGATGCTTTCAGGAGATACACCGGTGATGAGCACTTGTTCAGGTCAACTTTGCTCTCAGTAGCACGAGGATCTGGATGTTCTACCGTTCTTCCCATGGATCCGATCGGCGAAAGCCTTCGCGACCTCAAGTCCGCCCGTCTTCTCGTTCCACTCTGGATGTGTCAAGGTAGACATTTGAGCCTTTGATACGTTCACGAGGCAACAGTTTTAGGGTCTCATCGAGAGGAGTGCAAAAGTCTCGCCCTCGCTATCCCTGGGGCTGGGCTTCTTCATCACAGCGACTCTCATCCGCAAGCATCAGGATCGCACGCGCCTTTCCCACCATGTCCAAAGCATCTGTGTCAACTTCGGGACAGAATGCACTGGAAATGGCAGAGTGCAGTTGGGGTGAAAGTTGCGGGGTAGGCGGGGAAAGGTTAGCACCATGTGGGGCAGCTATAACCTGTACTTCGCGTCCCCAATGACCTCGCATCACGCGTCAACACCCTTTAACCGGCAGATACGCCGATCCACTTCGCAATGCTACGACTCCACCCCACGGAGGGGACATGCCGGAAGAGGCGTCCAGCACTTGCAGCCTGCAGGCCCTAACCGCCACGAGTCGGGCTTGCACCCTCGGTCATCGGCTCCATCTCGCCTGGGTGAAGTTACTGAGAGAGATGGGTACATGGCCATATCGTCGGTAGATGCAGGGTTGCTGAGCCCCACGCTCATGAGCGATTACCTGGTCGATGCGTTTGGATACCTGGAACCTTTTCTCGCATCGAATCGCGTTGTGTTACCTGACTCCGCCAGTCGTGAAGCTTGATCGAGGTCGCGCATGCCACTCCGTGCGAGAATAGACGAAACCAAACTACCCAAGATGTCTTCTCTAGAAACGAACGGCAACGGTCCAGTCACTAATGGCCCAAAGCCACAGACTGGTATCAAAGTCATCATTATCGGCGCAGGTACGTGCTTAGCAGCTCATGCCACGGCTCCATTCTAACACACATCACCAGGTTTCGGCGGCCTTACAGCAGCCATAGAATGCATCCGGCACGGCCATACGCCCATCATCTACGAATCCTTCCCCTCGCTCAAGATCCTCGGCGATATAATAACCTTTGGTCCCAATGCCGGGCGCATCTTCGCGCGTTGGAGTGATGGACGCGTCGCGCGCGACATGCGCAAGATCTCCATCGACCTCACCGAATACGGCTTCAACATTCACAAATGGGATACTGGCGAGATTGTCATAAACCAGAAGACGCCGCCACGCGACGAGAAAGCGCCGAACTTCAATGGGCATCGCGGTGAACTGCACGAGATTGTTTTCAACTATGCCAAGGAGATCGGTGTGGAGATCAACTTGGGACAACGAGTGGAGAAATACTGGGAGGATGAGAAAGAGGCTGGCATCGTGCTAGAAGATGGCACGCGCGTTGCTGGCGATCTCGTAGTCGCGAGCGATGGCGTCCGAAGTAAGGCGAGAACACTGGTGTTGGGATACGAAGACAAGCCAAAAAGCAGTGGATACGCCGTATGGCGAGCGTGGTTCACCAACAAGGACATGATCGCAGACCCGGAGACAAAGCAGTTCTGTGAAAACGGCGACACCTTTAATGGATGGATCGGTAGGCCTTCTTCCACCCTGAAGAATAATCGTACGCTAACACCTCCAAGGCCCAGATGTACACTTTCTCTTCAGCACCATTAAGAACGGCACCGACTGCTGTTGGGTGCTCACCCACCGCGACGACCACGATATCGACGAATCCTGGTCCTTCCCCGGCTACCTCAAAGACGTCAAGACAGTGTTAGAGGGCTGGGATCCAATGTGCTGGAAGATCGTTTCCAAGACACCGGAAGAGAAACTCGTTGATTGGAAACTTGTTTACCGGGACCCGTTGCCTAACTGGGTTTCAGGCTATGGCTCAGCGCCAGGTCACGGCCGGATCTGTTTGCTAGGCGACGCGGCCCATCCCTTCCTTCCGACAAGTGCGCAAGGTGCGACGCAAGCACTCGAAGATGGTGTTACGCTCGCCGTATTGCTACGGAAAGCTGGGAAGGAAAACGTACGCGGCGCGTTACGAGCATACCAGGATATACGCTACGATCGTGTCAAGGCTGTGCAGAAAACGGGTGAGACAACGAGAGACATGTGGCACAAGACGGATTGGGAGAAGGTGAAGAAGGACCCCACGCTGATTCAGTTCCCAAGAGAGGATTGGGTGTTCCAACATGACGCTGAGAAGCATGCTGAGGAATTGGGGGATGAGGCGATTAAGAAAGCTAGTACTGTTGCTGCGTAGATAAATCGAGCAGAAATCTCGCAAGGATATACCCAACGAGATTTTAGAGTTTATTGAAACTGCTTCATGGTGTATATGTGACAAATGGTATCAGTCTTGCACGATATCTCAAAAAGGTGCCTACCTCAGAGGCACATAGCTCACGTCTAGCCATCAGTTCGGCAATGATACCGAGTACACTTCAACAATGACGGCGAAGCAAAAGTACGAAGTGGTAGAAGGAGTGAGAAAATTGATGGATTCCGAAACCAGGGACTGTGCTGTATACCTAAGTCAGTGGCGTGATTTGACGTCCCATTCAACAAAAAGATACTCGTTGCAACAACTGCTAGCTCAGCCACTCTTCTCAGTACCGACAATCTCGTGATGCACAACTTCATCCTTCTCACTATCGCGCCTCTCCATTTTGTCATCACCACCAGCTGCAACACGCCCAGTACAGACGTACTTTCTGAACTTGCGCGCTGGAAGCCTAGCTTCAAACATCTCATCAATCTCTTCGAGGGTGCGGTTCTTGATCTCAGGAAGATAGAAGTACACCCATGCTGCTGTGATGAAGCAAGATGGTCCCCAGATCCAACCTAAATATGGCGTTAGTATGGGGTTGAGGTGTAGAGAGGGGAAGTTGGAAGTCTTACCATATTCAGGGCCCCAGTTGAGCGACTCAGGGTTGATGAAGTATGGTGCAGTGAAGGTAGTGAGCCAAGCACCTGCGAAAGCGACTGCCGATGCGATACCGAATGTGTATGAACGCAGGCGCTGCGATGGGATTTCTCCACCCGAGAGCCAGGCATAAGCAGCGATCATACCATTGTAGCCGACGATGTAAATGACTGAGAGACCGACGATGGCCTTCGATATGTCAGTAAAAAGCTCGAATAGCTCATGGAGGAAGAGCAAACGTACCTTTCCAGTGCTAGTCGTGCCAGGGTTGACGTGGTAGACAGCCGCGATGACAAGTTGCGTAACACCACAGATTGAAAGACCAGTCATGAGGAAAACGCGGCGGCGACCGATCTTGGAGATGACACTGCTGTTGATCATGACCACTACGACACCAACAGCGGTCAAGATGCACGAGTTCATGAAGGGGCTACCGACATTCGCCATCTTACTTGATGTTAGCCCAATATATCCGGAAGAATGGGAGCGGTCCACCTGTACTGACCTGGAAAAAGTACGTTCCATACGCAATCACAAACATGGCACCCGAAGCAGCCTGAGTCGATACTGCAGCAATAGCCAACAGAGTGCGCCTGCGATCAACAGGATCTTTCCAAATGTCCAGGAAATTCGCACTCGACTTAACAGCCTTCTCTGCATCAATTGCCGCTTGGATCTCTGCTACTTCGCCGGGTACGCTCTCGGGGTGAGGACGCATCCACAAGAGCGCCTTCTCAGCTTGCGCTGGCTTTTCTACTAGAATAAGCCAACGTGGCGACTCGGGAATGAAGAACAGGCCAATAGACATGAGAACCGGAACGATGAAGATGGTGCCTAGTGGGATGATGTACGAGTTCCTGCCGATCATGTCGTGTGTTGCGTTGTCGATTACAGTACCGATGAGCGTACCGACAGATGTCCATATCTGGAAAACGGATATCATGAGACCGCGGTATCGAGCTGGCGCTGATTCCTATTCGTATGTCAGTAATGTATACGGTAGTTAGAGGAGCCCCGGAGGAACGAACCTGAATGTACAGCTGCGAAAAGGTCATGTACCACCCATTTGCAAGCCCAATCAAGAGCCTTCCAGAGTACAGCCCCGCAATGTTGGTCGTAGTCATCATGACAATGTTAGCAACGCAGCAAAGCGAACTGGCCATCCAAAGGCATTGTCGCCTCCCCAGCTTCTTCGCGAAGACACCGGCGAACATTGAGCTGAGGAAAGCACCTAGTGTCATCAAAGACGAGATGAGTTGCTGACGCTCGGGAGAGATGTTGTAACCTATGGGCGAGATGGGATCAGGATGGCCAAAGACTTCGAGAAAGCCGCGCATCGCTTGTAGACCGCCGATAGCACCAAAGTCGATGCCGTATTGGAACGGCGACATGGAAACGAGGGTACATGCCGCGAGGCATTTCCAATTGGAAAGCAGACTGCTTGTTAGGTCGGGCATTTTGGTGTTTTCTCCAACGATAGTGATGAAGAATTTCAAGAGATGCGACGAGGTTTTGCTCGATGTTGCGAAGTAGGGTTAGCTTCAAAGAAGGGATAAACTTCCAGCTAAAGGAGACCGCACCAGCGATCCTTCTGCCTCATAACAGGGAATCCCTTTGATCCAGACTGATATGCAGATCTCTGTGGATGTGGTCCCATTCCTGTCGCAATATATGCCGATAGTGCCTGTAAATGCTTAGCTTACCCCTACCCCGGAATTTACACGCAGTCTAAAGTGTGGAGTGCGGAGGTGGCGTTTCGCTATGTACTATATTGAAGGTATTAATGCTTGCGCTTCCCGTTTCCGTGTGGCGTATGAGACTAGAACCACGATACCCGGTAAATACCTAGGAAGAGCGACAAAACGCCCGGCAGTTTCTGTCGTTTAGTGCTTGCCTTACTACCCGCCATCTGCTTGGAATAGCACATGGCTAGGCTGTCACTTCGAAACTTTATCACGTCGCCACCATGACCTATGAAGAAAGCATACCACCTGGGAAAACCGACGTCGACTTCACAATCAGGGAAACCCGGCTGAGTGGATAGGCTGTACGGTAATGCCGCACGGTCGGAGTGATAATGCCGTGTGACATTGGCCATGATCGTGAAGTACAGTAAAGATCTGCATGTACTAACTTTCACAGCTGTGCATAGCGAGTCAATAAACTTCATGCCCTCCACTTCGGAATCGGGAAGTGGAGAGGCAGATGCCCGCATGAAGGATCAGAGTACTCGAAGCAAGTGTTGCGACCCGCTGATGTGGACAGAGACATGGTGCTGGTGAATGAGGGGCGGGGAAAGTCGACTGGAGAGGTTGATGAGCCAGATGGTGGGGCGCGTTCCAGGCGACCATCGGTCTGCATGGGGGAAACATGAGTAGTGGGGTTTGATATGATACCATCCAGGCATGCGCCTATGGAGTATGAACTGTGAGAACAGTATTCAAGATGAGGTTGACTCCAGCATAGAATGTACTGCCACCTCATACAAGGAAAAGAATTAAACATGTGTGCTACCGTCTACAGAACTCTTGAAACACACATTTTGTAAAGCGGTGAGCTGATGTAGCCATCTAAATTTTCTTCTTCTCATACTTGTATTTCATCAAGACAATTGTCTAGCTTTCCCCTTCGAATGGGTTAGTGCGTCAAGAGTCAACCAACACGCCGTCCTTGATCAGCATCACACCGTTCATGAAGGCATCGTACATGTAGTTACGCCCTTTCCGCCCGTCTTCGTTTTTAAAGACTACCGTCCAACCGTCCTCGTGTTTGACCTTTTCCCAACTCACGTATACCCAGCCGTGGCAGGGCGCATCAGACTCACAGTGGTTAGTATTGATATCTTCGTGCAGTTTTGCGTCTTCGTCCTCGGAAACATCATAGGCAAGTTGGCTGCTTACCACCAAAGCCCTCTCATGAAGCCAGAAGTTCTCGGCCTTGTAGTAGCGTATGGTCGAATTAGCGCAAGCGATGAAGAAAGCGCGGAGGGTGTTCGGGTAGTGGAAGTTCGTATTATCGAGGACAATGCGACGGATCGAAGAGGAGTGTACGTTGATGATACTCGCGAGTGTAGGTGCAGTAGTGCTCGTAACGAGTCCGTTGAATTGGAGCGAACGTAGGCGGAACGGAGGACTGCCACCCAGTAACTGGAGCAGAGGTGCCCAACTCTCGTTGCGGATCCGATAAGTTCTGACATCCTCAGCGCCCACAGACAAAGCCAATGCTTCGAGATTGGCATTGCCCTTGATGAGCTTGACGAGGGCCAACACGTGCGTATCCGTCCTGAAGGTTGCCATGTCCAGTTCCAGGTTCAATGACGTCAAGCCACGTAAAGCAGGTGAAATCGCCTCAAAGAGCGACTTTGGACTACCCAGTAGCGCTGTCTGCCACTGCGAGGCCCCGAACCCTACAACCCTGAAGCCTTCAAGCTGCTGTGGCGCAGATCGTATGGTGTCCACCAGAGCCTGCATGACCCTGTATATGGAGAGCGCATGGATGATATGGGTGTGCTCTGGGGAATGGGGGGTCGAATTGCGGGGGTGGAACCCCATATCCTCGATTGGCAAAGGATTGGATGTTGAATTTAGGGCGTAGCGCAAGTGGTCAGCCATTCCACCCAGCGCGAGAGGTGCGCGAAACGTGACACTCTTCAGATTCGGTGTACGGCGTAGGATACCGCTGAACAAGTTCCGCACGTCAGATTCGCTGAGCATGGTCTCAATGCAAGGCGCTGTCGTTGTGTCCATATTTACACCGTATCGGAGGCTATTCGGTGACCGACATTCCAACAGGGAGTATATTTCAATTATGCGAATTCGGTTGGCAAACCGTGAATGGGACAGGGCCTCGAGACGTTCGACACTTGTCTTGGTGGTTTGACATCTTCGACTGGAAAAGTTCGCCTCGGTCTAAGTAGGGTGGTCAGCGAATCATTAACGAGCACCTTGAAGTGAAATAAAGTACAAGCCAGAGAAATCCCGAGCTTTGGGCAAGGAGATGATGTACTTACAAGAGCATGATCAATGGCCTGTAATATAGTCCGACTGCCGAGTGCTTGTAGTGTGCTCAGATTTTCCCCGTCAAGATAATCAGCGATCATGCCGATGAGCTCACTCGGCAGGCCTTCCAGACTTCGCGCATCTGACGGTGTTTCTTCTTCGACCACAAAGTCGTCGTCCGACATGAACACATCAATATCTGTGTGATTCATGATAGCCCTGTCATCGTGGGTAAAGCTATCCCCGTCCATGTTCGATAATGGCAGGTGGCTGGAGCTGCGCGGGGTGAAGTTAAAATGTTGCAGATTTTATGTGTGGGTTCGAGATGAATGACGGTGCGAGTGATGCGAGCGGTGGCTACCATGGTCCTGGCTGGCGATAGGAAGGGCTATCAGTGGCACCGCCCCGTTCAAGATAGGAGCTGAGCAGGTGCCCTGCAGCCTAAATCAGTATTGAATTTTTTTTAGCAAGATCTTAACGCAATGTAGGCTTCTTGGGTCTTTTCCTTCTGTCTTTCTCTGTAGACGGTTGTCCAAATCTCCCCATTGAATTGGGTGGCATAGAGGGATGCTGCTTCCCCGGCCCACAAAGGAGGAGGCCCTTGCGGTCACTACGTCCGATTCTTAGTTGACCATATACAGTCAGGAGTTCCGAAAGCATTATGTTCGTCATGGTTTTGTACGCGGATGTTCGCACGCATCGTGTACGGCGCAGTCGAGTTGAATGAGAAGAGCATAGGGCACTAGGGGATCACAGTCTTCTGAGTGCTCACGTTATGATGTGAAATTGCAGTGGTAGGTAGCAGACGAAATACATTGCGATGAAGAGCATCGTGCTTTTGGTGTCATCATGTTCAGCAGGGAGACGTCGATGATGCCCAGGTGCGCTAGGCATCGCGTCGCGTCGCGTCCGAGGTTCGGCACAACACCTGCCGCAAGCTCCTTGCCTGCTGCCTCACGTGTGCATCCAGCGCCATACCCACAGATGCTGATCCATCCTTCCGTGCATCAGTGCGAGAGACTTGCATGTCTTCGGGTGTATGAAATGCCCACGACGCTGCAAACTTTACCCGGCTTTCCATGCCCCACCCCCGCGATGTGGGGTTAGGCGTTGCGCGCATGCAACTCTCCGAGTATGGCTACTTTCAATGCTGCTGGCGGCGATGCATGGTGATTAGCAAGCTCTGATTCAAGTGTTTGGTCATTGGTCGCTTCATAACAGGCGCGTTGTGCGAGCTGCAATGCACCAGTTGGTCTCGACTGTTGCTTGGAGTAATCTTCTTCTGAGTAGCATCCCCAGTGCGCACGATCCGTACAGCGCACGGCATGGCGATAGAGCAAATCTTTGAGGCTCTGCCTCTACACTATTTGCAGCATGGCATCTCCAAGTTTGGTGCTGGCAACATCGCCTCGGCGGTCTTCTTGACTGCAGTCTTAGGTGTGCTTGCGGATTATGCTTGGATGCTGTACATGAGATCGAAGATGGTAGGAGCGACACACTAGATCTCATGATGGTGCTAATGTTGAATAGCCTCCAGGGCCCTTCCCCTACCCCATCGTTGGCAATACGTTTCAGCTGCCGGACAATAAGCCCTGGGTTTTCTTCGAGGAACTATCCAAGAAATACAACACGCCGCTGATAACATATTGGATCGGACGCAACCCAACCGTTTGGATCAACGATGCATGGACTGCAAATGAACTACTCGACAAAAGAGCTGGCATATACTGCTCGCGACCGCGCATGCTTGTCTTTGCTGAACTCGGATCTGGTCAGAACAACCTCGTGAACCTGATCACTACTACACAGGCGCAGCGTGAGCGTTTCCGGATGCTACGCAAGGTGACGCATCAGGGCGTTGGCATTCAGCAGGTGAAAAAGTACCGTGACTTCCAAAATGATGAGAGCAAAGTCGTCGCCCTCGATCTCCTGGGTACCCCCGAAAATTATGTTGCGCACTTTGAACGCTATGCGACCAGTGTTGTCTCTATCATCGGCTTTGGCAGACGCGTTGCAAGCCACGAAGATCCAATCATCACCGAGGTCATCGCATTGATGCACCGAGCAGCTGATCTGAACGTACCGGGAAAGACATTTCCTATGTTGATGGAGACCTTTCCGATTCTTGCTCGCGTACCTACAGAATATGCGCCATGGAAGCACGGCATGGGATCGAAGAAGAAGTCATCTCGCGGTCATGACTTTTTCTATTCGCTGGCAAAAGAAGCAAACGAGAAGCCAGGACACGAAGATTGCTATTCGAAGATGTTGTTTCGCGAGCAGGAGAAGTACGGTCTGAATCATAAGGAAATATCTGCGCTGACTGGTAAGAAATATCGCGTACGAACTGCATGTGAGACATACACTGACTTTGTACACTTACGTCTAGGTAACCTGTTTGGTGCAGGGTCAGATACATCAAGTAGTACGCTCATCACTGCTATTCTCGCCATGCGAGCGTTTCCAGAAACCATGCAGGCCGCGTGGGAAGAGTTGGATCGCGTTGTTGGAGAGGACCGTAGCCCTTCGTTCGAAGATGATGCAAATTTGCCTTATATGCGGGCATTCGTGAAGGAAGTGTTCCGATGGCGATCAGTAGCTATTATTGGTGGACAACCGCACGCTCCAGTTCAAGACGATTACTACAACGGTTATCTGATCCCGCAATCCGCATGGGTACAGGGCAATGTCTGGGCGATACATCATAACGAGCGTGACTTTCCTGAACCCGACCGTTTCAATCCGAACCGCTTCTTGAAGGACCATCCGGATTCGCGACCTTTCCCTGGCGAAAGAGGGTACATGACATTCGGCTGGGGTCGTCGAGTGTGCTCGGGTCAGGCGCTTGCCGAGCAGGGCACATGGCTGACGGTAGCGCGGTTGGTTTGGGGTTTCAGGATCGAGCCAGCACTAGATGAGAATGGGAAGCCTATTCCGGTCGACATATTTGACTACACGTAAGTTCCCATTGGAAAGAAATCATCATGTGAGATACTGACATCTTCAAGCAACGGTTTGAATATGCGACCGCACCCGTTCGAAGTGAGCATAAAGCCACGGAGCGAGAGAATACGTCAAGCTATCATACAAGAGGGCGAACAGGCTTTGGCAGACCTCGCGCAATACGAGGGTGAAACGAAGTATCGCATGAGTACATTTTACAAGAAATAGATCTTGCTATGAGAAGGATGCAGTGGGGGTAAGTTTGGCAGTAGTGAGAGAGCGAATATGTGGACTCGGTCAGCCAAGGCGAATGTCTGTCCATGTTTTTTTGACAGGTGCTGCCTCCAATAACATTGATGTAGTCCCAGTACCAATTCGTTCCCAATGCGAACCTCGACACTGAATTACCAAGACATGACATTCTCTATCATGTCCATATTCGAGATACCATGGCAAGCGCAGTACGTATGACTCGAGAAGAAAGCTGGAAAAGTCTTTTGCTGTAGGTATAAGATCCACATATGTTAGTGCCGATCCTGTGCGGGCGATTTCCGGGGCAGACTCAAGACAATAGGTGAGAGAGACATGCGAACTTGGCAGCGGGAGCGGCATAATTCGAGTAATGTAGGTACTGATGTGGATATACCTGCTCGGTGTCTGTATGCCACACATAGCTCAATGTTACATACGATCCGCTTAGTGGTAGTTTTCCAACCAAGCGGTTTCTGCAGTTGACGACCCTCAGATCGCGTATGTTGGTGTCGTGATTTGACTCACTCAATATGCGAGGTATATGTCCATGGTTCTGTATGCATGAGGCGATCCACTCGCGGACTTCTGTGTAATCATCGATCATAGGTGTGTGATTGCTCGCAGATTCTGACTGATGGGTCCATCTGGATCGAAGATAATGGAATTGCGGATATCGAGAAAATCGAAGAGACTGTATTCCCCGCGTCGTTCAATACAAAGTATGGGTGCTTCGATCTTTTCGAAAAGAGGAGTTGCTGAGACGTGAGATTGCCGGATAGGAATTTGCAGAAACTGCAAGTTTCTGGCTTCAATCGAGTTATTTTGAAGACGGTTCGGACCGGTATTCCCGGATTGAACCGGAGTGCATCGTCCAGATCGAGAGTTGCGCACTGCGAACAGAGGTTGTTGGGCGGCCCGACCGGCGTGGGGCTTAGAGAAGGAGGAGATAATGTCATGGCCCGACTGATCTTCTGGAATCGCAGTCGATGCGTATGAGCTGCCTTTGGTTTGATTTGAATCTGCGTGCGGAATTGCGCAGAGTTGTAAGTGGAACAACTGCGCCCCGTGCCTGCAGGACGCCCGCGACATTCGGTGACCAGTAGTACACCGTCAGCTCAGCAGCGCGAAATGGGGAAACTTGGGTTCGATTTGACTGCAGCATCGCTGTTAACGTTAAGCATAACCCCAAGGTAAAGAAAAGCTTCTCCAAAAGCGCTTGTGGCTTTTAGAATTCTCTTCTATCTCCAGCATGATGCGACCGCTTGAGGCAATGGTGAGGATGGTGGAGAGGCTGTTCCCGACGATATTGTCGCCTTGAACATCAGGAGCGTCATCCGTGATCAACGCCAGATCAGAATTTGCCTGTTACGGGCAGACCTGCTGATGTAAGCGCGCACGGATCAATGCGTCATCGCGGTGCGCTCCCCTTGCGGACATCGAAAACGTCTCCTTTTTGCATCACGGTACCGTTATTGACTATCGTGAACTGGTGAAGTTTATCGCACTCATATCGGATGCATTGGGCCTAGACACAATTCGACATCTGCGGTGTCGCACACTGACGACATCAATCGGGTAACGATGAAGCAACCCCGGCGCTTCAATCGCTCAAATCTCGGCCAAGTCTTCCCCAGATTCAATGATGGCGAGTTGAAGTTATCAAGAATGCTTCATTCCGCATGTCCTGGTGATCATCCGGGACAACAGGCAATTTGCGTTGTTAACTGTTAATGGATCAGGCGGAATGATGGGTTTACATAGCAAAGTTCGCCTACGAGATCTTTTGAAGCGCTGCCTCTGAAGCCTTATTGTTTGGGCGCATTTGCTCCTGTTTCCGGTACTTATCTTTGGTGTGGCAAAGAAGCCATTTCTTTGTTGCGGCATTGGCCCTTCGCTCCTTATCAAAATGGTGTTTTGTGTGATTGAAGGCGCATTGCTCAGGGACGTCGTACCTCTGATAAGAATTATCGTTTCCAATCATTCAGCATATATGCCCAGCAAGCGCAATAGCACCACCATACAGGTATCCCTACGGTTATTCCAACTACGATGCAACCGCGTTCATCAGACAGAACAGGAACTGGACACCCCGTGAGTGGATTTGCTAATCAACGACAATGACTGCTTGCTCATGGTAGCCATTAGAGCAACGTAACTGGACAATATCCACTATCAGGGCCGGAGATAGAGATGTCACAGATCACTACACTAGTCAGATCCAGCACGCGGGAGGAAGAGGGAAGGCGGTCAGCCCTGGGTTGCCAGACGCTAACCCAATACCGGTGGACCCATTCACAGCTACAGATGTGAACCATGCAAAGACTACGCAAACAATGCCTGCGTCTACGCCTACGCCTACGCCAACCTCTGCACCAACACCCACACCTGCTGCCGCTGTACCTGTACCTGTATATGTCTCGTCTAACCTACATGAATTCTGGCCAAGACTTCCATGGTCTCCTGTACCGAAACCACCACCCTTTGACATGCAACAGTTCAAAAAGGATGCTTTTATACGGATGAATTGCTTAGAAACAGAGTCACACATGCCTCCACGAACGACAACTCTCTTTGGCATGGCATTAAGCTATTAGGATTCGGTAGCTACGGCGCAGCCGGCTTATGGGTTGAAGCCGATGCAGCAAACAACATCTGTGACGTATGTATTCAGTCACAGACACGATCTGTACCATTTACTTATTGACAAGCTAACATCAACATTAGAGAATGGTGATCAAAGAAGCCAAAGCCTCTACACCAGGTCGATGGCGCGAACCCAAGAACTGGCGAGACCGTTTGCTACAAGAAACACGTATCCACCAGCTTCTCGAGGAACTTCGTGCCGCAAACTCGGCCATGTGTCGCCACATTATTCGTCTCCGCGCACATCGACTTTGGATGGAAGAAAGAAGATATAGGTTGTACATAGATCTCCATTCTGGCGGCGACATAAACAGGGCAATGACATTTTGTGTTAGGAACTGGGAGAAGGAAAACCCGCTGACGAGAACATTTTTCATACCAGAGGGACTCGTCTGGTATACCATCAAAGCGCTCGGGACTGCTTGTCTGGTACTGCGCGAAGGAACCATCGATGACACCCTGGTTGACGGCTGGAGACCCATCACCCACTTGGATTTGCAGTTACCAAACGTACTTCTGGATGTTTACACTCCACGGATTCCGGAAGTCAAGGAAAAGTCGAAAGCGGGCTCCTCCAAGAGTGCTAGGCTCAACCGCGCTGACACTGACGATTGGAGGGCTGAAATGCCTCCTGTGATGCCTATTCTTGCAGACTTTGGTATTTCCTTTTTCAGCCCGAACCATGACGATTGTCCAATTACCGACAATCCTAATGACTATGTCATCCACGAGACTGACACGCGATATCCTCCTGTAAGTAGCTCTCTTTTTTGCGAGACATCGCTCGCTACCATAGCTAATCGTTCTTAGGAAATGCACCAACAAGATCCGCCGTACTTTCTCAAATTGAATGAGAAGACCGATGTTTGGGGTATCGATAACATTGCCTGGCGTCTCTTGTGTAACAAGCAAGCTGGTAATGGAGGCCCGGTTCGTTGCGACTCCGAACCTTTGGACAGCACGAGTCCAGGTCCTAAGCCCAAAATCCCCTTAGCACTTGCATATGAATTCAACTTCACGATAAACGACGAAACGGGTGTGTTCGCAGCGCAAAGCAGCACACAGTATACTGCCGAGAAGTACCGGCAATAGGTCAAAGATCTGGTGCGAAGGTGCTTGAGTTTCGATCAACTTGATAGGCCGTCTCTAAAGGAGATAATAGCTGAGGTAGATCGAGTCTTCTCGGTGGACGACATTCTGACAGACCAGATCACGGACAAAGACGGGCTGCATCTCACTTTGCCAGATACTTCCGCGTTTACCATTGGACAGCCCGTTGAGAGAGCGAAAAGAAGGGGACATAATTGAAGCTTGACTTTACCGCTGCGATAAGACTAGTGCGATTGATATTGATGCTTGCGAGCGCCGCGTTGACGTCGCCCTTCTTAGTATTTCCCGCTACCCTTAGGTCAGCGCAGTGCCACCAGCTTTACCATGCGGCTTCCTACATCTGCAACGCGGTCTAACAGAGTCACTGCTCAGGGAAACTTCATTGATGATCATTAAGACGATACACTTCCGGTCCAGGGGTGTCAGGGCCGGCTATCATTCCATCATCTTGGTTGGCTAGCTCGTACATTCTTATGTCTATCTCGTCCCACACAGCCTCTACCAGTAGGTCTGCTTTACTAGGTAAGACAAGATGATCGCTAGATCATATTCAACAATCCTTCTCGTATAGCAAGCCAACAAACTGCCGCAGACAGGTCCCGTTTGGAGTGTGTTCCCAAATACGTAGAGATGTGATTTCAACATCATCTTGATATCACCACACCATCTCCCCAGATCCTTCAAGGCCAATGTCTCGGAAAGAAAGACATAAGGCTTGGGAGCTCGGGGGCTCAAAGCTTAATCCACGTAGGAAGCTTCATTACGGGCCTATCCGGTGTGGCATCCTCGACGGCAGAAAAGTAAGAGCTAATACCCATTGACCAATTCGGGCGTAAGGCCGGCAAGAAGGACTGAGGTACATATTGTCCATGGAGAAATTACCTCCGTCCACTACACCCACCACACTGCGGGACAACTCCGGTAATCATGCTAAGCGGCGGATTGATACGAGGTACACCCTCACCAAAGAAACGACATTCGCGCTACAGTGAGACATTAAGTGGAACGGTCAGCCCATGGGGCGTATGGAACGCCTTACCCGCCCCCGGATTTCGATCCGTTGCGTAGCCGTTCTTCCGGGCTGACATGCTCGATTCAGAGATAGATATTCGCGTGAGGTTTGGGGAGGGCATTTGGTAGAGGGGAGAAGTGTATATAAAGACGCCGTTTGTCGACTCGGAATCATTCTTCATCAGCTTAACGGAGCTTGTATCCACTCTTCAACTTCAATCTTCAACCAAAACGCCACTACTTCTCCCACACTACCAAACCATCACCATGCGTTTCGCAGCAGTCATCGCCGCCCTCGCCGTCACGGCCGCCGCTCTTCCTGCCACCTCTCTAGAGCAGACGGGAGCAGCTCTCGGTATGCGACGTTCTTGTCACCGAAATTTCCTACGTCCGCAGTAGCTCTTGCTGACCGTTGTTTTTCTGAATTAGATGCTCAGGCTGATGCTTGTCGCGACTTCGATGCGTACCAAACCTGTACTTCGAACTGTAGCCCACTTGGCCCAGCCTTTGCCTGCTCCATCAGCTGCCTCATCGCCTACTGCTCCTAGGTCGCTACTTTGGCACTTCGTGTTCTATTCAGCCGGTATGGGGTGGGGCTGTTAAAGGAGGGTGGTCTTGGCCATACACATGGTTATACTTAGGGTCTGTAGAGTGGCCAGCCGTTCGTTACCCTTAAGCACAATGAACACCTTTTGGAGTCAATCGTTTCCAACTCTCAGCTGTTCCAAAGGTCCTATAGCGTGATACTTAAAAAGAAAAAGTAGATTGTATGTAGATTGGATATCAAGTTGAGTACAGACCCATAACACCGAATTAGCAAACCCTCATGACCCCAAAGAACTCGCCGTATATGAAGCTGAAACACCAAAATCAAGCCATTACGCCATGCAATCCTATCCCCACGTTATCATATCATGTCATGTCGAATTCAGTCCATTAGCGCCTTCCAAAGCCACCAGCCATCTGCTTCTGCACATATTTGGCGCCCTCCTTCTTGATAATAGGTAAGGCATAATCCTTGAACATGCCCATCGCCTGCCTCTGCCACTCAGGCTGTCCAGGCTTCCCCGGCTTGCCTGCTCCACCTCTACCACTCCTGCGGCGGTCGTCGTAGCGATCATCGTCGTCGTATCGACCTCGCCTGTCGCGATCCATGTCATCATACCGGGAGTCGCGACGCGGCTTGCTATTGAACATGTCGTCGTATTTGTTGTCGTAGCGGTCATCGCGGCGTCTGCGATCGTCACGGGGCCTGTCACGGCGTTCGCGGTCATCGTAGTAAGGATCCTTGTCTCTGCGGCGGCGGTCGGATTTGTAGCCTTCGGACTTGTAGCCGTCGCGGTCACGGCGACCATCGTCTTTAGGCCTGCGAGGAGGATAGTGTTCGTCGTATGAGTCGTAGGTATCCTCCTGCCTAGGTCGGCGGGGGCGTTCGTCGCGGCGTTCGTCACGCTGCCTACGTCGAGGTTGGGGTGGGGGGGAGTCGGATTCTGAGTCGGACGAGTAGGACGGCTCTCTGCGGTGGCGACGTGGTCGGGCTCCACGAGGGTCGCGTTCTTCAGCTTCTTGGTTAGCTGGAGTTGCAAAGCGCGCTGACAAGATGACATACCTCTGGGTGGTGGTGGCATAGATTCAGGTGGTGGAGGTGGCATGCCCTCCATTCCTGGCGGTGGTGGGGGAGGCGGTGGTGGATAACCTTCATGCCCTGGTGGAGGCGGTGGAGGATAGGCGCCATGCGGGGGCGGTGGAGGGTTGTTGGGATATGGCGGCGGCGCATCGTCTACAGGCCTCTCCTTGCGAGAACGACGGTGATCGCCTCTTCGGCTGTCGCGGTAGTCGCGGTAGTCTCTCTTGTCGTCTTTGCCAGGCGCCCATTTTGGCTTGCCGTTCTCGTAGCTGTCGAAGCGGTACGTGCCCGGATCTGCTTTCCTTGTCAGCGTTGTGCTGAATCATTGCATGCTTGATATCTTACGTGGTGGGGGCTGCCCCATAGGCGGCGGAGGCGGCTGCTCTGGTGAGGAATGTCGGTCTCTATCGCGACGACCCATATTGTTTGCTTATTGTAGCGGTCAAGGTGCAAGTAGTGGTAATGGAGTGTAGGTGTCCAGGTAGCGTGGTCTAAGAGTCGGCGGCGAACATCTGACACTTAAAGCGCGGCTCTCGGCTAGGCTGCACCTCTCAGCCCAGTCTCACAAGACACCATGTCGTCATATGCTCTATTGCCTCAGCTCGTAGTGCAGAATGGGAAAATTTGCGGGGCTGCCGACGCATTCGAAGCTTCGCGAGGGCGTGGCAGAGCTCAAGTGGGCTGTGTATGTAGGCTGTGATCATCGTGCATGGGTAGCACGTCTAGACGGGCCCACTTCTGCAAGCCATTGCCGTCCGCGATACTCGACTGGCCAGGTTGAGTGCGCAAAAAGAAGGACCGTTCCCCCGCATGTAGCGTGGGATAAACTGAAGATCAGGGTCTTCCGGAGAGTTCGACGATGGGGTATGCTACGTGGTGTGCAAAGGGTGGTGCTGCCTTATGCTGATCTACTCACACGCCCATCAAGACGTCAGGGGACACTGCACCGCCCAATCGCTATACCTGCTGACTGATCTCGTTACCTCAGTCCTGATAACCTGACCCTGTCCACAGTCACGGGAAGCGGTGAACTTCGACTCCAGATGCGGACTAGATCTCATGACTCAAGTCTTCATCTACATCATACTCCAGGGCTCGGGTGTCAATCGCATCGCGGCCGAATATCGTGACTATTCGGCGACATCACAGTAGCCCACCAAATCCAACGACACCTCGTTCATGGAGCAAACTACGTCACACGAACAGCGCCGTGGTAGGAGCATGTCGATCAAACTATCACATTCATCTAGGCTTGATCTGAATTTCCACCAACGTCACCGTGATTCAGAACATCTGGATAGCCTGAAGGGGGCTGGAAACTAGACCGGACCTGCATAGAGTTGCAGTCTACACGAGAAACGTCTTAGCGGCCTCGCTTTTGAATGTACTACTCGCAGACTAGACCTGACCAACCTCTGCTGCTCTCTCCCATCTCTGCTTCTTCTGCTCCATTCGAGCGCTCAAAGCAAGCTTCATTAATGTCGGCAAGGCCGTCTAGATAGTCACAATGGCCTCTCGAGTGAAAGTCCCACTGGAGCTTCAAGCATTCAACTTTGGTGGTCCTGTCAAGATGTTCCTTTACCTCGGTAAACTACTACAAGTACGCTGTCGCGGTTCGGACGTGAGCCCCGGAACTCTATTTAGCTAGCTTGGTGAGATCTCAGGTACCACATCGCAATAACTGCTACCTCTGTTGCGAAACAAAGGTTACCTGTTCACCCGCTAGTGCAACTGCATGCCAACAGGCCACAAGTGCAGATCTTGACATTGATTGATTTTCTGGCTTGTTTTTGGTCCCTGGGCTACCAATGGTCGTGTACTGGACTTGGTCGTCTCAAACGACTATATCCGCTCTCGATGCACTGGAGGAGCTGAAATTCTACTGTCGGCTACCTCGCTGAGAGTGGTGCTGGCCACGACCTTGAGGTGGGGCGTAATACCCGCGACCACGTGGATTCGCAAAGTCCCCTCCTCGACTCTGACCAGATATGGATTGTCCACGCCCGCGCGAAGGTGCAAAGTCAGACTCTCGACCCTGACCGGGTGTGAAGTGGCCGCGTCCGCGCGTAGCTGCAAAGTCTCCTTGACCTTGAGCTGATGCGAAGTTCCCACGACCACGAGGTCCACTGTTGTAAGCACCCCTGCCCCTACCTCCACCCCTTCCTCGATTGCCGTGCGTAGGTAGCGGCCAGAACGTCTCACGTGTCTCTCTGTCCACAGCCCAACTTCGTTCCTCCATCGTACGCAATACGATTGGTCCGCCCTTCTCTTCCCTCACAAGTACCAAAGCTCGGTTCTGCCGATTCTCTCGCTTCACCACATTTTTCAGGTGGATAAGCAGAGCAACGAGTTTCCGCAACGGTTCCTGCTGGTTCTGCTCCCATGTCTTCACCCTCGCAGTTGCGACTTCATCCTTGATTCTGGATACAATGCCGGTACCTTTCTCGTAAGGAGCAGTGTAAAGCAACGATGTACGACCGAACCAGAGCTGATCTTGACACGCGACCAGTCCTGATCCCAATGGGCTCCAAACCTGAGTTTTGAGCTCCAGTATCTGGGCTGTTGGTACGATGTGGCCTTTCTGCAGGACCCGAATTGGCGCGTTGTAATTGAACCTTGGAGGGTTCACGTGACAGCTTCCGTTCACCGCTGCTGCTTCGGTTTGTGTGAGATTGTCAGGAATGATGCCGTCGTCGTATGCGTCTGCTTCGAAGCGACAGACGACGTTGAGAGGGCCCATCGCATATCGTATTGCTCGATAGTGACTCGTTGCGTCCTCCATATCTTCCGTTTTCTTGGTGAAGGCTCGCTCGAAGTTGAACCCGTAACTCCGCCCATCTGAACGTTTCCACCACCGTGACTCCCTGCGCACGATGACGAGTGTGTCGAAGACTAGATACAGATTTAGACGAAGAGGTCCGTTGTTCTTGCCCTGAGCAAATTCCAACAACACACGAAGATTATTGCGATCTGCGAGAACGTCGACGTTGTGGAAACTGGTGTTTGGTGACATGACTCGGAGGGCATTGAACATCGGCAGGTACGGATTCTTCGGTTGGCGAGCGTAATTGTAGTCGTTGGAATCGAAGCCACTATCTTTTTCGAGTGTATGCGGCAGCTGTGGTGGCGGTTGCCATTTTGCTGGCTCGCCGGGCACTAGACAGATATGAGTTCAATGACACTCGACATTTTGGAAGGTAAAAGCCTGGTCGTATATCAACATGTACTCACCAAATATCGTATTGGTACCGTCTTCCGCAGCCTGCCAGTTGTAGCAACACAACAATTCCGGTTCTTCATCCCATACAATTGGCTCTGGCACTGGAGTGAGTGCGTTCTTGTGGATTGTCTCTACGATATGTCCTGCATCTCTTGCAATAGTGTTATTGAAGCGCTCCAATTTTCTCCTGCGCTTTTCGGCTACGACTGGATCAATCACTTCTTCTTCAGGTATTTCCAGAACGGCATCTCCACCGTCTGAATCGGAGTCAATGCCATCTTCGGCCGCAATGGTGGACTCCACTGCACTGTCACCCTGCAGTTGCTGCCAACTCGAACCTCCCAATGCGAGGGCGATTTTCGATTCGAAGGAAATAGCTGCAGAGTTCATGTCCGGTGGTGCAGAAGTCGCCATAGGATGCGGCTCGATCATGCGCTGTTTTTGTTGGTCGGCGTGTGAGTGTCTTTCTGGCGTGTCTGACTGATAGTCTTCTCTTTCACGTTTTCTTCCACTGCTATCGCTTGGACCAGTATTACGCTCTCCAAAAGCTTAGGAGGGAAGATGAGCGGGAGTTTAAGTTGAGGCGTGTACATCAACGTACTGTACATGCCAGCTATTTCGCAATGCCTTTGTAGCTCTTGCGCTAGAGCCTTAACATGCGCGCGTTCAAAGGAGCGTTAACTTTGAATGGAACAAATGCGCTTTCAAAAGTGACTGCGGTGAAGAGGTGAGCGTGTATGCGCGCTTTCTCAGGCTGGTAATCGGATAGGTTGTGCTGGTGTAAGCTGGATAGGCATGGACCGAATCTGTCTATCGGGTCAAATATGTCGAATTCAAGTCACGTAGCCAACGGGCACATGGACCTTCGGATGTGAGTAACAAGACGACAGATTGTAGGGAGACGCGAAAGCCTCGGTGGCGCGAAACTGGATTAGCGCTTCGGCTAACACAACGTAGCGCGTGTGATCCATCGATCGTACAAAGTACCTGGACAACTCACAACGCCCGACGTACACACCTGGGCAAAATCTCCCGGGTATTATACCTACGCTGTCATGTGTATCAACAAGGGGGTTTTGGTTACTGTAAGCACCCGTTACTGTTGGGAAACCCACAAAGTGAACATAGCATCACGGTACTTTCATGACTCCAGCAGGATGTAATTTAGTATCATAGCGCCATGGTATGTATCGATTCACAATTTCCACCCCCGTTTCTTTGAAAGTGCCGTCTCCTGTCTGACAGCCAGGTCCGCAATAATTTCCTCACTGCCGCCACCAACAACCTGTCGCACATTAGCATTAGCATAAAATCCTAAACTTCACATCCCAAGGAATCAAACATACCATCATCCTCAGATCCCGACTAATCTGCTCAACAATAGCTCCAGGCCCGGCCTTCTGATACCCAGCACCACCGAAGATCTGCTGCGCCTCTCGGTTCGCCATCTCGAGTATACGGCCACCGTGTACTTTGCACAAGGCGATTTGGCCCGCAATCTCCGGATCCTGCCAGCCGAGCGGAGATTGCTGGATATGGTATGCGAGTTGTTCGAGCCAGGCCCAGTGGCTCTCTACATAGCGACCGATTGTAGCGAGTTTGTGGGCAATGATCTGGTTGGAGATGAGGGGTTTGCCGAATGTGTGGCGCTTGTGTGCGTAGTGGAAAGATTCGCTCAGACACGTTCGCGCTTTTCTGTTGCAGCCTATGCTCATGATGTAGCGTTCTTTGTTGAAGTTGGTCATGACGATGCGGAAGCCTTCGTTCTCCTTGCCAACAAGGTTGGATACAGGGACGCGGACATCGTCCATCTCCACGAAGCTTGCGCCTCCACCTTTTTGTCCTGAGTTGGGAATGCGGCGGTGTGTGAGTCCGGATGAGTCAGTTGGAATGACGAGGACGGAGATACCAGTAGCCCCCGGTCCTCCAGTGCGAACGGCAGTCGTCATGTGTGTGGCCCATGGCATGCCAGTGATCCATTTCTTGTAGCCGTTTACAATGTAGTATTTTCCGTCTTCGGTTTTGATTGCAGTAGTTTGGAGGTTCGCGACGTCGGACTACACACTCTAATTAGCATTCTCTCAACACAAATTGTGGACATGTTGCGGGAAAGGTATACGCACTCCACCACTCGGCTCAGTAATGCCCAGACAGAAGCTCGTTTCCCATGTAAACAGGCCCGGCAACCACTTCTTCTTCTGCTCCTCAGTTCCATGATGTACAATCGGCGGCGCACCAATCACGCTACCACCACCCAGAGCAGTGCCTACACCGCCCTCTATCCTACTATTCTCATCCGTCATGATCAACAGATGGAATAAGTCCAAGTCGCCGACCGGTATGCCCGCAGGACCGGGAACATTGCGTGGGCGATACGGTTCTGGCACGTCCGCGAATGCGTAACCAGTCTGCGCCCATTTGTGCCGTTCTTGGGCTGGAGCCTCGCCTTCTTCCTCCCATTCTAGCATGTACGGCTTTATATTCGTGTCGATGTATGTGCGAAGCGCATTGCGTAGTTTCTTATGCGAGTCGTTGTAGTAGGGAGAGGCGAGGGCGGAGTACCACGACGGTTCGCTCCATGGGGCGAGGTTGCCAAAGGTTTCTTTCTTTTGAGGCTGCATTACGGAGGGAAGAGGCGTGTCGGCGCGGGGCTTGGGGTTCGCCATTGTGTTTGCTTGGTGATGTTGCGAAACATTGCCGTGGGACTGAGGAGTATACCTAGGTATTGGACTATTTCGTAGTGGAGTTGAGATGCCGCGGCTGAGGGTCGACGATCATGCTGACTCGCGTGCTAAACTGCGGGGGTGCGTAGCCGATTCGCGCGTCCCCAACGCGTCCGCCCTACCAATGTCTGCTGGGCTTCGCGCTCGAGCCTGAAGTCTTCTCGCGAGTCCATACGGGTGGAATGCACCATGCAAGGTTCAGAGATCTTCTTGGTGACCAGAAACAGAACCTTCGGGCGACAAGGTATGAAAAAGGGGACGAAGTCACGACAACATGTGAGAATGGCTTTGAAGTGAAACCTGCGAAGCTTTATTACTGTCTCGATGCTATTTACACGGACTCAAGTCTTCCGGCATAATGTCGTTCATTATTATATTCCTCCACTCGTATCAAGTCGTCGAGACGATACGTTTACCTGACGCAGTAACCACCGTCGATGAGGAGATCGGAACCCTAGGATTGTTAGTCAGTTGAAGTGGTATAATCTGGACGTATAAACTTACAGTGCAGTAGGATGAGGCGTCAGAGGCGAAGTAGACGTAGGCACCCTTGAGCTCGGTGGCCTTGGCGTCACGGCCCATGGGGATCATGGAGTGCCACAGCTTCTGGATGTCCTGGGGAACGAAGTCGGAGAGACCAGTGTCAATGTATCCGGGGGAGATGGAGTTGACACGGGCAAAGTCCCTCCACTCGTTGGCAAGAGACTTGGCGAGGTGAATGCAGCCAGCCTTGGCGACGTTGTAGGAGGCCTGCTCCTGGGGGAAGTTGGCAATGTGGCCGGACATGGAGGAGGTGATGACGAGGGAGCCGGTCTTGCGCTCACGGAAGTGGAGACCGACGGCACGGGCGCAGTTGAAGGTACCAGTCAAGTCGGTCTCGATGACCTCCTTCCACTGCTCAACGGTAGCGTCGAGGATACCGTTGTCGGCAGTCTTTCCGGCGTTGGCGATGAAGACATCGACCTTGCCGAAGTCCTTGATGACGTCGTTGACGAGCTTCTCGCAGGCGGAGTAGTCGTTGACCTGGCACTTGTAGGCCTTGACCTTGACGCCGTACTTCTCGCTCATCTCCTTTGCGTTCTTCTCGGCGCCCTCAGCGCGAGAGTTGTAGGTGATGGCGAGGTCGGCGCCGAACTCAGCGCATCCTCGGGCAGCCTCTGTGCCAATACCGGTAGGGCCGGAGGCACCGGTGACGATGACGACCTTGCCCTTGAGGCTGAAAAGGTCCTTGAGCTCGGTTGCCTGGGGAACGTTGATCATTGTGGCGGTTGTGAGGGGTTGTGGATAGAGTAAAAAGGGCTTGGGGTATATAGAAGAGAGATTGGGCTTGAGTGTGATGGAATAAGAAGATGGAGGCTGATCTGGAGGGGCACAGAGGGGTTCAAGTACTCCTCTGCGGCTGAAAAGACTTGATGGACAACTTCACGCATTAGCGGTTAGTGAGGGGCGCTGGGTCAACAGTGACGTGTGGCACGTCCTAACAGCTTCTGGACGTCATGCCACCGAGCTTGATTCGCCAATGGCACCAAGATGTGGACAGTCTGGCTTCACTATTCCGCTGAGATCCTAGCGACCGACGGGGGTGTGGTGGGTTGCTGTGACGTTCCTGCCCCTCTGTTAGCTTGCTCTACGGGAGCTTGGGCCGCCTCTTCGTGCGCTCCGGCGCGTGAACTCATCGCATTGCTTTTTCTCCCACGCGTTATGATCGATTTCTCCGATCCCGTGGCTGACTTTTCCAATGCTACAACCTAATGACTTTAGGTACGCTTGTCTCGTGGGCTTGCCTAGATGCCGCCGAGCTGTTGCATGTTCCCAAAGTGGAACCCCACGATTGATACACGACATGCGCTGTCAGCGATTCATGCTTTGACAAAGACATTTGGCCGTGTCAACCCGCGCGTCTAAGCTGCTCGTGCAGTACGAAGCCGCCATGCTGCCACTCGAGCACCTTATGCCATGTTGAATGTAATGCACACCCACATGTGCTACTGTACTCAGCCTTGGCTGCTAGTAAGCAAGGCGCTGTGCATTGCTAACTAGGAGCCTGGCTGATACAGTAATCGTTACTCAGCTCTTTCTTCTTCATCAAGGCATCGGTCGTCTGCTCGATCCTGTTGGAAGATTCTGACGGACCCTGCATGTAGCTGCAGGCGAACAAGGTAGCAGCTCCGAGAATCTCTGCGTACATCGACATGTCGCAAGCGGATCCGATCTGTCGTGGAAACCTTGGAACTGCCGGCCTAGAGCGTGAGTGATGTTGCACGGCCGAAGGAAAACCGCGCATCCATGGAAGCTCCACGCGTGCGGAAGCCGTCTCCCAACCATCTACGATCTTAACACGCAGAATCAATGGGGCTTTATTGTCAATATACATGACGTTGCCGGTATCCGCCGCACGCTGACTTAGTTTGCCATGCTCTATCGGTCCCGCGCATGGCTGATGGGAATTTCATTATTCCGATGCCGCAGACGCACGTGACACACCTCGTCGGCCAAACCTCCCATTTCATCTCAATAGAAACCGACGATATCGTATCTGGCGCGGCGAGCAGTGCTTGATCCAATATCAACGTCGAAACTGCGAACGTGTAGTCTTGTAGCACCTTCTAGCTAGATTAGCCAAGCACCTGCCACCGGGTCTGATGCAGCCCTCTGATTCGCAGCGATTCGCAGCCATGGGGGTTCACCATACTTTTGCTCATGCTTCGCCATTGCCCCTGAAGGTCAATAGCTAACACGCAACACTCGTCTGCATCGTCCCAGACACATTTCCATACTTACCTACCCGCAATCCGTAGGTCCGCAGCAATGGTGCAGAATGCACTCCTCCCGAAGCCCCTCCCCGCCGACGCCCTCGTAGTCGGCCAACTGGTTACAGAGCCCCTACACCCAGAACGCGAATCCTTCTACCCCGATAAAGCGCACGCAGAAGTCGACGATCTGAACGACTTCCACATCCAGCTCCGCTACAAAGACCTCTACTCAGTCGACACCGAAGGCCGATTCACGACCAACTATGGCGCGAGGTTCGATCTGGGAAAGATATACAGACAGCCCAATCTGCTCACTGTCAAGGCTGAGCAGATGATACAACGGACCACGCAGTCATCGTCAAGAGCTTTCCAAGCCGTCTGCAACGACCCCGAAGCACGCATCTGGATGGCCGAACAGATCAGAGCGGGCAAGCCACTCTACATTGTCCTCGGCCTCACTGAGCTCAAGAACGCAACGTTCAAGCGCGCCAAATTGCGCGACGCAGGCGCCTCGAACCGCATCAACGAGACGCCCATCGAAAAGGACGCCAAAGTCCCCGGACCCCTCCGTGGCAGAGCGGAAGCCAGCTTGGGCGGAATCGGCACCGAGCCATCTATATCGGGTGTGTTTGGCATGGATGTACGCCGTGTTGCCGCGAGGCTCACGACGCCTGTGGAGCCACATCGACTGGAGGATATTGACTACAGGTGGTACTACTACGACGTGCCAGGCTCGACGGACAAGGAACAGTTGATGGTGGGGCTGGGAGCGCCGTTGAAGGCGAATGAACTTCGTCTGATGCTCGACCTCACAGAGGACGATGTTCAGGGCAACCTTGATGCTATCAGCAAGCTCAGTCTGGACGCTTTGAGCGCTACGGCGAGCCCGATGCTTAAGCCTAGTACGCCCATGCTGAGAGGGCGCTCGCCTTCCCCGCATCCTACTATGCTACGCTCTTAGTGTCACGGATCGACACGTTTCGAAGTAGCGATTTGGGTTATGGATACGTATGGTAGATTCACGACGAGCGCTTTGATAACACATGAACGACCTTGTACGGCCTGACACATCTCCGCTTCTTTCTTATGTAGTAATTATGCATCTGTTCAGTTTCCGTTCCAGACAATCAAGATGTCGTTTCCATCGGAGACCTGATTGCAGTCATCACAATCACCAGAGTTCAGATTCATAGCAGACGAGTTGGTTTAAAGTGAAAGTATTTCGTATTAATCAAGCAAGACAGTCCTGCGCTTGCAGTAAAAGGTATCATAAGACAAGTACTAGCCAACCCAAAACGCCCATATCAATCATATATACGTGACTAAGCGTAGACATGGCCATAAACAGTGGACATCGTGACAAGCTTACGACAACGCCTTGAAGAGATCCGAACGCCAATGAGGTTATCCAAAAAATGTGTGGAGAAGAAGAGTAACAAACGTAAGCGTTGCTCATATGGCGACGGCAGGTACCTCGCATGTCTGTGATGAAATCTCAACGACGGTCTCGGCAGCAAGTACGTCGACAGCAGGAGCAGCAACGACCTCTTCGGCTACTGTTGTTGTCTCTTTTTCAACGACAGCAGGAACTTCTTCAACAACAACACTCTTCTTCTTCTCTGGCGTCACACAGCTAGCGTCGAACACCTTGGACAGGCCCGAGGGCTTGTCGATCCCAGCATCGACAGTGACGTACGAGGTAGCGTCACAGCCTTCGGCATAGAATTCACTCGGTGCAAGGTCACCCAGTGGCCTACGGTCCTCATCCATAGCATCTTGGACAAACTTGCGCAGACGAGGTTGCTTGACAGGCAGATCGGCGAGGATATCAGTCTCGTAGCCATCGTCGAATGAGGAGGCGTGGTTGCGCTTGCGGGGATGCGCAGCGAGGAAGTCTGGAGGTGGGACGTTCTCCTTGCCGCGGTCCTCGTTGCTGGCCTTGGTGGCTGCGTCATCGTCGGATGAAATGTCGAGGACAGATGCTGAGTGCTCCATGAGGTTTGCAGCTTCCTGCTCGGGCGTGTCTTCGTGGATCTCGAAGAACCAGCTCTTGGGCATGCTGTCATCGAGGACGGGGGTCTGCGGGGCGGGTGCTGAAACAGGCGTGGCGGCTACGGTGGGGGCCTTGGGTGTGTAGGTTGAAATGGAACCGCTCAGGGCTGCGTCGATGGAGAAGGGTAGGCTGGGGCTGCTCTGCGTGAAGGATGGGGGGTCCACGCGTCGGAAGGGCGAGCTGGATGCGCGACGCTTTGAAATGGCATGGAGACGCTTGTTCTTGGGCGAGCCGCGGCTGGTGGAGATGGGCGTTGACTTGGCAGTGTTGGGTGACGAGAGTGCTTTGCGCACAGACGGGACGGAAGGCGTCGCATTGAGGCTGCTGGCACTGGGCTTGACAGGCGAAGTGAAGATGGAGAAGTTGGCCGGCTTGATGTATCCTGCATCGCTGTTGCTGGCCGTCTTGGACTTCTTGGTTGGGCTGTTGAAGATGGACGGGTCCACGTTCTCGGAATCGGCATCTTCGAAGATCTCGGGTGCGCGCTGGCGCTTACCCGTCGATGGCGTGGGAATTGACTTCAGACCCTGGGGAGACGCGAAGTTTGGTGTGAGAGCTGTCGCATACGCGTTTAGTGAATGTAATGCCACGCGGATTGAAGCTAGTTACCATTCTGCCTGTTCTTCGCGCTCTGAAGTACCTGGAGACGTGACGAGCCAAGCTCGGCAAACGGCTGGCGCGTAGAGGTGGCCATAGTAGAGACTGTCGATGATGTTGTAATAGCGATTGAAAGTTATAAAGGTAAAATATCGGCCCGAAAGATCGATTGACGCAATTGAGGTATGTGGGTAGTGGTGTTGTAGGTGATTGTCGTTGGAACGGAAGGTGCAAAAGGTGGGGGTGGTTATCGTATCTCGTTTGAGCTGGAGCGCGCGACTAGGTCCAAGGCGGCAGACCGAAAACAAGAACAACAACAAATGTCTTGACTTCGAGAAAATTGAGTCAACGACAGAGAGCTCGAACACACGATCAAGTCTGGAGAGAAGAGATGGGAGAAAGAAGGATGCGAAACTGGGTCATGAAGCTATTACATGGGCGCACTCAACGCGTCCCCAGTCTCCCTCCAACTTAGCGTGTCCATCACGCACTTAGGGGCCGCCTCCCACAATCGCGTCCGTCTTCTCCACTCAGACCAGGATCATGTCCCGAAACTATCATGCAAAACTGGTTTTAACCCTCGAAGCCACTGCATGCAATGCCGTCTATTGGCTAGGAAGCTCCGGATCCACCTGCAGTGTCACTTGCGCCACCAAAACGCGACTTTGCGCGCTCGCGATATGGACGTGAACGCTGGTTCGTTTTTGCGCGTTGATCCCGGGCCTTGCAGTGTGCTGAGGCATAGTACGTGCAGTAGAAACGCTGTCCGAGGCATCTTGTACGTTGGTCTGCGTTTGTCACTTGTCACAGAGATGTCATGGTGTCATAGGTGGTTGGCGACCTGGTGAAGTCCGGATCATCTGCTGGTCTTCGAGCATCGCGCTGCGTGCCGTTGGTGTTTCGACGCGCATCTATATGCAGCGGGGTTCCCTCTGCTGGACGCGATGAGGCAGGATGCACGCGAATTTGCTGGATCATGCATGTCGGGCTGACTTTCTGTTGGCTTCCCATGCTCACTGCTGATGCGCATATTAATTGCCATGCATCCCTTTAGTTGTAGCAGATTGGCAATCCCGTATACCATTTTCAGACTTACGGCTAGTGTTTTCGATGATCCTGTATGCTCCAGCAGCTAACTCAGAGTTTCTTTCCATTGCAATATCTCCGTTCGCTTTTTCCTTTACAGTCACGTCGCGTCGTCGCGTCTTCTGCTTACTCCCAGCCGACACCACTCTGCCTTGAGGCCCTGCTCCCCGCGCGACTCCCCACTCGGACTGGAATACCACCCCAATTGTCGTTTAAATATGTCGCATTGTCCTCATCGAAGCCATTCGCATTATTTCCCTTGCCCGTGTCTCCGTCATCCCAGTCATCACCATCGCCATAGTTGACATGAGCTTTTTCGCCATTCCAGCTCGTTTGACTGGCGCCACGACTACTAGGCCGCCTGGTCGCAGCATCAGCCTGATGGGAGTATTGACTCTCATGGCTAGCCTGACTACCACCTGCCCAGCCTGATTGGGCGTCTTCCCATCCAGTAGTCTGTCTGTGTCTGTTACTCTTATGGCTAGTACGGGTGTCGTGACTACGACGAGTCCGGTGTGTAGATGGCTGACTAGACACTCGACTTTGATGCCCTAGAGATCCGCGCTCACTATCTGTGCCAACAACACCGGCATCACTGAGTCCTTTGCTTATCTCAAAGCCATCCCATGCAACATTGCTCGAAGGACGCGTCGGACCACCAAATTGTAGAGACGTGGGGCTGCCCACTTCATGATGAGAAGCGAAAGATTGAATGCCAGTCCAGCTAGGATTGTCGGCGGCTTTGGGCCTCTTACTCCAGCTTTGCTCGCTGGGGGACTTGGTGCTTCCCCATGTATATGGATGAGGATTTTTGAAAGGTGAAGCCCATCCAGCTGTCTTGTCTTTCTCTTCGCTGTTCTTCTTGTTGCCATCCCAGTCATGAGCAACGTTGCTCTTCACACTGCCTCCCCATCCAGTCGCAATACAATCTCCTTTCTCTTCCGAAGAGTCATTGGGCGCATCTTCAACAGTAGGCGCTCTGTAGGTCGAATGACTTTTTATCGAAGTATTGTCAAAGTCTTTCTTGGGGGTTCGTGCCTTGCCGCTCCTGCCAATACGATGCGATCTATCACTCTTCTGTGAATGACTTGAACTGGCAGCTTTCCACGCACCCTCGGACTGGCCGCCGTCCCAAGACCTTTCTGAACCTGCTTTACGGTTCTCCCTGACTGAAGACGGTTCGGGAGACGGCCACCCTCCAGGCGGTGAACGCACAGGTGGCGATCTTTCCTCATCAACCCAAGAGTCCAACTTTGGAACAACGTGTTTGTAGCCCCGCGAGGCTGGTGTAACGTATCTGAATCCCTCACTGATGGTCTTGAGCGGTGAGCCTGGAGCGATGTACTCGTATCCATCGCTCACCGATATAGCTGGAGACACAAGAGATGTAGGCTTGCTAGATGGCCAACCACTGGCACCACCCGTCATCATAAAGCCCGTTGGCGACCCCATATCTTCGCCGCCATAAGGCAAGTAGCCGTCTTCATAGTCCGACTCGGGGATAGGCGTGAGGGCTTTGGGTGGCGAGCGATGTGGCTGGCGAGACTTCTTGTTCTTGTCCGTCTTTTCCCCTTTAGTCTTCTGCTTCGGGCTGTCGCCCGAGGATTCCTTGGACGGACGGGTAGAGTTGCGGTGTTTCGGTGGCGATGGGGGGAATGGAGTGCGAGCAGGAGAGGCTGGTTCGATCGTTGATGCTGCTTTGACCCAGGGTCGCTGTTGCTCACTGACAGCCTTTTGTGGTCCCGAGTCGAACTCTCCGTCTTTGTCCACGACGATAACGCGGCCATCCTCTGCTTTGATGACGAAAGTCCCCCATTGAAGTGGCATGGGAATCGTTACTGTATCCTTTTTCTTCTCTCCTTGTCCGCCAGCTGTCTCACTCATACCCTGATTGCGATCTGGTTTCCTCACCTCTAGTCCCCCTAGCCCTCGAATCTTCTCCAAATTCCGTTGTATGTCTCCACTAATCGCCCTTTGCACGTCTTTGTTCCACATCTTCTCCACATCGTGTCTGGGATCCTTTCGTTTCTTCTGCTTGTAGAAGCGTGTATCAATTGACCCAAAGCCTGGGGTTCCTCCCGGAGGAAGGTGCATGTCCGCGCCGTCATCGATGAAACTGCCGGTATAGGCTGAGGTATCTGAGCTGTTACAAGTAACCCATTCCGCCACATGGCCGTGGTCAAGACCGCGAGGTGTGCGCTTTATGAAAGAGCCGCCATCATCGATGAATGACTGGGGGGTTATGGAACTCATGTTCGCATTGTAGTCGTATGGTTGAAGTTCGGAAGGAGCGTACGATGGACGCTTGCAGATGTATGCATTGCAGACAGAGTTACTTCGATTTGCAGATTTGCGTACAGCGGAGCGAATGAAGAAGCGTCGGTGTGGTGAGGACTTTGATGACGGCATATCCACAATAGTGGAGCAGAGGTGAAGGTGAACAGCCTTTTGCCTGCTGCATGATAGACACACAACGACAACGAAAGTACGATATGCAGAGCGACGAGACATGTTTGCAAAACACGACAGACAAGACAGACACACTAAGAGACTTGAAAACATTTATCGCGACACAGCGCCCGTGCTGCCAATTGTCAGAATACCTATGCGCACATCCAACAAACACCAACACGCACCAGCACCGACCCTCTGTTACTCTCGAAGCAAAGGCACCTGAGTCAATGCATCAACCCACTTCCTATAACTTCGCCTTCTCCCGCTTCTTCTCCTGTTCCCATTGTAGCTGCACGTTGCGCATCCTGTACCAGCTCAACATAGCAGCCATGGCCCCAAACGGCGGGAAGGCCCAGAGGAGGAAACTCCACCACCGTGGGCTATTATTCCTGACATCCTGCATGACTTTTTGTATCTCCTTCTCTAGGTAACTTCTGTCGTAGTCGTTCCAGACTACGACGCCATTCCCCGGACCTCTCCGCAGGCAGCGCTCGGCCTTCTCGCGCACATCGCCTTGACTCATGACACGGTTGCGCGCATCTTCTTCGGTAAGGTGGGAATCGCGATCTCGCAGGCGCTTTATTTGTATCGCAGGATCCGAGACGCCGACAACAAGAATGGTACCGCAGTAGCGTTCCCAGCCACTTTCAAACAGGAGAGGGACATCTAACACGACTGCCCAGTTGCCGCGCAGATAGGCCCAAACCATCTGTCTGTACATCTCCTTGCGCACGGCAGGATGCACGATGCTGTTCAGCTTCTTCCTGTCGCGCTCTTTCTCTTCTCCGCCGCCAAAGACTCTCCGCCCCAGCGCTGGCCGGTTCAGCGGGCGTCCTTTGGGCGTCGCATCGGGTAGGAGGAGGTCGGGGGTAGTAGGTAAGAAGTGTTCGACGATGGCATTGTAGCCTGGCGTACCAGGCTCGACGACTTGTCGCGCGATGAGATCGGCATCTACGATGGGGAGGGAGTAGGGCGGCTTGGAGAGGATGGACGACACGGTCGACTTGCCCGTCGCGATGGAGCCTGTGAGACCGAGGAGCAGCATCGTGGGCTAGTCTTCTATTGGCGGAATGCTGTCGATATTTGTGATTGCAAGCCCAGCTGTAGGGCCTTGGCTGTTGATGTTGCTTTCACATGGCGGGTGCATGAGAGATGGGATGACGATTGCGGGGAGCGGATAGTACCTCGGAGGTGAGCATGGGCCTCACGATCAATCCACGGCTGGCATTGAGCACCGCTTACTCAAGGGCTTCACGGAGTGAGACAGTAGTATGTTACAATGGACGCATTTTGGTTCATGTGTCTACGGAACTGTAATCGTAAAAGAGTTTGAAAAGGATATCACTAAGCTGTTGCGCCCAACACCGATCTCATATTCTCCTCACTTTGCTCCACCATCAGTCCGTGATGCTGCACGTTCAGCACGAGAACGAAGGCGAGGAAGACGGCCCGTCTTCTCTTCAAATACGTTCCATGAAGGATTACCAGAACTACTAGAACTCTTCTTCTGAAGCCTCTCCCGCACTTATCGTCTGGGAACTAAAGGGCAGAGAAGACAGCCCTTCGTGTGCCAAAGTCGTTGCCGCGACCTGCAAACGCTCTTGTGTTAGCCACCTCGAAAGGAACATGTGGAGAGGATGAGGGAGCTCAGTCTGAGACCTCTCCATGGTTCACAGTCTTGTTCAGCGACTCGACAAGTTTGCGCGCAGGGCGGAAGATCTGCAGCTGGTTGTCCTCGGCAGCGCCCATCATGAGCCAAGGGTCATTCTTGTTCCAGTCAAAGTCACAGATTCGATTGGTGAATCCGCCGTGCATGAACGATCTGTGAAGACTTAGTGCACGAGCCGGAAATACGTTTGGAACAACTTACAGCTCAGGGGGGCCATCTTCTTGCTCCTCCTCCGTCTGTTCAGAGCCTATCTTGCTGAGATCCCAGAGGAGAATACGGCGATCGTAGCTAGAGCTGGCAAGGATAGCAGCGTCTTGCGGGTGCCACTGCAGACCGATGACATCTGAGCGATGGCTCTGCAGGCTGTGTACCTTCTTGTCAAAATTCCGAAGATCCCAGATTCCTACCGATTTATCGGCAGAACCCGTCGCAAATATCATTTCAAACTCGGGGTGGAATGAGATGCAGTTGACCGCGTCTTCGTGGGCTTCCTTCCGGTACAGCGCCTTCTTGTGTGTCTCCATACGAGTATCGATGACTTGCCAGGTAAGATCGTCTGACGCGGTACCGAGGAGATGGTTGTGGATTGGGTGGTATTGGACATCGTTGACCGTTGCGCTGTGGATGTTGTATGTTGCCGTCGGGCTGATGGTCTTGCTGTTCTTGGAGAAGCCACTCTTGATGTCCCACGTCTTGACTGTAGTGTCTTCGTTACCAGTCGCCAGATGTCCCTCTTTCAAAGGACTCCAGCTCAAGCCGAATCCCTCTTTGCTGTGGCCCACAAGCTCCGCCTCGAACTTGATGGAGTCATCCTTTGGTTGCAACGGATGCTTAGTCCGGTCGAAAATAAGCACCTTGCCGTCGACACAGAGCGACGCTATGATATCGGGGTTCTGAGGCTGGTAGCGGGCCTTGTTGACCTCGCCGGGGTGGTTGATCTTCTGCACAATCTTGAAGTCAAAGGGTCGCTTCGCATTGCCATGGCCGCCAATCTCTCCCCGCTCTTCGTTGAGCTCGGTAAGGTCTGGAACACGGGCGTCTGGAATCTCGCAATGGGCGATTTGGAGGTAGTTTTGGGCTTGGTTCGACGTATGAGTGCCGAGGATGACGCGGTGCTGGCTCATGTTGGTGCCTTCGACGGGCTTCTTGTCCGGCAGCCATTGTGTTGTGAGCGTAGGCCACTCGAGCGCGCGGCCGTACAGCATATCGTAGAGGAAGACGGAGTTCTTCTTCCACATCTTGTACTCTTCGTTGATGAGCTTTTGCTCGGTCTGTTCTTGGTCGTCCATCTCGCGGGAATCGAGAGCGTCTGCCAGGGTGGAATTAGTCTAAGTCGTTGGGCGAGTTCAAATAATTCCGGAGACGTGGGTGACTGTAGAAACACGGTAGCGAGCCTGGGTGTCATGCGCCAGCTATATCTTTGTGATGTGTAAAGCGAAGCTTGCTGTTGGTCTGCATGACGCTGTCGCAGACCAGAATTTCTCAAAGAAAAAGAACTTACCGCTCATAGTCTCGTCCATAATGTCCTGGCGATCGTATTAGAAGTCAAGGGCGAAGTGTATTGTATGAAATGCTGGGTGTATGAAGCGTGGAAGAGGCACGACGCGCTCCCAAAAGTCGCGTTTGGACCAACCCCGATGTCGATCCATTAGCGCCCCACCTGCTTGGCAGTCGCCGCCAGCATATCCATTGCGTGTATGAGCAAGACTCCGACTCTTTGAAGACCCCAGCGTCGAGAACCACCACCCCATACTCTCTCTCGCCCTCCCACCCACAGCGCCTTTGCGCGCTTCTCTCTATTATCATCTTCCCCCCAGTCGCCCACTTTGCGACTCTCACCCCGCCACTTGTACACACAAGTTGCGTCGCCGCCTCACCACCATATCCATCTTCAGCTGTTCTTAGACAGTAGCAGTCATGGGTGTCCCCAAGTTCTTTCGATGGATGTCCGAAAGGTATCCCGGTATTTCGCAGCTCATTGCCGAAAACCGCATTCCCGAATTCGACTGTCTCTACGTAGGTACCCGTGTGTCGCAATTGATGCGCCTAGCTAACAGCAACAGCTTGACATGAACGGTATTATTCACAATTGCACCCACAACGATTCCGACAGCGTCACGGCGCGCAAGTCCGAAGATCAGATGTTCATCTCCATCTTCAACTACATCGAGCACTTGTTTGGCAAGATCAAGCCCAAGCAGCTCTTCTTCATGGCCATCGATGGCGTCGCCCCGCGCGCCAAGATGAACCAGCAGCGTGCACGACGTTTCCGAACCGCTCTCGATACTGAGAAGGCTCGGGAGAAGGCTATCCGCGAAGGCGTAGAGATGCCGACGGAGGAAGCGTTCGACAGCAACTGCATTACGCCAGGCACTGCCTTTATGGCGAAGCTTACGCAGCAGCTCAAGTATTTCATCAACAAGAAAGTCTCCGAGGACATAGATTGGCAGGGCGTGGAAGTCGTACTGTCCGGTCACGAGGTCCCCGGAGAGGGAGAGCATAAGGTCATGGAGTACATCCGTCAGGCCAAGGCACAGCCGGGCTACGACCCGAACCGCCGCCACTGCTTATACGGCCTTGATGCCGACTTGATCATGCTGGGTCTGCTCAGTCACGATCCCCACTTCAGTTTGCTGCGTGAGGAGGTGACATTTGGTCGCCAAAGCCAAACCAAGTCCAAGGAGTTGGAACACCAGAACTTCTACCTCATGCATCTCAGCATTGTTCGAGAATACCTGGAGCTGGAGTTCCAGGAACTGGAAGAGCCCGGAGCTCTCAGCTTTCCGTTCGACATGGAGCGTGTTATTGACGATTTCATTCTTATGGCTTTCTTTGTCGGTAACGATTTCCTTCCCAATCTTCCACATTTGCATATCAACGAGGGCGCCTTGGCCCTCATGTTCAACGTCTACAAGACTGTCCTACCCAAGGGTAAAGGATACATTAACGAGGAGGGTGTCATCAATATGGAGCGCTTGGCTATCTTGTTGGATGAACTCTCAAACATTGAATACCGTCATTTCGAATCTGAAAACGCCGACGCTGCCTGGTTCAAGGGAAAGAAACTTGGAAAGGAAGACGTAATGGTGAAGACTGCGAAGCGAGGCACAATTGTCATGACTACCCAACAGCAGGCTCTGTTCTCCAAGGTCAAGAGTTGGCTGGGTGATTACTTGGAGAAGAAGGAGCCAGCCCCGCTGGATCTTCCCGTGTCTCTTCGTGCAGAGGACCGAAAGTTTGTTCAAGAACTTGCCGACAAACTGCATCTCCCATGGAAAACTGTACAAAACGACGACGGCGATCGCCATATTCAGATTACCGCGCCACCTAAGCTGGTCGAGGGTGATTCGGACGAAGAGGACGAGATGGACGACGAATCCACGAAAGCTATTGTACGCGTTGTGCAAAAGTACGAGCAGGCCAAGGTGGTCGACATCTCACCCGAAGACGCCCAAACGGAAATGCAAAAGAAATACGATGAGAAGTTCGACGCATGGAAGAACGACTACTATAAGAGCAAGTTCGATTGGGATCGCAATAACGAGGAGGAGCTTCGCAAACTCACGGAGAACTACGTGCAAGGATTGCAATGGGTTCTCTTCTACTACTACCGCGGAGTAGCTTCATGGCCATGGTACTATGGCTACCACTACTCGCCCATGATTTCTGACGTCAAGCGGGGTCTGAAGGCAGACATCAACTTCAAGCTTGGACAGCCGTTCAAGCCTTTCCAGCAGTTGATGGGTGTACTGCCCGACCGCAGTAAGAGTATCGTACCGAAAGCCTATCATCCTCTCATGACAAACGAGGACTCTCCCATCATCGACTTCTATCCCCGAGACTTTACTCTCGATATGAATGGAAAGAAGCAGGACTGGGAGGCTGTTGTCAAGATTCCGTTCATCCAAGAGGACCGTTTGCTTAAGGCCATGGCCACCAAGGAGAATGACTTGACGCCAGATGAAAAGATGCGTAATTCATTCGGTGTTTCTCTCAAATTCACATACGCCAAAGATCTGGACTTTGTCTACCAGTCATCTCTGCCAGGCGTTTTCCCGGACCTTCCCCACTGCAAGTGCATCGAGAACATATTCGACCTGCCGACCATGGAAGGACTGGAGTACTTCATCGGTCTCATGGACGGTGTCAAGCTGGGAGCCGAGGCATTGGCTGGCTTTCCCAGTTTGAAGACTTTGCCGTTCCATGGCAAGCTTGAGTTTGCAGGTGTCAATGTGTTCCAACAGGATAGCCGGAACGAAAGCATGGTTATTACACTCCTTGATACGGAGCCACGACAGTCTGTCTCGCACGCGCAGGCGAAGCTGGGCAAGGCGGTTCATGTTGGTTACCCTTTCTTACATGAAGCGAAAGTGGTCAAAGTATCGGACGAGTTGTTCGACTACGTTTTGCCCGAGGATGGCCCGTCTCCTGCACCTGTTGCTATTCCTCATGGACCACAGGAGATCTCCAACTGGAAGAAGACGGCCAACCGCATCGAAAACCAGTACAGCAAGCGCCTCGGTATCAACGTCGGAGAGATTGAGTCCCTCGTGCATGTAGAGATGCTTAAGGGACTTAGGAAGACTGACGAAGGAGCCACCATTAAGGAGTACGGCGAGGTTGCTGGGCTGCAAGTGGAATACGCGACCCAGACAGTCGTAGACGACGTCTTCAGCGCAGACCCTCGCTTCCTGGAGAAAGAGGCACTTCCCATTGAGGAGGAATTCCCCGAAGGAGCACGCGCATTCTATCTCGGAGACTACGCCTATGGCCGTCCTTTACAAGTCGTCAGCCATGCCGACAACAAGGCTACAATCATGGTCGCTAAGCTCAAGAAGCAAGAGCCGCATTTTGGACGTGAAGTTGTCAGCAAGGCTGAAAGGTCAACACCGTATGTTCCGTCTTATGTTGTGGCAAGGCAATTGAACATGCCGCCGCTTGCATTGTCCAAGCTCACGTCTTCTTTCAACGTCAACTCAAGTGGTCTCAAGCTCAACCTTGGATTGAACCTCAAGTTTGAGGCGAAAAAGCTCAAGGTGTTGGGCTACTCTCGTAAGTCGGCCAACGGATGGGAATACAGCCAGAAAGCGATGGACCTTTTGGCGCAGTACATGATCAAGTTCCCAGAGTTTGTTGCCGCCATTATCAATAACCCGACCGGTGATGGATGGGAGGACACCGACTTTTATCCTCCCGAGGTCGCAAAGCAGAAGGTCAAGGAGATTGGAGCCTGGTTGAAGAGTGTTCAGACCAAGAACTTTGAGAAAGTACCCTTGGACGCTGAGCAGCTCGACTCTGATACAGTCAAGCTCATCGAGCAAGCGGCTGATGCCAACTTCCCACTTACACAAGAAGTGGAGCCCAAGACCGTCGCCAAGGTGCCACGTGTTGCCTTGCTGAAGCCGTCTGATGCGGAGCAGCGTCTCGGACACCAGAACTTTAGCATTGGCGATCGCATCGTCTATGTTCAAGACTCTGGAAGGGTACCGATTGGATCGTCAGGTACCGTGGTTGGCAAGACCCGCACCGCACGTGTTTTGCTGCTCGATGTTGTGTTCGATGCCACGTTCATGAGCGGTACATCGCTCGGAGACCGCTGTTCGCCATTCAGAGGATCCACTGTTCCGGCAACTGCAGTTCTTAACATGACGGATCAGCAGGTCGTCCACTATTCCAGTGCTGCTGCCGCGAAGCGCCCACAACAAGTACCTTCATCGTACAACATGCCTCGCTTCGGTGCCCCTGGGGGTCCTCAGCTCGTTCCAGCGAGTGCGCCAGCACCTCTCCGTGGGTCATACCGAGGAGCATTCGGAGGCGCGAACGGACGGGGTGGAGGCTTCGCACCACGCCAAAGCCCAGGACCACAGCAACCTCAAGGACAGCAGCAGACCCTCCCGATCCATGGCGGGCCACCTCGTGGTGGCCGTGGCGGATTCGCACCCCGTGGTGGACAAGCAAACGGCCAACCTGCTCAGAACCAGAACCAAGCTCCAAACGGCGGCAACGCTCGCGGTAACCTCCGAGGTGGCTCAGCAGACTTCGTTCCCCGTGGACGAGGAGGCCACAAGGGCCGTGGTGGCTTCACTGTTATCGACAACACTGACCCCGCGGAGGGAGTTGTCCCTAACAACCCAAACTTTCAGCCGCGGAACTACTCGAACGTGCCACCGCCGGCCAATCTAGATGGGGGACGTGGTGGTAGAGGACGAGGCCGCGGTCGTGGCGGATTCCGTGGGCGTGGAGGCCCAAGAGGCGGCGCGCAACCTGCTGCACAGTAGAGTCTTCTTCTCGATCATTTCAACGTCTGTTGGGTATTGTTTGAGTGTTCCAAAAAAAAGCAAGTTAGCGTGGCGTTGCGGCGCTCAGCGTGAACATATCTGGGAGGAATGCATAGACGATGCGCGTACATGTCACGGAAAGAGTTCAAGGACTCGGGGAAATAACGGTGGATGATAGGAGTGGTACAGCTTGATACCCGTATTGAGTCGTCGGTAGCAGCATCAATAAAACTAAGCTCACTCGAACATGTGTACTTTTGACAATGTACACTCTTCTGACATGAGATGGTGAGACGGTGATGTACTAGCGTGAAATAGGTGAACCCTGGTCTCATAGGGCTGAGCTCCGACCTCCGCGCAAGAGTCCAGATACGTGTTAGGACCACCCAAGGATACATCTCCACGCCCACCTTCAACAGTCTTCTCTCCCTCTCGTGGCCGACAGAGGTTCATAGACTGAGCTCTGCGCTCACCTCACATATTCACAATGCATTCGACGCTTGTGCGTCTCCAGAATGTCTTTGGCTTCTTTACCACCGTCGCTTTCACGGTCGCGAGTATCATCGCGCTGAGTAGCTTCGTCTCGCCGCAGAACCCGACGGCCAGTATATCGCTGCGCAATGTACAGGTAGTAAGAGGACGGCCGCACTACTACTCACCCAAACGGGAGGAGTATGCGCATGTCAAGTTCGATCTTGACGCTGGTATGTCTCTCACTCAAGTCGCAATTACGCTGCGGTCAGACTTTCAGACACCACGGCTGATGCTTCCCTGCAGATCTAAGCTCCCTCTTCAACTGGAACACGAAGCAAGTCTTCGTCTACCTCAAGGCCGTCTACCCCTCCACCCGTGCCTCCGAACCTCCCTCAGAAGCCATCATCTGGGATGCCATCGTCGCCTCAAAGTCCGCGCCCTGGAACCAAAACCACTTCATCCACCCCGACCCCAAATCCAAGCTGCCCAAGCAATCTGCCAAGAAACGCGCTGCATCCAAGCAGAAGACCGCGTCGCCGTACCCCGTCGGTGAACTCCACCTCGATAACCAGAAACCCAAATACAAGATTACCGACATCACCGGCAAGCTAGGAAACAGGACGGATGTTACATTGGAGCTGGGGTGGAACGTGCAGCCCTGGGTGGGAGCGCTGACATGGACCAACTGGAACACGGTCGGTGTGTGGAAGGGTCTGGAGGGAGGCAGGAGCAAGGCATTTAGCTTCCCGGAGGTGGGCGCCAAGGCAGCGACACCAAAGGACTTGGAGACTGAGAAGGGTGCTGAGGGCTACAGACTGGTTGTTGGTGAGGAGGTGCCGCTGAAGAAGGCTGCTGTTTAGAGAGACGGCGAGTAAGATACCTGTCAAAATGGGGATTGGAAAAGGAGATTATATTTGATACCAAATACGGAATGACTTTTTGGGCTTGATCATAATGAAATGCGCTTCGAGGAACGTATACTGATGCTGGTACAGTTGCATACGTTCATGTGTTGCCGTGATCTCAATACAAGAGTTTAGTGAAAACGACCAGTTGTGTCATTTATTAGGATAACTACGATATGATATCTTTTAGAGTTGATGGGAGATAATGTGTTGGTAGACATGCTCGGGTCAAGGTCGGACCTCCGATCTCGCCGCAAACCGCCACTTTCAGGTCGTCGGATTTCAAAGCGCGCTCCACAACCCTCAATCACCTCACATCATGCGCCATCCGCGACACCATCTACATCACCCTTCCTCCCGCCCATCCGACGACGCTCCAGATTAGAACGATAATCTAGGAGATTTCAGCTCGTATACCAGCCCGCATAACGGACTACTTCCCATCAACATCCGTTAACGTAAACCCCACCGACCCCACCGTTCACACATACCCAGGCCGTCAGAGCCTCCGTGTTCGCGATGCCTCTCGAAAACATCCGCAATATCGTCCTCGTCCTTTCCGGCAAAGGCGGAGTCGGGAAATCGAGCGTGACTACGCAACTCGCCCTCACACTATCGCTACAAGGACATTCGGTCGGTGTTTTGGATATAGACTTGACGGGCCCGAGTATACCGCGCTTCTTCGGTATTGAAGATGCAAAAGTAAGGCAGGCACCTGGTGGGTGGATACCGGTTGATGTGCATGGTGAGCAAACGTTGGCTGCACACCAGAAAGACGGAGGAGAGGATGCGAGTACAACAGATCAGAAAGAGGCAGGGGCGGCGGCTGCAGATGGCCAAAAGATTGGATCGTTATCATGCATGTCTCTGGGCTTCATTCTGGCATCGCGCTCCGACGCTGTAATCTGGCGTGGTCCGAAGAAGACCGCCATGGTGCGCCAATTTCTGACCGACGTCCTCTGGCCACCACTCGATTACCTGCTCATCGATACACCACCTGGTACCTCCGACGAACATATTTCACTACTCGAAACCCTCTTGAAGAACACCACGCCATCTCCTGCCCTCAATCCACATGTCCCGTTCTTGGCCGGCGCTGTAGTAGTCACAACCCCACAAGCTATCAGCGTTAGCGACGTGAAGAAAGAGCTGAATTTCTGCAAGAAGACTGGAATTAGGGTACTAGGTGTGGTCGAGAACATGGCAGGATTCGTATGCCCCAACTGTTCGGAATGTACAAATGTGTTCAGCAAGGGTGGTGGAGCAGTCATGGCGACTGAGTTCGAAGTACCATTCCTTGGTTCTGTACCCATCGATCCAGCGTTCGTAGAATTGGTCGAGAGTGGGACGAGGCCCGTCTATCCTAAGGGTACTGTCATACAGGGCAAAGAGCTGGATACTGAAGAGGTCGCAGCGCTGAAAGACAAGGGAGGGCTTTTTGTGGATAAGTACCGGGACTGTTCGTTGGCGCCGCTATTCGACGAGTTTGTGACGAGGTTGAAGGGGGATATTGGAAGGATCGTATAGGTATGCGGAAGTGGTCGAACTTCAATGGCAGGCATGGCGGAGCGACGAAAGAGATATGATCGAAGATATAGAGAAGAATAGATACCCCTCCATATCTCTATGATCATGCCGTGCTGGTGAGTCTTGGCCCCCACTGGAGGAAGTTCAAGGGATGCTGACCTTCTCATAGTCCTCAACATCCACTTTCCGTATTTCGCCATCATTGGATTTTCTTCACTCTTACACATCGTTATGATAGTGCGCTGCTATGTCGTCATCCCAGCTCAGGTGACTCAAGTACTCCCGCTCGGATACCCGTGAATACGTCCCATTACAGCGAATCAGGCGCATAGTATCTTGCAGACAAAGGAATTATTGCTCATTGACATTGGAAGTCTGCCCTTGTGACTCGCCAGGCTATAGTCGCCGTCGTCAGGATTCATCTCGTACTCCACGTCCCACGTCTCATTGGTACCTTTGGCTCTTTGCCCGCACAAGCAAACGCGCAGCTACGAGCCTATGGGTGAGAGAGCGCTTAATTATGCTCTCAGGTAAAGTTCAACGTAATTAATTATCGGCCAACTGTGTTGCGGGCTCCATATAAAGCCGCTACTGCCCACGCAAAAGGTCCTACAGTCTTTTGTCCTACCTACTACACCCACCAACTTTTTTAACGTATTACAAACACAGAAAAACGCCTGGTAAGTAACCATCGCGACCCTGAGATTGCTCGACAGATACAGCTTCCAGCACAAGACGCTTATCAGACTTTCGCAGTACTGACCTCGCAGGCCGCAAGATTGCCAACACTATGGACGCCGCGAGCTTTCACACCACACCGCCAGACCCTCATCCTACCGCGGGCACTCCGCATCGGACAATTTCGACACCAGTTGAAACACAGGATCAGATGAAGAGTCCTGAGACCAAATTGCGTCAAGGACCGGGCAACGGCGTAGACCAACTCCCGAAAGGTGACTTCGCTCCTATCGCAGTCAACGGTTACGAGAGTCTAACGTCTGAAGAAGAGCTGAAATCAAGCGCGAAAGCGCAGTTCATGGTAAAGCTGAAGTACAGTACCAAGATTCCCGTGACTTCTCCGCAAGGTCACCGAAACATCAGCAATGTCTCTTCTACTTCCCCGGACTTGCGCGCAACTTCGGACAGAACATCCAAGCCCTTCACCGAAACTACCATCGCCAAAAAAGAAGTCGAAGATCATGAAGCCTCTCCAAAAGTCAAGATCGAGAAACACAGCGATGATCAAGATTCAGCCGTGAAGCCCCTGAATGAGCCTACAGAAAGTTCAGGTAAGGTCATCATGGTCAAGGACGAGCCTGAGCACTATGCACAGCAAAGTGTCAAGGATCGAAGCCAGGATCTGGCTAGGGAGGTTGTGAGCATTGATGGTCAACTTGGCGACGAGACAATACAGGTCTCGATCGAAGATGACATTCCTGGCAAGTCCTCGGATGATGTCGTTATCCAAGCTGCTACATCTGAACCCGAGAACTTGGAGAGGGCTGCGGCCGTTGATGTGCACGACGTCGATGACGTCAACGGCGGCTATCAACAGAGCGCAAACGGCCCATCGAGCGCATATGGTAACGATTTCTCGTTTGACGCCGACGCCAACATGGCCTACTCCTTCGATGTAGACGAGTGGGCCTCTAACGCCACGAACCAAGCCGAGGCGGACGTAGCCAGCGGATCCCGACAACACCAACATCATCAACCGATCGACCACCAAGCCGTGTTGTCTGAGTTCACATACGGAAAGACACGGATGCGGCCGGATGACCCAATTTATCAAGAATCTCTAGCTTTTCTGACTGGCGAAGCTGAAACTCAGGTGCCTTGGAGTCAACGTCACCACGTTTTTACGGATCCAGTCCGCTTCATCAAGTCTAGCTCACCCTCTTATGGAGGTGCACGTGCACTGAATCCGGCTGCCATTTTGAAGAACATTTCGCAATACCAAACCTGTTCAGATCGGCATGGATCGCAACAACTCGCTGATGAAAACCGCCAACGCGATCTTGAATCTGGCTTCAATCGCCAACAAGAGCTTCAGGCCCTGGTTAAGGAGAAGCAGAGACAGTTGGATCAAGTCAAGAAGATGCAAGCGGAGCGCCAGCGATCGACTCGACAGGTACCTCACGATTCTACCCATCATCATGGCCAGCTAGCTGCTGTACCTTCGTTCCTCACTGGCCCGATGAGTTATGAACGCGCGCCCCAGGGCGGATATCAGCAGATGAACTACGGACAGAATAGCTCGGACTTGGTGTCTTCGTCTCTGCCTTTCACGCCCTACGGATCCAGTGAATTTCGCTCACTTACGGCTAGACCCACACCATCGCCCAACTCGAACAATTGGATACCAGGACGATGTACGTCTCAAGTTACAGGGAAGGCACGAGAGCAAGTCCCCAGTGAACACGACTGTGGCAATGAAGGCAATGCTTCCGATGATGATGAGCCGCTTCGGACGCGGGTAGAGCACCACCCATCAGTGACTAGCCAGGATCACGACTCCGACGTCGAGTTCGTCGCGAGCAATTCCAAGCCCAAAACCACTGGACCTGTTGTCGACCAGAAGGTAGTGCGCATGCCACGCCCTCTTCCTCAGCCTGCTTCACCCTCTCCCGCGCCCACTGAGAACGCAGCACCTTCTTCCAACAACGTCGAACAGATTGATTGGACGCTTCCCCGATATGAATTGCAACGCCAGCCTCTCGCGAAAGGCGAGGAGATTCCTAGCGCAAAGGTTTCCCTTCCAGGGATGGTCCGCGAAGAAGTTCTCCTCTCTCCCGACCACGCAGACGAAGAAGCCCGCTTACTGATCGATGTCTTCATCCCTGGTCAGCAAGCCATGTCGTCACCAGACCCAGAGCCTGCCGTCGCTCTTCTGAACTTCCATACCATCACTCTTATGGTCATAGAAGCATACGTTCAGTTCGAAATCGGCGACGAGCTCGGCATGGGACGCGGTCACTTCCACCAAGATCACAACCGCGGCGAAGAAGATTACGAGCGCATGCGCGACGCCGTCGATGCCGATACCAACGAGATCTTCTTCGCTGTCGTGGACCGATACCGAGCCGGAATAGAGAGCAAGAAGAAGCCGCTACAGCTAATTCGGGGTACACAGGAGTTCTGCGACGTGGCGCTTGATGTGATATATTACATCAAGCAACATGGACTGCTGAAGCCAGAACCTAAGGCCAAGAAGGTGAGGGCTGATAAGGGAACTAAGAGGGGGCCTCAGGCGAAGACTGCGGCGACTGAGGCTGCTGCAGCTGTGAAGGGTAAGGGTAAGGGAACCAAGAGGGGTACCGTGGCAAAGCCAAATGAGGTGCAGCCTAGGAAGAGGGCGAAGATCACGCCCGCGGCCGAGGTCAAGAAGAAGAGTAAGGCCAAGGTTAGGGAGCCGGCTCTTACCGTTATAAAGAAGTGAGCGATTTGGCCGAGGGATTGGTGGGCTGCCATCGATGCTTTCAGCGCTTGGGGTGAAGAGAAAACGGGGAGTTAGATACGGAGATCACAAGTCTCATTTGCGAGCTTTCACGATTTGTACTAGATGATGCATTCGTTCATGGGTTTTGGCTTCTCATTCTTTCCATGACTCAAACTTCATAGACGTTTCCTTCAACATACATATCCTAGTGACCCATACTTTACTTATTGATGGCAGGCAGATGAGAAATTATAAGCTGGAGGAAGGTATATGATCTTTCCCATAGTCTAGACAAGAGCTAGAGTGACTTCTTCGTTTGCTTACCCCCGCTCTGTGCTCATTCCCTCGCCAAATGGCTCACTTTGCTGGCTATACAAAGCCTTCAGAAAGCTCTCTCGAGATCAAAGTATCCTTTGGAAATTCGCAACTACAGCCTCCAGCACGCTGTGCTCGTCTCCTTGACGTGTGATATTGTCCGCATAAGTAAATAACCTATATTTGCTCCTCGCGCTGTAGAAATACGGATGGATTTCCAAGCCTCTGCAGGAGTCACTCACATCCGATACAGCTGTGAAGCAGAAGACGGGCTAAGAGGATCTTCGGAAGCACGGCACTGAATGGTGCGCGTAGGGCATCATATGGTATTGCGGGTAGACCTTTTATGGGCTAGGACAATGAGATGCAGGTAGAGTATGTCCATGTTTCATTATGACATTATATAAATTTCGAATATATCGTGTCGCCATCTACAACTTCTTAGCATAACTGTGGTAGTTATCAACAGGAGCAACCTCCTTGACGCTCTCCCAAATCTGCTCAATACCCTTGACCGCCTCATCGCTAAGCTTGCCCTTCTTCAAGCTCTGCGCAGTCTGCTCAGCCTGAGCAATCTTGCTAGCACCGAAGATGACACCATCTTCGTCTCCCTCAAGCGCGCTGTGGTAGGCCACCCAGCGGTATGCGAGCTCCGCCTTGGTAACGCCCTCTTTCTCGGCAATTTCGTTCCACTTGATGAGCGCCTTGCGCATGGTCTCGTTGTCGTAGAGCTTTCCGTACATGTTGCCCATGGCTTGCTCGTTGAAGCGTCCGGCGCCTGCATCGAGATCTGCCGCTGTCTTTACAAGGAAGCCACCAGCGAGGGGTGAGTATGCGTAAAAGTGCATACCGAGCTTGCGGAGGGTGGGGAAAAGTTGAGTCTCCAAGTGTCGGGCAACGGGGTTGTAATTACCCTGGTAGACCTGTGGAAGTGGGTAGCCCTTGGCCTTCGCAATGTCGTAGACTTGCTGAACTTGTTCGGCCGAGAAGTTGCTGAGGCCAAAACGGCGGAAGATGCCCTTCTTGTACACCTCGTTGATGCCCTCCAGGGTCTCCTCAAAGGGAACGGTTGGGTCTGGAGCATGGAGATAGAAGATGTCGAATTGGTCGATCTTGGCACGCTCGATAGATTCCTGGCAGTACTTGATCACATTGTCCTTTTTGAGTTCACCTGGCGTACCAAAACCGCCGGGGAGCTTGGTATCGATGACGAAGTCCTTGCGCTTCTCGAGCTGGCCGATGGCGACTTCGGATCCAGCATACAGACGGGCGGAATCAATGTTCTTGACGCCGTTGGCGAGTAGAACATCGATGAGTTTGGCACGGTCTTCTTGCGTTTTGAAGTACGAAGAGTCCGAGAGCGCAGCTCCTCCGAAGACTGATTTGACCATGATGATGGCTGATCGATTGGGAATCCCTTTCGCGAGGATGGGTGTGTGAGTTTGGAGTCAGACAAAAGCTTCAATGCGTGGGAGATTTGATAGCGGGGAAAGCACGAGCGATGATGTTGACGATATAACCGATGATGCAGGGGAGGAAGCCGCGGTTGAGCTGTTGATGGTTCTTTCCCAACACCCCTCTTTCATTGACTTATATACCCAATCTGGCAGGCAGCAGCTCGCGTCTTTCTCCCAAAACGGCGAACGAACCAGCCTCTACATTACAAATGCTCTCAGGTACCAGCCGTCCGATGATGCCACCATCACAGTGCACATCCTTGGCAAGGATTGCCCCACTCATTCCCGCAGTACTACCCCTCCTCGGCAGGAATTGCACAATGGCCCCGCTCAACCACTCCCATACATGTGCGTACGGCAGTAACGGCCCCCGGCCGGACACCTACATCGACCACGTGCTCATTGCGCAATTCAACTAGGCTTTGAGCGAATGCAAAGCGTGTTCACGTATTTGCATACAAGCGATGGGACGATGTGAGGTCTTGCCTACACTTCGGACACAGACAAACCTGCAGCCTTGGGTGGGTCGCAAGCTGAGCCAAGTAGTGATACGTATCTTTCTGCACGGGTCGAGTGGTCCGTAACGGCGGACGAATAGCAAACACCAAGACAAATAATCAGACTCAATATTCAGAGCGACATGGTACCACAGAAGGACCTAGAAGGTGTCCGTTGCCTTGTCTCGCCATCTCAACAGTGTATTCTAATCTTACAGAAAGTGGAACTTCCAACACGCATTTCCCCGAAACTTAGTCTCACTTCTTGCAAAATCAATTTGTAACCTGATTACCGATCGGATCGGACATATATATCGTGCGGATGTTCTCGTCCGCTCGGTCATGTTGTCTTTGGCGGTTGATACCCTCCTTACCGGATGCGCAGCCTGCAAGACGTGCGTACAAGTCGTATAAGTTTACTGGAAGTTTGAGAGAAAGACGAAAGTCTTGTTGCATGTGTTCATCGAGATAGATGTGGAGCCGAAGCAATGATGAGTGGTCTGTTAGCCTTACAATAAGCTGCTGTCTTTCAGCACCGTACCGCATCACATAGTCTTTTTTGTTCATGCATCTTACTTGGGGTAGCAAGCTCGTGAGAAAAAAAGAGATCATGCGATGCGACGCGGTGCTGATCAAGACTGATACGTTCTTTGCAAACGGGTCACGATGGTCCGGGAGCCATGTCCGTCCAACCGCCATCCGCTCTCCAAACTCCTGCTTTCGTGTAATCCCCCCTTCCACGACCTCTTATGTAAGCGAATCGAAAGTATTCGTTCACGCCTTCCATATGTCTAGTCCAGGTCCAGCTTTCCTCCATACGGTCAGCGTATTCATGATACCTTTCTACATCATTGACCAGAACGCTCATTCCATCATAAGGCTCAGGGAATGGGTAGTGCCAATCGAAAGTGATGTTGGGTCTAAGATGATGAAGGTTCAAGTTGTTGTGTATGATTGGCGCAGTAATAAGTGGGAGTACGGTGCCAATGGGTGCGTCACCACGAAGTGCGCCGGGTGTCTCGAGGATGCTGGCAAAGCCCCAGCGTGCGGTCCCGTTGATGAAGAGGCCGATCAAAATGCCTTGGAAAAGGAGCGAGGGACGTGTTTGCATAGATGTGCCAGGTACGAGGAGCAAGCCGAGGATGTAGTGGTGAATGCGGACGTTCATCTTTGGTATGGCGACGAGTGCGAGGATACCAGCCACCAGAGTGCCATACAGGGCAAGGTAACGCGGTAGACGACCTTCGACACGGAATGACCATGCTTGTCCTAGAGCGATGACGAAGAGGGTGAGGACAATAATGATAAGCGCAGGAATAGCGCCTGGCTGGTTCTTGATATCGTGGGGTGTAAGACGTTCAATGGGAATCTTGTCGAACGTGTAGTTGTTCAGGGCGCCAATCCAACATCCTCCGAGCCAAAGGATGGTTCTCTCTACTTGTGCGTGAAGACCTTGCAGTTGGCGACGCACTGCAAATCGGTAGACAGCATACATGCAAAAGGACGCGGGAAGGAAGCGTGACAGAGCAATACTGATGATGGAGTAATAATCAGTCAAGTTGGGAGGATCTGATGCCAGTGCAACGTGGAAGAAGACACCAACGAAGATGGAGGTAAAGAAGACGGATGGTGAGGTAGTAAACAAAGACAACAGGATAGTAAAGGTGAGGGATACGCCTAGTAATGGCCAACGCAAGTCGCGGCATTTGGCTGCTGTACCGGGCAAGAAGGAGAAGGACCGCGGGAAATAAGAGTCAAAGCCAATGCTCTTGATATGTTTCCTGTTCACACTGCGGTATTCGGTCTTCTCGCCAACCTGAGCAACAACTCCACAACCACCTGACGCGTCATTGATGAAGCCAGCGTGGATAGCCGCTCCGCAGATGAAGGAGTCGGCGCGGTAATATGTGTTCTCTAGCGTGTTCTCCTCGTCCGTGGGTCCACCGATGACCAATGGACGATAATTGACGTTCTTGTCGCCAACGGCATGTGGATTGAGCAGTTGCACGCGTTTACAGTTTGCCGGGCAGCGGAACGGCATGGTGCTATTTTCGAATGGTCGGCACAGATCGCCGTTGAGCCCGCAGCCGTTGCCATCGTCCCAGAAGCGATCCGTACACCGTATCCGCACGGGGCTGCCATATCCAGGTATGTCCGCTGCAAACGCGCTACGATGCAGGACCAAGCCAAAGGTCAGGATCCAGCAGAAGTAGAAAAAGACCAACAGGGCAATCTTCTGTCTTCTTTCAGGAAAGTAGTTGTTCAGCAACTGGATTGGCGCAGTCTGTATCTTGGGAAAGAAAGGGTGTATCTTCCAGGGTCGGGGCGGTTGTGGACCCTTGACCCATATGACAACATTGTTCCATACACGTTGTAACCGCGGCGGGATGTACTTATTGGCGTAATAGGGCTCTTGGGGGGTGTCGTGCTCTTGGCCGGATGTCTCGGGAGTCGCAATGGCGTCGGCTGACTCGGCAGGAAGTGTGGACGCGTTCTCGTCGTCGCGGTAGGCTTGCGGAGGCGCGCCCTCGTCGTCGAGGCTTTCCCGTGGCTCCATATCGTAGATGGATGCCAGCTCGTGGCGGGATCTCGTAGGAGACGACACTTTGGCAGTGGAGAGGATGACGATGCACCGAGGCTTAACGGATGCTTATCGATAGGAATGCGCGTGAAAATGTGCGACGGCTGGCAAAAAAACTGAAAAGACGCTCATGTACAGGACGAGGTGAAGGAGGGGAAGGACGTGAGGATATACAAGCGAAGGCGAAGGCGAAGGCATGGCAAGGAAAGAGCTCTGGGGAGCTTCGGGACCTGCATGATGCGGGCCTGTGGAGTGCCCACGTTCCGGCTTCACGGCACTGAGACGCTAAGATCGGCCCTCGAGTAGGAAGCTTCCAAAGCTTTGGGTGTCGGCGGCAATGGCAGCATGCGAAGGTTCACGCTGCGATAAAACCGGAATTATCATGCCTA